TTAAACACTATGTCAATAGAAGTAAAATAAAAATTAGACAAGAAAGCTCTTACTGTAATACATCTTAGTTTGTCTAATGAGGTTTTGTGTGAGGTCATTCATGAAACTACAACAACTACACTATGGTTGAAGTTGGAGTCGTCGTATATGATCAAATTGTTCACCATCAAACTATTTCTAAAGCAACGTCTATTCATGCTCAAGATGGTAGAAGGTACATCAATTAAAGCTCACCTTGATGAGTTCAATTTTATTTTACTAGATTTAAAAAATATTAATGAAAAAGTAAAGGAGGAAGACTAAGCTATATTTTTGTTATGTTTCTTACTGCCATCATATAGACACTTTCAAAAAACTTTATTATATGGTAGAGATATCATATCTAGTGAAGATGTTAAATATTCTTTATTTTCAAAAGAATTGATTGACAAAGATATGACTATTACTTCGAAAGGACAACAACTTGAAGGTCTTATTACAAGAGATAGACACAAGAAGAAAAGTCGAGGTAATAGAGGTGAGTTAAGATCCACATTAAAATCTAGAAATAACTTTTATAATTATTGTCGCAAGTAATGACATGTGAAAGCTAATTGTTATAAACTCAACAAAATACAACAAAATGACATTAAAGAGTTTAATTTTGCTGAATGTTCAACATAAGCTAATGTTGTCAAAGACGAGACTCCTTATATAGAGTACTTTTTCACATATGAGTATATCAATGATAGAAACATCTTAATAGGAAATAATACCTCATGTAAGACTATTGATATTGACATAGTTCATATCAAAATATTTAATGATATCACAAGAATATTATCTAATGTTGTATATATTCCCAATTTAAAGAAAAAATTCATTTCTTTGGACACTCTTGAAGTTAATAGATGTAAATATTCAGGTGAAAATAAGGTCATAAAAGTCAAGAAAAGAGCCTTTGTTGTGATGAAAGTACAAAGATGTGGTACCCTCTACACTTTATTAGGGACCATTGTTTCTAATTTAACTGTTGTGACATTTACCTCAATGACAGAAGAGATGTCACCAAATTATGACATATGAGGTTGGGACATATGAGCGAGAAAGAAATTAATCTATTAAGCAAGAGGGGTTTGCTTTGTAGGCCAAGTACCAACTAAGTTGAATTTTGTGAGTATTGTATTTTAGGTAAGCATAAAAGAGTTAGCTTTTAAATGACAACTCACATGACCAAAGGTACTCTTAATTATATCTACTCAAATCTTTGGGATCTTTCTCATGTCCTTTCAAAAGGTGTTGCTTATTATTTCTTATTTCTTATTGATGTTTTTTCTTAAAAAGTTTGGATATTTATACTTAAACATAAATCTGAAATTTTTATAGATTTTAAGTAATAAAAGGTTTTGGTCAAAAGACAAATTAGGAAGAAAATCAAAAGGTTAAGGACTTACAACAATCTAGAGTTTTGCTCCACCAAATTTAATGATTTATGAAAATATGAAGATATTGTCAGATACAAGACAATTCGTTATATCTCACAACAAATTAGAGTTGCATAAAGAATAAATAAAACTCTACTAGAATGAGCCCATTGTACGTTAATATCTATAGGTCTTAGTCAAAACTTTTGAGTAGAAGTAGTGTCTACAACTTGCCATCTTGTAAACTCTCTAGGCGTCACTATTAACTTCAAAGGTCCTGAAGAAGTCTAGTCAAGTAACCCTCATGATTATTCAGACCTAATATTTGGTTGTCCAACATATGTTCATGTAAATGATGTCAAGTTGGATCCTAAACCCAAGAAATGTATCTTCTTCGGTTATGCCTCCAGAGTCAAAGGATACAAGTTATGACTTCCTGATCATAAATCTCTTAAACTTTTAATTGAGAAAAATATTATTTTTGACGAAGTTACAATTGTACATCCTAGAGAAATGATGCTTGCCTTTAAAATTATAGATTCAAATGGCGGTACTCTAAATCAACTGAGGTTAGATATATTCGATTCACATAAGATGTATTTTTAGCAAGAGCATATTTCAATACCTGACATGTATCCTATGGAGATATCTCTACAAACCTAGAATTACTCTCTTGTTTGTGATCTGTCAAGGAGAAATATTAAGCCACCGTTGAGATATAGATATGTTGTTATGGTTGTTTATATGTTAATCATTATTGAAGAAACTTTGGATCCGAATGAGTCTTCTAAGTTTTCAAATGTTATATCTCGTGATGATGCAAACAAGTGGCAAGTTGCTATAAAAGAAAAAATTGAACCTCTCTATAAAAATCAAACTTGGGAGTTGGTGGAGGCTCCCAAAGAATAGAAAGTCATTGGTTTCAAGTAGATTTTTAATAAAAAATGATGCACTCTAAACTCTAATGATGTTAGATACAAAACACGATTGGTTGCAAAAGGTTATAATTAGGTTAAATGAGTTGATTATAATGATATATTTTCTCATGTCATTATGTATAGTTCTATATGTGTTTTGTTATCTATTGTTACATCATATAATTTAAAGTTAGAATAGATAGATGTTAAAATAATCTTTCTTCATGAGCATCTTAAAGAACATGTATATATGCAGCAACATGAAGGCTTTCTTTTTGAAAAAAAAGAGAAGCATGTTTGTTTGCTGAAGAAATCTCTATATGGCCTCAAACAATCTCCTCGATAGTGATATAAGAGATTTGATTCATTTATGACACAACATAAATTCTCTCGTAGTAAATTTGATAATTATGTTTACTTTAAAAAGTTGTCAAATTATTACTTTCTTTATTTGCTATTTTATGTTGATGATATGTTGATCGCAGTAAAAGATATATCTAAAATCAACAAATTAAAAGCTTTACTCAACAATGAGTTTGAGATGAAAGATTTAGGAGCAGTCAAGAAAATTCTCGGAATGGAGATTCATAGAAGTCGAAATGAATGTAAGTTATAGTCATCCCAAGCTAAGTACATTAGAAAAGTAAAACATTTTAATATGTGGGATGTGAAGCTTATTCATATTTCATTTGATGTTCATTTCAAGCTTTCAAATTTCTTATCACCATAGTTTCTAATAGATGGAAATTTTATGTCACATGTTTCATACTGTAGTGTTGTAGGTAGCATGATGTATGTTATGATATACACTCATCTTGATATGTCACATGCAATTTAATGTAGTTAGTCATTATATGGTTAATCCAAGTAAAATAGATTGACATGCTATTAACTAGATTTTCAAGTACTTGAGGGGTAGTAATGATATATATTTACAGTTTTAGAGAACTAGTGATACCTTGATTGGAATTACTGATTCAAATTTTGTGAGAGATCTTGATAAATAGAGGTCACTATTTGATTCTATATTTTCAGTTAGTAGATGTGTTGTTAGTTGGAAAGCTTCTTTATAGCTCTGTCCATAATAGAGGCAGAATTTATGGCACTTATAGAGACATTAAAGGAAGCTATAAAGTTAAGAGGTTTATTTTCTAAATTATGTTTATGTTAAGTTTTAATTGTTGTCCATTGTGATAATTTAAGTATTATTCATTTGACCAAAGATCAAATGTATCACAAAAGGACAAATAATATTTGCATCAAGTATCATTTTATTTGTTATATAATTTTTTCAAGTAAAATTAGTGTGTAGAAGATTGGTACTGAAGACAATCAAGCTGATATACTAACAAAACCTCTTCTTATTTCAAAGTTCTAAGATTGCTTGAATTTGATTGGAGTTCACAACACTTAGATCTAACCTCTCCTTTTTGAGAGAATGTATGCAACTAAATTCTTTTCTATTGTAGTCATGAGAAGCTGATAAAGTTTTTAGTATAAAGTTTTGAAGATCACCATGATGTTCAAGTCAAGGTAGAGATTTGTAAGGATGACTTGGTCATCCTTTTTTAGCGAGGCCTATATGGGCCACATCCCTCTTTACTGGACTTTCACTTATGATTATTTTCTATCTAGAAAATAGTCTAATTCTTTTTTAGTAATCTATAGTTAAAGGGAGCTCAAGGAGAGAGAAACATGAGAGGAAATAGACAAATCTAAGGTATGAGAAACCCAATCCTCTCTAGTAGTTGCAACAAGAGTTATGACATCATCTCCCTTCTCTTTTCTCTCTCTCTCTTTTACTAGTTGCTGATATTACTATTTCATTAACTCTATTTTTATTATATTTTATTCCTCAAACTTTGTCATTTCTCTTCTCTGTTGGTTTAGTGGTCGTGAGGTGTGTTTATTTTCCTTAGATCACAATAATCAAAGTTCTACTTTATTATAAATCATTCAATATTTTCATTATCATTTATATCTTAGAAGACTTGATGTACTTGTATTTTCAAGTTTCCGCTATGCTGACAGGTCAGTCCAGGCCCATTAAGATCTTGTTCCAAACAATAGTTCCACTTCGTCGGTTTCCATGGTGCAATTGGTCGGATGAGATGAATGAGGAATAGTTGTCAAATAATCCTTCCAATTTCTCACAGACCCAAGGGGAAGCCTTTGACACAAACTGTTATTGGGCACTAGAGTACAGTATTTGTATGGCGATAACAAAACGCAAGGAAGCCCTAGCTGAAGCAGGTGGGCTCTGATTCTTGTTCCTATGTAAGTCTTTATAGGTGGCCAGGTTGGTCACAGGGTGGGGGGTTTGGGTTGCAGCTGCTCGGACGGCCTGAACTCCAGGGTCTGGAAGCTGGTCGCCCGGCCCAATAACTGGCATTTAATAAGGCCCACATAAAGGGGTTTGCAAATCGGCTTTTATCTACGAGCCCAGTTTCCTAGCATTCTTCGGATATTTCGGGAAAAATATCCCAGACAAGATCAAGAAATAAACAAAAAGTGAGCGACAGAAGCATATAACCTCCGGAAGAACGTGTGAGGGTCATGAGCTCCAAGACGTCGAGACGAGACTCTCGAGACTCATAAATGATCATGCCAATATCATTACTCTCATACTCTTTTGAGCCCATAATCCCCACCGAGACCTTCGACCTCACGAGAGCCGCCATCACATGGACTCTCTTCTTACTTTGGCAGTGGCGGCGCTGCAGAGCCCAGCCAACTTCGCCGCTGCGATGTCCACGTCGTGGTCTCCTCTCCGGCGGAGTACCTCGCCCATCTCCCTGGCCCTCCTCCTCATCCCCTCGCTCCCCTCCCCCGACATGGCGCTCCTAAGAGCCCATGCCAACTCCTCGCCCCCGTACCTCCTCTCCTTGTCGCCGGCGGCCCGTCTCACCTCCACGCCCACATCGAGCTCCGCGACGACCTTGGCGTTCAGCGGCTGGTCGAGATGCAGCGGGGCGGCCACCATGGGCACTCCCCATCGCAGAGCCTCCATCACCGAGCTCCAACCGCAGTGTGTGACGAAGGCGCCGACAGCGGCGTGGGCCAGGATTCCCCCCTGCGGCGCCCAGTCCTCGACAACTATTCCCCTCCCCGAGTTCCTCCTCAGGAAGCCCTCCGGGAGGGCGTTCTCGAGTGGAACCTCCTCCCCTTTGGGGAATCTGAGGACCCATATGAAGCCGACTCCACTGAGCTCCAGCCCGCGGGCGACCTCTGTGGTTTCCTTCTTGGACATGAAGTACTCGCTGCCGAAGGAGACGAATGCGACGGAGGACTGTGGCTTGTGGTCGAGCCATGCAGAGAAGCGGTGCCACCGGTGGTCGTCTCCGAGGTGACGGCGGGGTTCCCAGACGAGGGGTCCTACGAGGACGTGTTCCTTTCCCTTGAGCAGGCTGACGTAGTCTATGTACTTCCCTTCGATTTCTCGGGAGGTCTTGATAAGGACGAAACTGGACGACAGCTCGCTACACTGCGCCGCTCTGTCTCCATTGGAGGGGCGATCTGGGACGGGGTGGAGCATGCGGCGGATACGGGCGACGTCGTCATCGTCGTCGAAACGCATCGATGGGAAGGGAAACTCCTCTGCGGGCTTCGCTGCGAGGTGGCTCAGAAAGGCGTACGCGGCGCCCCCCACCGAGAGAAAGAGCACGGCAGGGATGTTACGTGTGGCGGCGGCGGCGGGGGCCCAGGGCTGTAGGAAGTCGTAGACGACGACGCTGGGGCGGAGGGAGTCGAGAAGGCCGCAAAAGGCCGGCTCAGCGAGGTCGAAGGCGGTTTTGAGGTTGGGCATCAGGTGAGGAGGGAGGTTCCTGGTGGTGTGAAGGTGAGGTGGGAGCTCCGGGAGGTCGTCGGGAAGGTGAAGCTCCACGAGCTCCACGCCGGCGCCGTCCTCGAGCCGGACAGAGGCAAGGTTTGCGGGGGTGGAGCAGAGGTGGACGCGGAAGCCTCTGGAAGAGAGACGCCTCCCGAGCTCTAGAAAAGGGGAGATATGGCCGTGCGCCAGCCAGGGCAGCATCAGAACGCTGAGACCAGAGGCCGACTCTCCCCTGCACTCCATGGAGATTGTTCGAGAAGAAGGAACGACTGCCCCACTCAGAGACTAGGACCCGGGACCGTCGGGTTTATATGTAGTCCGACTCTGGGTCAGGGAGGGATGGGCGTGGGAGGGTTTGCAAGGGGGGGCGAATAAATGACGATGACGGAGGTGCTCACGTCAGAGAGAGGCGAGGCCCTGGAGGCTTCGAGAGAGGGAAGTCCTACGATAGACGCCTGGCGACCGCCCCGATCCCAATGACCAAGGGAGATCTGCAACCACGAGCGTCGAGCTGGCAGTTTTTTTTACCTTTGTTGTGGCCGGCCCTGGGAGCAGTCGTCACTCGCCGCAAGGAGTTGGCTCCATACCCCGGCGAGTCCTTTGCGACAATGGCTCCAATACGAAATATTTTGCAGCGGTGGTCAAATTACCGAAAAGTTACCACAGACAAATGGGCTGTGTGTGTGTGTGTGTGTGTGTGTGAGAGAGAGAGAGAGAGAGAGAGAGAGAGAGAGAGAGAGAGAGAGAGAGAGAGAGAGAGAGAGAGAGAGAGAGATACGGAGTCACTTTCATCCTCTCCCCACGTCTCTCTTTTAATACAGGAGAATATAGCAAAAAGAGAGTCAAAACAACATTCTATTATCTTGTTGATAAGTCAAAACAACATTCTTCACCCTTGAGTTGGGCAAAGAGTGATCTATGTTGAAACTCTACCAAAAAATACAAAACAAAAACTCTTTCTAAACATAAATGCTCCTTTCCACCTCATCACAAATGAACACTAGCAAAGTCCAAATAATGTTGAAACTAAGTTGTTGGTAATGACTCGTTCATATGAACGATTTTATCACAAGTGAGAACCTTCACAAGTTAGATATTCTTGCCTAAAATAAAATGTACTATGTAACCTTTTTAGGATCTTGTTTAATGATAATTTGTCGATATCTTTTGGTTCTTCAATTGCTGCTACCTTTCGACTCCAACTTAAAGTGTGAGATCACAAAATCTTTCAATTTAATTCATTGATAATATTGATGAAGTGAGTGTTAAAATCTAAGACCTGTTAGTTCCTTCTTCTTCTCTCCTTGAGAGAGGACCGTAGGAGGTGTGGACAGTGAGGGAGAGAGGGAGAGAGGAGAATAAGAAAGTAAAGACAAAAAGAAAAAGCTTCTAACATCTCCTTTCAAGTTGGTAAATGGATGGCATCCAATCCCAACATGAATATGAGATGTTGAGAAATTGTCGCACTCAATCCTTTGATTATCACATCTACCAACTGCTCATGAGATACTATATAAGGTGTATAGATAATACCCTTATCAAGTTTTTCTTTGATGAAATGTCAGTCTATTTCCACATATTTCATATGATCATGTTGGACTGAATTATGTGCAGTGTTGATGGCTGATTTATTATCACAATGTAATTTGATAGGTTGAATCCACTTAACTCTCAAGTCTTCTAAGATTTCTTTCACCCATAAAACTTCACAAATCTCATGCACCATTATTTTTTAAACTCTGATTCAATACTTGATCTCGCTACCACTTATTGTTTTTTGCTATGCTAGTTAATCAAGTTTCCATAAAAAAAAGCACAATATTCAGATGATAGCATCAGTCAACAATGCATCTGTATAAGCTTAAACATCAAGTTTATTATTCTTCTTAAATACAATACCTCTACATATTATTCTTTTAAAATATTACAATACTCTATCAATTACAAATAAATAGATCTCTTTCAGACAGTACATAAATTGACTAAGAGTACTAATGGTATAAGAAATATTAGGGCGTGTATGAGATAGATAAATTAATTTACCTACAAGTCTTTGATATGTATGCACATCTATTGATTTAGTTTCCTTTATATTATTAAGTTTATGTTTTAGATCTATGGGACTGTTCATTGGTTTACATTCTAATGTTTCTGTTTCTCTAAGAAGATTCAAAATATATTTATGTTGTGAAATAAATATACTTTGTTTTGAATAGGGTACTTTAATTCCTAAAAATTATATCTCCTATTACAATTATACTATCCACATAAACTAAAAGTGTTGTCATCCCCCACTAAATATGAGTGTTTAATAAATAATATGTAATCACCATTACTATATTTGTGTCCTAAATCACACATCACCTTGGTAAACTTCTTGAACCATACTCTAGGTGATTGTTTTAAACCACATAGTGACCTTTTTAATTTAAAAATAATTATTTTGTCTTTTCCTTTATCATATCCTAATGGTACTTTCATGTAAATTTCTTCTTCCAATTCTCTATGAAAGAAAGCATTTCTTATATCAAATTATTATATTTTCCAATTGTACTAGTCTGATAATGAAAATAGAATCTTAATAATATTCATTTTTACAACAAGGGCAAAAGTTTTAAAATAATCAATCTCATATGTTTGAGTAAATTCTTTTGCAACTAGTGTAGGTTTCTACCTATCAATCATATCATTTGATTTATATTTAATAGTGTATATCCATTTGTAGCCAATTAGTTTTCTTCCGTGAGGTAACTTTACCAATTCCTATGTCTGATTGTTTTTAATGCACACATTTCTTCATCCATGGCATGTTTCCATTTAACATTTTGTAATACTTTAGAGACATTTGATAGAATTTCAACAACATCAATAGAGGTAAGAAATGGTTTAGAAGATAGTGATAAATATTTGTATAATAAGAAATTTGAAATTGGATAATGAGGATTCTTGAAACACTTTGTTTTCTCTTTTCAAAGAGCAATTGGTAAGTCATCATTGTTTCATTCTTGAATAGGTGAGTGAGATAAATGTATTAATTCTTTTTCTCCCTCATCTAAATTTTGAGTGACTTCTATCGATTCATTAGGTTGAACTAGTTCCTCACTATAGGTTAGATTTAGAATAGGAGTAATTAGGGTTCCTCATCCTATCGACCTTGTGAGTGACACAAAAATGGCATAGGGAAATGAATTATAGTAGAATAACTTTCATACCTATCTCAGATCCCCTAACCATTTTTTGACTTTTTAATTCATCAAAGTTGACCAAGAGATTATGATAGAGAAGAGAGAGGTATAATTAGGTAGGGAGTAAGAGTAAATTGGTTTTATCTTTATCTCGATAATCAAACCCCTTTATATGTTTTGTACCTTATTATCCTTCCCTTGGTTATTGAAAAATCATCAAGGTGAGATTCATCTAATCTCTCTCTTGCTTGCCAAAGTTAACTCTCTTCTATCTTTTTCATCTAATTCTTCCTCAATCTCAAGTAATAGATCTTTTCATTATAATCATCCTTGATTTGATAATTTTATGTATATCTTAGTTATCTTGTTGAAAATTCAATATATAAATTATAAATTTTTATCAACCTTAATAGTAACTATTTAAGGGTATCAACAATGTATCCATAAATTTTTTATTAGATTAATTCATATGTTTGATCATGAAAGACAACAAATTTTAGGATGCCAAAGGAGACAACCTTGATGAGCAATCCAATTGTGCTAAATAAATAAAGCTATAAAAAGTTGATGTTATCTATGCAAGATATGAAAAATATTGTATTTGGGGTTACATTATAGAGAATGGTGTAGAGATAAGCCATCATCCATCTTTTGTACAAGGGAAAACTCAAAGGTTTGACTATAAAAATAATCTCTAGTGCACATATTGTAGCCAATCTCATCATACAAACTCTATGATATATGTTAAAAACTCTATGATAAAAAAAATATAATTTTAGCTTTGAGGATTGTGCAAGTAAAGTGCATCAAACGACCAATCCATCTACGAATAAAATATTTAATAACCTCAATCAATCAATTAGTTATAGGAATATCAATCTAGTTTTATTAGTTGAAATAAAAAAAAAATGTTTAATTAGAAAAGCTAAAGTTGATGGTAGCACATCAATCACAATTAGTTGATGTTTACTTGATATTGGGTAACAGACTTAGGACAACAGGTCATTGAAAAATTATTTCTATTATTTTGTTACATACAACTTTTCTTCTCACAATTACTAGTGTTAGTGACATCATTTTTAAAACTTTTGGATTATTCACTAAACTTCATGTTCTTCAACTCTTTACCAACTTCATTTCCATTAAGAAACTAATCAATAATTCCACTTTTGTGCCTTTTTGATAAAAATATATGTATGATATTTGATAAAGTTCTTTCAGTAAAAATATGTGTGATAGTAACAATCTAAACATTCTTTTAATTAAAAAGTATCATACATGAGTCTTCCTATGTCTATACACCTCAGTAAAATAGACTAATTAAAAAGAAAAAAATTACATCTCTTAAAGATTGCATGATCCCTTTTGTTTCATAAACATGTGTCATTTTTTATTAGGTGAAGTCATCATAATTGTGAGATATCTTAACAAATGCCTTCCTACTAGAATATTAAATTTTCAGTCCTTTGGTCATGTTAACCTCATTTTTTTCTTAATAATTAAATTAAAATTATATTAGGGCCACATATATTTAGTTAAGTTTCTTTGTGCATAAACATGATCAAACTAAATGCAAATTAGATCCATAAGCTCTTAAGTTCATTGTTTCTGGATATTCTACCACTCAAAAAGTTTATCATTGGTATTATTTTTATACTTGAAAGTCATTTACAATGATGATTATTATATTTTATAAATCTAAATCATATTTTCAGAAATCCTCTTCTGACATACTATTGTCATATCACTATATAATTTGTTTTGTTGATTCTCTTTTGTAAAATAGCATGTTCATATCAATTTCACTATCTAAGTAAAATCTTTATTTCTTTGATCTACTTCCTAAACTTCTCAAATTTAGTGTGTGTATATGCCAAGAAAGAGCACTTCTAACACCAACTTCAGATCTTGAGCTTACCTTTGATGATATCTATAACACCTCATTTGGTCCTTTGTCTCATACCAATAATGATTTGTATAATTCATTTATTATTGACCTAGAAAAATCTCAACAAGTATGCACAAATTTCCCTTTATATCTATTAGTCTATTTTCTTTTTAATTTCAGCTACAATTCTAGTTAATACCTCTAAAACTATATTGAAGAAGTAGTGTAAATAATTCATTAATAAAGAAGTGAGTATTCTCCAAAGAAATCAAACTTGAGATCTCATAGTTCTACCTAAGAATAAAAAAAGATTACTTGTAAGTGGGTATGTTAGGTAAAATATATAGATGATGACTCAATTGATTGATATAACACTATACTAATTGTTAAAGGCTATGCACAAATATATATAGTTGATTATCAAGAAATATTTTTTCTTGTGACAAAAGTGAACACAATAAAAAAAAATTGTGTAAAAAATATTAATGAAAAAGTTGGTACATATGATAATAGGACGTAAAGAGTACTTTTCTTCATGAGGATCTTAATGAGAAAGTTTACATGGTTTTTTCATCTAACTATGAAGGACAATTATCACCTAATATTATGTGGAGTCTCAAGAAGTTCTTATAGTGACTTAAACAATATCTTTACACATGGCTTGGGACATCTACTTAAGTCATCATAAAATTAGATTATTATCATCATAAGATCAATCAGACTATTTTTTAAACATTCTTTATTAGGGAGAGTTAATGCTCTATTGGTGTATGTTGATGATATAATCATTACAAGTGCAACTAAATGAGAAAATATTATCTAATATCTAGCTAAAAAGTTTGACATCGATACTCTAAGTCACATTAAGTACTTTCTCAAAATTGAAGGTTCTCACTTTTTCTAAGTGCCTTATCTAATGTGGTAGATGTTTTGAAGGATACTAGAAAATTTATGTAAACCAATGAGTATTCATATTAATCTGATACAACCCCCATTCACACCTATCTTTGAAGGAGGAGATTGGCCTATCAAGTGACACAACCTCAACCTAGTAGCCCATTAAACCTGACAGTCAAAGATGATGAGAATGGGCCCAACTTAGAGCCATAGAAAGAGAACCTTTAAAAGATTTAGGTTAAGTATTGAGGATAAGAGTAGGGAGAGAAATTTTTTTGAGATATTGATTGTTTAAGGAGTGGGAGAGGCTGAAGCCTTTCATTTATCACAAGAGATGTATGGTTCCTGCATAAACCTACCTCTTAGTTTGTATCTTCAAAACATTATTACTCTATTTAAATTATCATTTCTTTTAGCACATTTATGGCAAGAGACTTAATGCAATTCCATGATCACTGCCCCTTCTTTTACTAATAGTTTGGTCAATGATTTAGGGACACCCCTAACATACATAAAAGAGGGTATTCCTTAAGGGTGGTTATGGCATCCTTCAAGGAGAACTTTATAGTCAATTTCACCTAATGAATATGGGTCATCTCATGGGTCCAAAATTAATTCATCTCAAATATAACCTCTAAGCTCCTTAGTGTTAGGGGTGGGAGTTATTGCATGATGGCTAGACCTTAGACCATTGTGACCTCTCACTATAAACTATTCCCTAATAATATACCATATTTAGGAGTCTAATTAAGTGTAATCTCATCTCCATTGCTAGATTTTCACACGTAAAATTGTTGGTATCCCCACAATTGATTAATATTGTGATTGGCCTTCCTTTGATATCTCCTTCTATCCTCATAGTCTTCAGATTGTTGAGGTCCACCACTGAGTTCAGTGATATGTTAGTCATATGTGGGAACTCTTCTTCTAGTTGACATGAAGTTGGTACTCTTTCCTTGTCTTCTAGAGCATCTGTCCCACCTTCATTGCATTCTCCAACATTTTAGTCCTCTTCGTGCACCATTATGATCTATAGTTACTTTTTGCAATGGTGACCATGACCATATCTTTCACCCCAATGGTGACAAATACCTTTCTCTCTCCTTTCTTGCAATTATGTCATTGTGAGTGTAGTCTTCATATGCTTTCCAACCTCTCTCCCCCCAAAGTGCACTCTAAGCTCTTGACTTCAAAGTTGTAGCTTGAACTAAATGATTTACCCATCTCTCATTGGTTTGAGCATATGGTAATTTGTACTTTTGTCCCTTTCCTTGTTTCTTGACCCTAAAGATGACGAATGGTAATATTTTTGTGAGTAGTACAGTTGGGGGATTTAAACTAACCATAGGCATTAGAGTTTGACTTTGGCCATCAATAAAACGTTTATAACCTCTCGCAATCATTTTAATGTGTTCATATTTATCTCTACCTATGCCTCATTTTTCAACCCTTTGATATAGTTATTTTCCATGACTTCTTTTGAAATCTTTGTCCAGAATATCAATAATGTCTCAAAATCTCTTCTATATTTGGCTACAAAACCCTTTTGGCTGATGTTAGGAATTGCTTGACAACATTGTCCTCAAAAGATATGACAAAACATTTGAGGAGTTATAGTTAGAGATTTCGTCATCCCTTAAAAATATACCTTTTGTTATTCCAATAATATCATAATAGGGCATTCCCTTTTCGGGACATGATGGCTTTGTTCAACTTGTCTTCTGTTAGGATGTTTTTTACCTTGAAATAGAGCTCCATGTGCAATAACGACGATTCTATAACCCTTGGATAAATAGCTTCCTCTAGATTCTATAACCCTTGCTTGGGGAAGGGCGTGAGCTGACTGCTAATAGCCCTAATAAGAAGAGATGAGGCCCTAATGTGATCATATTGTGGTTGAGGAGAGCTTTCCATCTGGTCAATCCTCTATAAGAGACGATCTAGCATGTTGGTGACGTTGTCCATTACTTGCTTGGTTTCAACAAAACATGTTGTCCTTCTAGGGCTCTGAGTTGTTCCCATGCCCATCCTCTTCATTTGTTGGGCTTAATGGGGTACTAATTTAGGGCTGGGTCACTAGACAGGGCAATCTCCTCATTTGGAGATGTGTGAAGGGGGTATCATGATTGCAATTACGAATTATAGTTGACTAAAGGGGAGAAATCTGTAGACTAAGAGATGTATCAATGTCTCATTGGTAGGTTGAGCTATTTGACACAGATCAAACCTAACATTTCCTATGTTGTTGGTCTTTCAAATTCATTTATTCATCAATGTAATGAGTTTCATTTAAAGGCAACATATAGGGTTTTATATTATTTTAAGGGTTGTCCTAGAAAAAAAAAAGGTATAATTTTAGATGATCTGTCAAACTCTGAACTTTTCACCTTCTTAGGAGGAAATTTGATTTCTAGGCAAAGTAAGAAAAAAAATGTGGTTGCTTAATCAAGTGCTGAAGCTGAATTTAAAGCACTTTTTCAGGGAGTATGTGAGGTATTATAGATGAAGATTTTATTAAATGTTTAAAATTTTCACTTATGAATCTTAAAAAACATTTCTATGATAAAAGATCAGCAATCAATATTGTGCACAATCTAGTATACCATGATTACACAAAGTATGTGGAAATCGATCATCACTTCATCAAAAAATAGTTGGAGACCATTTTTCAGGGATAGGAACCTCATGAGCTTTAATGAGGCCGGAGGAAGATTCATTGAACGAGGAATAGGGAGAACCCTCAGCCCAGCCATCACTCCATCTCTCTCTCTCTCTCTATATATATATATATTATCATATCGTAGATTGTGCAATTTCTACTGTACAGGAGCTCGTCATCCGAGCTGCAGCTCTAAACAGTGGCCTGGTGGGTTGGAATGGGCCTGGCGAAACCTGACTCACAGTAGCTAGATCCAGGCAATGGCCAGCCCATCTGGGACCCCTGTGGGTAGGTCCCATTTGGCAACGACATCGAACAATTTCTTTTTAAAGATTCAGTTTTTGAAACAGCGATGGTGGCTTTCATGGCCGAAATGTCCACCGCTCACAACGAAACCCCAACAGCCTCCGGCTATCAAGGCTCTCCACACCCACACATCTCACTTATATAAAAATATAAGCTGTGTATGATCATAATGGAAGAGAAGCTATGTGCTGCAGACGAGAAGTTCGCCTTCTGAGCTGGGGTTGGCTGCCTTCTTGTTCCTGTGAACTCGCTTCCGATGCCCACGTCCTTTTCTGTGCTGCTCCCATTCATGAGCCCCGCGGAGAACCCTGTTCCCGCAGGCCTGACCGAACCAGACCGACAGAGACGTTGGAAAACAATGTACTGATTCTGCATTTTCGGGGAGGAGGAGGAGAAGCACGCTGACCTCACAGATGTAACGAGTCCACAAGTCCCTGGACGCTAGAATTTCGGCTGTAGAACCCCCTTGAGAGACCGATTCCTGGGACAAGAAAGCTTTGACGAGGGAAACGGATGGCTCTACCACTGCTCTCCGCCATGAATCATCAGAGATACCTGCTGAATTTGAGCATCGTCTCTGTAAACCAAAGAGGCACTGGCGTCCAAAGAGACACAGGTAGATGATAAGGAAGCAAGAAGATCATTGCGAGGCCATACACTGGAAGGCTTCAGTTGCATCTATGTACTGGAGTCTCCATCCGAAATCCGTCCTCAGTCGATTGAGCCGCCGCCTCTGTGAATTGCATACGATACTGGCGGTCAAAAAGAAAGAAGGAGAGTATTGGAAAAATACTGGTGTAGAATGCTTGTAGTATCAGCGGTGGAACTCACCTGGCGGCGGACAAGCCTGCGTGTGTTAGCTTTCAGCTCGTCGATGGCTTCGTTCAGAAGAATCTTAAGATTACTATTATCTGAATCCTGAATACGCCGTAGCAAATCGATTTTAGATAGCTGATAGTTGCCCTCATGGCCAGACATCATCGAGCTGGACTTTATAGAACCACCACTGACTTCATCATTGATAGATTGGTGGTCTTTCTCTGAACTAGACAACAGACTACTGAAGAACTTTTCAAACTCCCGAACCCCAATAGCCTGCTTCAAACCTCGGGTGTAGTCTGCATCTGGATCATAAATATAGTAGACTTCGTCCAGCAGCCCGGCCTCCATCATGCTGTCCACTCTTTCTCCAACATATCTATCGAGTTCAGGGAGGGAGGCATCCACCCATATGAAGCAGCAGTCGTATCTGAAGTTATCTGTACGACCCCATCTCTGTCCTGTCGCAAGAAGCATGCATTAGGAATCTATAGATTAAAAATCATCAATAGCATAATCGAAGCTCCAAAAAAATGATAATAATCATGGAAGAAGTTGGAGAGTTTTTGAAGCTCGTATTTAGTACTGCACAAACCTCCAAAGATTTTCCTTGGAACAGGCTACTTGGGAGTAACCCTGAACTCTCATACAAACACAGATAGCGATTGACCTAGAACATTAGAACTAAAATTATCAGTCATATAAAATCAGATAAATAAAGAGTGGATTGCTAAATAAACCCAAGCACCCATGAAGAAAATAATCCCAGGTCCTCAGATGAATATAGAAACAAGATGCTTTGATCTTATTTATTTATTTATTATTTCTGTCTCCTTTGTGCTAAAGGATGCAGTCGTAAGAGTCTATAGAACAGATCCTGTTCAAGTAAGGTCGTATTTGGGTTCGTCTATTTCCACCTTAATATCTCATTGTTTGTGATGTGTAACCGCACTGTATACTGGTGGGCAAAGATCTCCCCGTTTTTCTTGTGCATGAACCTCACGCCGCTGCTATGAAGATGATGGTGTCAATGTCCTTGGTCGAACATGGATTCATTGTCTTTACTAGTATTCGTACTTTTGGCATAATTCCATTCAAAAGATAAAACACCAAACAAGCAAATTTAGTATTATACCAAAAAAGTTAAAGTCACACAGATATCTTACCTTTCTATGATCGTTTGGATGGATCCTGTTTGCTGCAATCGGATCAATTTCCTTAAGACGATCAAAGTCCGTGCCCAGATTGTTGTCGCCACGATCTGAGTTAATTTTCTGAGGAAAATCCCCTACTGTATGTACATCGATCCAGGATCCATAAATGATGGATGAATGATAAACGATAAACCTTCTAAGAGAAAAGTTACAATAACTAGCAATAAAAAAGCATATAACCTTCAGAACCATCCAAGGAGCAGTCACCCATTTCTCCCACCAAATCATCAACAAGGAACGGGCTGAAAAGAGCCTACGAGATTTAAAAAGAAAACAATTTGATAAGAGAAGATGCCCGGCGAGTAGAATCGAGAGAGAAGAGAAGCTTCAAAACACCGTCAGACATCGGTCCCATTAGCGGACAGCAGATTGTCGCGTGATAGAAGAAGATATGGAGGTAACAGACGCATCACGAATATGTACCATCGGGGCCATGAACCAGCAGCGACTTCTAAAATGATACCTGAATGTAGTAGTTTGTACCACCAACAACTACCGGCAGGCATCCGCGTGACGATACATCATCTATGTTCTAGAAAGAGAAAAGTACACCCAAAAGAAAGGTTTCACTTAGATTACTCAACATGGAGAAGAATGAACGACGAGGGGTATGCAGTGGTTCTCACACGGATGGCAAGGGTACGGAAATCCCTGGACGTGAAGTCCACACCTGTGTCCGCGGTTCCCAGGAGATGGTGCGGCACGCCTGTATTCGTTTAGAAGAACGACCCGACGTTTTCAGGAACCGCGGAAGCAACAACGAGAGAGAGAGAGAGGCAGCGCACCGCAGCGGTCCTGGAGAGGAACCTTGTTGGTGAGGACGTCCAGGCCTCGATAGATCTGCATGGCGTCTGCGTTGATCACCTCCACCGGAAAGTAGGCAGCCAGGTCGATGGCCAGGCGCGACTTGCCCGAGCCTGTCGCCCCCATCACGACCACCACCTTCGTCTTCTCCTCATTCCTCTCCCCACTCTCCATCTCCTCTCCCGCAGCCTCAAACACCGCCGCCGATTCTCCACCTCAACTTCCGCCGCCGCCGTCTCTCCGGGGCCGTCCTCCGTTAGAGAACAGAAGGGCAAATTGGGGGCGCCACGCACTCTCTGAACTTGTGCAAGTTCTCCAGAGCGGCCCATGGCCCGATAAAAAATAGAAAACGGCCCATTAATCCGAAAACGCCAGAGCCCGTCGGAGGCGAGGCCCAAGTCGCCCATAGTGGCCGTGCGTCAACCCGCCGCGGCCACCCCGATCTTCCTCTTCCAGCTGGACAAGGCGAGAAGAGCGGGGAGTCGCACGCGCCCACGTGAGGGCCACGCGGGAGTTGCACGCGGGGGGGCGTCGAAAACAAATATGAATGTCCTCAGAATCATCATCATCATCAGATTTGTATAATCATCATTAGAATATATACAGAGTCACCGGAGGAGGAGGGGCGGGAGTTGACCGGACGAGAGAGAGGAGGCCTCCTCCTCACGGCAGAGAATAAAGAACCCGGAGGAGGGCAAGATCGCCCAGGAAATGCACTGCACACGAGAATCCGATGATGGAAGCAAGAGAGGAAAAAAGAGGGAAAACCCGGAATCAGAAGAACGCGCCGCCCGGCATCACCGCCTCGGCCGATCTAAGCTCCTGCTGTAGCCGCCGCTGCTTGCGCCGCCGGCGTAGAAGGAGCTCGGAAGTCCGCCGTACGGGGCGGTCCCCGCGGCGATGTCCGCCATGGCGAAGGAGGAGGAATACCTGGTGGTGAATGCGGGCGGCGCGGTCGTCCTGCCGGCGAGGTTGCGACTGACAGAGGCGGTCACAGAGGTTCTGCTCTCCGTGTGGGTGCTTACGGTGGTGAACCCCTCCCCAAATCTGCCATACGATTGGAGGGAGGAGGACATGCCGAGTCCGTGCGACTCGGCTTTCAGAGAGACGTCGGAGGGCAGTCTGAAGAGAGCGGCGGGGCCAAAGGGGATGCCCACGGAGTCGCCGCCGGGTCCGAGGGCCAGCGGCGCAGGCTCTGCCCACGGATGTGGCGGAGGTGGTGGTGCCTCGAATCTGCTCAGCTCCTGCCTCAGCATTAACCTCGCGCGCTGGAGGGCTCCCAACACGTTCCCCGCTCCATCTCTCGGCGGATCAGTAAGGCCTCTGTGGATGGGATTCTGGACCAGCGACCATTCTTCTCCCTTGAAAGCTCCGCCGCGCGACGGCGAGGAGGAAGGGCTGCTCTCGTTTCCGGCGGGTTCCTCCAGGAAAAGCGGTGATTTTGAGTCCTCATCCTTGCCGCCGATGGGCTCGGGGCATCTTTGCTCACGTGTTTCTGCAGGACCGGTCGGTGAGTCATGGAATTCAGATTCCTCAAGGCCAGCTTTGGATCCACCAGCTGCCGTCCCATTGCCTCGCTGATCCGTCATCATCCTCCCCGCATGAACAGGCGGCGGGCGTGCATCGCTGGCGCTTATATCGACAGCTGCCGCAGCAGCTGGAACCATGTCGGTGGGAGTTTCTCCACTAGGTGATGTCGGGTCTTCCTGCAGGATAGAGTCTCCTTCGTTGCTCCCCTCTGTTAACTGGTTGCGGGAAAGGGTATCCTCTTCAGCAGGTGCATCCGTCTCATAGGCAGGACCAATCGGCTCCCCTTGTGGCTCGCAAATTGTCTCTTTGTAGGAAAAGGGCTCATCAGCGTCTTCAACAGGTGCATCCCTATCTTGTGTAGCATCGATCATCTTCTCCTTTTGCTCACACGGATTCTGAAAGATTTTGAAGCAAATATCCCATATGATAGAAGATTATAAAAAATGGTGACAACATTTGAATATTGATGAAAAGTCTGCTAAAGCTTATTGATTTCATAGCAACCTCACCCCCCCCCCCTCTCTCTCTCTCTCTCTGTCTCTCTCTCTCTCCCCCTCCCCACAAAGACCCCAAATTAATAATAATAGCAGTGAAAATAATAATAATAATTAGCTGAAACTGAATGAACTCGGAACAAGAGACCAAAAAAAAAAAAAAAACAAAGCTTACGATGATAAGGAAGTCCTAAAGCACAAAAGGAAACGACGGCAATGAAAAGATGAACTGAAAGAAGAAGTTGAGACAAGGAAGTGTAGCAGAGGGAACGGAGAGGGTGTTCATTTCGTACGAGAGATTCGCCCATATAATCTACTTATCTTAGAGCGTACGAGAGCACCATGTTCATTTCGTCATAAGACATGAAAAGCCAAACACAGGAAAAGGGTGTACATACAAACGTAGAGCTTCTATTCACCTCGTACTTCTGCTCCCATTCCCTCTGTGCATTTTCTTCAGCCATATACTGCACAATGAGCTGGTCCTGCTGCTCGATAGCTGCTTCCATTGCTTCATCTCTCCCAAAACCATTCGCAAGAGGATCAACATCAAGATCTCCTTTCTGATTTTCAGAGGGTCGCAAGCAATTCTCATCAACTCTCTCCTGTACAACGTCATTAATTTCCTTCGACAATTGAACCTCATCATCTGGACAATCGGAGGTGAGCTCTGTCTGAGAGGCCTCGCTCCCTGCGTTTTCTTTTTCTCTCCTAGTAGCAATAACAACAACAACAACAAGTGAAAAGTTTTCAGAAATTCGAACGACCTAATCTTCCATTTAAGATAATGTTCAGAAACAGACCTCATGTCCACACTGGTCTTAATCTTCCTGCAAGATTTCCCCAGATGAAGCTGTGGAGAGGATCCAATCCTAGATATGAAGTTCCGTCTCTGTCTCCGCCTAGCTTGGTCTTCTTTCCTTTTATCCAACGAATCTGAACTATTCGCACGAGATTTCCACGACAGGCCTCCCCCCTGAGAGGGAGAAATGTTAACTTCTGATCCTGACATTCCATCCTCCACTTCACCTCCATCCATTATTGAGGCCATTGAAGCTTCATCGTCCTTTAAATTTTCACCACAGTTTTCGTTGCAACATTTACCCTCATCCGGAGCATTTTCTTGATCAGACCACGAATCCATTACCTCCGAGAAGTCATTGATCCCCTGAGACTCCAAGATGGAAAGAACCTCATTGGCTGCCTTTTCGGCTTGCTTCCTCTGAAAGGTCACAACCCTCAGCTGTTCCTCCAGTTCCAGGACCTAATTAGTCCAAGACGATGTAGAAGTATAAGATTTGATTGAATCTTACAGAAAGGAAACAACGATGGGTAATCGAGGAATGTCGAAGACCAGAAATTTGATGAACTAACCCGTTTAGCCAATTGGTCAGCCCTCTGTCTCGCAGATCTTGAAACGGATCTTTCAGAAAGTAAGCGAGCACGAAGGAACTCTATAGTCATTGCCGTCGAGTCACCCATATTCAACTCCACTCAGAGCACAGAGTGAAACTTATATTCTCCTCGACTCTCCTCCACGAGCAGACCAACCGTCGACCAAGTCAGTCTCTGAAACAATCTCCTAGAACGCATAAGGGCCTGCGCAGTGGTTGTGAGGGGATAAGGAATTCTGCCATATGCGAGAAAGGAGGATATAGCAACGGACATCGTAAGATCCAAAAGAAATCTTGAGGGCAGCGGGATCATGAACTTCATGAATTTCCACTAGAAGAGGCAATAAATTGGCGAGCGATGGAGAAATCCCGCGGCTAATAGCGGATTCCCGGAAGCACGAAACGCGACTATCTTAAACCAAACGTCCAGCTGATCTGCAGAGAAAACTAAGACAATACGGCAAATGTTAATTTCCCCCCACCCTCTCCCTTAAATCCATCCATCCATCCATCCATCCATCCATCCACCCACACGCGCACAGACACACGCACACTTCGCAAGGTCTCAAAATGGCCGATCACGCAGATCGTGAACTCTCGAAACAGGAAACATCCCAAGACCAGAGGGGTGGGTAATGTGAAAAGAGTATCTCGTAGCTACAACCTCGATAAAACCTAATTGCAGGGGGAGGGAGAATCACACTCTCGAGAATGTCACCAGAAACCACATAAACAAATTTCCAAAAATTCTATTGACCTGCCGCTGATGTAAGTGGTCGGGCAAGAGAGATCCAGCGCGACTTTCTCACCTCCGGCGATCTGTCGCCACCGCCTTGAACAAATTATCCCGCCCTCCGCCCAGTTCCATGGGAGCGAACCCACTCACACCCGGCCGCCCCTCCCGAGCGGAAGAAGGGACAAGGACGAAGGATTCGGAGCCTCCTCACTCTCCACAGTATCAGGGCAGCACAGAGAGGAGGGGAGGAGAGGGAACCTGGTGGCGGAGGGACGGATCTCCGTTTTCCTCTCCCCCACCGCCTCCCCGCGCGGCTTCAAAGCTCTCTCTAGCCTGTAAAACACACTGCCGATTGGATTCCCTTCCCTTCTTTTCCAGCATTTGAGTCAGTCCCTCCAACTAAATCACCGTTGTCCCCCTCCAATTATCAAATATTATAGAAATACACCCGGTGAGGTGGTCCGCGCTGTCGAGAGCCGCGACACCTCACCCGCCATCATTCCCCTCGTGACAACCGGCCCAGCCCAGCAGCACGTGGGCTGGGCGGCACATGCGGTGGGCCTAATTTAGTTCGGTGGTCCGCATCAGCCCAACGGGGAGTCCAAGCCCACACCCGTCCCACTGGATCCTGCTATTTATTAATAGGCGGCGACCCTGAGCGCCGTAAATGGGCCGTTGATCTCTCTTATAGTTCGACTTGGCCTAAATGGGCCAACGGGCGCGTTGACTTCTTCTGTAATCAATTGGATTTTGTATTATTCCGAGAAAACGGAAAATTATCGGTCGCCCGATGGGTCGCCTGGTGATCCCAATGGACAGCCGCGAGATGGCGGCGACAGTCAGCGTTCGCAAAGTCGAGCAGCACGTGCGAGTTCGTACGCTGAATGAGACGATTGAGCTTCATAGCGGCGGCGTATGTAAGGGTGGATGTTCAGGCAGACCGCCCGCCCCCACAACACAGAGACGGACGAACGGACGGACGGACGGACGGACAGGCACCCCGCCAGAACAGCCACCACGACGACAGAGAGAGAGAGAGAGAGAGAGCAGAAAGAAAGAGCTGGCGATGGCCCGCCAGAGCTGACTGACGCCGCCGCGGGTCCTCAGGGCGATGGAGAACCGCCAGTCAACGGGACGAAGTCCTCCGCCACCAGCTCGGCCAGCAGCAATGAGGAGACAGCGGCGGCAACCTCGGCCACCTGGTCGGGGAACCTCCTCCACCCGTCGCCCTCCCGTCGCAAGTCCATCTCCACCATCATCTCGATGCCGTTGACCCTCCGAAGCTCTAACTCCGCCGTCTCCTCGGTCAAAGCTGCGAACTTCCGGGCGTCGCCGGGCGGGCCCAGAACGACCCGGACGAGATCTTGGTCGTCGTCGTCGCCTTCTTCCTCAGCCAGGCGCCTGTCGAGCTCTACAGGGTCGAGGTGGGCGAGCCTTTCGAACCTGCGGAGTCTGCAGAGCAGCTCCTGCTTGGCCTCTGACGTCGGCACATAAAATTTGAATTCAAAAGCGTGAAAAAAGAGGCCGATGGGCTTTCCGCTCACTGCTCTGTAAAGTTCGTACGGAGATGGATAGAAAGACAGATAGATGTCTGGGGAAATGGCATACTCTGGACCATGGCGAGGCTGCGGTCGAACGAGTCCACGTGCCCGTCGTCCTCCTCATCCCCTCCTCCTTCCTCCCCCTCTGGCCGATGGCTGTCATCAACGTGGTGGTCCTCATCTTCTTCCTCCTCCTCATCGGAAGGGGGGTCGAGGACGGAGACGGGACTGTACTGCTCCTCCTTCTCCTCGCCGGGTCTTCCCCCGAACAGCTGTCCCTGCGCAGGCACGAGCCCGATTGCTCTCTTTGAGAAAACCAGAACAACCGCGGCGCAGCCGATTATTCTGCGTGCACGCCCCAAATACCGCCATGAAAACAACAGACGGAGGGAAATCTGATTCCAGAAAGCTATCAAACGACGAACCCACCTCCCAAGAACAGCTCTTGTCGCCTTCCCCGAACACAGTCACTGGAAAAATAATCGGCGAGGTTTCAATCAAAATCGATGCCCATAGCTGACAGGGTCCCGACTGGGATCAGATCCAGGAGAAAGTGGGTCTCTCTCTCTCTCGCTGGTCGTCTGCAGGGGAAGAGTAGAAGGGATCTTCGCGTGGCCAAGAACAGCTGTTTAGCGGGGGCGAGGGGACTTCTCCTCCTCGGGGGGGGGGGGGGCACGAACGAGCATTGAATAGGAGTAAATCAAATAGCGAGACAGCTACTCGGCCTCATCTCGGGCATTAGAATATCTCCGTAGAGACCGGCTCTGAGGATTAGCTTGACCGCCTCGGAATTGTCGACTCAATCCGCTGCTCTTATCGGTTAGATTGCAGGGGATCAGAGGAGATTGCGGGGGGAGACAGGGAGGAATAAAGTAGGCCCTAAGCGTGCTCGCGGTCAGGCAAAATGAGAAAATCACGCGGTGGGAACGTGGCTGAGAGGTGGCGTACCTCGGTTCTCCGGTGAGTCGGTGATGCCGGCGGCGTCCGGAGCTCCAGTGAAGGCCCGTCCGGCGAAGGGTCATCCGGTCGCAGCCATTGGATGCTCGCAGGTTGGATGAAAGGAACTCCGGAGACTGACGGAGGAGGCCCTCCGCTGTCACTCTCGCTGGGATGGCACTCGAGAACGCCACAGCCGAACCATTCTGAGCGCTGAGGATATTCGTCTTCCTCCAGCTTCTTCTGTGCTCGGTCGGCGAGAAGAAACCACCCACTGCGCGCATTGTCGGGTTCTCCTCTGTGCGTGCGTGTCGCCGCCGGCGATGCCCTCTGCGCGGCGCCGCCCTTCTCTCCATGGCAGGGTTCCCATTCCAGGTACAGCTCGGCGGTGGCCTTGGAGGGGCGTCTCTCTTCATCCCCTCTTATCTCCCGACGCCTTCGCCTCAGGACCAGCTGCCTCAAGACGGAGGCCAGGAAGCCCAAGCCAAAGGGTGCCGATGGCTCTTCAATCGGCCCCTTCTTCCTCCCCGCCGGTCTCTTCCTCCGACCGCGCTCCTGCTTCTGTTTCGTGAGCTTCTGGATCCTCGTCGTCGCTTCGAGGAGCAGTGCGGCGGCTGTCTGGGAACCAGTCCCCCGGGTTTTCTCCTGGGGGGGACGCGACAGTGGGGATTTCTTACAGTCCAGGGGATCCCTGAGGAGGATGAACGAGGGAGATGCTCGGCCCCTGAGCAGCCAGTGATGGTGGCGCCGCCGTGGCGACGGCGGTACCTTGGTGTAGGCTCCACGTAGTTGGCAACGCCGCTCGTCAATGAATCTCTGCAGGGCGAAGGGCTCCTGCTCTTCCCTGAGAAGCTCGCGCAGGTGCCTCCGCGCCATCGGAAACCCCAACTGAGGCAGGGGAGAGGAATACGGAGGGTGCTGGGAATGCTGAGGTTAGTAAGGCAAGCGTAAGCAGTAGTTCCCCCTCTCGCAGGCTTCAGTGGGAGGCAGAAAGAGTGTCCATAGCTGTAAGTCTAGTGATCACAAGCGACTGAGGAGGCTGGAATGGACTGAAGAAGAAGAAGAAGAAGAAGAAGAAGAAGAGACACAGAGAGGACGGGGGGCGGGGGGGGGCGGGGGGGGGCGGGGGCGTGTGGCTCCTGGAATCCCAACGCTCGGGGGGCTCGGGGCCTTTAAGAAAAGGGCCATGCTGGAAGGACCTCCGAGCAGGAGATGGAGGCGACGCCTAGAGCGAGAGAGAGAGAGAGGTGCGGCGTGTTTGAACAGCCGCCTACTAAAAACACACGTGTACAGCTACAACAAGTTGTCCCCTCACTAACCAACAGAATATCTAGATCCCACCTTATTTTTGTGTCCCTTCTGTTAGCGTCACGTAGACGGCGGCAGTTCCTCCCTCTCCCTCTCTCTCTCTCTCTCCCCCTCTCATTAACGCCGACAGGTCGCGAGTGGTACCACGGCTCGCGAGTAGTACGACGGCGTCGGCGTCGCTCGAAGGGGAGGGGGGGTTCGGGCAGCTGACCATCCAAGACAAAACTTGGCCGTAGAAGCGGGGACGTCGTGTTGCGGAGTGACATGCAAGGGACGAGAAGTGGTGCCACGAAAGAAAATGCCACGTGGAGTGGATGGAGCAGGCTCTCCACATGGATGCGGGGCACCCCTTGCGGCCCGCGACGAGCACGGCAGCGCTGCCGAAGTAAAGAAGTGGGTCAACGTGACGGCGGCTCTCGGGAGATCGGAGGTCATGCTGCAGATTATGAGCCCAAGAGGGTGAAGGACATGACTGTTTATGGGTCCTGTTTGGACGTCCTGATGCCTATGGCCGTACGCGCTTCCCGAGGTCATAAGCTTCTTGACGGTCACTCCTTTTTTATTTTGGGATATATTTTCCCCGAAATATCCGCCGAATGCTAAGGTTACTGGGCTCGCAGATAAAAAGCCCATCTGCGGTGCCCCTCAAGTGGGCCAGATTATGGGCCTTGTCCAACGCCGGTCATTGGGCTGGACTACCCGGTTCCAGATGCTGGATTTCAGGCCGTCCGATTCGATCTGATCCGATTTGATTCGATCCGAACCGATCCAATTCGATCCGATCTCTCCCACGGGTTCAGTGCCGAGCAACTTCACCGGGTTTGACTAGCCGGTACAGGGGAACGAACGAGTAACGCCCGAGAGGGAGAGAGAGGGAAAGGACGACAGGAAGACGAGGGAGCGTGATGAATTGGGTTCGGGCTAATTCATCGGATTTCGGAGGGGATCCTCCCCAACCGCGGAGGTGGTCCCCTAATCTTGCTCCCAAAATTCTCCTTTTTCTTTTTTTTGGACTTTGTTGATCAACACCCGTCGAAAATTGCTAATTGGTAGTGGACACACGGCGGTGAATGTGGGGAAGTCATTGCTGGTCGTGTTCGGTGGCCTTGTCGAGAGAAGATTCCTCAATGATGTGGTCGTTTATGATATAGGTACGATGCTTTCTTCTGTTTGCACCCGTGCTAGGTCTCTCTGGGATGATCTTGGTGCGGAGCGGCGATGATATGGGTGTTTCTGGAATATATTGGCATTTTATTTTTGCCAATCGAGTACCGAACAGTGTAATTGTGTTCATAAACTGCAATGTTGGCAAAAATATTCACAGAACTGCGACTCCAGATGCAAACATGGTAGGATCACTAGCTTAGTGGCTCACTCCAATGCTGACTACAGGATGTTGAGAAATTCCACTGTATTCCAGGACAATTTGTTTCAGTCCTTTAATCGGATGTCCACAGCTCGCGATGATCGAGCTTAATCTCTTTGCCGCGTCCTTTTACCTGCAATTCCTTTTTTTCTATGTCGGATATATTTCGGCTTTAGTTCATAGGAAATCTTAGTGCATGCGACTACTATATCTAATGCCTGGGTTTTAGACATCGTTTTTTGGGAAGATAAAAGGACAATACCATATGTTGGTTGGAGAATAAGTATTTTCGTATTCCGAAGGGGTGGGAACTGGTATTCATGATGATAGGATGGGCACCTTGCTCACAGAAGAGAAAACTCCTGTCAAATACTTGGGTCCGGCTCTTACTGACAGGAAGATTAAACGGGCTAGAGGGTTGAAAATGGAAACTCTGTATTTTTTCTGAGGTAGGCTTGTCTTCTCGTTGGCGTCATCCTCGTTTATGGCTTTTATTTTCATGATATCAATTACGGTAGTCAGAAGCATTGAAGCAGCTTGAGGCTCATCATTTTGGAGAGGGCCTGACGAAGAAGGACAAGGTCTTATTTAAATGCTTTACAGTCTAAGTAGAGTGGGTCTGTTTGGCATATAGACATTTGTCTTTGGAAACTTTCTGAACGGAACTTAGTATGATTATCTACTTTTCGAAAGAAGATAATATGATTACTGTCCCAGGTGAAGTATATAGTCGACTTTGAAAATCTCTATTTTGCTCTTTGGAGAAGCATTCTAAAGGAAGCTGACTTTTTCAAAAGTTCAATGTATTCCAACTATATGCGAGGGTTATCATTCAGCTGAGGTGGAAGATAAAAGGTGGTGGAGATGCAGTAAAATAAATTTTATTATAGAAATATTTTAAAACAAAAATTCAACGAGTAGAGTTAGTTTTTTTGACTGAATTTGATTCATACATAGCCTAAAAAGACGCAAGATCAGTATATAGCTTTTTGGTAGACATGTAAATGTAATAGTAATTCTGTAAGGACATGTAAATGGTATGCATATCTTATGGAAACCAAATAGAAACAACAGTTTGTCTGCTTTAATCGTGTCCGTGAGAGTAAAAACTGTTCAGTGGAAGATGGTAATCAGACCCTTGTAGCTGTTGTGGCACAGCTTCTTGATGTTAACAGCGTGACAGAGGGGTGTGCTGAGGACAAAGCTGTCGGGGATGAAGGTGAATAGTGGTTGTGACGTCTAGCGGGAATCTTTGGGTCAAAAACTGGGATTTGGCTGACGTGAGAAAAGTAGAAACTTAACAATTAACGTTCTAAGGTGATGTAAGTTTTTTTTTTTTCATCTAATACCACACTGGACCAGAATTAGACGCTGTGGATATCTTTAATTTCGTAGCTTGTATCTTGATTGCCTGTTTGTATCATTCTAAACCTGCAATATCTGGCAGACTCATTTCTTTTTTACTGTGGTTGCTTACGACCATAAAAAAAAACTGAATAATCTGGTATTTATTTCCTTCTAAATTTTTATGCTTATAATTTTTTTCCCCCTGAGGTATTGCCATGCTCTCTTCGAATTTTTGTTGAACACTTTCTTTTCTTATTTGATGTGTGCAATATTATTTCATATCAGGGGCATCCCTGGCGTGATGTTCAATGCTAATCTCCATCGGTTTTAATTTGAGGCCAGGCCTTTGGTTGTCTCTGACTACAATCCTTTTTAATGGATTACCAGAGAATAAACTGTGGTTTACTCCACAGTGCACTGGAAATGGTTCTGATGGACAACTGGGTCCGTGCCCACGTGCATTTCATGTTGCTATTTCTATTGACTGCAATATGTTTGTCTTTGGTGGGCGTCTAGGTGGGAAAAGGTTTGACTGATAAATCATAAGATCTTCTTCTAATATTATTTTGTCTCCTGTGTATGGCAACGTGACAAAATGAAATTGGACTTTCAGGTTAGGTGACTTCTGGATGCTGGACACTGGTGAGCACCACTCTTTTTTTTTTGTTAAACTTAATCATGAGTGTGGTTTCCTGTCATGTCCATTGGCTTTTATCCTTTAGCATTGGAGTCGTTATATTCGAAGTTATCTTGATATTGGCGTCTCATATCTGCATTTTCATTGGTCACCTCCTCTGTTCAGCTCTGAATTAAGGCAGCTAATTTAAAAAGGATACTTGAAGATTTTTTTGTGAACTGTGAAACTCTCCTCTTTAGAACCTCGCAGAATATTTTACTTGCCCTCTTTGATTACCTATTGACACGTTTCCTTCAGATATTTGGCAATGGTCAGAGTTGACTAGCTATGGTGATTTACCATCTCCACGGGACTTTGCTGCTGCTTCAGCTATTGGCAATCGGAAAATTGTGATGTATGTATCATTTACTTGTGTTCCTGGTTTTCAAATTTTCTGAGAAAAATGATTCTAACAAGAACTTTAAACAACAACAATTGAAGGTATGGTGGATGGGACGGTAAAAAGTGGCTATCGGATGTCTACATCCTGGATACAAGTTAGTCTACATCTCCGGTTTTCATTCTGGATTAATAATCAAACCCACTTTCCCTTAATGTGGTCGTGTTGTTTTAAACAGTATCCCTAGAATGGACAGAGCTATCAATTTCAGGATCACTGCCAGCACCCAGATGTGGGCATACAGCCACAATGGTTGAAAAACGGTTGCTCGTCTTTGGTGGCAGAGGTAATTTTCTTGCTTTGTTTGTCATTTTTTGTGGTTTCTGAGATCGTGAAGAAATGGCAGTTTTTACATTTTAGAGTGATTAGTTGTGCGCGCATGATTTCAGTAAAAGTTGTTTTAAACTAGAAACAAAGAACATTTCACTTATTTTTTTAATTAAAAGTTGGACATGTTTCTAATCTGATCTGTCAGATGATGGCCTCAAATTTTCAGTGTAATTTGAGCATCTAAATATTTTTAGACATTTAATATGTTATGGTGTACCCTGTCATTCAGCACCTCCGAGAGACCTTTGTCATGGGAAAATGGTTGGCCTCCAGTTGTTCTCTTTCCTTGGTGACTCTTACCGGACACAGTCTTTCTTGTTTCTATTGCTTACCAGATACAGCCCATCTTTTTTGGCTTAGTTAGTTTACCACTTACCACCAGCGCTTAATTTTTCATATGCTGTCATTGTTTTATTAATTTATTCATGAGATACATGTCATTTAACCAATAAACTGTCAGAAACATTTGCCATCGGTGCCCATCCGATTTTATGGAGGTCAGATTAGTAATTTAATAAATGAATTTGACAGATGATCTGTTGGCTGAAATGGCTGTTCTGACAAAGTTTTAGGAAACTAAGAAGAGTCTCATTTCTGATGGATAAGCAGATTTGACAATCGAACCCTAATCACTGTTAACGTGGATGGGATTACACTCTGGCTCATCCAGCAGTACAATCCTATTCAGACCACCTGGTGATTTCAATGATGTGTTGAGTTTTTCTGACGAGCAGTCCTATCTGCTTGAAGGGCCCATGAGATTTTTCTAAGCAGCAGGCTGTTGAAAAAAAATTGTTTAAAAGAGCCTGTTAGAACTCCTACGAAACTAGTTCATGAGTGGAAAGTTCTTCCTGATGAAGTTCTCCCTCAAAGGTCTCCTCTCCAAAGTAAATAGATTGAACTAGATGAGGAGGCAGCCAGTTTTGTGTAAACAGGAAAGAGAAAGGTTAATTGTTGTGGGTCAGACTTTCATCTTTTTTTAGTTGGATGAGGTGAGTTGGCTTGAATATATGCAGACATGTTGCCGTCCTTGTTATATCGGTGGTTATTATTGAATCTTGCGTACAACTGGAGATTTCCCCATTTTGCAACTTATTTTAAAGAGAACTAGTTTACATATAATGTGCGCACACTTCTCTCTTCTTGTTGGAACTCATGGAATAACTGGATCGAGTTGGCTATATTTTTTTTTATCCTTGTAAGTTTTACAATAATATTTATAATATTTCAGGAGGTGGTGGGCCTATTATGGGTGATCTGTGGGCTCTGAAGGGTCTGATTGATGAAGGTGGGAGTCTAGATGCCTGATTCCATTGTACTTTTCATTATGGTGGCTACTTTCCATTTTTTTCTGAGCTGAATGTAAGTGTTTATTTGGCTCAGTTATGTTATGATTCTATTTATGCCATACATATAGGTTATATTCGTTTATTTCTCTTATGTTTGCTGCAAATATTTCATCTGTTTTATTCTTTGTTCACCCATCTTTCTTACTGATTCAAGTTGGAATGTATCTGGCATTGTCTCAGAAAAGGTCTGTATCAGGAATAATCTATTTGTCATAATTTCTGCCTGTAGAAAAAGTCATGAATGATACACTAATCTGACACTTTATATCATAATGATTATCATCTAAAAGTTTAATAACTGTCTCATCAAATGTAGGATATGCAGTGCAATGTAATATGCTCCATTTGGCTTGCCTTTGAACATACTTTTCGTGTTACCATTTGACTTGGTGTTGTACATTTCATTGTGGATGCTCATGTTTTACTGGATTCACTGTTAAAAGTTCATTAAATTCGCTACTGTTTTGATGTCAAAAATTGGACCCACCACGGAAATTCTCTCATAACATTTGTTTGGGAGATTGGAGCCAGACTTGTATAGTATTCTATATTCTATTTTGATGTGGCAAAAATATATGCCTTGTATCTCGCCAGGAAACACTAGAGACATTGGTGTATGCCAATTATCTTGCTTTAGTCCTGTTAAGGTAACGGATGTACGTGACCATGTATTCCTAGTGCAGCATGAAAGAGTAATCAAATGAGTTGCATCCTAAGTCAAACATTGACATTTGCTTTAGTATTTTATTTTGCTGCTTCATCTCTTCTTCTTATGTCTTTTCGTGTTAAATTGTGGAAGGAAGAGAATGAGACTCCAGGGTGGACTCAGTTGAAGCTTCCTGGGCAATCTCCATCTCCCCGCTGTGGTCATACCGTAACGTCAGGGGGGCATTATGTAAGTCATTTTCGTCTGGTGTTTTTATTTTCTGCATTTGATTGATGCGGCCCCACCCCCTTTTCTTATTTTGAAGCATCATCATGTAATTTTTTTTCGAGTTAGCGTTGTGTGTTGTTTACTATGCAATCTTATCTGATAGCTTTTGTGGTGAAGAAAATAAGGAATAATTGAGGTAACTGTAGATTTGCACGTCCACATTGCGTCATGAGTAATGCTATGTTTGGATTTCAAGTCTTTATACCAATAATCTGCAATGTACGTCTATTATAAACGCGAAAGTAAAGGGCAACAAAATTCTTGGGATGAGTTTAAGACAATCTAGTCCGATCCCATTCAGAATTAACTAAGACCTGGTGCAATCCATCTCTAGCATTGCATAATTTTTGTTCAGTTCAGAACCTTCCGTTGTAGTTCTGCTTAGCATTTTAGTCGAGCCAGTTATGTATGTTGTTGCAGGGATGCAATAAATCCAGCCCGTGTATAAAAGTGCCTACTGGTGGATCTGTTTATCTACACCCCATTACTTTTAATTTATTTTAACTTCAGGGAGTTGTGCAAGAAGGTGCTGCGGCACTTTCTTGTTCTTGAGACATGGCGTGAGTTCAGACTTTTTTCTCTGTTTTCTAACTCAGATTTGAACCCTTCCCTTCTGTTTCTGCACGCCTTTTTTTTGTCATCAGCTTAAATGGTTTCGGTTTTATTTGCGAGGATTGACTTGAACAGCACACGAATCCATTGCTATCCTAGTAAGTAACAAGAAACAAAGCATTTTGTACAGCTGTGATATTGGGAAGTAGCATGACGTGAGTTCATATTGGAATTGAAGTAACGTCTACCATTGAGAAACCATGAATAAAAATCTTACAGAAACTTACGTTCCATCACCATCTAGTTGAGAATATCAATAAGCTTATGGGTAAAGATTCAACTGACTAGAAATTTTGGTTACATTATTTATAGTGATCTATCGTACTATTTCACTAAAATGAGGTGAACAAATGTCTTACTAATTTTATTCAAGTTCTATGCCTTTGATTTAAGCATCGATGTTATCTTGCTTAAATGATTTGATCTTCTGAACGTGTATTGTTGAGGCAACCTGATGAATCATTATTCAGTAAAGACAGTGCGATCGATTCTTCTATAAACATGGTCTGGGTAGGTGCGCAAAATCCAAGAATGCATACTGTTAAACATCAAAATAAAACCCGCAACAGTCATCATCTTCGTAAGGCACCTTATCTCAAGAAAATCATGAAGATCACTCACATCAAACAGATAACAAGCCTGTTTCTTAATGCGGTTCATATGCACGTGCCAATGAGAGAAATGGGACAATTTGAGTGCAGAACATGAGCCAGAATATGTTCTCTCACTTCAACATTTTATTTGTAATGCACATATTTTCATTGTCCCATTTACATCATGTCACGCAGTTGTTCGTTTCGTCTGCTTTTCTACTTAATAACATGATCAAATCATCATAGAAAAACAGGTTTTACTCCTTGCTCCTAGGCATAGAAGTGCAGAAGGTCTAATGCACCAGATAGTCAGGATGCCTGTGGGTGCCTCTACCTTCTGGATGAGATTTCTTTCTTGATGGCAAGGATGCTACTGAATGAAGAGTCTTTTGTCCTTAATGTGCCACTGTCACATCTCCCTTTTGAAAGGGCCTCATAAATTTACAGATACCTATATATATTTATTTACATGGTCGTCCATGAGAACATAATTTCTGGCTTAATTCTGTTTTCAGCTTTTGTTATTTGGTGGCCATGGAACTGGTGGTTGGTTGAGCCGGTATGATGTATATCACAATGAATGCATTATTTTAGACAGAGGTGAGCGACTGGGTATTTCCTCCATGCGTTGATCAGTTCTTCCTAGTTGCACTTATTTGGCGTCTTTGGATAGTCTCTGTGCAGTGGAAGCGCCTGCCCACCAGCAACGATCCTCCTCCACCACGTGCGTATCACTCCATGAGTTGCATAGGCCCACGCTACCTTTTATTTGGCGGATTCGATGGAAAGTCTGCATATGGTGATCTATGGTGGTTAGTTCCAGAAGGTACTTCCTCTTGGATCTGCACTATTAACAGGTTCATTGTTGTATCCATGGAAGAAGTAACATATTTAATCGTGGGACAGAGCATCAAACCAATTTGTCTGGGTCTTGTTTGATATTATTGAAGGGGCTGTGTGCGTTACTCAGTTTAGTATTATCGAAGGGGCCTGCACCCAGATTTGATTTGATTTGATTTGATTTTCTTTTCTTTTCCTTTTATTTGGTCAGAGTTGGGGTTTGGCAAGGTTTCTGCAAAGTTCAATAAATGTTCTACAGTCTTTATTCTTCTCTCTAAAGTGCTAAAAGCCTTTTCAAGAGTTTCTCACCCCTCCGCTGTACAAACTACTGCAGATGATCCCATTTTGAAGAGAGTATCTGCTTCCCCCCAGAGCACTCCCCATGCGACTGAGACATCATTATCTGGCGGCCGGAACCAGTTCCTTCCCAAGGTGCGATTGAGTCGTCGCTGAATCAAACAAATTTCCTGCTTCATACATAGCCCGGTAGCTTCAGACCAATCTCTTCTGTCTGTATTTCTGTCGCAGTGTAATCTCGTTTGCAGCATCTGCCCTTTTACTTGCACTGCGTAAAGCTCGAACCTTTTCCTTGTTTGTATTGTTTTTAGGATCAAGAAAGAGAAGAATCCCCGTTTCTGGAGTTGCAGAAGAGGCTAGAAATTTTGATATCTCCTTCGGCCGCGCGGGTCAGCGTCGTCGACGAATTGCACGACGACGAACTCCTGGAGCTGGCATCGAGGTTGTCAGGGGAAGGGAGCTCCGCTCACAGCCCAACTGAGCGCATTCAGGTACTCATGGGATGATATGGTGCATGCTTTCATGTCTTTCTCCCTCTAGAGAGAGGATGCTTCTCTTATCGGTGAGGGTGCAGGCGCTCCGTGAGAAATGGCGAAGGTCATCGCCAGCGTCGCTTCGTCTCAAGGAGCTGGGACCTCTGCTACGAGACTACCAGCGGTTAATCATTCGTCGCGATCAGTAAGTTTCCTCTGCTTCTTTGCTATCAGAAGCTGCTTCAAAGCTCCAAACTGTGAATCGTAGGAGTTGCACATGGGATTTGCTTCTTCTTGGATGGGTCCGAACTGATGAATCGCTTCCAAGCTGTGGCAGGGAGAAGGCAGCATCCCACCCACCTCTTCCGGCGGCGCCCGACTCTTGTGACGGACGGAGCCACCCGTTCTTCCATCTAAGAGATGCCTCCCAGGTACAGAAGCATCCACGGAGCTGCTGGTGCTCTTGTGGGAGACCTTCTGTGTACCTATACCCCTTTGAGGTCCCATGAATCTGTATTCGGCTTACCTTGGCTTCTTCTGAAATTTTCAGCTGCGCATGGACGACATCCCGGGGCTTCTCGAGGAGTTCAGGCAGCTTCTGCCTGCATGAGCGGAAGAGGCGGACTGAAAAGCTTCGGCGGAGGGATCGTCCGCAGCTGGGTCGACCTCAGATGATGGGCGGCTGCATTTCTGAGCTGGCTGGATTCCAGCGGACGAACGGACTGTGGCGGGCTTTCTGCATCGCCGAGAGCTTGTTGGGGCGAGCGAGAGAGAGATAGAGAGAGAGAGTGAGAGAAACGCCGGTGTGTTCTGAGACGATTGATTCCCTGAGAACCATGGAGATGATGATGATGAATGGTGAGCCGAATCATCATATTTACAGACCGCTGGATCGAGGGACGGCTGGGATCAGTGCGCGCCGCGTGGCGGGAGGGGGTCCCAAGAGACCCCCGTGTGGTCCGCCAACGTCGTCGATATGGATCGAGGGGGCTTCTCCCCACCGCGGCCAGCGTCTTTCTCGCTTTCGTCCGATTATGGTGTCGAGGAGATCGATCGGCGGGTTGAAGAGAGGGAGCGACAGAGGAGTTGTAGTCTGGTTGAAGGCCATGGTCATGGCGGGTTCTGGGAGAGCTCTGGTGCCGCCGGCGGCCGGAGGATGAAGCCTTCTTTTTACCTCTTTCTTCCACTTCTTGCCCTTCTCCCCATCCCCTTCGGAGATCTCGGAGCCTCCCCCTTCCGTCATATAGGGCTCCGGCGTCTTTCTTCCTTCTCGGGGGCAATCCTCTCTCCTTGTGATTTCTCGTCCGTCCTCTCCTCTGGATTCCTTTCTCGACCTGCCTACCCAGCTATCTACCTACCTTTCTGGGCTCCGGCCTCGGGAGATCTGAATCTGACACTCTCGGATTAGGGTTGTGGGAAAAGTGGAGGATAATAGGGCGCCGGGACCAGGTCGCCTCTGGGTCGAGTTTGATCGCTTCTGTGATAGCCGAATTCGGTTTTTCTTGCGTCTACCCGCATACGAGGGAGATGAGAGCCTCGCGGAAAGGTGGAGGCGGCGCGAGTAGCGGCAGGGACTTCTCACCACCTCCGCACGTTTCCTCGTCGAGGAGCAGGGACCTCACCCGTAGATCCGAATGGGGGAATTACACCATCTGCTCGCGCTACAGCCCCACTCCCGGCACCGTAGCGATGGGCCACGACGGCCGCCGGAACCCTAGGCGATCGTCGTCCGTCGGCCGCGGCCGACGCAGTGCCTCCATTGAAAGGGGAGGCTATGATGCGTTTGACGTTGCTGCTGCTGCTGCTGCTGCTGCGTCCAGGAGACACCAGCAGCGGCAAGATCGATCTCCTCCGCCTCTTCCGCTCCAGCCCTGGGGCGGCCGTGGAGCCCTGGTCTTGGACGGAGACGACGGCTTCTACAGAGAGTATCCGGGGCCAGAGTCCCCGTCAGATCTGCACCTTGCGGCGAATTCCAAGCTGGGGAGAGTCGTTAAAGTCAGAGAGTTCCGCCAACACCCGCACTCGGGCAACGGCGGCCCTCGCACCAAACTGTCATGTTCCTCTGGAACTGCGATCGAGGATCATGGCGTAATGGTGCAGAAGTCCGTGTACTTGGAGGATGATGGCTCTGTCAGGGAGCTCTTCCCCTTGCCCCCAGAACAGGCAGTCTACCAAAAAGAAGCCTCTGCTTTGGATTCCGGCAGCCTCGGCAGAACCTCCGGTGGCAGCGCTCTGAGAATCGGGATGCGCGGGGCGGAGGAGGAACCGAGGTACCGTGAGTACTATTCCAAGGGACCAGCGTACGAGGAAGAACATGGACTAAGGATCTACTCCGGAAGGGATTATTCTCCATATCGGGCGCCTTTCCCCTCGCAGCGGAGGCCACCTGCCGCCGCATCCTCCTCCGGCGCGCCAAGAGACGAGTTTCTGGTTTCGTATCGGGATGAACTCCGCCGGCCATCTGATGATGGTCTCGGGCGGGGTGGTGGTTTCGGAAGCTTCAGAGACGAGATTCTGGGCCACGACGGGTACAGTCGGACGCATCCTCTGGACACGAAGACGCGGCGCATCAGTCCTCCTCCCATCAGGGACGAGCCTAGAGGCCGCAGTTTCTCTGAATACGAGCGGAGAGGAAGGGATGATGACGATGATGGTGAGTGGTACTCTGGGTCAGGTCGATCGTGCAAGAAGGTGAGGTGGGGATCTCGGGGGGAATTCGAGGTTTTAGGGTCCGGCGACATGTATCCCCCTCCTCCTGGGAGGAGGGTCGACGACATCGAGGTTTCGCCGAAGATGGTGAGGGATTCCAGAATTTGGGATCAGCGACGTTACCTGGAAGAGGGCACTATCTCTGACTACCAGGAAATGGAAGGGGTCCGCGGAGAATATCTTGGAGGTTCCGGTAGCGTCTCCTTCGCCTACAAAACGAAGGCCTCCCATGGCGGCGAGGTTTTGCAGCTTGGTTCAAGAACCTCCCGGTACGGGAGAGACGATCGGGTAAGTTACAGGGAGCCAGCAAGAAGCCCTCCTCCATCGTTGTCTGAGCGCTACACGGGCGGCGCCCTCAGAAGGACTTTGAGCCCTCCTCGAGAGGGAATGGACATGGAAGAGCTCGATAATGGCGAAGCTCCGCTCGAGAGGGTTCTTCCAGGGAGAGATTATATGACGGAGGAGGAAATAAACATTTTGCGGGAGACTAGGAATGCCCGAGCTATAGAACTGAATGAGGAAGAGGAACGATGGGCCGATGAAGAAAGGATGGAGACGCCGTCTCCCAGAAGACCGCACTTTGACCGCAGCAGACTCAGGACGTTGCCGCGCAGGGTGTCAGACTCCGGCGATTGGCTGCCGTCTGATGGTTCCTTCGTGCAGTCGGGAGGCGGTGGCCAGGGGAGTGATCTGAAGAGGCGACTGAGGCCTGGCTTCCACAGCTCGTTTTCATCTGACAGGAGACGGGATTTTGACAGATCGCAGAGATCAAGGAAAAAGGGTCTGGAAGATCAGCGGACTTTGAGCGACTTTGATGGGAATGCTCTGGAAAATGAGAGGCATCGCGCAAAGAATGATCCTCCAGAGGATACTGAAGAGTTTAGGCAGCAGCTTCACAAGGCCTTCCTTCGTTTTTCGAAGCTGCTGAATGAGGATCCAATTCAACAAGAGAAGTATCGAGATGGAGGAAAAGCCCGAGGCTTGCTTTGCTGTGTATGCGGCAGGTCTGTTTCCTTATTTTTCGAACGTGTTTCTTGCTGTGGCGAGGTTGTTTCAGGTATCTTTTGATCGAGAAGGGCACTCGTAGGCGGTACCATCGGTTCTCTCCTGATCCTAGAATACCCTTAGAGTATGCATCACAAAGCATGCTGATGCGCTGCTGTCTTGACTGGGAGTTTACATTTTCTGGGTAAATTTTAGGAACTGTCTAATCATCTCTGGCTGTTATGACACTCTGCGCCACTCTTGATAGCTCAGAAGATGGAGGATGATACTCCAATGCCACCACATGCCCTAGGATGAGATTGGCCTGATAAAAAGAAAAAAAAAGTGGCCAGGTACGTGTGCGGATCTGATTAGCTTGTGGGTAGACTGTAGAAAGATTAATTTCACCAGATAAACAAACATGCAAGGTAAAGTGCATGGAAACTTTTAACAAGGTCAGTGCTTGAGATCTTGGCCTGCAGAAAATTGTTGTCTTGTTCTGTTTGATGGCTCCGAATAACAAGGACATATCATTCATTTTTTACTTTTGGCATTCATTATCATAGAGTTGTTTATTAGACGATTTTTTTTTCATCTATAGGGCTGAGAAGTTTGTTCCATCATCAAGTGTGTTTCTTGCTGCAATTAGTTCGTTTGATTTACATTGACATAATGTCGGAGCCAGTTGTGTAAACGAGAATCCCAACGGGCTTTGATTGGACTGCCGAGCATCTAGTGGTTTTCAAGGGGATCATCATACCATTACTTGCAGGATAATACACCTAGTAATAGCCGGTTCAGGCTGGAAAAGCCGGGTTGAATACGCATGCCAATTATGCTTTATCAAACGAGCTCTTCAGTTGTCACGATACTGCCTAATTTATGTTTCTCCATCGACGATGCGATCCTTTCTTCTTCTCCGTTCCTCCTTGCCCTTGTTTTAATTAATGGCATTTTTTTTCTTCTAGGTGGAATTTCTTCGAGTCCCTCGAATCAATTCATTACTGGCAAATCATCGCGTTGCAATCCTTGGTCACCTCTCTTCTTCTTGTTTTTTGTCTGCCAGATCCTCCTTTTTTTTTATTCTCTCTCTCTCGCTCTCTCTCTCTCTCTCTTCCTCTCTCTCTTCCTCTCCCTTCTTCCAACCTTTTTTGCAGCACTTCCAGTCCCCAATTAAGTCATGTTTTAGAACCTCGCTATTTAGCATATTTAAATCTCCATCCCATAAGGACGACATTTCCGTCAGAGGTCACATCGATGTGTCTGCTGCATGTCCTCTCTTACATATATGAATTTTACAGGACATCTTTTACATAGGCAAGGCGTAATTTTTTAGGATGGTGTTTGGAAACAAAAGGGCCTTTTTTAACCCCTTCTAAAACAACAACATGTCAGATCTGATCTTGATCTTGGTGGGCACAAGTGTTTATCCATTCCACTCACCATACAAAAATCCGCATGATTTTTATTTTTTTATTTTTTTTTGGGGGGGGCAAGATTCCACATGCAACTGTCTTGTTTAAATTGTTCCTTGTTTTATCCTTTGTGGGGTTCAGCATGATGTTGAATGGATCAGCCAGACCAAACCTTGGCCAGTGCACCCCCCGAGCGCATCAGCTTAATTCTGTGACTATTATCGCACGGCTGATTTGTTTCTCCCCATTTGTTGGCAGCCAATCGAAGGAGTTTGTGGACACGCACAGTTTAGTCACGCACGCTTTCCATTCCCTCAAGATTGGTCTGAGAACAGAGCACCTGGGCCTTCACAAAGCCTTGTGCGTCCTGATGTGTTGGAACTGGCTTGTGTCTCCGGATAACTCGAGGGCCTACCAGATGAGACCTGGTCCCGAGCACGAAGCCCTCAAGGAGGACCTTATCATCTGGCCTCCTGTTGTCATTGTCCGCAATTTTTCGGTCATCAACACTGCCACCACCACCACCACCACCACCACCACCACCACCGAGGGACCAACTGTCGTGAAGGAGGACCTGGAGAAGATACTGAAAGGTTTGTGACTTGCAACCACTCGGCCTTGTACTCTGTTATGTTATGCTTCTTGTATCAGCGTCCGGAATTCACCTAATGGTAATTCTTAGATTATATTCTGCTTCGCCATCTTTGTTATTATCATCTTCCTGGCCTTCTTATTGTGTGTATTTTTTTTGAAAAAATTATAAGAAGACTCTGGGCTTTTATTGTATTAAGTTGTGGGAAAAGGCGTTGGCGAGGTAAGAAGAGAGCAGGTTATAAACAAATACAGCGCCTAATTAGTAGTTCTTCGATAGCTCTTGAGTCCATCGTCCGAATATCTGCCATGTTTTCTGGTCATTCCCTTCATGGGCGTATATTTACCCATCCTTGGGTCTTGTCGTTTGTCTGTGTCTTCAGAGATGAAGATTGAAGTGGGAAAGGTCAAGGTTTGCGGAGGAAAGCCGTCGGACCAGAGGACTCTGCTAGTAAAGTTCATGGCCACGTTTTCCGGACTTCAGGAGGCCGACAGGCTCCACAGGCTGTTCACGGAGAGGAAGCACGGCCGGAAGGAGCTGGACGACGCCGCCTCCATGCAGAGCTCCGGCGACGGAGCAGAGCCTCAGGTGGAGGGGGGGCAGCGTCTTTATGGGCACATAGGTACCGTGGAGGATCTCGACAGGCTCGACCCCGAGACCAAGCGGAGGTGCATTCTCAAAAGCAGGAGGGAAATCGAAGACATCGCCGACGCCCCGGTGAAGGTCGAGTGAGGAGCGTTATTTATTTAGGGTCTGTTAGTAGAGCTTGCTGCCTCTGACATGGATTGGGATTCCTGCGGGTAGAAACGACGTGGGGCAGCTCTTTTGCATGGGAGAGCTTGTTTGCTTGCTTGCTGCCTCCGCGACATAATAACACGGTTCCCACGGTGAGAGTTCATCTGCCGTCACGCTGCTTGGCAAGGATTGTATATAATATGTGCGCGGGGGTTGGAATTCTTGCTGCCATAATAACACTCTTGCTCTTTTTGTCATACACCGCCGAGCATACACGATGACGAGTTTGCTCTGCTGCTGCTGCTGCTGCTGATACTCCTCCCCGCCTCCCTATAATCATCATCATCATCATCATCTTCACCATCACTCACCACCACTCGCCATCACCACCGGCGTCACCGGAGCTTAGGTTCACATTCATTACCTAGAACTGGATGTCAACGGCTAACACTCGAACATGAGAAACTTGAGCTCCTTGAACGGGGGTCATTGCAGGGAGGTCTCATTCATAGGTCGCTTCTCTATCTTGTTATATTCATGAGAAGGAGACGGTGGTATTCATGAGAAGGAGAGAGGGAGGTCTGTGCAAGAGTGGGCTTCTCGGTGGGGCCCGCCAAGAGGGCTGACTTATTGGACAGCGAGAGTACGAGGGGCAGGGAAGGGGAATGATCAGAGAGACACACAAATCCGGCTGAAGAGACAAATCCGAAGCCTCCACGCCGCCCTTTCGAGGTCCGTCGGAGCTTCTTCGGCCTCTCCGGTGGGAAGACACCCAACGAGGGAGCAGAACAACGCACGTGCCCTCTGTGCGGTAAAGCCGCCGGGCCCTCCGGTCTGGTCTACTCGGCTGTGCGCACAAGGGAGGCACATACTTGAGAGAGGACGCAGGGCCTTCCTTGCAGGCGGCGGTCCACTTCAGTCCTCCGACAGGGCGTAGACGACGCAGGTTCTGCTCGGTATGTAGATAGAGAAGGACCGAGGTCTCCCGTCGTACCATCCTTCCTGCATGGGATCCACGACGGGTGGCCTTTTTAGTGAGTTTCCCGTGTATGCTGCTGAGAAGAAAAAACGAGCCTTGGGGAGAGAGAGAGTTTTGGAGGGCAGGGCAGTTCTTACGGAAGTGAAGTACTCTGAGTCTGGATCTATCCGGGCGAATCCGCCGAAGAGCGCCGCGTCAGAATCTAAAGCAATCTGGGAGCAGCGAGAGAGAGAGAGAGAGAGAGAGAGAGAGAGCGGCGTCATTAAGGCAAACTCCAACTAGATGGGATGGAATGCCTTGGGGTGAGTGAGAGTGATATGGGTGGGTGGGTGGGTCTGAAGATGAGTAGAAGAAGGGAGTGGGGATAGATGGTCCTTGGAAGATCATATCCCCCAGCTTTCATGAGCATTTTTTTTGCGCAGATAACTGGCAGACAGCAGTTCAGGAGATAGGATTTGCTTTCCATATAGTGTGATAGTCGACAGCGATGAACAAAAGAAATCAACGTTCGTGACGAATGAAAATCAAGTTTCACGAACTTGGTGCAATACTTGGACATGGAAGTAAAAAGTCGGGAGGGAAGAAATGCTCACCGTGTATTTTCCAGCCTTCACGCATCCGACCCTGTAGTCAAAGTAGCTGTTGCTCCAGTGAAAGTTGAAAACAAATACCAGGTCTCCTCGCTCAAATATGATTACTTTGTCTCCTTCATCTTTCCGTGATATGTACTGATGCTCTGAAGTCATAAACTGCACAGATTATCACCAATAAGGAGATAGAAGAACGAGTTTTTTTGAGGCCCATGTCAGCAGCCCAAATCTTGATATCATAAAAAAAAACATTCGGAAACAAGACGCAGAATATGTTTTATCGGCAGATTTTTGCACTCCAACAGATGTATCAGTGTCACTCATAAAGAATTCAAATTAGAAGAAAGAGGTATAGGGAGCATACACCGTATTTCTCCTCAAGATGCTGCATTCCTCGATCAAACTCTTGCATCCCTCGGAACCTTAAGTAGTCAGCATCCCCCTGAATTCACACACGGAGCAGTTGAAACAGAATTTAAATCCTCTAGTGCAACGTGGAGCCTAACGGCCGATGATGCAAGTCTGATTCCACAACTGTCGTAAAGCATACGTTACCACCGACTAAAATGCAGTGGCAGTGCAATTCATGAACGTCTATGCTAAAGAGTTTTCCTTATTATTACATGAGAAATATTAAAGAGCATTAACTGCATATTATAAAAAGGTAAAGAGATGATATCTCGGAGTTAAGCACTGAAAGGTAAAGTTAAAGTCATGAACAGCCCAGGAAAACATACAAGGTCGAATCTACGGCGGCACTTATCATAGCTGTAGTCATTCCCCGGAACAACAGACCCATTTGGAAGATGTTGGTCTCCCCTTGGAAAGTCAATCCACTCTACGTAGAAAAAGGAAAAAAAGAAAACAGAAATACGTTAAATTTCTAGTATGGCATGACACAATCAAGGGTGATAACATTTCGTACAAGTTCAACAATGACAATGATAAGTCTTTTACCGGCGTGTCCAAATTCATTTCCCATAAAATTGAGGTACCCTTCTCCTCCTAATCCCATTGTCAACAACCTGATCATTTTATGCAGGGCTATTCCACGATCAATTTGAGGAGTTGATGGCCTATCTAAACTCATGTAATCATACATATCCTGCATTGAAATAATAATGCAAAAAACGAAAAATGTGACGTCAAGAGTGCAAAGCAATTGGTTTCACTCACGTTTGTTAAAGAGTCAAGCTCGAGGGGAGTAAACGTTTTCACTAACCTTGTCCATCAGCCAAAACGCAATCGTTTTATCACCAACGAGAGCCTGGTCGTGACTTTCAGCGTACACAACACATTTCTCCAGCCACCTTCTGTTTGTAAGTGTGCTAACAATTTCACCCATTCCCCAAAGCTCATCACTTTTCCTGTGTTAGGTAAAAAGTGTTGAGAGGCGGATAAATCAAAATTTGCTGTGCAATAGGATTATATGACTAGGTGCCCAGTCAGGGAAACTGACAACTGCTTACACGTCTAGGAATCTGGATGTTTACTAGAAAAGCCATTAAGTAAGCTAGACCGCAAAATATATAATGCAATCAATTAAACTATTTATCAGTATGCTTACTTTAGAAGTTCAATCCATTTGTCAGCTACAGCCATGTGAAGACGGTAGTCAAACCCAACACCCCCATCTTGTACAGGAATGCAGAATGTTGGCATTCCACTAACCTTTTACACAAAAAGAAAAACATCCATGGTTATTGGAAGACAAAAAGAGTAAGGCATTAAAAAAAAAAACATGAAACGAACATCCATCGGAGGGCTTGCATATATTATGAAGATGCCATCATCATGCACACTTACATCTTCACCAATAGTAACAGCCTCCGGAAAGAGCCCATGAATAAGATCGTTTACCAACATCAAATACACCACAGCATCCACGTCCGTAGCAAATCCAAAGTATTCATTGTAGTTGCCCGTGAAACTAACCTGGGTGCAAGACGTAGACAGGAAGACAGAGTAAGAGAAGCAAGATCAATAGATGCTTACATACCCTTCCCTCAGAGTAGCATCTAAGCAAACTGGAGGAGACAAATTAAAGGCCACGTGACCCTCATATGGGGCCTGAACTAACGTTTATGATACAGCAGTTCAAATAGGAATATCAAGTCATACATGATATTAGGAACATCATTCAGTGAAAATCAATAATTCACAAGATTGGATATTATCCCATAGTAATTTAAATGGATAGAACCCTTTGTTTTGGGGAAAAAAAGGAAATGGCGTCTCAAAGCCATAGAGAGAGATATCTAACGCGGTCTGAAGAGGACCACAACCTTTTCAAAAAGAGGTCAAAAGGCGTAGCTTAGCCTTAGGATAAAATGAATGATCACGAATAACATAGAATATCTAATGCAATAGGTGTCATCCTTTTGGGTACGGTAAAAGAATTTTTATTAATGTCTTTTCCACAAACATCTAATTGCTCTTATTCATGTTAATAATTGTAATGGAACAACAAGTGCTGATTGATAACGGTTTTTACCTGCAACCCATGGTGAGTATACATCATGGAGGTTACCCCATCAAACCGGAACCCATCAAATTTGTACTCATCAAGCCACCATCTTGCATTTGAAATAAGATACCTCATGACCTACAAAAAAATTATGTGATTTAATATTGGACATCAATAACATGATGAGAACCGCCATAAGCTTATCAAATAAAATAAAAAACAAAGCCATTCCATAGAAAACTTACTTCCCAGTTTCCATAGTTGAACAGGCGAGAATCCCACATCCAGTGATATCCACGAGAACCACCATGGAAATAGTGTGTGTCTGTTCCGTCAAACAAGTTCAGCCCGTCCAAAACGTTGTTTGATGCATGGCTAGATGGACACAAGGTTAACAAAATTACAGAACATAAATATCGCATTAACTGAAACTTCTTAGGGGTTAGAAGACATAAATAGATCTCTGAACATTTACACCAAAGGAACTACCTAGCATATGCTCAATTATGCAAGATCAAAGACTCAGTTCATAGCAGAAAAAATAATAACTATGTCCAGTTTATAAGTTCACACTGTAACTCAGCGTTACAACATATCAAATTCGCAGATGATTCCAGTAGCATAAATAAAAAAAAGTATACCATTTGGTTCCACCATCATCAACATTACAGGTTCATCAATTGATCCTTCTCTCCTTGGGAGGAAATTTACCATATAAAATAAAGGATGCACAAAAGGATGAATTCAAACGATTAGGCTGTCCTTTCAAACTGTAAAAGTAAATTGAACTTTTTTCTTAGTGAATTTCTATTAATCTACGCACAATGAAAAAACTAATGACATCAATGGCTAAAAGGTACCCGAGTGAAGCAGAGCAGGAATTTCATTTTATGAAAACAATAAGGATGAATCAAAACTTACAAGCACCCAACTTCAAGGACATCAGTTTTTACCTGTGAACAATATCCATGAGAACAAGGATTCCAAGCTCATGAGCTCTGTCGATGAGCGACTTGAGATCATCAGGAGTTCCAAAACGACTACTAGGTGCGAAAAAATTGGTAACATGATACCTGATCCACATAAAAAAAGTTCAATGCTTTATCTAAACGCACTTCCATCAATAAAGCAGGGAATGATACGTAAATCAGACTGATCTTCAAAGAGTAGCTGACAACTAAAGTTACAGGTAAAATTATAAGACCTACAACAGATCTTGTTTTCGAAAAAAACTATAAGATATAATTATCAATCAGAATAATAATAATAATAATCATAGAACTACTGAGAAAAAACTGTTTTGATATACATAATTTCGTTCTTGAAAATTCCAAAAACCCTGAAACATTGTGGGACTACTTTTCAAGATCACACGTCTTCACCATTATTGATTCATTAACTATGGAAAAAGCAGCTTTCACGGAAAAGAAGCCCCCCCTCCCTCTCCTCGGGTGGCCGTGTACAAGAAGAGAAAAACCATACAGCAAGATGGTGAATGCTGCTCTATAAATTTAGGCCTCTGAAAATGGACGAGAGTCGCCTACATACTAAAGTTACAAGATAGAAGTTCATTAATAAATAACTTTTTCAAGCATTTCCCAATAAACAGACTGCAAGAACTAATTAACTGAAATTCCAAGTTCTATCAAGTACTAGCAACTAATTTCAGTAACCCTGAGAAGCATATTTCGTTTTCAATATTTGGCTTCTGCTGAGACACATCGCCTTTTAATCCAACAAATAGAAAATTAAATTCAGATCCAACGTCAACTTCATACTGAGAATGATTCCCTGTGAAAAGCTTAGAAACCTACAAGATTGTTTTGTATATTCTCTTGGCTAAATTAAAATTTCGGTTTACGTAAAGAGTCTACAACCACAGCAGGCATGGGTATGGTACGAGGAGCCAGACAAGAAGTACAATGTTCAAGTTTTATTTAGGATACAACCAAACTATAACAAACAGAAATGAACATTGGTTGACGTTTTGCCATGGACCAGGCAACAGAAAAAACGTTTTGCTATGGAGTAACATTAAATGTTTTATTACTTGTTACGGCGACTGACAGTACAAAAACAAAGACCTTTGATCTATTCTAATTGCAGAAATTCTTGTTCTTATTGATACAACCAGAGAAACTTAAGAAAATCATGTGCTATAAAATGAAATCTTAAAATGTAAGAGCCTTAACATTAGTAAGAGCAAGGTTCAACAAAAAAATTAAATCTTATGGAGTCAACAAAAGGTCTTTATAACTGATGCACAGAAATGCAAGTTTATAATGGAAAATTCGATTTTCACGAGGTCAAACACAGAAATTTAGTAAAGATTTTGACAATCTAAATAATGTCAGACGGGGCTCATATTCAAATCTCACGTGCCAGGTTGTCTGGGTTGGGATAAAGCTGAACTCATGAATTTCTCCTTTAACATAACATTTCAAGACATTTAGACAACTTTGTTCTTTCTTCTTGTGATTTCTTATGCGCAAGACATTTACAATACATTAAAGCAGAACGTGATCACATTCTATCAGAGGATTAACCTGTCTGAACATTGTACCGAATGATGCAAAACCGAAGATATATGAACAATTAATAAATATAAAGTACAGGCCTGTCCTTCAAGATCTTGAAGATCCGTGCTTGCACACGAGTGGTTACATCGCTAACCATCCACGTGAAGAAATGCAGAAAAGAAATGCACAGGAGAAATAAAGGGTAGAATAAATTAACAGGGGAAACGCGAATTCTAGCAAAAGCTTACCATCCAATCATTTGTTGAAAAATAATTTAAGCTTCAATTCCAATAACCGGCAAATGATGGACCAAATTTGAAACTTACCACATAAATAATCGGAATATATACTTTTGAACGCATTGATATAAAAAAAACTGAACTTCTCACAAAAGATACAGTGGTCTATAAATCATTACGCAACATAGAAATTAAATATCGTCTACACAGAAAAAATTCAAAGTTGCAAAAGTACAATACCCGAAACTAGCATAGTATGAATGTTCCTGAATGGCCATAATCTGTACAGCGTTGTATCCGAGCTTTTTAATGCGAGGAAGCACTTCATCTCTAAAGTTGGCATATGTGTTGATCTTTGGTTCCTGCATTCCGATCAAAAACTTGAATAATAAACTACAGCGACTAAAAATTAGAATACAATTCTGTGAATAAATTCGAGTGAAACTGGAAAATATCTACAGGGAATAGAAATCTGTTGCCGTTTTATGAAACCATGCGGATTGCTTGTTACTCCCCCCAGCGAATAAATAAGTTTTCCTACTTAGCTTAAAAGTAAAAATAGTAAAAAATACAATAAAATAACTATTCTTCAGGCATATTTGCAACATAAAAAGGGCACAGACGGATGGATATGCACCATGTTACTCATTCAAATATGTGATAAATAAATTCTCAGTAGAAATATAGACACGTACCGGACTACTCATCCCTACATGGGATTCGTAAATTCGCACCGATCGGGGTCTCTTTGGCTGTGGGTGTTGAAACACATATTTTTCCTGATTCAAATTACAAAAAAAAAAAAAAAGTTAAAGACAAGTTCATTATAAAATGGTTTCGAAGGGTATTCATGTCCGACTAAACTGATAAGATGATACACCTCCTCTGGCGGGTCATAGTATATCCCATTATATGGAATCTCGCCAGGAGCCTGCACAGAAAACTTGATCCAAGCCGGAATTGAATCCTTCATGCCAGATGGTGTATCCATTCGTATCTACCGATCAAAATTAAGATGATGAGATGAAGAAAGTTTCAGTAATTAACGCTCAGAACTCCATAACAGGTAATCTGAATTTCATAACAGGAAATCTATAATGTTTCATACAGTCATCTGACTATCCAATGGTCTCCATGGAACTAAAACTTTCTTCCATAATCAAGATACTCAGAAGCAATAATAGATGGCATGTCATTTTTTTAACATTGATTTGACAAAATATATTGACCACAAAAATAAAGTTAACTTCAATTTTAGCTACATGATGTACTATGTGACAGTGATGATCAGAAGTTCTCTGATTTTAGTGAATGCAATAAGTAACAACAAGTGCGTAAACAAGAGACTGAATCCATCCATAATTAGGTCCTTGATATCATGGGATGATATTTCTTTGTCATCACTGTAACTACTGACAAAAAATGTTTGCCAACTAATGGAATTCTCTAGAAAAATTAACTTCGTAATTAACAACACAATGCACTACAATTTCAGTCCTAACATGTAAAAGTTCAAAAGATTTAGTGGCCAGTTCAGGTTTCATTATGCAGCAGGCTAGTGGAAATTTTAGATGGATCCATACATGCCTTCCAATCTCATGTCATTCTCGAAAAATGCAAAAGACAGATGATAAAAAGGAAGACTATGAAAACACGGATCCTGAAATGTCACCATCATCCTGTCATCGGCAGGCAATAATTACTCTCGAACCATACTTTAAATTGCAAACTTACCTGTAAGACAAAAGTTGATGAAGGAGCCACAATGTTAGAATTTTTGTCTTAAAATCGATATATTACATCAAAGGCATCCGCTTCAAATCCGATTTTCATGGATGAGTGACTGATTGATTCCCCCATACATAAACATTTAACAGATAAAACTAGCGTCAACAGCCTAAATGAGGTCAATAGGAAATGATTCATGCTAGTTTGGGGTTACAGATTCTGTTTAATCACCTATCAGACGCACCCCCCATCCGTGCAAGTGCACGAGAATTTTTATGGGTTCCCATGGAAAGAATACTAGTGTTTGGTCTTTAATATAAGTCCCGTAATCAGTAAAAGGGCAACATTTACTCTTCTACATCCCTTCAGAAAGCTTTGTTACACGTCCAGCTCTGACCTATTGATGTTAGATTTTCAAAGATTAGCTCTACAAGTATCCAGTGATGTTTCGTTTCATAGATAGATATCACATTGTATTTTATTTTATTTTCATACAGTGGGCATCTACGTTATAAGCAAAGGGGGATTTTCCCCCTCTTGGTCTTCTAAAGAGATGCACAATGCATTATTTCACGTGTGCATGCAAACTGACCCAATAAATTACTCAAGTACGTGCACATTTGATTGCAATCACGAATTGTTCTTTTGATGATTTCAAAGAAGTGAGCTGATGTGCAATTTTCCCACATGTAATAATCATGAATCAAACCATGATGATCAGGAGCAGGTTATAAAAAGCGTGTCTTGAAAGCCAATACCAATAAAAAAACATGAACATAAGTCGGTTCCTGCTAACGTCATATTACTAGACGAAACAAAACCGAAGGCCGTTTTTTGGAGACAAAATTTATACGTAGAAGTTAAAGGATATTGAGATAAACGCTGTGATCAACGAAACAAACAACAGACTCAATAAGGAAAAGCTCTCGTACAAGAAGCAAGACATCAGTCATTACACCTTTACTCGAGAACCATGTGGGATCGGGGGAGAACCATCTGCATTGTTTGGCAAGAAAATCTCCCATACACCGAACTCGTTCTGTTCACAAGAAACCAATGAAAACCTTAGCAAAGAAAAGATTACAGCCACCGAATTTGTACTGAACTTCAAACGAAGGAAGCTTCAGCTCACGCTGATTGAGAACCGTTAGTTGGATTTTATGGGATTGAATCACCAATTGCTCCTCACTAGGTCGGTGCTAGAGGAGTTGGCAGTTAAGTCATAGGTTCGAATCCTACTTGAGGAGATGTGATTCATTTTTTGTAAGCAAATCGGAAGAGATCAAGCATAAAGACGTTATTAATGACAGATGGGAAGAGACCTGCATATTTGAAAAAATCGAGTATATTCAACATGAAGAATAGAGACAATGCACATTATAATGCAACTTTTACTGTCAATTAGGACTCTCAAACGCAGACGCACAACATTATAATGCCATATTTCTGCATCTTTGCATCAGAGGAAAGAAGTGTGACCTGAGTAAACCTCAACTACATAAATGATATTTAAGTACATATCCAAGAATCGACGAATAGAAAAAAATATGGATGGAAATAGGTAAATGGAACATACCTTCGTCATAACATCTGCGTTTGGATTCCAATTATTGAAATCTCCTATCAGCGCAGCCCACTGAAAAACATAAATAAACAAGACATTCATATGGCCAAAGGGACATAATGGACTATTATTCTTAGAAAGAAAATCCCACAAGGAAGGCAGATTCTGTTTCTATGACAGATACAGTTGAAGCAACTTGTAGATCCACATTGCCTACTTTCAGGAGTATTAATGGGTATTGCCAGCCGGAAAACCTAGTCTGGACCTTGTTTTTGAGTTTCCATGTCTAATCACATGTTGCCCCAAGGATTATAAGGATTTTTCAAATTTAGCTCCTATGTATAATATTTGTGCTACATTGTCAAATAAAGGATGCCAGAAGCAGGTGGCAAATAATGAATCAATGACGAAATGAAGAATCTAGAATGGTTACGAACCTTTGCCCCAGGAGCCCATTCCCTGTACGTGATCCCTGTTTCACTGAAAAATAATGCTAGTTCTAAGTAGTGATCAGTCAGAAGATAATTAGGAAAAAATAAATCCTGACATTATAGTTCTTCCAATGGTAGCAACTTATGATAAAAGAAAGCTATCATGAATTGAAATAAAAGGCGAACGAAACTTAGATATGATATCCTAAATTTAAAAGGCGTGACAGTGTATCTGAAAATTTAACTGACAATGTCTCTAAAAATGCCTATAAAGCAACAGGTAGAAAATATTTAATCACGTTAAATCAATAACAAGTCTAATGAGGAAAAATTTATACCATCTGACAAACCCAAACTTTTCATAACCTCGAGAAAATGCATCCAGCCCTCCTTCATAAGCATCAATCTGTTCCCGTATTTTTTTATATTGGCTATATCTGAACACACAACAACACCATTGAGATAAAACTGAAAATTCTGTAAAACAAAAGAATGATAGTAACCTTAAAAATAGTATATTGGTTTGGCCAATTCCAGAAGTATCATGCCTATGGCCTTGATGAATAATGGATAAAAGAAAGAAATGTTGAATCGGTCAAATGATGACATTTTCGCAAAAGCTTTATTAAAGCTTAATTTCTTTGGCGGGCACTACATGGTACCATAAATAGGGATCAAGCTGTTTGATTCGTTTAAAATGTTCTAGGAAACATCCCTCACCGGTAATCAAGGTGTGCACGATGACCCTCAAGCATCGGATCAATTTCATATATTCTCTGTCCACTGCCAGGAGGAGGCACACTTCTAGGCTTTGTCTCGAGACTTTCATCACTTTCATCAGCTTGGTCTTCTTCTTGGTCAGCTTCCTCTAAAAGTGTCAGTTCTGAAGTAACTGACTCTTGCTCAGCCTCAGCCTTATCCTCTGTTTGAAGCCCATCTTGGAATACCTAAAGAGAAACTTGGATAAGTTTCGGGAAAATTGGTTTTAACAGTGAAACAAAATAAAATGATTTCTTATACATTAAAAAACTTCAAAATTTTAACTCACCTAATAGTCACTGTAGAATGTACCTAAACCTTGAACTTTTACTCAAGAGCCAGGGGATTATGTAAAAACTGAATCTTATTTCCGAGACCAAATAAGATCAAATCTATCAGGAACTTGAATACTCCTTTTTCTCTAGTTGGTAGAAATATGTACTCATTAAATATAAAAACTAAAATGAGGGGCGTACATGCATGGATAGTCCTAAGAAAAACACGAGACAAACTATAGGTTAATCCACTATAAAGGTCAAAAGTTTGAAATTAAAGTAATAAATATGTAATCAAAAGTTCGAATTTACCTGCCATTAAACAAAAAATGTAACAACTCAAAAGTAGAAAACTACAATGTAATCAATTAAAAAAATCAGTACCAACGTGTATCAGAAGGGTGGCCTGTGCCTTATTGGAGACGAGTCAACTTGGCAGCATGAGTCTCTGTCCTTAACTTTGAGAACGCAAGGATCTAGAACAAGCATTGATGAAAGCTATGATGAAACACTTTTTAGTTGTCACAGAACAACCCCGAGTAATCACGTGTTGCACATAAGAGATGATCAGATATCAAACATCAAACTTTTCCTTCTTTCGGTAAATTTACATATCACAATATCCAGGCCTATATAAATTTGAAAGCAGGCTCAGTTTTAGAACGCCTCGACTAAAACGTCACCAAAAGACTTGCGATGAGCCTCTGTTATGTCTAAGGTATCCCTCTGTGCGACCACCTGTTACCAAACTATTCAATATTTTTCTATGAGTTTTCAGGCCATTAAGTGGACCCTTTCAACTGAATGGGAACCGATACACCCATTCTTCCAAACACACATCTTTTCTCTCCAATCCAAAAATAAATATGCAAAATAAATAAAACAATGACCATTACGGACAGACCTCGAAATCACCTGCTTCATGCTATGTTCCATGCAGTACATGAAGCACTGCGAAATGAAAATAAGACAGAAGAAAAAAAAAGGAGGAACACTAGAAATTGCAGATGACGTGAAGGTAAAAGGCTCTAACAATCGAGAGGGAATCGACCAAAAGGACTGCCTCAGTATAGACATAACTGATTCCAGAATACGAAAACGAGATAATTTTGTGAGAACCTGAAGGTCATCAGACGCAGCTTCTCCATCCTCAATTGTAGTTGTAGAGGTTGAAGGGTCATCAACTTGTACATCAGGGACTGGAACATTTTCTGAGGTTAGAGTTGTTGACGCCGACTCAGTGTCATACGAAGGATTACCCGCTAACAACTTCCCTAGACGCACATGGATCATGTTAGTAACGCCGTGAAGAAAACAACCAGACAGCACTTACTCATCGATGCGAGATCATTCGGAACAGCGGTTCATTTGGAAAAAGAAAGCCAAAATCGACAGATATCAGCATTATTTTGTTCAAGAACTTTCCGGTTTACCAGTCTGAAATCCCAAAATGGTTACATCATCCCGTTGGTTACCACTACTCGTCCCTAAAACAGAATGACCAAGAGGAATGTCGGCAGAAGAGTGTTGTGACAGAATATACGAGATTTTCCATTTAAAATTTGACAACATTGACGCACAAGATTGGGGTCGATGTTGGTGCCCAAGGTTGAAAAAATCGGAAACCACGATTAGAGGTTTAAATTAAAAACGCCGGCAAAGAAATCACGAAGGCAGAAGTACGAGAAGACGAGAGCTCACAGCGGGGAGAGGAGTCCCTCCTCACGGCACGAGAAGACGACAGGCTTGCTCTGCTCCTCTCCCCATGATGAACGGATCGGAAGTATGGCGCGGTCGACGGCAAAAGAGACGCAGCCTGCAAGGCGGGGAAGCGAATTCCAGCAATGGCGAACGTCGCCATCTCCCTCGCCCACCCCCTAAGGAAGGCCCAAGGCCGTCGGCTGCAAGGACCAAGGGGGACGAGAGCGCTCCTCACAGATCCTTCGCGGTGGCGGTGGCGGTGGCGGTGGCGGTGGCGGAAAGTTGCCGAGAGAAAGAGAGAAACGAACAGAAGAAGCAGAGAGAGCGAGGGAGTTGCAAGTGAACTTGAGGGAGGGAGAGAGAGAGAGAGAGAGAGGGATGGCAGATTCTTAAGGCGCTTCTGCCAACTTACGTGTGCGGCTAAGAGTTGCTGAGCGGGTCCGGCCAGAAGAAAGGCCCCACTTTTCGGGTCCCACGCTTCTCTCAACCCGAGTCGTCGAAACCCGACTCATATGATGGTAATTTGGAGATTTATTCCCCTCCCCCAGGGGATGCGGATATTCTTCAGCGCTGCGATCGAAATATGCCCGCGGTGGACAGGGTGGACCGTCCGATCGGATCATGTGGACTCGACGAACCCCCACCGTTCAGTTAATGAAGCCACAACGTGGCTGTTTGGCACGCGCCCGGCTCAGAAGAGGTCGCTCGGGTTTTCAACGGTCAGGAACGCGAACGCCAGACAGCCGCACGTGACCTACGTGACGACGAACTGGGCTCGTTGCCCGGTTACTTTCTTATCCCTCCCGCGCCTTCTTGGATCCCCCACCCCCAACGTAGTATACGCCCTGAAAAGCCCACCTCCAATTTCTTTCCTTCACGCTCTCTCTCTCTCTCTCTCTCTCTCTCTCTCTCTCTCTCTGTGAAATGGGCAGTTCTGCAGCAGAGTTACTCCAAGCACGGAGTACTCAAGCATGGAGGGCCGACTAGCTCTAGCTGGCACGGAGCAGCAATGCGGTCGGCAGAAGAAGCCATTTCTAGAAGAAAAAAAAGAAGCGAGTAGTTAATCATCTGGGAGTTCGAGAGAATTAGCGAGCAAGCAACAGCTTTTCCAGTAGAATAGTAAAGTGCATAGAACAGGATGTTATCTGAGAGGAAAGTTGACTGAATGAGAACCTACCTCATTTACAGGGGAAGAAGCAGAAGAACAGGGCTTGAGCGTCTTGTAATAATTTCTCATGCCGATGAGACAGGCTTCCTTGTCGCTTTGATCTGAGAGGGCTTCTGAGTCGTCCTAATCAGAAGACCCACCAGGATTGGACCCGGGATCCGACCCATTCAACTGAGCTTCTTCTTCCTCCATCTCCGCCGGGAAGCTCTGCCCACCGGGCCTCAGGTGCTCCTTCACCCCCTCGAGAATGTACGGCTCCGTCAGCTTCCAGAACCAGACCGCGTTGCTCCCTTGGAGACCGATCCAGAACGTCCCGCCCTTCTTCTTCACCCTGCAGTCTATCGACTTTGCCTGCAACACCTTGATGACTCTCTGGGCATCCTCCTGCTCGCCGCCTTTCAGCCTGAGCAGAACGTCGCCGGAGGAGGACCTGATACCGCCGTACATGTACCAGTAGGCCAGCGCGCGCTCCGACAGCCATCGGTGGATGAGGGTCGGCACCGCCGGCCGGCCTCTCGGCCGGAACTTGTCCCCGAAGAAGGTGAAGTTCGAATGCGGGACCGTGGAGAACCGATGCGGCGGGTCGTCGTCGCCATCGCCGTCGCCGTCAAGCCGGTTCGACGGAGTGAGCCACTCGAAGTATCTCTGATGGATGTGCTTCCTGAGGAGGGAGTGGACGGGATGATCTTCGTTGAACTCGAAGTGAACGACGGAATGACTCCTCGCCGCCTCATCCGGCTCCACCCGTAGACCACCCAGCAGCAGGCCGACCAATATTTCCCGCTGTTCTATGTCCAGTTTCAGGCTCACGGGCTTGTCGACGACCTTCCTCTTCGAGCTGAGGATCTGATCGAGCTGCGTCGCGAGCGTGGGATCGATGCCGTACCGCTTCTGGGTCATCAACCTATAAATCTTCTCGGCCTTGGTGTGATCGGCAGAAGCGAGAAATGCCCCCAGAATTACGTTGCAGGATGAGCTGTTACTGCCGATTTCGGGGTTCGTGTGCATCTCGTTGAATATCTCCTCTGCCTTCTCGAGATCGCCGGTCTTCACCAGGGAGTTCAAGTAGATATTGTAGATGCTTCGACTGGCCTGGCTCTCTGAGCGGCACTGAGAGAACAAGCGTTCAATCCTGTCGTGCATGTTCGAGGTGAGGTACATGTCCATGATGCTGGCGTAGGAAGACGAGAGGGGCTTCAAGCCGCTCGCGACAAACTCGCCCAAGAGTTCCTCTGCGGTTCCGATCTCCCGGGCTCTTGACATCACCTCGATGATCTTACTGTACGCCGGTGCAGTGGCGGTGACGCCGTGCTCCGGCATGCTCCGGAATATCTCCAGTGACCGCAGGGGCTCTCCGACCTTAGCGTGAAGCTCCATCCTGTAAACAAAGGCCTGGGGAGGGAGGGTGGCAGAGCCTGATGACTCGAGGAGCTTGTTCCAGACCCTCTCCGCTTCTTCCACGTCGCCCACCTTCGAGCAGGCCCTCAAGACAGAGACGAGGACTTCCTCGTCCTCCGGCATCCTCCTCCTCTGCATTTCCTCCCTCAGGGCCGCGATCCTCTCCGTGTCCACGACGTCCTGGTGGCTGTGGAGCCATATCATCCCGGCGTACACGTCCCTCTGTATCTCCAGCTCGCCTGTGACTAGGTTGGTGAAGATGAACTCGGCCTGCTGGAGGTAGCGCTTCGAGGAGGGCCCTGACTTGCCGAGGAGGGCCTGGAAGAGGGCGTTGTGTAGGCTCAGCCGAGGGCTGTAGCCGCCCACCTGGATCATCTTGTTGTAGACACTGCAAGCTTCGTCGAGGCAGCCCTGCACGGGGGCGCTGAGATACGCCGCCGTGAGGTTGTGGAAGGTCGTCTCGCTCGGCACGCGGCCCTGCTTGATGATGTCGTCGAACACCTCCCGGCATTTCAGGAACTTCCGGTCCTTGCCCAGGCAATCCGCCAGCTTGGTGGCGAGGGGGAAGTCGAAGCGGAATCGAGGCTGCGCCAGCATCCACCTGTACACCTGGAGAAAACCAGAAACATGACCGGGGGGTTCATGGGAGAGAAGCGAAGAAAAGATGGATGATGGAGGCAAAAGGGCGAACAGGAGGTGGGCAGCACGGAGGAAAGGGAGAATTCTCTCAGAGCACGAAGAAGAAGAAGGCCTCATTCACCTTGAAGGCGGCGTCGTTCTCGCGCATCCGCAGGCAGTGAACGACGAGGTAGGTGACGTCCTGCTGGGATATCCATTTGCGCTGGGCGTTGAGGACGCGGGTGAGTGTGCCGGGCTTCTGGCCTGGTAATTGCTTGCAGAGCCAGGCCACCTTCGAGCGCCGCCACTGCTCGGGGAGGTCTTCCAGCTCCTTGACCAGCACCTCCTCTTCCTCCCCCTCTGCACCTCCTCCCTGGTCCCGCAGCCGCGGCGGTGGTGCTTCCGCCGCCGCCGCCGGCGACTCCGCGTTGGGCCTCGAGAGGCGGAGAGGAGCGGAGAAGCCGTGGGAAGAGCGGGCGGCGCCCGCGTGACGTAGGACGGGGCTGCCGCTGCTGCCACTGCCACTGCGGAGGGGGGGCTTGTGGAGGGTAGGGTAGAGGGACAACGGCGAGAGGAACCGAAGAGCCATTGTACGGACTCTCAGAGGAACCCGGATTTGGATTTTCTCAAGGGACTTATTCCCGTCCGTCGGATGCGAGTCAGCTACATTCGCTTCGAAACTTATTACCTCCAGCTTCAACCCATCAGGATTCATGGCCAGTAAAACCTTCTTGACTCACCAAATCTGCTTTCAGTAGAGCGAGAGCGAGAGAGAGAGAGAGAGAGAGGAGGTGCCTACACCCTCTCCTCCACACACGCCGTCCACAGCTGCCTGGAGCTCCACACCTGGACTATGGTGTCCCTGCGCACGGGCCTCCATCTCCCAACGTCAAAGCCGCACCTTTGGGACCGGCACCGGGCAATCCTCACGATGCTCACGAAGGACCTCTCACTGTGCTGCAGGAATCAATAACAATTTTGAGAGAAAGAAACTTCTCTCTCTCTCTCTCTCTCTGTAATGCGGCGGATTAAGCGAGGTCACCTACACTTGGGCTGTCAAATCCGCCTTCACAGGCATCGCACATGTCCAACGCAATCTTTCGGAGCAATGGCAGCTGAAATTCGACGCAGCGGAAGAGGCCCCGTGAGGGGAGGAGTTTTTTGTCAAAGAATAAATAAATTCAGCAGACCATGCCGCAGCGCATCGGAAGCCATACCTTCGAAGCAGCGTAGGATATGATGTTCCTCTTGACTCCCCTGCCCTGCGGTTGAAAGAGGAGAGATTAATGGTGGCGAAGTGCTAGATGTCCAAGTTCTTCCTGGTAGCCCAGATGATCCTGCCGACATGAAAAAACTCGGCAACGAGGACCCAGCTGGTCTGCTGGCTGCTGTGAGGGTAATCTTAGGTTTCAGACTGGTATAAGTTGACTTCCGTTGCATCTAATCACCCTGATCGCATCCCATCTTGGATTAGATCAGGCCCAATCTAATCCTGGGCGATCGTAGACTCTACGATCAGAACTGTGTCTAGTCCAGTCCATATTACACGGTTTTGACTCGAATAATTGTGTAGCATGAATAATTATTTTAATGGCAAATAATTGTGTAGCATGAATGAAAAATTGACGACGCATATTTCAGTACTCACATTGTGACAAAGCAGAAGATCCTCAATGGCTACGCAGTCCAGCAGCGAGCAAACTCCCGCAGAGGTTATGCTCCCGCAATCCTGATGTAAGAATAAACAACAAAAGATCATCGGGTTTCAGAAGTAATGGTAGATTCAGAGGGATAACAACCCCACTGGATTTTCTCTTGGAGAAGGAAAACTGAGTAGATTGACAAGTGAAGCAGTCGTGCATGGAAAATAGTGGAAAGTGAATCGAAAATAAGTGAAGCAGTCCCCCATGTCTGACGATTAGTCGTATCTGACTCCTCATATGGCCAGTAACCCATTCTTCTTCCTAGGGGAGGGAGAGAGATCCCCAACTAGCAGAGCATTTCGATTGCTTCCAGCGGGCTTGATCAATTACGGGGAGATTTTACAGTAGTATGAAGCAAAGTGTTGATGCCATCTCTGTCATCACCCTGATGGAACAGTGTACTCAATGAGGATGCAAAAGGGATTTCTCGGGCATTACCAAGAGTGGCACACAACAAGTTTCCTTCTTCCATCGAGGCAACTCTACAGATAGGAGGGAGTTTTCCGGAGGGAATACAGAACCCGTTAGCGAAATGAACTAAGATAGATTTTCTCATCGAGCAGATGAATACTGCTCATCACTTCATTCGGTAAAAACGGAACAGAAACGCCAGAAACAACGTATGCAACAGACCTCCAAATGAAGAACTGTCAATCCCGGCCATCCAGATGAAATTATCTGTTGTGCGTCTGTAAGAAGGAAAACAAGGTTTCTTGAGAGATGCAGCCCATGGGAACAGATAAAAGGTACAAGAGATAAAAGCAAACTGAGTGTCTGCCAAAACCGGACTCGACGTAAGATCACTTTTCTACCTGAATTGAGAAGCCTACAGCCAGATAACGAGAGTTCCGTCAGATTTAAACAATTCGCGCTGAGGGTTATCAAGTCATCATTTGTCATCCAAGGAGTCGCCCTTTCTAGCCTCAATGACTTTAGGGTTTTCATGCTAAGTTGAAAGCTTCCTGAGGTCAAGTCACAGAGGCAGCAGCAGATGTCCAAAACATGTAGATGACGCAAGGATTTCAGAATGCTTCTCAGATCACTGTCAGAGATTACCTGCCAACCACATCAACTACTTAGTTTGTAAGCGAGCGTCTCAAGATATTTATTCCGTTCTTGGTATACCTGAAATTTAAGGACCAGCGTGTCTATCAAGGGGCAAATCTCAGGCAGTAGAGATACATCCAGTGATGCGCCAAGACCAATTGACATGGTCCTTACTCTCGCAAATGCGTTCTTTCCTTTAAATAATGACGAAGAAGTAAATCCCCAGCCAAAAGCCACTTCTTCCACGAGGCATTTCTCGTTCAGTTCCCGAAACAGATCTTCAGAACTTCCCTCGCTAGTTGATGTTGAAGCAACACCTTCGGTGTTGTAAAAATTCCAACACCCACTCACTCTCAACATTCTAAGATCTGGGTTTCTTTTTATAACATGACATAACGCACGAAATGAAACCTAGAAAACGAGAAAGTCAAATATTAAGGGACAGATGTCTTGCTGCAATTCGCACAAATTTTGCAAAAAGGAAAGTCGAACATGCATGGATTCGCGGTGTCAAATATCAGCAAGGAATCTAATACAAACTAAAGTAGAACGTCATTCTACGAAATTCTTCTATAAGTGTATTCTAAGCTATTTTTAGTCATCTCCACTAATACCACGTCATCTGCCAATGGCAACCGCATGAAAGGTAAAAAGAAACCAACAGACCTGAAGCTGATCCCTAAAATGGACCAAGAGGATTCGATAATCATCAGTTCTACAAACACCCTCATTAGAAATAGCTGTTTCACAAATACCTTCAATGGTGTGCACATGACCTCTATTTGTTTCTAAATGATGTCATTAGGCACATCTTCTACGTCATATTCTTTCTCAATGTCCATTGCATTGAATTCTTAACATGTTCTTAGAGAAGATATCAATTCAATAATCAACACATTTTCCAGGAAGAAAGATCGATTTAAGCACAGTCAACAGATTTTCCAGAGGAATGAGGAAAGTATTGAGACCCCTAAATGTGTGGACACATAAGGCTCAAAAGAGACTAAATTACACACAATCAAATAACTGGTCGACAGTCTTATACTAAAGGAAGAAGGCATCACGTGAGCTTACCAACATGTGTCAACAACTTCATAGAAGAATGCCTTAAATAAATATCGTTTCAGAGTTTATATCCTAACCCATCTCAATGATCACATTCAAGGCGATCACAAAAGATATTTTGGTCTTCAACATCTTCATCTTTCACTATTTTTTGGGAAAAAATTGAAATTTATCAGACAATAACAGGCTTCAAATTTACCGTGAGAATATTCAGCATAATTTGACTAAAACGTTAAATACATTTATAACTTCAGCAATGGTCAATAATTTATTTTAGCCTAATATCCTTTTTCTGGAAACCGTAAAAGAGAGGGAGAGGGAGAAAGGAAGAAGGTAGAATGGGTATGGCGTAAAGGTCTGTAAGTGTTTATTCAGCCCATACTCACCTATTTCGTGTGGAGAAGACAGATAAGTTTTATTACTACACCCCAATGAGTATATTAGATTACAACTGTACCATTAAAATTGGAGCAAGTAGACCCCAATACGTTTTTGATTGGTCTGGCCTGAAAAGATCGATTCAAAAACCTTGAATAAGTTTATCAATTCAATAAATGATTACAATGTACTTTGATAAACTTGGGGAAACCTTTTGGATTTTTATTAAAGTTAAGGGGGGGAAGGAAAGCATTATAACTGGAAAATTAGACAAATAATCAACTTTCACGCAAGAACAGAGTGCCACAACTAGTCTATTCAGATATCCCGAAGAATGAGAAGATAAAAACACACAAAAAGTCCTATATTCTGAAGCATACCAGAGTCTCAGAAACATCAAGTCTCTCCAATAATGATCCCCTATATTCCGAAAGAGCATCATCGGCGAGAGAAGTCTTACATAAGCTCAAGCTTTTTAACATGAATAGGCATCTCAAAAGTTGTTTCATATGCCTAGCCTCAACACCTGCTCAGTAACAATTGTTGCATATGAGAAAAACAAGTCAAATGAGATAACAAATGTTCATAAACGAATTCAAACCTTTAACCAATGGACATCACGCCTTGGCGTTTAAATATTGGTCAACGATGCACAAGTCAAGGTCTACAGTCGGAGGAGAATGGCTGAATTTGTGAATAATGTAATAAGGATTTCTTCTGCTGATTTTGGTGGGTTCTAAATTCTATCTTTGACTATTTTGGCTATTTCTAGGAGCATTTAAGGTATATAAAAGTCCCAAGCATCTAAAGTCAGAATTCCATCCCATTAGTTATGGGAGAAATTGGGATTGATGAGCGCCCCTTCAAAGGCCTCATGTTGCCCCTATAAATAGGAGGCTGAATTTGATGTCAGAAAAAAAAACAATCTTTCGAATGAAAATTCTGCTCCTAGCTCTTCTCCAAGAGGATCGTGAAGGTCCTCCAGTGTGAAAGCGGGGCCCTAAAGTATGACGTTGACGGTTACTTCGTCCTTCGTCGATCCATAACAACCTGTAGGCTGTGTGGGATTTATTTATCTCCGAGAGATGGATAATTGCTAGGATTTCTGTCCTAAGATTGCCAACTGCAAGTCTCTGTCCAAGGCGCCAAGTGTTCCAGGTAAAATCGTTGTCAATCCTATTCTGGGCCCCTCATCTAATTTGCTATTAAACATCTTGAATTGCTGGCTACACTGGTCTCCAAGTCCCCACCAGCCCTAACTCCCCAACCCTTATTCTAGTAAGCCATTACACATCATAAATAACCACCCTAGCCAGAGGAAGTTTCCATGCTTCCTACGATCTAAGTCCTGTTTTGAAAACAAGGCACCTGTCAGTGGCCTTAAACATTACCCTTTTATGACCACTCTAAGAGAATATTTTTTTAGTTAGACAGCCTTCATTTAAATTGGCATCTTTTTTATTTATCTTAAAACCACTCACAAGCATGGCGTGTCTCGCATCAAACTGTAGACATAATCAATTGGACTGATGATATTAGGAAAATAACCAAAAAAGAGTATAAAATTATGAAAATAAGGGTTGGCTTTGATAATGACTTACCCTTGCATCCATCCATCTGCAGCTCTTTGAGACTAAATGCTGTCGTGTTTGAATGGTCGTAGTTCTGATATGATCGAAGGGAAGCATTTGGAAACTCTTTTTCATAACAAAGCATTAGAACTGAATTCATCCCAAAGGAGGTGTAAGATACAGTTATCGACTGAAGACAGATGCATTTCTGTAATAGTTTGGATATGCCAACATCAGTTAGTGCTATACACCCTTTAAGATTCAGGCAGCACAAAGAACCAGAAATAGCACATATATTTGAGAGGTCCAAATCTGAAATGACAGGAGTTAATAAATTAGCGTTCATCCCAGCATTTATTCAAAAAACAAGATGGCATGATAAAAGGCATAGCTAATGTGAATATATTTTAGATGATGAAGCACGTAGAGCCTTCAGACAAAACTTCCAAGTTAGATAAAATAAAGCAGAAACCACTAATTTCTGAGAGAAATCAGGAATGAGAGCACCATCTGTGTGTGTGCAGAAAAATTCCGGGCATAACTAAATTTCATTTCATATCTTACCATTAAGATCAATTCGGCCTTCCAACGTCAGCTTTGTGATATTAGATACCATTGGCAGATGCTGTAGTGATGCATATGGTGCACCAGAAAAAGTTTGATACTGTTCAGAACTTGCCGAGGATAATGATGCATGAGTGGGTATAACAGGACTAATATCGACAGTTAAGTCAATATTAACGAGTGAAGGGCAATTTCGTACGAGGGAAAACAAGTCCTCCATTTTGACATGGGAGCAATAAGATAACTTCAACACTTGCAATGATGGAAATGATGAATGTAGTAAACTGATTACAGCATGAAAATGCAACTTCGGGCATTTAGACATATCAACCTCCAATACAGTTTCAAAGGACAGTGTTGTCGGCAACTTTTCCAAGAAGCAATGACTATTTCCACCTCGTTGATCACACTCAACCAAAGTTTGTAGTACCCTTTTCCTGGATACAGCCTCCATGTCGTTTGGAAGGACAGCCAAGTATAGAAGATCCGCCGTAAAATGCACACAGCCGGAGAGATCAATTTTCTGGCCAAAAGAAATACGGAAATGTATAAGATAACGAAAAGCTATATTATCAGACAACTCTTTTTGGATACAAAGAAAGTAAACACAGAATATTCATAAAGGACAGCAGGAAGAATGTGAAATAAAGAGTTAAATTCTGATATCATCAATCTGTCATTCTTTCTAATACTGCAATTTAAAATGTTCAATAAAGTTTTCCAGCAAGTTCATTTGTCATAAATTTATGGTACCATTTTATCAATCGAATAAAAGGCAATAAAGAGGGCAATAAGCTTTCACTGTACCTCAGAGTACTGAGTTAGCCGAACCTTTAAGTTATCAGAGTTATCATCCTTAATCAAACCTAATAGTTTAGATGGCAATTCTTTCGTGAGATCAAGGATGCCATCAATGCTCACTTGTGCAATGCTAGAAAACCAACGGCTCTTTTTCTTTCCTGAAAGATTTCAGCAGACTTCAATGACTTGATGAAAAGGTTCAAATTTCGGGATTTTCTGAGAAATTAGAAAGACAAACCTCTACCTGCAGAATATCCCAAAGGCAAAAGGAAAGCACGCACCTGCCAAATGCAACGAACAAACAATCACCAACGAAAAATAACAATTGTGCAGGTAAAAAAAAGTTAGAACATATTAAAAAAAATGCAGGCTAACTGCATCATTCACATCTAGAAATTAAACAAGATGGTTACATCATTCATGCATTAGAGAGACTCTATGATTGGAACATAAATGCATTCAATCACAGGAAATACGAGCATCAGCTATCAAGGCTCACGCTCTACAAGGATAGATATTGCCAGCTAATTTCAATTTTAAGAGTGCATCACAAACCCACACTTCTTACCTTCTCGAGGATGCTGATATAATCTTCCTCAAAATCACATGAACATTCAGAAATCTTTCTATTGCTTTCGATCCAGTGTAGCAGTGCCTCACATAGTTGCTCCTCACTGCTGAAGACTAAAATCAAAATCTAGTTCAAGTATTTTAAAATCGAACATAATTACTGATAGAAGTGGTCACCAAAAAGATAACAAATGCGATATTTGAAAACACTATGTAATATAAAGTCGGATTGGAAAATTCTTTTCGTTGTTGAGAACAAGAAGTGAAAAAAACAATCCAGTATCTTAAATCAAGTTAGCATACTGCAAATATGGGTCAACCTGTACACAGTCAGATCAGGATGCTCTAGGCAGGAGCATAAGAGGTCATATGGAAGATCGACAAAAGAGGTGCAGGTTATTGTCCACACCTGCAGGAAACCCAAAGCTTATGAAAGTGTCATCTCATTGTGATGAGCGAACAAGAAAACACATTACCTACCCAGTCCCTCATCACTAAAAAAGAAAGAAACAAAAACTGTCATATTTAATGAAAATCAGCATGCAAAAATTGTAGTTCATGTCCTTCAACCACACCCTTTCAGATAATAAACTCTGCCTTTCAAAACAAGGGTAGTTCTTGTCATTCAAAATGACTCCAATAACTCACACGTAATCTAAGCCACTATGTTTTTCCACCACATATTAATATCCATCATTAGATCCGACATTGAAACCTCTTTCCTACGTGATGCAGGGATGACAACTCCCGACATATATTTTGGCAACTAACAATATAATTTAATTTACTCTCTTACAAGCAAGGCTCCACATCACAACCAGGGTAAAAATGAAGGATGTGACGCTATGAGTTAACATTTTATAAGCTAAGTGTCAGCCTAGGTGACATGGGAATTGAGCCCAACAAGGACAAAGGCATGCAAAGAACACAAAGCTGACTTCGGTAGTATCTGCTTGTTTATCTTTGTAAGTTATTAGAGTTCACAGAGCTCTGGTCAGGAATTAGTGCTAATTCACTATTGTGGTTTCCAATTAAAAGTTTGAAATCTAGAGCTCTAATACAAGAAGATTCACTTTGGTACATGTAATGAAATATTCCTTATTGTCGAAATAAAAAATGCTTTTAAGTTTGATTGGATGTATAGAAAGAATAAAAGTAGAAACAGTTGACACATTTGAGTTGTTAGTGGTGACCAATTTTATTTTTTGTTGCAACACACTATTCATCAGCCCATTCCTTCTTCATCAAAGAAATACTGATATGACGATGATAATAATTACAAATGATTAAAATTTGATAGTAGATGCCAACCGCAAATTTAACTGGAGAGTTATTGGAAACAGTCAAATACAATCATCATTTCCTGGGAAATAAAAGGTAGCCTTGGCAACTAAGGGACAATGTGAAAATAATCTGATAGAAAAAAAGTCATGTACCCACAAAGTTTCGAGCTAGGTAAGCAGCGCAAATCTCCGAGGCAAAACTAATACCTGCAATCATGAAATTTCACCATATTTCATGAATCATTGAAATTTTTATTTTTATAAATATCTTCCAATTGTTAAAGTATAGTTCAGCATGATGAAAAACACTATTGTTTTTTCTCAAATACAGGTGGCACGTGTTTACCGTGCTCTGAGCTGTACTTCCAAATTTCTGTCATTGTGTCTACTGAAATTTTAAGGGAATGTGTTCCCCACACGGACGTAATCTGTTGTAGCCAAGCTTTACACTCGGACAAAAGAGAATCCACCCCAAAAAATAGGGAACCCTGGAGATGATGAAAAAAAATGTAATATTCTAGCTATGCACGCGCTTGATTCCAGAGAAGGATGTGAAAGCGAGCTTAAACATCTTGGGGCAAAGCTAGAAAAGAACCTTAGAAATATGAGGTAGCAAAAATCGTCTCAGAAACGAAGACAGAGAAAATTGTGGGAAATTAAGTATGCGGTCGCATGTTTAATGAAGAAAATCATAGCACACTCCGCTAGACAAGTCAGTGAAGTTAAAGTCTTTGAATAACACGAGATGCTCTGACAGAGTCGCGGGGCGGAGAAAACCCTGTATACTAGAGAGAAGATCGAGGAATAGCGTTTCATACAATTAGGCAGAATAAGTGCAGAGTAAGGGAGAAGGAAACAGATCGCTTATGAGATGATCGAGACCTTGACACTGAGTACCATAACTTCCGCAGGGCGCGTGTTAATTATGATTTGTGGAGGTGAGAAATAAAACGTGCCTTACCTCGAGGAGGACGAGGAAATTCTCCGGTTCGATATTCAGGGGGTGACCACATATGCACTGCAGAACACTGACGGCCGTTCTGAGGTTGCATCGGATGCAAACTTGACTGGAAACCGATTCACTGAAGAGAGAAAAATAACCATCCAGGAACAAGTGGTCATCTCCCCCTTAAAATGAAAAATACAGACATCAAAGTGATGCCGATAATACCCTGTTGAGAGCCACAAGACAAGCAGGCGAACGAGTTCATTCAACTAGCCCCGCAGACGAGATGGTCTGTCGTACTTGGCGTACCTGAAGCTCCCACCGAGGAGACTGCGGAAGTACGAAGATCCTTCGACAAGCCTGCTCCGAGAAGCGTGCACTTTAACCGTCGGAGACCGAAGAATTCGAGGAAGATCCCAGTTGCCGACTTCGGAGGTCGAGAGAGTCATCTCCCCCTGGTCCTCGTCCTCGCCGGCCGCATCGTTCTCCTCCTCCATCGCCGCCACATCAGATGATTCGGTGAACACCAGGACCACGACGTCTTCCTCGCACCCGGCCACCATGGCGGACAGTGAAGCACAAATGCCTCCTCCCACGCGGGCGCGCGAATGAGTAGCTAGCCGGTAAATAAGCAGATTTCAAGGAATGAAATAATAAGCGTCGTCGAATTATATATGCTTTTAAATTAATAGGCCTTAAAAGCTCGGATTTCAACACAGGAATCGCCATTAAAATAAATAAATAAATATATATATATGCGTGTGTGTGTGCAGCAAGAGGCCAGGTTGGATTTTTAATCACGAGTTTTATCGATGATATTCCGTTTTTAATAATAGGACGTATCTGCCGTCCGATTAACTTAGCTAATTATTTTTATTAATTTAGATAAATTAATTTTAATTTTGGTGCATAGAGGTACCCCACCGTGTGCTCTTTTTTATTATACAGAGATGGATATTATTTAATAGGACCTGAAAAAAATACGAGTCGAATCGGACCCATCGGTCTCGTCTGTCGTCTTGGATAATTTGGAGAAGAAAATCAGCTGGCTATTAATTTCAGGAATATAGTTGTATCTTTTGGGGAAATTTCAGAGTGAAATGACGGTGGGGTCCCAGGAGTTATCACGTCGAGGACGCCCCAAAATAGGAATTTCGGTGACCATCCTCGCCGAATGCGGAGAAATCCTCCGCCGGGGAGCTCGTCTCAGAATCGCCTCCCGCGTCCGGCCTGCCCCCTCTGCGTGACGGGGATCGATCGCTCGAAGGTTGGTGGTGGTTCTAGGATGAAGACCAAAGACAGGATCGCCTACTTCTACGACGGTGCTCCTCTCTCTCTCTCTCTCTCTACGAGCTCGCCCGCATGGTTCGCTTCCGTCTCTGTAGAGCCCTTTCGCCCTGAGTTTTGAGAGAGCTAGTGGAGAGCGTACTGATAATTACGGGAGTCGAATATGAGATCACGCGGGAGGTTGCGGATATTTACCGCTCTGGTTCAGAGTAGAGTCAATGTGAAATAATTGGACGAAAAATAAAATGGACAAAAAAGAAACTGTTGTCTGGAGTCGCACGTCGTCATAGAAGCAGAGAGGTTGGCAACGCAATAAGTAGATTTAAGAGAGGGGGAAATATATATATATTTTTTAGAAGAAATTGGAATCCAACCGAAGAATTACAACAAATCGTGGCGTCCTGAAAGTCATTGGATGCTAGTGCTCCATTCTTCACTGGACTCTCTTCTCTCTGATTTCAGAAGACTGTGCAGTATTTCCTTATTTGTCTTGCTTTTGATCTGGCTCTTGTTGCTGTTTCAGGAGACGTGGGCAATGTTTATTTTGGACCAAACCATCCAATGAAGCCTCATCGCCTCTGTATGACTCACCATCTTGTGCTCTCTTACGGACTCCACCAGAAGATGGAGATATATGTTAGTCATATACAGTGATTTCGTTACTGTAAATGACCCACCCACGCGCGTGTCGATGTACTTGAAGCTGTCCTGCTGAATTTCCTTCATTATGTATGCAGCGTCCGCACAAGGCATATCCTGTTGAGCTTGCCCAGTTTCACTCGACAGACTATGTGGAATTTTTGCATCGGATTACTCCAGACAAGCAACATCTATTTCCAAATGAATTAAAAAAATGTACGAGTGAGAGGCATGCAGTTATTTCCTCTCAATGCATAATTTTTACAAGCGTCTTTAAGAGAGTTTCAGTTTCTATGCTAAGCTGAACTTTGGAGCCCGGCTGCCAGTATATCAATTTTTTTGCTTCTAAATTATACTCAGTCCTTGCATTCTGTTACATCTCTTTTCCAAAATTTTGCAAAAATAACTTGGAATAAGATTCACATTTGCTGCATTATCATGAAGAAAGGGACTCGATGAGTATTTTTTATGCTATGCACCCTGATCCCATCAGTTCATCTTTGTCAAATCTTTCTTTTTTCGGGCGCTAAAAGCTTCTTTTTGCAGATAATGTCGGGGAAGACTCCCCCATATTTGATAATTTATTTGAGTTCTGTCAAATTTATGCTGGCGGCACGATAGGTAATAGCAAATTTCACAATACAAAATATTTTTCCAGGTGGGATTATATTTCAATTGCTTGATTTTGTTTTTTAGATGCTGCACGGAGATTGAACAATGGGTTATGTGACATTGCCATTAATTGGGCTGGTGGCTTGCACCATGCAAAAAAGTGTCAGGCCTCTGGTTTTTGTTACATCAATGACTTGGTTTTAGGGATTCTGGAACTTCTTAAGTATCACGCTCGAGTTCTCTATATTGATATTGATGTGCATCATGGAGATGGAGTTGAAGAAGCCTTCTATTTCACAGACAGGTAAAGTAAAATTCCATTTCAAATCCATGTGTTTATTTAGTTAGATTTACAGGATAATTGCGATGTGTTTGAAGAGAAAGTGCATGATGCACATGGATTAATGTAGTACGGTTTATAGTAATAGCCTTACTTGTTTTTCAGGGTGATGACTGTTAGTTTTCACAAATATGGCGATATGTTCTTTCCTGGAACAGGAGATGTTAAGGTAACTTTTTTCTGCTATCTTTATAGCTTACTACTATGGTAGTGTATGTAGTGTATGAAGATGTGAGAATCTCATCTTTTGAGCTACTTTGTCTGGTGTCATCTTGTTTTATTTAGTGGATCGTGAATTATAAGAAATGCTTGAGAGTTGCCAATTTCCTTATTTAGTTGCATCCTCTGTGCTTTTATTTTAGAAAAGTACATCTGTCACTGCAGATTATTCTAATTCTTGTGCATGTTTCCATCAGATATAGTTCTTCTTCGTAACAAAGTGCAATGAGATAACTGCACTTGCTTGGATTTTACAGGAAACAGGAGAAAGAGAGGGAAAATATTATGCCATAAATGTTCCACTCAAGGATGGCATAGATGATAATAGTTTCACTCGCCTTTTCAAAACAGTAAGTTCAAATAAACGGCTTCATCTTGCAGTAGAAAATTGATGTAAAAAAAACGGGTCTGGGTTTTCTCGAGTTACCATTCTTTTTTAGGGTTTCAGCAGAATATGTTCGTATGCAGATCATTGCGAAGGTTGTTGAAATATATTCGCCAGGAGCTATTGTTCTCCAGTGTGGTGCTGACTCACTTGCTAGGGATCGCCTGGGCTGCTTCAATCTGTCCATTGATGGTGCTCGTCCTTATCTTAATCTTTTTTCTCATTGTCATCTATGTGTTGCGCTACAAGTGGTTCTTAAATCCGAAAATAATGACAGTAACGGTGGAAGTAATTTTTTGTCCTTCAAGAGGCAATCACTTGGGTTAACTAATACGTCATCATCATGAAAATGTTTGAAGTGAATATTTACGTTGCCTTTTTGTTTATCTTACTTATTAACACTGGAAACACCAAAATGCTAGGCTTCGAATTTTATGTTGTTTTAATTTTCCATGTTCGCAGCTATCCTTTAGTGTTTGGCCTGGGTACAAGATATCCAGGCCAGCCTAAGAAATTTGAGATTATCTGTATTGGTTAAATATTTGAATCCCTGGAAAGAAAATTATTGTCTCTGTATAGGAATCCTGCGTCCTGGGTCTTGAATGAAAATTGACTTAAACGGTTGGAAAGCAGTATGGAAAAAAAAATCTGAAATTTTTGGGTTGCCACGAATAAGCTGTCCATTAACAACGCATAAGGACCGCCAATCTGATTCCCATGCTACCCTGAGTAGAGAGAGGCCTATTAGGATCTCTAAAAAGACCAAGGTCTCTTCTGGCATCCCTGCCCATTACGTAAAAGATTTAAGCAGCTAACAACAAGGTGGCATCAATCATGGGTATCTGGTAGAAGAAGAGGGACTGGTATGGAGATTGCTGGCGATTTACCACTGGCTAAAATAGGTCAAACTATTGATGAATCTTGAAGTGAAGTGATAAGACAACAAAGGGGTTTTCCCCTTCGCAAAATGCTTCTCTACAATAAGTTGAGTAATAATTGTTTTTATGGGATTTGTGCCACCATAAGAAAGGTAACAACACTTGAGGACATTGTTGAATTTTGGGCCTTAGCCCAAGTTCTAATAATACTCCACGTGGTCTTAAAGCCAGTGGTCATAATGCAATAAGGCTTTATGAGGTGATAAAATGATAACGTGAGATCATATATAGGCTTAGAACTCAACAAGTTACAGAGTTATAATAAGATCTTATAGGGGTCCAGAGACAGGTAGTCAAAAAATTCAGTATGTCGCCATGTAGGCTTGGAGCATACTTTTCAAAGGATCTTTGAGGACCTTATTTAGACTCGGAGTTAAATGCTGGTTAAAAAGATTTAGTTAGACCATATGTGAAAACTGAGTCCTCTGGCGAAAGAATCTGATAAGACGTCAATAAGACAAGTTCCAGTGATCTAAAGATCTATGAAGACCTTATGTGGTAGTGGTTGGAAGTTTCAAGAAGACCGTACTTACTTATGAGAGTATAGAATCCGGTAGTCAGAGAATTTAATAAGACCTAACGTGGGCTTAACCTCCAGTAGTCTAAGCCAATGTCACGAGGCCTTAGAGATTTTGGTGAGCGTCTTCAACAATTCTCAGGATCAAAATTTGATCAAACTGAATAAGTGAAGAGATGGTTGAAGAATGGGCTGCTTATGCATGGGTTGGACTTGGACTTGTGAGTTCGGCATGGGGGTTAGAAGAGTCCGATAGGACAAGATGGAACAAGTTCTCAAGCTATCTTATAGGACAGAAGCCAAAGCAGAGTTTATCAATAAGCCCAGCAACCAAAAACGTTCTCTCAAGTCTCTCAAGAATATAAAATATAACAAGAATTATGACTTGTTGGGAAAGGAGACAGCCTTTAAGAGGCAAAATAATCCCCTTGTTTAAGTAAATTTGATCACAGAAGAAGCAGAAGAGACAGCTCTTATTCTAAACTTTTCTTTGAAATTCTCATTTCTTGTTCTACACTTAGTAAGAGGATCAAAGCTGCTCATTCCATTTGACCGAGCCAGTATATGTCATGTTCGTGCCAGTAGAGTTACTGATACCATCAGAATAAATGAGTGCGAAATGCCAGTCAACTTATGCCATGATCATAGTGTCATAATAAGGAATTTTATAACATTTAATCTTGTATTAAGCAATAAGTTGCACGGCGAAAGTCCTGTCGACATTCTGCGATTCGCAAATCACTCTCATTGATTACAAGGTGTGATCATATAATTCACTCAAAGTGGAAATGTGGCATTTCACTCTTCTTCGCAATAATTCAAATGTAGTCCCCTATATATAATACACTTTTCATTCTTATATTTACTTTTTCAATGTTTGCTTATGCTTTGATTGCTTTCTTTCTCGCAGGGCATTCCGAATGTGTAAAGTTCGTAAAAAAATTTAATTTACCTTTATTGGTATGTATCATTTTCCGCTTTCCCTTTCATGTTTCTGTCTTCAGAATAAGAGTCGATTATGTGCAATGTTCTTCTGAAGGTCACTGGGGGTGGAGGATACACAAAGGAGAACGTAGCTCGATGTTGGACTGTTGAGACTGGCGTCCTATTAGATACAGAACTTTCGAATGGTATGGTACCTTTTTTAATTTATATAAGTCTAATCTGTTGGGACGCACAATTTGAGTGAAGTGAGACAGGGTATTTATTAATTCATTAATTCATTAATCTATCTTAAAGAACAAAAATAAAATAAAAATGGCGTATATTTCTAAGGTTAAGCCTATAAAAGGTTTCTTCATGCATACTATAGCTTCTCTATCTCCTCCCTGCAGAAATTCCAGACAATGACTATATCAAGTATTTCGGTCCAGACTACTCTTTGAAGATTCAGAGTTCAAATCTGGTAAGTGACTGGGTCCTTGACGCTGAAGAGCACATCTTCAGCTCGGCCGATTTACTTCTAGTTGCTGGTCCTGAACTGCAACTGTTGGAACTATATTCACTGATTTCCGCCTCTGCCTTCAAATTCATAAAACTTGTTGGCTGTGTGGACCCTGTTTTAAGCGGCAAGTTGTGGATTCTCATGCTGCCCAGTTGAATTTCTTCGTGTTCTATGATCAGGAGAACTTGAATAGCAAGTCATACATCAGTGCGATAAAGAGTCAAGTATTCGAGAACTTGCGGTGCATACAACATGCTCCAAGCGTGCAGATGCACGAGGTACCAATCCAACCTTGACTGCTTCTGGGTTATGTTCTTCTTGCCTTTAGCTATCAAGGAATTTTGTCAGAGTTCCTGGGTGCTGCAATCATTATTACTTCAGAAATTAGTTTCCGGATTGAATTCGGTCAGTGCTTAAAGTAAAGTTGTTTGGCATTCATAATTTTTAGAAATATGAGGGGGGTGGTTCTTACTGATCTTGTTGCAGGTGCCTCCCGACTTCTACATCCCAGATTTTGATGAAGCTGAGCAGAATCCTGATGAGAGAATGGACCGTAAGTCAACCTTCTTCCCCCAATAAGCAGTGATTATTGTCGGGTGATATGGCTCATGAGGATCCAGGTCCCCCGTGATAGACTTTGGGCCGCAGAAGTCAGCGCAGAAGCTGACTTTTTCTTGGGCATAGAAAGCTTGTTTTCCTCGAATGAAACTCCTCTTCCTCCTGATTGTTTTCTTTTTTAATGCCACCGGGAGGATTTGAGCAGAAGAAGTAATCCGTGGTCGTTGTCCTCCCTTTTCAGAGCATGCTCAAGACAAGCAGATTCAGCGCGACGATGAGTACTACGACGGCGACAACGACAACATGGACGACGGCACCTAACTCTCTCTCTTTCTCTCTCTCTCTCTCTAATAGTCCGTCTTCTAGTGTACGTGCTGAGCTTGCGACCCCCCCACAGTGCAATCGGTTGTGTTGAAGTCTTTCTGTGATCCCCTACACGTGTGGGCCCCACTGTTACGTACCATCAGCTCCTCCTCCCTGGTCAATGTTGTGGGCCTTCGCGGCGCTAACACGTGGCACGTGGGGGTCGTCCTCAGTAGTGTCGTGGCGCGAGGGCGGCCCTCGAATCCCACCAATCGTGCGGTCGAGACCGCCGTCAGAATCGTCGGCGTGGATTCGAAGCCTCCACGTAGCCCGTTGCCGCTTTCGTCGATGGGGGGGGGGGTGTGGGGCAGCCCGGGCTCCACCTGAAGATTAATTAATTCGCCGGGAAAACCCAAATACGAGAAAATCTGCCATAATTGTACAAATTCTGAGGGCAATTTGAGAGCTGACCGTTGTGGGCGGCGGAGAGGAGAGAGAGTTTTGGGGGTCTGGTCTGAGTCTGGATAATGGCCGGCGGAGGCGGGAGCTTTCGAGCGGGTGGGCCGTGGGATGCGTGTATAAAACGGAGAAGAGGGAGGAGGGGTTTTCGTGCACGTGAGAATTGCCCGATATTAGCCGGAATTTGTTCTCTTGCCGCGTCGATCTGCCCCCGAGACCGATCCCTGTTCTTGAGGATAACTCCCTCATTTTCTGGAATAAAATCTTCTCCCCGGTTCCTTCTTTGTTATTGTTTATCTTCTGTGGCGGGCCGCGCGATCGCGAGGGGGGACTGCGGAATCCGGCGAGCTGGAGCTCAACCGGGCATCGTCTTGCTGTCTGCGGACCTGCGGCTACATTTTGTTGATCTTTCAGGTCATCTTGATGGATTCCGCCGTTTTCCTGCCCCTCTCCTTTTCCAGAGTTTCTATGGGGGAGCCGTTTGCGGTGTTAATCTGCGGGCCGCCGGCCATCTTTTCTCTCCTTCTTCCTCCGAAACTTTGTCGGGACAATCCAGAGCATCCCTCTTCTATTATTCGACCAGGTTCCCGTACAATCTTCGGAATTTTATTGCACGATCCGGTCACATACTGATCTCGTGTTGTACGTGTGGGGTAGATGCCATGGCAACCTCCCGCGGGCGCAAGCGCATTCTTCATTCTGTACCTGCCCCTTGTTGGCTGGCTGTTGTGGGCAACGGCCGGATCATACCGATGAGTGAAACAGTAGGAATCTGGCTAGTCTCCTTTGTGTCTGGCACGGTCCTCCATGTTCGGTTCGGCGTTCCCACTCATAGATCTTCTTTGGGCTTCCTGCCTGTTCTACCCCAATAGATATCTTGGTTCTTGCACAGGATCTTTGTTGTCTTATTATTTTTTGAGCCTGTTTTCGATGTAGATCTCCATTGCGTCATCACTATCATCAATCATTAATCATCATCATCATCATCATCATCATCATCTGTTCGTGTGAAAATGTTCCTCTTCTTCCTATACAGGTGTATATTGATTAGCTAAAGATCTTCCACGGCGGCCACCTATACGATGAGGGGTGTAGAAATGGCTCCGCGATTGTTTTATGGGGCTCCTCCCCGGGATTTTTGCTCAAGATCACGAGGAAGCCAAAATCCGGGTTGCCCGTCTGTAAGCCATCTCCAAAACAGGAAGAAACATTCAGAAAATAGGACGCAGTATGCACGCCATCTAAAAGGTTCCATGAAAGACAGGAAGATTTGTGCACTTTGGAATGGCGGACCTCTTTATCGCGGAAGTAAAGCATTCGGACGCCCAGAATTACCCCTCTGCCAATGCCAGCTGCCTGAAAGGATTACTGAGATAGGCAGCGATGTGAAAAATGGGACCTTTTTGAGAGAAACTGGTAATAGAAACATGTACATGGACGAAGTAAACCTCAAAGATGTTATTGGTCTGGAGGAGCTTCGGCGTCCGGAAAATGGCGAGGAGAGGGGACAGACTGTCGAGGATGAAGCTTGGAGCCTTCTGAAGGAATCTGTGGTTTACTACTGTGGTAATCCAGTTGGCACAATTGCTGCCAATGACCCATCAGATGCAAGTGTTCTTAACTACGATCAGGTCTTTATTCGTGATTTCATACCATCTGGCGTTGCTTTCCTGTTAAAAGGAGAATATGATATTGTCCGCAACTTCATCCTCCACACACTTCAGCTGCAGGTGACGCACTCCTTTCCATCCTGATACACATTTAATAGTTAGTGTTGACTGTGCTATGTTAAGGTTCACGTGACAAAAAGAAGGCAAGATAATAACATTTTATATCGATCCAAGAACATCTTTTTCCATCTTCTTCCATCTTTTTCTTTTATCTATAAATTTGAAGTTACACATATTTAGTTCATTTCATTTTTAAATTTGAAGGTTTATATAAGGCTATTAATTACTGCTATCTGCCGATTTGAGAACCGTCTGCCTGGAGAGTATCCTCCCCTGGTCTAGGGTCATTTGGGTTAAACATAAGAAAGGGACTTTCTCTGTTGACGCACTTTTTTGGTTGAATCGTCTCTTATGCTATGAGATGTGGTCACTCTTTTTTTTCTTTTTCTTTTTCTTTTTTTCTTTGTTGAGCCGCGACCGGTTGGATCACATATAGTTCTATCTCATGTGTTTTTTTCAGTTTAAGATCAAACTTACCAGCTCATGGATCAGCTGGTAAGCTTGATCTATTTGTATCTTTGCAATCAATATCATCACGTAGGTTGGTTATGGCTTACTCCTCTTCTACTCTCAGTTGCTTGACTTGTGATGATGCTCCCATTGTTGACAGAGCTGGGAGAAGACAATGGATTGCCATAGTCCCGGTCAAGGACTGATGCCCGCCAGCTTCAAGGTGCGGACAGTTCCTCTTGATGGCGATGATTCTGCGACAGAAGAGGTCCTTGATCCTGATTTTGGAGAGTCGGCAATTGGCAGAGTAGCCCCTGTTGATTCTGGTAAAACTAATATGAGAGAACTTCCAGCATTTCTTTTTCTCTACACGCATAGTACTAATACGTCTAGCTGATATGTGAGATCTCTTGCAGGGCTGTGGTGGATCATATTGCTGAGAGCTTATGGAAAATTCTCTGGGGATGTCTCAGTTCAGGAGAGAATTGACGTCCAGACAGGGATCAAGATGATCTTGAAACTTTGTCTCGCTGATGGCTTCGATATGTTTCCAACATTATTGGTGACGGATGGTTCCTGCATGATTGACCGTCGCATGGGAATCCACGGCCACCCTTTGGAAATTCAGGTTTATTGATATAAACCCACAGGCAGGATCGATCATTAGTTTTCTTTTTTCATATTCATGCATCACTTCCAGCCGTGATTTATGAGAAATGGGTCCGCCTTCACCTTCTGATGCGTCAATTTTGCTTCAGGCCCTCTTCTATTCGGCATTACTCTGTGCTCGTGAGATGCTTGCACCGGAAGACGGATCTGCCGACCTGATCCGAGCCTTGAATAACCGGCTTATAGCGTTATCCTTTCATATCAGGGAGTACTACTGGGTCGATATGAAGAAGCTCAATGAGATCTACAGGTACAAGACAGAGGAGTACTCTTACGATGCTATAAACAAGTTTAACATCTACCCAGACCAGATTTCGCCATGGCTCGTGGAGTGGATGCCCAGCAAAGGTGGTTACTTGATCGGAAACCTGCAGCCGGCCCACATGGATTTCCGCTTCTTTTCTCTGGGAAACCTGTGGTCCATTGTGTCCAATCTCGCAACGGCAAAGCAGTCGCATGCCATATTGGATCTTGTCGAGGCGAAATGGTCCGACCTGGTGGGGGACATGCCTTTCAAGATTTGCTACCCCGCTCTTGATGGACAGGAATGGGCGATCATCACAGGCAGCGATCCAAAGAATACGTATGTATCCATTTTATTTTCCCTGAACTTTACGTTGAGAACGCTCCCATTTGGTTTTTATAGCGGCAATAAACCCCTCCGTCTTAAGTAGCCATTTGGTGACTTTGAGTTGGATGGCCCATCCAGTGGTCGGTCGCTCTTGGGCTCAAGGAAACCCCGTTGACGTCGCCCTCACATGAACAGAGCTCGAAAGTCAACCTGAGAACTCTACACTTGATAATGCCCGAAAACCTCTTACCTCCTGGCTCCCAGACTCTCTCTACTAATGTGGTGATTTGTGCAGGCCTTGGTCGTACCACAACGGAGGTTCTTGGCCGACGCTGCTCTGGCAGGTGAGCCGCTTCCTCTTCGTCCACGTAAAGTTTGACTTCCTAGAGGGCATCTTGAACAGTTTGACCCATACAGTTTGAACAGTTTGACAAAAATAATAATGATAATAATAATATTTTTTCCGCCACATGCACTTACATGGTTTCTTCATTCACCCTCTTGGGGACTTGCAGCTCACCGTGGCATGCATAAAGATGAACAGACCCGAGATTGCCGCGAGGGCCGTGGAGCTCGCCGAGAGCCGGATATCCAGGGACAAGTGGCCCGAGTACTACGACACCAAGAGGGCCCGCTTCATCGGGAAGCAGGCGCGGCTCTACCAGACGTGGTCCATCGCAGGGTTCCTCGTGGCGAAGCAGCTCCTCGCCAACCCGGACGCCGCCAAGATGTTCGTGGTCGAGGAGGACGCCGCGCTGGTCAGCGCCATGAACAGCATGTTCGGGTCGAGCCCGAGGAGGAAGCGGGGCTCTAAGGCGCCGAAGAACAGCTACATTATATGAATCCCGTCCCTTCTTCGTGTAGATACTATACGCATTACGCTCAGATGATGCAGCTTCTGCGCTTTAATTATGAAGCTGCATCACCAGGACAGATGATTTTACTCTCCTGGGATGAGCTGAGCTGGGGCCGGCGGCCGCTGTCACCCCGGAGTTACTTGAATACAGGCCACTGTAATACTCTGGAACAGCCGAGTGCATGTTGAGCTCCCGGAGGATATTCGATTTCATGGGGTCAGTGCAGAGGCTCCTCTTTACCCTCTCTCTCTCTCTCTCTCTCTCTCTCTCTCTCTCTCTCTCGGGGGTGGCTTTGACTTTCTGACACATGGGAAGGAACAGGGGACTCGAGAGAAATACGAGGAAAATGTAGGCACCAAGACACATTAAATCATGAATTAGCAACAGTGTGGTAGAACAACTGATCCCGGTCTCGACTAAAGGCGCTGGGATCAAGCAACGAGTTCTGACGACAGCAGCCATGGACCACCTCGTCCACTTCTCTCTCTGGAGCCCCAACTCTGAGAACAGAACCTCGAGGTCGACAACAGAGGGGAGCGCATGCATAACTGCGGAGGATTTCAGGATTAGACAGGCTGAATCATATTCGACTGAGATAGAGCTTCAAGTCCTTTTTTTTCCCCTTTCTTTCCCCCCTCCTACAAATCATGAAGAACTGAGCCTGTAGTTCTTGGCGATTATGTCGTCCAGTAAGGAGCTGCATGCATCTTCGAGTATGTCCAACACCTGGAACAGAAGATCAAATCGAAACAGTAATGTTCTCTGATAAAATGACGAATCCTAGGCGGAGATTGCAATATTTATACACAAAACAAAGCTACCGGGTAGCACTTTCAGTCTAACGAACTAGCCCGTTAGATTTCGTCTCACCTTCTCAAATCCCTTCGGCCCGCCATAATAAGGATCTGGGACTTCGGGTTCCTCGTGTTTCTGGCAGTAGGAGCACATCAGCTTGACCTGCGAAGAACAGCACCTCGATCAGCAGCAGAGGGCCTTTCTTCTTGAACAAAGCAACAATGGTCCACGACCAGGGATCGTAAAGCGGCAGCGGGAATGATAGCGTGGGCTTGCTCTCTTTTTTTCCCTTCTTTTTTCCCAATTCCCTCAGAACCCATCGTAAATACCAAAGCAGAGTGGAGGAAGATCGAAGATCACAGCGATGGGGCTTCACCAACCTTCTTGTGGGCGTCCTTGGGGAGCTCTTCCTTGGTTCTCCATCTCTGATATGCCTTCAGTATATCCTCTGGGGAAGGAGAAAGATCGAAAGATGAGACAAAGTTGAACATGGAATTCACTTTGCTCCTATAAACAGTAAGAACCTAATGTTCACAGAGGGCTCGAAAAAGTTTCTCCAATTGGGTGTGGGCGTATGAGTGAGGTGTCGGCACCTTTGTTCTGCAAGTCCATTGGCAGTATGAGATCGAAGTCCCGGAAATCAGATGACCGGATGGGACGGGAGATCGACGTGATCTCAATACCCCTCCTCTTCGAAGCGGCCCGCATCCGAGGGTCAGCCGGATTGCCCTTTCGTGGTCCCAACCCCACAAGAAAGAGAAATGGCAACCGATCAACATCCACGCCGCAGGCAGGGGCCATTGCGGTGATGAAAAGGGGGGGGGGGAGGGATCGGAAATCCAATACCTCGTGGTAGCCTATGGTGCCGGCGGAGTCTATCCTGAAACGGGCGTCCAGCCCCTTCCTGACCACCAGATCCGTGAATACGCCTTCCGCCGCGGGACTCCGGCAGATATTCCCTGACCAAACGGTGGTCGAAAATTACGAGTGAGCACCATCACAGGGAAGGAAGCACATCTATGGAGAGAGGAAGAATCGTCTCCTTCTCCTTCCTCTCGAGCCCAGAAGCGAGGGATCACCGAGGCACACAAAGAGAACGGCGAAAGGCCTGGTCTCGCCGGAGCTGGCGGACGACGACATGGAGCCGTCGTCGTCGTCGGCGGCGGCGGACAAATGAGGAAGACGACGGAGATGCCCGCGGACAGTCGGAAGGACGGCGATTCTTACTGGTGCAGCCGTGAGACTCTTTCATACTCTTTTTTCTTGTGGGACCAGCAGTCGGAATCAAATTGTGTTTTCCCCCCTCCCTCTGCAAAGAATTTCCCAAAACCCCCCAACATGGCACAAATTCGTATGCATTACTATGGTTATTAACAGAAAGCGGGAAGCTACACCATCGAACTTTACAACGAGAGAGAGAGAGAGAGAGAGAGAGAGGAAGTGGCCGCGAAGAGGAAGAGGACCCTGGAGAGTCGGCCGCCTTAGAACAGCTCGAACTCCACCTTGTCCCCGTTCCCAAAATCCAGGCACCTGGCGGGCTTCTTTCTGCTCACCACCGCCGGCGCGGGAGCAGGCGGCGGCGGAGGCATGAGCTCGTCCGGGGCCGGCGTCTCCGGTGGGATTGTACACCGGATGAGAGCCCAGTTCAATCCTTCAAAAAAGGGGTGGCGCTTGATCTCCGTGGCACCTCGGACCGAGCCGAGCCTTCTCTCCGGATCCTTCACGAGCAGGCCCCTGATGAGCTCCTTGGCCGGGACGGTTACCGCCGGGCTCTCCGGATAGGAGAGATCCTGCGTGACAATGTTCACCAGAGTCTCCTCGTCCCTGGCACCTTTAAATGGCGTCCTACCGAACAGCAACTCGTACAGGAAGATCCCCAGCGTCCACCAGTCGACGGAGCTCCCGTGGCCTTCCCCTTTGACAATCTCCGGCGCCAGATACTCGTGAGTCCCCACGAAGGAGTTGGATCGCGCCTCTGTCGGCTCCGCCACCAGCTGTGGAAGCGCGGCGGCCTGATCCTTGCTCTTCGCCGCGCTGAGAAGACGCGGCGTCAGGCAGGAGACTCCGGCGCAGGGTGGCTCAACGCACAGAGGATCGACACAGCTGAAATTCGACGGCGTCTCCTCCGCTTCCACGCTGCCGGAGAGCGGGGATCTGAGGAGGACCGGTGTCACGGAGCACCGCAGAGAGAGGTCGAAGTCGGACAGCATGATGTGGCCGTCTTCTCGGACCAGAATGTTCTCCGGCTTGAGATCGCGGTAGATCACCCCGAGCATGTGGAGGTACTCGAGAGCCAAGAGTACTTCCGCGACATAGAATCTGTGCAGCAGAAGACAGAGTCAGAAGGGACTGGCGATGAGGATTGCACTGCAATCCGCAGATGTCGCGAGTCTCATGCTGTCCTCTGTAAAAGGAGCCTGAGAGGAGTCTCGGCCCCCCCTCTGCTCTTCATATCTATGTTGCCCACAAACAAACTTGTACAGAGATTTCATGGATTTCTCCGGACGGAGCAGAGTACTTCCAAATAGAGAAAAAAAACTATAAAAAAAAAACACGCGACTTCGGGAAGCTCGAAGCATGCATCACAGATCCCCTGGATATGGTTTCCTAGATCACGAGGGGTGAGGAAGAAAGATCGGTTTATGTGATCTGTACTTCACACAAGAGAGCCTTTCACCAAACATAACCTAAAAAAAACATATTTTTATGCAGGCTATTCTGATGAGATCGCGTACCTAGCTGCAGGCTCAGAAAAGCTCCTCCAAGGCTGCTTCTGTCGGAGGACATGCAGGTCTCCACCCGGACAGTACTCCATTACCAAGCATGAAAGATTATCTGTTGTAAAGTAGGTGTACAGTGTTGGGAGGAATGGATGATCCAGAGTTTGCAGTATCTCTCTCTCTGTCTGTGCTCTCGGCATCTTTTTTCTGCTCAACAAGAAATCATTATCCATAACTTTCAGGGCGAATAGACAGCCTGAGCCAACCAGTTCTGCAACATACACGGTCCCAATGTCCCCACAGCCGAGTCTCTTCAGCAGCTTAAAGTTGTTCAACCGTATACATCCCTGGTTCATCTCAACATGCCGAATGGCCGTCCATCGAAAATCTCTCGACATGTGAGGCTTACATCCATGACCACTGGAGACGCTCTGGTTACTGTCGTCACTGATGCTCGTGCTACTGCTGTAATCACCCATGCTACTTTTTGAACTCTGTGAGCGCTCCCCCTTCTCTCTGGATCTCTGGCCCATCCTCATTTTCCCCTCAAAGCTCATGCAACTGTCTCCTCTCCTCGTAGACTCCGGCTTGGTCACGTCATGCACACCCGTTGAGGACGCTGCAGTGCATCCCCCATATTGCGTCATTTTACTCTTACCAGAAGCTTCACAGTCTTTATTGGCCTCCCTGCGTGCAGTAGAACGCTCAGAATCGCGAACTACCTCGTGCGTTGACTTTTTCTTTGGCGTACTCTTGTTCACATTGGTGGGTCTGACCAGCCGTTGACTCGAGTGGGGTTTCTTCAATTCGCCACGTGGTTTGGAGATGGCAATGGATGAGTCTGGACTTGGTTTGACCCTGGCCTCTTTTGGGGGAGCAAAGGAAATAACATGCTGGAAATTTGGTTTTGTCACTTTTCTTGGAATCCCTGCAGAAACCTGAGGGAGAGAATCAGCAGTTGTACTACATGCTTCAAGGTCATGCAATCTCGAAGATGCCATTTCTTCAGATATGATATTAATCTCCAAAAGATTCCTTTTTTCTTCAGGTAGTGATTTGTCGGCCTGACCTATAACGTTGGCATATAACCTTTTAATGTTTCCAGCTTCAGAGAAGTTGGATAACCCTGTTGGCTTCGACAACCTCTTCATAGCGGCAGCTTCTGATGCATGGGAGATGCACGACCTTCTCAGAGCCTGCTTTAGAGTCACAGATTCAGATATTCCAGCACCCAAATGCCCAATAGGCTTCTTTTGGGCGTTCTTCCACAGAAAGTTCTTCCCTTCTTGTTGGGAATCCCTAAACCTGGACGATTCCCGATCAAGCACTTCAGTGAGTTGCCTGAGTTCATCCTCTTTGCTGTATGGTGCAGCCCCACACCTGCCCCTTTCCTTGGGTTTACAGAGAATTGGGTTCAGACCCTTTGAATGATAGACCAGATCCAGTTCATCGACCGAGTCACTGATTTCATAAATCTCAGCACAGGAACTCATTTTTCTTGGTCTCTCCATTGCACAATTATCAACCTCGGATGAGACACCTTGGCAGAAACTGGAGCATCATCCTCTATCTGACCCATTTCTGCGGAACCCCTCTGATGGAAAATAAAACACGGAATGCATAAAATTCAGTATTTTTACACAAATCAATTCAAGCACACTGATCACAACATTAGCAGAGCCCGATTGCCTGGTGCACCTAATAAAATAATCCACCATGGAAAACCCTTACGAATGCTGAAATGCAGTGAAGTAGATGCTAGAGAAGTGTACATGCGGATGCAGAGTACATGTCCTAGAAGCCAGATGCAGGATGCCCTGTTGCAATTATTGCCATGATGCAGGCCCACTAGACGAGGACAGTTGAATCCATCAGTTGATCAGTAAGGCTTCATTTCTAGCCATATTGAGTGAACTGGAGACGGATGCGACAAGGAATCCATTGCGGCGGATGCAGAAGTTCTTAGCTGGAGACGGATCAGCGATGGAACTCGACTCGTGAATTATTGCAAAATAGATCAATTAAACACTTGTAAATCTGAACCAGTGCACTCGAGTTACCGTAGGGGGCAAAAGAGGGATGGAGTATGAGAAAATATATCATTTATATCTCCTACGTCGCGCAAGATTAAAGAAGATAGGATTCATCCTGCAACATTGGGAGAACTTTCACCTCATCTCATCCGCTTACAAAAATGTAGAAAACGTAAAAATGTAGATGAAAAATCGTTCTGAAATCTGGAAAAAACCACCGTAAGATCTTTCCAGAGATGGGGAGCAAACATAGGCGACGCCAAATTTCCCCGCATTTGGAGGAACTTTGGCGAGGGAGAAGAAGAATTAAACGGGGAGAGCTCAAGCCACCACCCCGCACCGAAATGTCACGGGACGGGAATCAGATGCCAGCAGAGACCCCAACGAGCGGCAGAAATCCAATGTATGCTAATTCGCCAGACCCGTCGTAGATACCAGATCCCCCCCGGGGAACCAACGAGAGTTGGAGAGGAAGCAAATTTGACCTGGAGCATCGAGCGCATATGGGAGAAGAGGAGATACCGAGAGTCAACCCCGGAGACGCCATCTAGGGCTGGCTGGCGATGACAAGGCTCTCGCTGGTGGAAGGGGGGGGGAGTGACGATGGAGGTGGAATGGCGACCGCTATCGCCCATCACAAGTAGGTGCGGTGGGAACGACAAAAGCAAATATACTTTTCTTTTTTTTTTTCCCTGAAAACAACCGAGTTTATCGGTAAGGAAAAATGTTGACTGTGGGCCCCATGCTTCGCCGATACTGGCAAAAGGTCATTTTGCATCTAATTTACCGCGGGTGCCACCGGTCAGATACTTCGGGTTTCTGACTTCTGACTCAGCTGCCTGTCGCTAGTAACTAGTGCCTACGACAACCGTCTGTCCTGATGTCCCCATCTGCTCTCATCTCCACCGTCCGATCGGGTCAACGCTGTCGGCACCGTCCTAGATTCTGGAACTGTCTACTAGCTTAATAGAGCCCCCTCCTAGGTCCCAGCCCGGCCCAAAATGGCTTTCTACGACACCTAATGGGCTTCATTTTCTGTGGATATGTTCATGGGCTTCATTGGGATCCGACCCATTAAAACCCCTCGGATCCCGCAGTAGGTTGAGCCCCGTCAATCGTGGTAGGCCCCACTGGAATTCCATGCAGCCACCTGACGCCGTGTGTGAATCCCGTCCTGCACCCGACGCAATTCGAGTGACGTGAGCAGATACGCGTCTCGTTTAAAAGGAGACACGTCAGATCGCCAGTTCACCGGCTGGCCCTCCTGTAAGCGATCAAGCCACGGGACCACAGCTCACCCGCGATGAATCAAGAGGTCCACGGCTGCCGCGGCTCGCCAGGTATTTAACATGAAGCGAGACGGTTGGCTTTAACCTAGGGTGGGGAAAACGAGCGCATGAGGCCATTTTCATCGCTCTGCCTGGCGTCATAATGCCCTTTGCCTCTGACGGACATTACCCTCCTCGTCAGAGGGGATCAGTCTGTGACGGAAAACATCGGGATTTGAAGCCCCGCCAACTTCTGTCGGAGCGTGCGTGCTTTCTGTCCAAGGAATTTCGCGCCGGCGCACGATCTTTGAGATCAGTGCCTCGCCCTACTTGGGCGCCGTGCACCACGACCAGAGCTCGTTAACAGGCCCACCAATCCCCCCGATCCATCGCCTTCCGCATCTCTCTCTCTCTCCGAGCTTTTCGCTATGTCTCAGTCCGACGATCTTGCCGACGACCTGCAAAGCATGAGCTTCGGCTCGTCGGATCGTTCCGGCTCCGTGTCTAGTGGCCTCTCCAGATCGACAAGTGCAGCCACAGTCGCCGCCCTCGGGAAGCTATCGGACGCCGCCGGCGTTGACGCCCCAACCTCGTGCCGGGAACAGATCTGCCGGAGGAGGGCGGCGGAATCTGGTCGCGAGCTCCTTTCCCCCTCGGATCTCCGGTTCGTTCGCCGCCTCGGGAGCGGGGACATTGGGACCGTTTACCTTGCCGAGGTCAAGTGTCGCGCCCCCGTCGCTCCCCCTCAGCGGGGATGTGAGGAATCGGCAGCAGCCCCGCGCGTCGTAGCTGTGAAGGTGATGGACAAGAAGGAGCTGTCGGCGCGGAACAAGAAGGGGCGGGCGAGGACAGAACGCGATATCCTCGAGTCACTCGACCACCCGTTCTTACCTAGGCTGTACGGGTGCGCCGAGAGTGAGTTGTGGTCGTGCTTGCTGACGGAGTTCTGCCCGGGGGGAGACCTACATGTTCTCCGGCAGCGACAGACCGGGAAGCGATTCGACGAAGCCGCAGTCAGGTAGGCAGACAGCAGCACCACCCAAAGTTCGGCCGACGCTTTTCTGTTGTTTTCGCCCTCGCTGCTGTCGTCTTTATTCTCTCGATCCCCTATTCCGGTGTTTCATCCCTTCAGCTAGATCATTGTATTTCTTAATACAGAATAAAATAGCAATATTAGTGCGATGTGAACCAGGTCGTCATCATCCCGTTTTCAGAGCCTCGTGATGTTCCTGCCGAAATTCCGAAGTGTGTATGATCCCACGTCCCTCCCCCTCAGATCTGCTGCGTTGCTCTCAATCTCGGCGAAGACTGCTGAAATTTCTTGCCATATGCCACCGAATTTTCTAGAGTAATTTAGCCGCATTTGGAGAGGCGCTCGAGTTTCGAGTACTTGCTCAAACTTCGGCGAGCGTTGATATCTCGAGCGTTTTTCGCTAAGCGAATGGTCTGCTTTCCTCGGAGATTCTAGGCCGGAACTGCTCGGAAAGTCTCTGAACAACGTTTGGATATCATCAGCATTCATTAGAAGAACTGCCGGAAGAGCTGCCTCTCTTCTCCCTCCGATAACTTCGAATTCTGTCTGGATTTTTCTCGTTCTGCGTGATCCCCTTGCCACAGACGACGATCTACTGCGAAATGATGTCGCCATGGCGTGCGTGCCGGGTTTTAAGGCACCCGTTGATGCTAGCCAACTGTTTGTCTTCTACATTTCGTCCTTCTCCATGAATTCCGGAGAAGTTGATCCTTTTATCTTCTAATAATTGGGCCTCATCCACGCCTTTCTTTTGGGCCCGCACGGTTCCGCGCGGTGGAGGTTTCGTCGTCGTCTTCCCCTTTTCCCATGATCCTGCCAGCTCCTCTCCGATCCTGTCATGGCGTTGTCCCCACTTCCCAGACTGGTGTCTTCAATACTCATCAATTCTCCCTTCCAATTTTTTAAAGTATTCAAACCCTCGTCGGGCTTCGGTATTTCTCGCTATTTATTTGTCGGGCAAACCGCACTTGGCAGGTTCTATGCCGCGGAGGTTGTGGCGGCGCTGGAGTACCTCCACATGATGGGCATCGTCTACCGCGACCTGAAGCCCGAGAACGTCCTAGTCCGCTCCGACGGTCACATCATGCTCACTGACTTCGATCTCTCCCTCAAGGGCGACGACGCCTCCGCCACCCCCGCCCAGCTCGTCTCCCGGCGCGGCCGCCACCGCAGTTCGCCGCCGGCTGCCGCCCCTTTCGCCGCCGCCTGCATTCTACCCAGCTGCATCGCCCCCCCGAGTAGGAAAAAGAAGGAGGAAAAGAAGCAGCTGGGGCGGTGGGGCGATCTGGAGTTGGTGGCGGAGCCGCTGAAGGTGCGGTCCACGTCGTTGGTGGGGACCCACGAGTATCTGGCCCCGGAGATAATCTCCCGCGAAGGGCACGGCAGCGCGGTCGACTGGTGGACGCTGGGGATCTTCGTGTTCGAGCTCCTCTACGGCGCGACGCCCTTCCGCGGCGCCGACCACGTCCACACGCTGGCCAACGTGGTGGCTCGGGCACTGGAGTTCCCCAAGGAGTCGTCCCTCTCGTCCTCCTCGGCGGCCAAGGACTTCATCACCGCCCTGCTCGTCAAGGACCCCGCTCGCCGGCTCGGCGCCACCACCGGTGCCGCCGCCGTCAAGCGCCACCCTTTCTTCGCCGGCGTCAACTGGGCCCTTCTGCGCTGCGCCAAGCCGCCGTATGTGCCCCCGCCCTCGCCGACGACGACCTCAATCGCCGCCGCCGGCGACCGCTCGCTGGTGTCGATGGAGTTCTACTGATCGCACACCGACACAAAAGGAAGACGGGGAAGAGGGGATCGCCACGGCGGAGCCCGCCCGTTTGGACCTCATGGATTACCACCGCCAGAGGGCGGTCGTAGAACACTGCTCTGTGTAGCCCTGCTCGTCCAGCTGGACTCGAAGTGTGTCTCTCTCGCCTCAATCCAACCGATGGGAATCCGGGCTCTGAGCCAGCGTGGATGGGCCTAAACGGGTATTAATGGGCCTGACCCACAGCCCATCGACCCCGTCAAGTGAGTCTCGTCTGCTAGTTTCGAGGTCTCAAAACAAATGTAATATATATATGTATATATATTTAAGAAAACAGTTTGTAGCCGTTGGTCTATGCTTTTCGCTAGCTTCGACCGCCGGCAATCAAAGACCCGAGTGTTCAGAATCAGGCAGATCTCTCTCTCTCTCTCTCTCTCTACCCGTCCATGAAGGAGGCCTGGACTACGTTCATTGGGGTATTTTTGCAATTGTTACTTTTGTGGGTTTATTTTGAGAAATGGGCGATAGGAAGAAAGCGCGGGAAAGCGGGAAAAATATCCCTCTCCGCCTCATGGACGTCGGGGGAATTAAAAGGCTCGCTTACTAGAACCCTGCCGCCGGAGGGAACTGTCTTCTTCCCGTCTCTCGATTCTTCGGTCCTGCGTGCAGGAGAAGGTTGGGGCTCCTTCATGGCCGAACAACGGCGGTGCTTGTTTCGTTAGGCATTTATCGTATCGCCCAGGGGAGAGTGGGGCCCGGGAGGGAAGTATCCGTTGTGGGAGAATGGCGAAGGGGGAAGGGAGGGGGTGGGAGAAGGGGGATCGCAGGAAAGTCTCCGAGCAGAAGCTTCGCTTCAGTAAGGAAGACGCGCTCGAGGCCAAATTAGGATTCGATCTGTTCACAGAAGGCGAGACGAGACTGGGATGGTTGCTCACTCTTTCTACGGTCAGCTACGAACCTTCCGTATCTAATTCCCTCTCTCATTCTTGTCGTGATTGATACAGAACTTCATTTTGAAGCGGTTCCTGTCAGCATCGTTAGTGTCGTCATATAATTTTGACCGTTGCACATTCCCAGACAACAGTGCGTTTCTTCTTTTCTCTGGCATGCATCATTCTCCTATCAATTTCTTTGCGCCGATGGGTCGTGTGGAACTGGTTTTAGGTAAGATACGTGAAATTAGCGTTATTTAAAACTTAATAAATACAAAATCCGTGTATCCAATTGTATTCATTTATCAATCGCGACCAATAATCACTCCAAGACATCTGGGTCTAAGGTAAATAGAAATGCTGGACATGTTGATTGGTTTCCAGGTCATGTAAGTCACCCTTGTCTTCTACAACCCTCGTCATGGAAAAAACTGGTAAAAATGGCTCAGAATTGAGCGTGTTCCTTGCATTCTTCGACCACTCTCTCTTCATGTCTACTCGGTGTCTTTTGAATCGTTTGTTTACAATCAGATGTATTCACATCACTGACTTCACATGAATTTTATTTAAATTTCTAGGGGTTTATGGGAACTCTCCAATGCCTCTCTCATTTTTTCTGGATACTACTTTCTTGTGTTGTTTTTTATTGAATCGGTGGCATTTGCCATGTACTTACGGCAGTCTATAGTTCCACTGGAAAATTCTATCATATTTGAATTCGGCCGTTTTAGTCAACCGTATCTGAGCATGGCGGGATAGTGTTATGTTAGATGGTGATGCCGATGCTACTGCAGTGACATCAACGAAGGTGACAGTTGTGTTGGCAATTACGACGAATGACTGTATAAATCTTTGTGAAGATTCTTCATGTCTATCAACTTACACTTTCTGTCGATAAAAATCTGTATCTGTATATGAGGCATTCCGCCATTCCGTTGGACCAAAGTATGGCTACCATGATGTCTATAGTGGTTTCCATGTTGTGCCATGAAATTTTTACAGTTCATCAAACTCCACAATGAATTACTATGTTTTATTAGTTCTCATCAGAATATTTCTCTTCCGAAATAAAGTCAAGGTTCAGTTGTCAATGGAATCAGCCTCAAACGCTGCTTTTTTAAATGTGCAGTCTTCTTTGGAGCATCAAGAGGCCAATAAATTATACAGTTGTGTGGATCTATATTTTATGTGTCAGGTGAATCTTGATCTCATATATGTTTCTTCTTCTTGTCTATGCATTTTTTCCTTAGATGCGATGCTATACCTTTATTCTTTCCAGAAAAATATTTTCCTGGAATTATGCACGATAGGGTGATATTGTCCTGTGCATGATCTGTGCATCACACGGTCGTCTAGGGTCTTGCATGAGAAAGTTCCCCAATCTCAGACAATTTTTTAGAATAAAAATATACTTGTAACTCTAAATGTTAATTTCTCTGTACTGGATATCCGTTCAAGCGGCCAAATAATTCCTTTTTTGGTTTGCAGGATGGAAGTACGTTTAAATGCAAGTACAAATTTTCTCCTTATTTCTATGCTGCTACAAAGGTGCCCTCAAATGCATATTTTAAGAAATTTAATTTTATATTGTCTAACTAAGGCATGGCATGCCCTGTGAGCACACTGCACCCATAGTTACTTCAATATTACCCTGCAGGAAAATATGGAACGAGATGTTGAAGGATATCTCAGGAGACGCTATGAAGGACAAATTGCTGAAATTGAGCTAGTGAAAAAAGAGGACTTGGATTTAGTAAGTAACCTTTCTTATTTGATATCTACATTTACCAGCCTACATACTCGCTGTCTATTGCGTTGATGTCATGGTCAGCTTCTCGTGGAGAACTTCTTGCTTCTATGCTCTATGTTTTTAATAGGATACATATGTCTGGGTTACAAATAATTTTCTGCTTTATGAATCATATTATGATGGAATTCTGTTCAAATGTAGCGTGGAGAGTAAATTTTCATCTAACATATCAGTTCAAAGTACCTGAAGTAGTGTGTTGAGCAAGAACCCTGGCCATTCCATATGTGCAACTTTGAGCGAAAGAATGCTGTTTTCCCCTCTGGTTTATCAAAAAATGTTGGTTATAGTAAGTGCATTTCACATTTTGAAAAACAAGCAGCCATGGATATTGATTTCTGTGTCAACTTACGGAAGAAGACTCTGGTGCATGTTTGATAAAAAAATGATTCGAAGTTCAAGACGGAACCTCATGGAAAACATGTTACACCTAAAGCATTTCGAAAGTGTTTATTTATGTTATCTAGTATCACAAAATGCCTCTTTCGATTAGTTCTCATTAGTGTTACTGGGAAAAGAAAAGCATTATGTTCTCCTTCAATCACCTTTTAACGTCATATCCCTTCCCAAAATAATCCACTGGGCGTCCATCACTTGCGGTCATGTGGAGAGTTGTCCACGCATTTGAGTGGCTTTCTACATATTTCGAGTTCAGAACCTGTTGCCCATGAACTCAACTGTTGGCAGGAAACCTCTCGGGTTTACACCATATTAATTGCTCCGGTCATTCCCATGTCTTTGACCCCTTCTACCCACATGGCACGTGGATTTTTTACAAGGTTACCCATATTTCCTCCTAGGCACATCTGTCATCTCCTCTGGTTCATAGGACATCTCCTTTTTACCCTTTAGTTATAAGATCCATGTCAATTCACGGCTACTGACGATTGGCTTCAAGTTTTAAGAATTAGTTTTAGGGCGATCTCCTTGTTTGATATCAAATAAGATGGTGTTTCTAATATCATAACCAAGCATGCTTCTGCTCTCTTGACATCATTCCTGGCCATCCCAAACCAAACTTGTGCGTTTTATACATAAGTTCACTACTGCCTCTTGCAGTGGAAGGTTGTCACAACATCTGACTTTACTATGTAGGCTGCTGTGAGGCGGACTGACAGACAAACCAATATTTATGTCTGGTAAAAAAAAAAAAAGAATTTATGTTACAATTTTTTTTATTGTTTCCTTATGTAATGATTTTGATAACCTTGACAGCTTGAGATCAATGGATGAATTATTTTTCGTTTCACTCACAGGAAAATAATAAGCTATCCAATTTTATCTCAGTATTTTCAAGTTTATTTTTTGTCGTATAGATTTTATTTTCCCAGTTAGAGTTTACTCTGTCCTGTTAAACTGGAACGTCAAATTTATACAATCTGGTGGATGCGCAGAGAAATCATCTTTCTGGTTTGCAGAAGACGTACTTAAAGATTCAGTTTGATACCGTCCAACAATTAATGCGTGTAAAGAGTGATCTAATGCATATTGTTGAAAGGAATCGTGTGAAAGCTGATGCTGCAGAAGCATATGAATCCATATTTACAGGGAAGAGGTATGTTGATATTGTTACTGTTGCTGCTTATATTAAACTTCCATGGCACCAACGGTGGATCGAACATAATTGGAATAGCCATGGCAAAGCTTAAATAATTAACAACGGTGGACAAAAATATTTCGTCCAGGCTCCAATGAAGCACTTATACATTGGATGCTTTGAAAATGAAGCTTCCCGTGATGATAATTGACTTACTGCTGGATATTTCATGTTTAGTAGCCATGTAGAGATTTCATTGTGAGGTTTAAAAAGTTTTCCAGGGTTTCATTTTTCAGATGTGCATTTATATATAATAAATGTTTGAAATTGTTCTTCTATTCCAAAAAGTATTCTGACGTTTCTGTGTTATCTAAATCTTGTGTAATTCATTCAGTAAGGAAAGACCACAAGACTTTATAGATTGCATTGTTGATCTCAGAGAATACGATGTTCCCTATCACGTTCGCTTTGCAATTGACAATGGTTAGTACTTTTTTTAATGTTGTGACCATTCCATCCTTCATAAGAGTTCCAAGAGCTTGTTGCTGGAATTCATTTGTTTACTTTTCTTTAGTGTTTACCAGTGCTTTATGTTTTGCAGATGTAAGGTGCGGAGAATGGTATGATGTTAGTATCTCTGGTATTAATGTTTTGCTGCAAAAGAGAAATGATCTTCTCCAACGTGCTGAAGTTCACGTTTGTGCATTTGATATTGAGACAACAAAGCTCCCTCTTAAGTTTCCAGATGCTGAATATGATCAGGTCATGATGATTTCGTACATGGTGGATGGACATGGATACTTGATAATCAATCGGGAGGTGAAAACCAAGTCATCATTTTTTCTATCCTGAAAATTCTTTGACAAGAACTTATCTACTGATAACTGCTGTTAAATATCCTTGCAAAATTTATTTGTTGGAAGGTTCATTCTTTTGCTTATGTTTAGCCGATTAAATCGTGTCGTTCATAAAGCTGTATTCGATGCAGACATATCCTACGACTGCTGAAAATAGTCGTGACATTTCTAGTTAACTGTTGAATCAACTGGCAGTGTTGTGGGAATACAAGGTTGATAGCTGAAAATGAAACACAATGGAATCAACATGGAAGCTAACTTGTTGTAGTGCATTTATTTATTTGTCATTAGAAATCGGTATAGTTAGGTTTTCACTAATATTGCTAATTTCTTTTCAACACGAGTTATCAGCTGCGCAAACTATTTATCAGAAAAGAACCTGGAGAGATTCTACTTTATTAATCACTTTTTTGGATAAAAAATAAGTTGAAATAAATTTGGTTTTTCAAATATTGTATGAACAAATTTTGTTCAGATTATTGCATGAAATTTCTTCTCGTTGGTCTCATTTAGTTCAGCTTAAAGACATCAGATTGTGCGTTACTTTTACCTTCTGCAATTATTCTTGAGGACGGATTTGATGAAGGGCCAGTCAGATCCTTGCAATTTGGCTTGACTTATGCTTGAATTCTCTTGGGTTGCATGCGAGTTGAGAAGATCATCATCGTTGCAACACCATCATTCACTCCAGTTGTTGGAGAAAAAAGAAAAGGAGGGTAGCATTGGCATGGATACTTATTAGTTGATTGGTTAGTCCTGACTTAAATGCTACTGCACTGGCCTATTGCTTCTGTACAAGTACCTCCCGTGAGAAGGAAGATTTTTTTTATAATCCTATTATTAATTAGAAAACATGTTGCATAACAGTTTTTTTTTAGCGCTGCATTACATCAATCGTGGGGAAAATATAGGTGTACAACTGGGTGATTCTGATCGTAATATGTGTGCCTTTTGTTTAATGGGTAGTGTGCAGGTTCTCTCCAGCGCACTGTGAAGATTTTTTGTGTACGAATTTCCTTTGTTATTTTTTAGTGCTAGGGGCAAATGATTGGCTGGGGGATGTAATTTCGTGAGGATCTCACCATTTCTTTTGTCTTTTGATGAGCTGTTCTAATGGTTTTGTACCCCTGGAGCAGTATCCTCTCCATTTGTTTTGCCTCTTAGTCATTTCCATGAATGTGGAAGTAACCCATTCAAGGTGATTTCGTAATCTGCTATTAGCAACTGGACACCGTTCAGATGGATGCACGGGAGAGCTTCATCCCTTACTCAAATTCCCTTTGTTTGAAAAAATGCTGTCGAATTTGAATTCCATTTTGATTACATATTCATTTTTATTAGGATGGGAAGTTATCAGAAGGATGGTTACTTTTAATTTTGTAGCATCCATTTGCTCTTCAGATTCAGTAGTGTTCCTTTTCCTTGATAGTGTGTTGGAGATAACATTGAAGATTTGGAATACACACCAAAACCAGAGTTTGAAGGCTATTTTAAAGTGAAAAATGTAAAAGATGAGGTGGGTACTTGTTCAGGTATATTGTATGTTTTAGAAGCAACAACATAATTTAGTACTCAAATGTGTTTTTCTTATTTTTCAGCAAGAGCTCATTAAAGACTGGTTTTCTCATATGCAAACGGTGAGACCTGGCATATATGTCACCTATAATGGGGACTTCTTTGACTGGCCATTTCTTGAAAAAAGAGCTGCCCATCATGGGATCAAGATGAGTGAGGTACATATCTTTATTTTTTAATTGCCCTAGAAATTTTACTTTGGCATTAGAACGACTGAAAGATATGTTTCTCTTAGGATTCTATGCTATTTATCCATATGTTGAGGACCTGTTACTATAACTTGCCATTTAGTCTTATGTTCAGGACCTGTTACCTTGTAGAATATTTTTTTAAAGCTGATCATTTTTGCTGAAACTTTCTCTTCTGTTTATTTGTGACATCAGTAGATTATGTTTTTCGCGTGTACTCTTTTCTACACTATTTTTTACTCAAATAGAAATATCTATAATTTCATGGCCGATCGTCCTCGTCTTAAACCTTATTTAGTTCTGAAACACCTTCAAATATTTCTTCTCTGGTCATTTCTAATTTTTGGTAAACTACGTTTTTACTTTTAGTGCCTTGATCCCCAGATAGACTAATGGAAAAGGAGGGAATATTACTTATTTATTTATTTTGAAATTTCTTTCATGTCCTAATTTTATTTAAATTTCACGCCAATGTTACAGGAACTAGGGTTTGTATGCGACAGTGTTCAGGGAGAATGCCGCGCCAAATTTTCTTGCCATCTGGACTGTTTTGCTTGGGTCAAGCGTGACAGTTATTTACCACAAGGGAGTCATGGTCTAAAGGTGCAAACTTGAAATTGAGTTTGCTAAAATAAATGAAAGAATTAGTCAAATGCATGCCCGTTGTTTCATCTCCTGGAACGTGAATGTTTATATTATTAACTCTTTAAATTTATTGTTGATCTCTGTGTGTCATGCCTATTCTTGATCCATCTGGTAATGCTTGTGTTTCGGTTTTTTTCAGACCTTACAGTAAGAAATATCTAGTTGCTTCTAAAGCTTGATAGCATGATCATTTAGTTTTGTGGACCATGGGGCTAATTTGAAAATTTCTCTCTTCCCATCTGATCAGCATTCACGTGATTAAGGCTTATTAGTTGCTAATATTTTATCAAAAATAAGTCTAGCAAGTCATTATATGCTGTTAAGATAAAAACATGCCCAAACTAGATAATCTACACAGAATCTTAATCTGTCATGTACATGCGACTAGAGTGTTTAGCCACTAATATTTGAAACTATTGTCCTCCCTACGGGCATTTCCAATAGTCTCTTGCTTTTGAGGACAGCCGTTGATATTGCCTTCTTTGCTCTTCCTTGGTGGTTTTGAACTCGTTATTTTGCTCATTTATTGGGGTTGTATTCATCTATTTCATGTTTCGTTCCGTGCTTCTGACAGAAGCACACACCAGAGTTCATGTGATATGTGACTGATTGATACAAAAGAATAATCCATTGAGTGTCGCCCCCTAGTTCATATTTTGCATTTTTCCATTGGTACACTTTCTTTCTTTGGACAATAAATGCTATTATTTTCCATGGGGCACGATGTCTCCTCGATGAGGTTTTTTTTCACATAGAATAATGCTGAACCAACCCTTCATCCAAGATGGAACAAATAAAATACTAGCATGTGTTATGTACATGATAATGCTCAAAAGTCATTTAGCTGTGGATTTTTCTGGATCTAGTGCTAGATAATTTGGGAATTGTTGCCTTTTGATAGCACCGCTATCTCTAATAAAATTTGAAGAGTTGGGATAAACCAGAGGAATTGACCTTTTCTTTCAAAACAAATAAACCTCTTTTTTCAACATGATTCTGCGACCTTTTTTCCTAACTATGGAAGTACCTATTCTCTTGTTTATTCCGTAGGCTGTTACGAAGGCGAAGTTGGGTTATGATCCAATAGAAGTAAACCCTGAAGATATGGTTCGCTTTGCCATGGAAGAGCCCCAGGTATACTTTGACGAACTTTTTAATGTATTTTTACAACATGAAATATATCAAATTAAATACGGTATGTCTGCCCACTGTTTTTCCAATCATGTGTATGACATGTAATATGGGATGGATAGGTTGGTGAAAGTAAACAAAGAAACATGATTGTGTTGGGGATGTAATGGTTGATATCATATTATGCCTCTATGCTTGGCATCTTGGTAATGAAATATATTATCAGTGCCCATGTAAAATCAGGGATAAGTAAAACGAAATTGTGATGACCCTGTTGATCTTCCCACATTCTGATGGGTTTTTTTTTTCCATGTAAGGTACTTTTTCTTGATAGCGAGGTAGCTACACATAGTGACAATCAATGACCTTACGTTTTTGGTCTATGCAGCGAATTTGCACAGTTGAACCATCTGTTATCCCTCTGTCAATAAACTGTAGACATCTGTGTAAACTAGTGATTAATGAATTCCATACTATTCGGTTCATAGTTCTTTTATGTCAGTTTATCTAAATCATCTCTTTTGTGGTTTTCATTCCATTTAAATGAAATTTCAGACAATGGCCTCGTACTCCGTATCAGATGCTGTGGCAACTTATTACTTATACATGACGTATGTTCATCCCTTTATTTTCTCTCTTGCAACCATAATCCCCATGCCACCTGATGAGGTTCTACGCAAAGGAAGTGGTACACTCTGTGAAATGCTTCTCATGGTCCAAGTGAGTTCTACGCAACACATTCAAATTTCCTTGACAAAGAGTTGATTCTCGTATTGATTTATTTGTTTGCTCGGGTATCCATACCACCAATGATTGCAGTAAATATGTTATTTGTTTTCAGTGGATCTCTGTTTCTTCTTGTTTTTTGGTTAGCTTAACATTTGAATATCAACCATCTATGCTGAAATGATATCGTCCGCGAATAAATTTTACTTTGCACTCTGATTATTTGTGGTGATGATATGAATCTTCTATTGCCAGACTTTCTTTTCTTGCAGTTCTTACTGGAAGACAAAAACTTTGAATTGTGCAACTTATTTTTTCTTCACAAACATCAAGAAAACATCTCCTGTTAAATAAGCGGGTAAATTAGCTTAGCAAAACAGAAGCTGTCTCAACTGGACGGGTAACAGCAGGACAAGGCTCTGGCCCAGTGTCCTCTGGTCATAAAAAGGGTCGTATCTGCACCAGTTCCCACCTGATTTATCTGGTTCTAGAGTTTAATGGATTAATTCTGTTACAAACCTCTTGAGATTTGTGGTGAAATCTTCACCCTAATCTTACCTTAGACGAGGCTCACTCAGGGAATCAGCTCTCTGTTGTATAGAAGAACCAGATTGAACAATTGAAAATAGAAATTGAAAAGATAATAGAGGTTCTTAGACAGTAGGGTGAGTTCCTGAGGTCGGATCGATCCTCTGGAACAGGAGAGCCTGAATCGGACCTCTCCAGGGATAGATCTCCCTCTCCACTCTTTATTTTTTCTCTCCCCTTCTTATTTTGGCCTCTTCTATATCTATAGGCCTCAGTACATTATTCTATTGTGGTTCCCCCTCCACGTGGGGGTCTAGGTCCTCTTGTGTAGACGACGGTTGGCTTTGTAACATTACTCCCCTCCATGAGTTTCACCTTGTCCACAAGGTGAGATGTAGGAAATTGTCGTAGGAATGCTGAGACTGTCATCCATCACAATTCAAACTCTAGAAGATGTTTCCATGAAACTAATATCTTTGTGTCTTGAGGAAATCGATCTGTGAGCTTCTATGCCATCTGGAATGAGTATCCATTCTTATTCTTCTAATAGTGTCAGGGGAATTGGTTGGCTTCTGTTGTCTGTTCTTAGTGTCTTCCTGAGCTAGGATATATGGAACACCAGATGAACAGCTGAATGGTCAGGCAATCAGGGTTTATATGCCACTGGTCCAATTCTTTCCATAATAGGATACAGACCAAAATAGCGAGGGTTTAGCTTCTCGTTTTCTTTTTTTGCTAGAGATTTTATCCAGTATGATTTGATCTTGAGGAAGATCAGATCACCCACCTCTAATTCCACTTCTCGACGATGCTTATCTAATTCTATATTTGATAAGTTTCGGCGGGTTCCTGACATATATTGCTCGAAAAGGAGTCATTTTAGTGGAAGAATGATAGGAAGTATTGTAACTATATTCTGCCCAATGAAGCCATAATTTCCATTGCTTCAATTTATCAAATACTGCACATCTCAAGTAATTTTCTAAGCACCTGTTGACGACTTCAATTTGTCCATCTGTTTGAGGGTGGTAAGAGGAGCTAAATTTGAGTTCAGTTCCCTGTAATGTGTGTAGTTCACGCCAAAATGTACTTAAGAATACTTGTCCCCTGTCAGAGACCACTGTCTTTGGAAACCCATGGAGCCTTACAATTTCCTTGAGGAATAACTGAGCGACCTCCTTGGCTGAGAATGGATGATTTAGGGCAATGAAATGATTGTACTTGCTTAATCTATCCACTACTACTAATATGGCATTCGACCCATGTGATTTAGGTAAGCCTTCAATAAAATTCATTGAAAGGTCTTCCCATATTTGGGTAGGTACAGATAATGGTTGTAGAAGTCACATTAGAGATAGTGAAGAAGATTTGCACTGTAAGCAAGTAGGGCAATTGTTGATATATGTCTTTATATTTCTCTTCATTCCTTGTCAATAGAATTGTTGCGAAATTCTATGGTATGTCTTCTGAAATCTAGAATGGCCACCCACCAGGCTGTCATGAAATAATTGTAACACTCTGGTAATGAAAAGAGAATGTGTTGGCAGAACCAACCTTTCTCTATATAGCAAGGATCCATCCTTCAAAGAATATAATTCGTTTGTTGTATTTCCTTTGAACAAGGAAGTTTTAATCTCTGCACGTTTAGTGTCTTGGTCCACTACTAGTCGGACAGCTTCGAGATCAATGGTGTAATGTGTTATTGCCTCATTTAGTTCAACTTGCAGTAATAACAGACATCGGGATAATGCATTTATGACTTGATTGTTCTTCCCTTCCTTATATTTAACTTCAAAACTATAGCCCATCAATTTCACCAATCATTTATGATATTCAGCATGAATTTCCTTCTATTCAAATAAGAATTTAAGACTGTACTAGTCTATTTTGATGATAAAATACTGACACATAAGATAATGCCTCCATTTTCTTACTGTCAACACTATAGTCATCAACTCTCATTCATAGGCCGATTTTAATTTGGCTCTTTTTGGAAGTGTTTGACTGAAATAAGCTATTGGGCGCCTTTGTTACATGAGAACAGCCCCAACACCTAATCCAAAAGAATCAGTTTCCATGATAAATTCGTCTGAAAAATTTGGTAATGCTAATACTAGAGCCATAGTCATTACTTGTTTAAGGGTCGAGAAGGTTACTTGTGCTTCTCCTAACCAATACAATGCATATTTTCTTAGTAATTGTGTTAGTGGCCAGACAATTGAAGCATAGTTGGCAATAAATTTTCTATAATATCTAGTGAGCCTTAGGAACCCACGGAGTTTCTTAAGATTTCTAGGAATTGGCCAATTAGTCATGGCAGATATCTTCTCCTTATCGACTTCTACTCCTTCTGTCGATACCCAATGACCCAAATACTCTAGTTTGCTTTCTCCAAATCTGCATTTTTTGGCATTAATATGAAAGGAATTTGTCGAGAGAATGGAAAATACCTTCTTCATATGCTGCAGGTGTTCAATCATAGTGATGTTATACACAAGTATATCATCAAAGAAAACCAGTATGAATCACCTCAATTGACATTGAAATATTTGGTTCATTTAGCGATTGAAAGGTTGCAAGTGCATTTGATAATTTGAAAGGCATTATTTTAAATTCCTAATGGCCATGATGAGTCTTGAATGTAGTCTTAGGGACATCTTCTTTTTTCATTCTAATTTGATAATACCCTGATTTTAAATCTAGTTTTGAAAAAACTGATTTCTCATATAATTCATCTAGCAGCTTATCTACAACTGGAATGGGGTAACGATTAGGAACTGTATCTCGGTTCAATGCTCTATAATCTATACAAAATCTCCATCTGTCATCTTTCTTCATGACTAATAATGCAGGGCTCGCATAAGGACTGTCTGAAGGTTGTATGACCTCTGTTGATATGAGTTCTTAGACGAGTGTCTCAATTTCATTTTTTTGGAAATGAGAGTATTTGTAAGGCCTCAAGTTAATAGGTTTTGTTCATGGTAATAGATGAATGACATGGTCAAAAGGGTGCTCAGGTGGCATTCATGTCAATACTTCAAAAACTTTGAGAAATTCTTATTTCAAACTGATTTCTAAATCGTTGGGTGCATTAGGGTCTTTATGTGAGTAAATATGATGTAATTCAACCATATATGACTTGCCACTCTTAAGTTCTTTCTCTGGTCTTCTTGATGACGTATTGATTTTTGTAATACTAGGGTCCCCTTTGAAGATGTGAACTTTGCCTCCCGTCATGAACCTCATTATGAACTTCTCATAGTTAGAAAGGATCCACCCTAAAGTTCTCAACCACTGTATGCCTAAGATCACATCCGTGCCATTCAACTCTAGTAGTAAAAAATCTTGTACTATCAAAACACCTTGCGCATGGAGAGGAATGGCCTTGTAAATTGCTGCACCTGCCACTGTGTTGCCATTGCCCATAACTATGCTATAGCCATTTAACTTCTCCATTTGTAAGGATAAGTTATCAATTATTTTGGTGCGCAAGAAATTGTGAGTTGCCCCACTATCAATGAGTATTGACACCTCAGTGTCATGAATTTTGCCCCATCGTTTCAATGTCCCTTGTTGAGTGATTCTTGTGACTGAATTTAAAGATACGTGTGCAATGAAAGCCTTCTCATCCGTGTTGGATATGGCCTGATCAAACAGTTCCCATCCTTCATCAGTGCTATCATCTTCTATACTCTTTTGGTCTTCATCCACAATAATAATATTCAACTCCTTTTTACAACGATGCCCCGGAGCGAATTTTTCATTGCAGTAGTAGCATAATCTCTTATCTCTTCTCTTCTGAAATCTTGATCCGTCAACTTGAGTATCTTGCGGTTACTCAAAGGTGGCTTGGATGTCACGGAATTTCTCTTTGATGTGCCTTCAGCTGAATCCTGATAAATCCTTTTTGTAATTACCTCCATTATTTGTATTCTGGAATTCTCTTTTGTAAGAGTCATAACGAGGTTGAGGTGGTTCAGACTTTGTAATCACTTATTTCCTATATAATTCATTTCTGCTATCTTGGATTTCTCGAATATGAATCTCAGCTTGAATTGATAGATCCATTGTTTCTCTGAGTTCCAAGGGCTTATGCATTGCCAATTCCGATCTGATGTCTGGTTTCAAGCCCCATACGTATGCATCTTCTAATACTTCTGTGTTTATATGAGGTAGAAAGGCTACAATTCGTTCAAATTCGGTCATGTATTCTCTTATTGATGTGGCTTGTTGTAAGCTCATTAGTTGTTGCAGTGAACTCCTCGTCTCAGACGTCTTGAAACGTTTCCCCAATTGACTCTTGAAGTCATGCCAATCTCGGAATGGAAACCTGTCTTCCATCCACAGATACCATTCCAGAGCTTCTCCCTCGATACTCAACATAATTTGCTTGAGTCTATCATGCTCTCACGTAGGGTTTAGGCGGAAATATCTTTCAGCTTGCCTGATCCATCCCTCAGGGCTATCTCCTTGGAAAATTGGTAACTCTATTCTCTAATTTATCTGTGTTGGGCCATCTTGTGAAGCTTGGCTTAAATGAGTGGTGCCATTATAAGGTTGCATTGGTTCCTCTCTTGGACCTTTATTTGGATGCGAACTGGAGTGTGGATCCATTGTGGATAATTTCTGAAGAATCTGGTTGAGGATTTCTCTTTGCTCGATTAGGGATTGTTCCTCCCTAGCATAACCCTATTTCAGAGATGCAACCTCTTCTTCTAACGAAGTCATTTGATGTGCCTTTGACCTGGTGAGCATCCGCCGATCATTTGATGTGCCTTTGACCTGGATGATCGTTCTTCTTGCTGTAGATCTGCCAATCTTCTTCCAACATTCTGACTCTGTGGAATTACGGTCAAACAAATTCGTTGTGAGAATTACCTTTGTTTTTTGAATTTGTTGTAGTTTAGATTTTGAAAGAAATTTTACTTCAGCCTTGCTAATTCGATCTTTATTATCAGCCGAACAGAATCTTGCTCTTGTAATCTTGCACTTGTTGTTATTAGCTCAGTGGTAGAGCGCGCCCCTGATAATTGCGTCGTTGTGCCTGGGCTGTGAGGGCTCTCAGCCACATGGATAGTTCAATGTGCGTCTGTAGGTGGCTTTTCAAGTCCGTCGTCAAATCCCAGGGCTCAACCCTGGACAGGCGGTGGAAACTACCAAGCTTCATTTTCAATTAGGTCTTGCTCTAGCTTCTTTAGGGGTTGTTACTTCTTTAGTAGCTCAACACATTTCTCCGAGTTCTTGGAAAAAAAAGACCAGGATGTCTACTCCGATACTAGTGTTACGAACCTCTTGAGATTTGGGGTGAAATCTTCACCCTAATCTTACCTTAGACGAGGCTCACTCAGGGAATCAGCTCTCTGTTGTATAGAAGAACCAGATTGAACAATTGAAAATGGAAATTGAAAAGACAATAGAGGTTCGCTGACAGTAGGTGAGTTCCTGAGGTCGGATCGATCCTCAGGAACAGGAGAGCCCGAATCGGACCTCTCTAGGGACAGATCTCCCTCTCCACTGTCTGTTTTTTCTCTCCCCTTCTTATTTTGGCCTCTTCTATATTTATAGGCCTCAGTACATTATTCTATTGTGGTCCCCCCTCCATGTGGGGGTCTAGGTCGTCTTGTGTAGACGACGGTTGACTTCGTAACAAATTCCTTGGAAAGATATTCTCTTATGGTTTATTTTTCTTGTCAGTTTGCTTAAACGTTTTATCTTTTGTTTACATAATATTAGCTTTATCATGTCTCATGAACCTATTGCGTTCTTTGTTCTTATTGATTTTAACTATTTACAGGCATATAAGGCCAATGTTATCTGCCCTAACAAGCACCACGCTGATCCTGAAAAGTTCTATAACAACCGACTTCTAGAAAGTGAAACGTACATAGGAGGCCATGTAGAATGCCTTGAAAGTGGTGTTTTTAGGTCCGATCTTCCTACTAAATTTCAGCTCGATCCATCTGCATTTGAGGTGAGTTTATACACGAGAATGCCATACTACTTGAACGTTAGATTGCAGTATTTTTTGAGATCCGCGTTCTCCTTTTGGACAAGTGATATTGTTTGGTTATTATGTTTCTCGCATTTTGGCACTCCTTTGGTCAGCAGTCGTATATCAAATAATTTTTGTCCATTTATCCGATTCAAGATGAGGCAACTGTATTGTATTTTCCTGTATGTATTTCCAACGTTTATCGTTTTATGTACAGAGTATTATTAATTCTAGAGAGCCGGAGAGCATACCTTTCATATAGTATTGTCATGCATGCATATACAGGCACATAAGCACAAAGCATGCCAACATGATAATCTTAGAATGGGGAAAACATAGATGTCGAACATATCGTCTTAAGATCTCTCTCATGGTCATGGGAGATCAAGATTGAGATTAGGTTGTATATAGGCTCCCCTTGTAGGGTCACTATGGAGAAATGCATTCTTCATTTTTAAGCCACTAGAGAGGTCACCTACAGATGACCAATACAACAATGAGATCGGGAAAAAAAATCTTTGCAGGCAAAAGTTTCTTTACAATCATTGAATTCCATGATGAAAGAGAAGGCTACGTAAGAGAGTTCGATGATGGAATGGAGGTAGAGAAAAGCGTGTACAATCAGAGATGCACAAATCACGTTTGTCGAGATGACAGACAAAAACATGCTCAAGAGGAGAACATGAACATTTCGGTATGGACGTGATAAATAGAAGTGAGAACATCTTCTGCCTTAAAAGTGGAACGAATCGATGATAAATAAAGGAAGATAATACCTTATGTGTGAGGAAAACATAAAAGAATTGAGTGCGATAATGAGTCTAACTAACATAATAAAGGAAACTCATCATAGAAGACGATGGAGAGGGAAACCATGTATTAGAAAGCACTAAATCGAATTGGTTGGAAGGTGCAGATTCACGTTGAGGAAAAAGGATTGTTGAGTGCTTGACAAGCTTACGACTCTTACAGTTTGACAACCCAAGACATTAAAATGAAACGAAGACACGAGATGAACTTTGGGAAGATGACCCCGGCATGGAGAGTGTAATACAACAATAAAAAATGCTATAGCCCCGAACTGAAAGAAAAAGACAATAGTAGGAGGAAGATGGTGCAGGCTTCCCACTCAACGACTAATTCCAATCCTCTATCCTTTATATAAATATTTCATAGATCAAAATTATCTCCATCATCAACAAAGTAAATGAATCAAATTAGGTTCATGTAAAATTTGGAAAACTTGAAGCACCTGAAAATGGTACACGATTGGAAGTGTTAGATTGAAGAGTGGTGGTACCACGAGAAGATAAATGAGCTTCCATCAATGTGTGAATCAACAAATTAGTCGGAATAAAAAAACAAATTAGAAAATAATTAACCATTTGAAGTCATATGTTGAGAAGCCTCAAAGTCCCAAAGTTCACATCAAGAGTATTAGCTGTGGCAGTCATAGGATGGAGTTTAGAGAAGAGACGAACAAAGTTTAATTGTTGGTATTGAGAGGAAAGTTGAATTTGTCTAGTGGCTAACCCTGTTGTATTAATATTAGTTTTAGATGCGTCTGGGATGTGCACTTGTCATGGTAAAAGTTATGAAGTACGCAAGTGCTTTGTGTGACAAAGCATCAACATAATATCGCTTGTGGGCATAGAGGATCTTGTCCTCCGCCCAAAAGCACCATGTTGCGCTACAGTAAACTTGGTGGCTTGTGATTTGGTTTGAGGAGAAATAACCCATATGGCATCGTTGCTGACTCGTGTACACTAGATATTCATCTTAAGAACATAGAGATAAAAATGTCGTCATATGAGGGAGTAGAAAACACAGACGTGATCAAAGTAGGAAAACACCCTTGGATGGAGAGAGTGCATGGTAGTGTCAATATGTACAAATGTTGGTATCAGGTGTACATTTTTTGTGTTCACCAGACGCTCTAGACATGCAAATGTATAGGGATGGATATTTACTTTAAAATATCATGTGCTTGAGAATTCTCCTTGGGTTTTCAATTTGAGATTTAAAGAAACCTACGCGAACTCTCTTCTTTTGGGTCCTTGATAGCCTTTGTATCCCACGTAGCCTTGACAAAAGGCTACTCCTATAATGGCTAGAAAATGGCTTTCTTTGTTGCTTTTTTTAGTTTTAGCTTTCGATTTGAGAAAACTAGCTGTTGCAGATCGATAAATGTCTACCTGTAAAATTAGTTGTTGACACTTCAATCGTGTAGCCATATTTACGTTGTTTTAATCCTTCTTTCATTGACTGTCAGCCCTTGCATTTCTTCTTTTTTGACTCACGTCAAGCATTGCCACTTTCCGTTGGTATTGACCACTCTTCTGACGTTGACATATCACCTGGACGTAGACATTTAGTCTCACAACGTTGAACAACTATTTTTCATTGAGTCAACTCCTACTATTTAGGTGTGGGCCCCTCCATAACCTGGGTTCTGCTTTCTGCATGTATTGACACTTACCTTCTAGGTGGTGACTCTGAAAGCCTTCACTTTCTCTGCTTTGAGAATTTTGGCATTCGAGTGTCAGCACTCTTTCACTTAGATGCAATCGTTCTGTATATGTTGACACTTGCTGTTTCTTAGAGATTTTGTTAGTTTACTCATAAAATAGAATATAAATAACAATAAAGTAGACGCATTTCTCAAAAGGGCTCCTAGAATTTTAATACTTAAAAGACATATTTATTCAAGGCAATATTCTAACGTGATGTTGAATAAAAAAGTCTCTGAGATATAATTAATTAGTCTTGATTCATCAAAGTCAATAAAAAGGGGATTTTATTACAACTTTATTGGAATATTCGTTTTCATCTGCACTTGAGCGTTTCTTTGGTAATCTCTTGATCTTGGTTGAATGGTATTTGGTTGATTTTTTTTAGGACAAAACAGTGTTTGTATGACTTTATCGACATTCTGGTATTTGTCCTCTGATTATTTTTTTTGCATATTACGTTATTTACTTGGTATATATTCATGAAATATTTGCAACGATGCCATCTTCATATGACTTCTGTCTTAGTTAAGTGATGAAAGTGTCTCACGTCCTGAAAAGATACATTTTTTTTCAATATAAACTTGACCTTTCCATTTTCCGATTTCCAGCAACTGATAAGAAATTTGGACCGGGACATTCAATATGCAATAACAATCGAGGGTAAGATGGATATTGATTCTGTCTCTAACTATGAAGAAGTGAAGACTGCTATCTTAGAAAAGGTTTGGTCCAGAACCCTTTGCCTTACTTCATAATTATTTATTATTTAAAATCCACTATGTTTCCTTTTTTGTCATTGTTTTGACTTCAAATGTAGCATATGTCAACATGTTTTCATGAAGATGGATGATTCAGGTACATGAAGAAACCATGGTTTTCAACGAGTATGAACCCTAGAATATTATTATCCTTTCATTGTACAGAAGGGTTTGCCTGTGATGGAATCAGATTCCTCCCACACCAGAATTTCGAATGATTTCGCCGATTGCGTTTAGATATAGAGAGGATTAATTCATATGGTCCCTGAAAACAGATCTTTGTGTTCTATTTTGTTCACTTTTTGCCATATATGTGCACAGTAAATTGCGCCGAAAATTTTCATTTGTGCTTGAATTCTTAAACTATCAATTTCCATTACTGATGTCTAGGTTTATTTTTTCTCCGCTCGTGTTTGCATTGTCTATAGCTTCAAAGCCTAAGGGATCATCCAATTCGTGACGAGTGTCCTCTCATATATCATCTTGATGTTGCTGCTATGTATCCAAATATTATTCTGACAAACAGGCTTCAGGTATGGCCTCCTAATAACCTCTTTCCTTTTTGTATATTATAAAATATAGTATCCTTCCTTAATCGGTATGCAAAAAGAATTGAGACTTTTTGGAAGTTATAAATAGTTATGTAATTGTTTCGAACAAAAGTAAATCTGTCCTTGTGAAGTTAAGCCAACTGCAATTTTCAATCGTTTTTAGCTGGATGACCTAATGATTTTAGCAAAGAATCAAAACCGATAGTTGCCCTGAAGTTGTATGTTCCATTTTGCTTTACTCGTGACAAGGCCTAAAAGTAGTCCCTGTGAAGAGGCGTGCAGAGAGTAGTTTTGTAATGATTATTGCAATAATAAATCTGTGATTATACTGATGAGTCTGGTCTATTTTACTCGAGTTGGTTTGGAGTTGGATGACCTAAAACATTAGCATCAAACCTGCAATAAGATTTATAGGAACATTTGTTAACATGATGGCCATCATTCGTTGTTTAGGATTCCTAAAGTAGAAAGAAAAAAAATAAATCTTGACAGCAGCCAATGAAAAATTATGTTTTGTCATCCGCGTATATTTGATTTACAATAATTAGGAATAGTATGGTAACACCCGTGCTCAGAACACAACAGATAAAGCTTTTATAAATTTGACGTATATTGTTGAAACCTGTTTATATATTTCACTCTTTTGGTGAACAGAACAAGTGAAGATAATAAAAACCTGTGTAATTTTGGTTTAGAGATTAAAGATGCTAAAAGCTGCTATTTTCCTTGGGAGTACGCCTACCACACCATGAGGAAGAAGAGTTTCTTAAATGAATCTGATATTTTTAACTCGACAGGACGAATAAAAAATTTATACCAACTTCTATGACTATTTTACGAGTCCATAGACGTAAATATATTCGTGCATATTTAAATTTCGTCAATTAACCACTGCGTTTGTACAGATAAGATAATCATGTCTCATTCAGCTGACCCGATTTGGTTCATCTCGTTCTGCCCCAAAGTACTCATTTTGTTGCTTCTGCTATGAAATTCTATGAACGGGTTCGATTTTGTTCAAAATAAGGCATTATAGTGATACTAAACCAACTAAATGGATTTTCAATTACAGCCTCCGTCAATAGTATCTGATGAGGTCTGTACTGCTTGTGATTTCAATCGTCCTGGCAAAACATGTCTTCGGAAGCTTGAGTGGGTTTGGAGAGGAGAAACCTTCACGGCTAAAAAGAGGTCATTATCTCATCTCATCTTGTGATTTTCTAGATATGATTGACAAGTCTCATTCGTGTATTAGTGATTTTCAGCGATTATTATCATTTGAAAAAGCAAATCGAATCTGAGCTCGTTGAAGTTGGTGAGGATAGACTGTCAAAAGCTTTCCTTGACCTTCCAAAGTCGGAACAGCAGCTAAAGATGAAAGAACGTTTAAAGAAATACTGCCAAAAGGTAGGAAATGCTGTTTTAGGTTATTGCCACAAGGTAGGCATGTGATGGTCTCATCTACAATAATTTTTTATTCAGTGACGTGATTACTTGTTCTATATGTAGGCATATAAAAGGGTGCTTGACAAACCACTTACTGAGCTTAGAGAAGCCTGGATATGCATGCGTGAAAATCCTTTCTATGTAGATACTGTGAGAAGGTATGGAGCGTTCCATGTTCTGTATTTCCCTTGAGACGAAAAGTGGAAGTCTGTTAAGAGAGTCTTTCAGCGTCAAGTTTCTGAGCATAATTCTGGTGTGATTTGAATCTTAACAGATTGTTGATAATTTTAAAATAAATTAGAGAACTCATTTACATTGTGAACACTAATGACTTTATAATTCAGTTTCCGTGACAGAAGATATGAATACAAGGGCCTCAATAAAGTTTGGAAAGGAAAGCTGGAAGATGCAAAAAACAGTGGAAATTCTATGAAAATTCAGGAGGCACAGGTACCAATCGTATCGTTTGGTTCTCTTAAATGTGAGAGTTAAGTTTGTATTCTCATTTGCTCTGCTTTTGTCCATGACAGGATATGGTTGTTCTTTATGATTCCCTACAGCTTGCCCATAAATGTATTTTAAATTCATTTTATGGTTATGTCATGCGCAAGTAAGTATCAGTGAAGCATGAAATTCGGCAATTGACTCTGTATCTTGCCCATGTATTTTGCGGTCATTTTTGACTTACTGCTTTACGGTCCTTGTGTAGAGGTGCACGATGGTACTCAATGGAAATGGCTGGTGTTGTGACCTATACTGGGGCAAAAATTATTCAGAATGCACGTTTATTAGTTGAAAAGATTGGAAGGCCACTGGAATTGGATACAGATGGCATCTGGTGTGCACTGCCAGGATCTTTCCCTGAGAACTTCACGTTCAAAACCAAGTGAGAGGCATTTGTTTTTTCGTTTTATCTGCTTGATTTTTGAAAAATTGAGATACTATGTGAACATATGTCTAAACTTCGATGCCAGTATTAGGTCATTTTGGATTGACAATTGTCTTTTAGCCAAGAGGCATTTCTGTTTTTTCATGTTGCCGGGTTTAAACTGGATGATACTGTGAGTTCTAGTTTTTTTTTTTCTCTGAAGGATGCTTGAAATCAAGGTTTCGTGCTTTCTCCTCAACCTACGAAATTTCTTATGGCTGCCGGAATTTTTTTCTTATTGAAGTCACATTGTCTTTATGTTACCACAGTAATAGTGGTTCAAGTGATGAGCAGAGTCATCAAATCACAAGCTCGAAAATTGTGTGGGAAACCAAGAGTTTGATCTCCATTCATTTGTATGAAACCTCTATGGCAGAGTCGTGAGCTACTGAATATTACAGTTGGGTTTGGAACATAGATCAGCACAGCCCCATTCAGCTGTTCTGGAAGAAAATGCCACACCGACTGAAATAAACAAATGATAACAGCTATTATATGAAATTTAATGGTACAAATTCCTATAGAAAGAAAACGGACTACAGAACTGCAAGCCGTTTGGTGATCAGGGTGTTCTTTGCATCTCCAATACAAACCTTCACCACCACACCCTCCCCTCCCCCCCCCTTCTCCCCCCCTCCCCCAATACACACACATAATCCTTCTCTCATTCTCAGTGATAAAAGGCTGAAAGGGACCATCAGAGGTGAATCTTTTTCCCGATTCCATTCTTTTGCTCTTGATTTTGTCATCCATTCCTTGCCTCCTTTTCCTCTCGAAGTAGCATTTTCGAGTACTCTCCTTTCTCTTCTTTTTTGTCTGGGGAGGAAAGACCGAAGGGCATTTCTAGTTCGGCCTGGGTCTGACCTGAATCAGTCCAAGATCTGTGGAACCATACCAGGGACCTGGATCATCAGCACCTAATCCCAATCTAGAACTAACACATTGTGTGGTTTGACTGATTCAGCAAACACTGCGCAACTATAAGCTTCATAAGCAATTGTTGCAGATTTTATGCAAAAAAAAAATTACTAAGTTCAACTGCGTTGTGTGGTCCTTCATGAATTTCTGACTGTAATTCTGTTTCACGTTAGCCCTTTTAGGTTAGTTTTTTAAATCAAAGAATTATCTATCTCACGTGAAGGTAAATCACATGCTGGGAGATCTTGTGATCGTTTTTCTCTATTGATTGAAAACAAACGAGCCCAGAGTTGGACTGCCTGTCTATACACGTGCTCTGTTATGTAACTTTCTCATTCATGCCTGTGGCTTCTCACTATTGATATCATATACCATTTTCTTCATGCATGTTTTTGGCGTGGATATGACATCTTTGATAGCACTTCTTCATGCATTTCAGGGACGGAAAGAGAAAGCTTACAATCTCATATCCATGCGTTATGCTGAATGTTGATGTAGCAAGAAATAATACAAATGATCAGTATCAGGTGAAGTTCATGGCCACTACCATCTCCAGCTTTTATGGCAGCTTTCTTCCTGATTTTCATTTTTTTTCTAAAATTCCAACATCTGCATCAGACCCTTAAAGACTCCGTGACAAGAACATATACTACACACAGTGAATGCTCCATTGAATTTGAAGTGGATGGCCCATACAAGGTAAATTGGATTAAATGGAATAACAAACCCTAGTTGTTGTCATCTTTCTGCATTTAAAGCATTATATGGGTGTTTGTGTGTAGGCCATGGTACTTCCAGCATCAAAGGAAGAAGGAATTTTAATTAAAAAACGATATGCTGTTTTTAATCACGATGGAACACTGGCTGAACTCAAAGGTTTTGAAATCAAGCGGAGGGGTGAGCTAAAGCTCATTAAGGTCTTTCAGGTATACTTTGTTCCTGAAATATTATTTACCGCTTGTATTTTCCACCGCTAATAGACTTTTTGGTATGCTGTATTTTATATCTTTGAGATATTCAGACTGAATCATCCGAGGTGACGTTCTTCCAGAAAACCTGAAGAATTAACTAGATGGTCTGCAATAGGTTTCACCCAGACGTAATCGTGTGCATGTGTGCACGAAAAAATTATTTCACTTTTCAGATGTTGTTTCTGACTGGTTATCCTATAAAATCAGTATGCAAAAATCATAAAAAAAATAAATCCTCGGAGCTGTAAAATATTGCATCTATAAAACCTTCTGACCGAAAATAGTGCATCTCGCAAAATATGTTCTAGAAAATGAACGTAAATGAATGTCTATCCCTTTGGAGACTAAGCACATCAATAAATAATCGATGATTTGGTGGAGGAACCCCCCTGAGTATTGCTTTTTCTTTCAAAATTTCCCTCGAATCTCTTCTCTCTCTTTGTAATCGCCATTACTTTCACATTATTTACTTGATTGCTGGCATAGTATTGTTCAGTAGTTAGATTATTTCTTGGTTTACAGGCTGAGGTTTTTGACAAATTTCTGCTTGGATCAACTTTAGAAGAATGCTATTCAGCAGTTGCATCAGTAGCTAACCGCTGGCTAGATCTTTTGGATGTAAGACATACTAGCTGTCCATCCCATTTCTGAGATTTATTACACAGAACATTTCTTTCTAATTTGTATTCTTTCAGAATCAAGGGATAGATATTGCTGATAGCGAACTACTTGACTACATATCAGAATCAAGCACGATGAGCAAGTCACTCGTTGAATATGGAGAACAAAAGTCCTGTTCTGTGACAACTGCCAGACGCCTTGCTGACTTTCTTGGTGACGCAATGGTAAAAGATAAGGGACTACATTGTCGATATATAGTTGCATGCGAGCCATGTGTAAGTTAGTTCACTTTTCTTTTCATCGCCATGTGCTTTGAGTAGTTTTCAATACTAAATGCAAGACGGGAGAGATGCAAAGGATGTGTGAGAAAAATCTGAGGAATATTTCTATAATAATCTTTGCTGAACGAATCCTGAGGAAGCAAATAATAGTCAATACCTCGTGCGTATTACATTCGATTAACTATATTCTCCGCTGAGAACTTCTTTTATGGGTGATTTTTTTCTGATAACTTTACACACTGTTGCATCTTGAAAATGCGTATAAAAACCATGTAATTTTTACGTTAGACTTACTGCATTTCTTCGTATTCTTGATTCTTCAGAAACAAACTAAATGATGCAGTTTCCCCTTTCTGGATTTATAATCGCTTTTCGAGTTATTGCTTTTCATTCCCTCTCTAGAATGGACCGCGATTACAAACACATTCTTTGTCGACTTTGATAGCCGGGAATCTTCTACATTTAACAGTAGGGTCTCTCATCTTCCGTCATTGTCATTAATAGGCGACATGCAACATTGCTTGCTTCACCTTCCATATTTCCACCCTCCATAGAGGCCTCACCTGCTCTGCCACGTGCAATCCTTAGTCTCCCAGGTCCCTGATCATGTGCAGTTAAAGCTAAACTTCAGTCTCCGCATTGTTTTCCCCATTGTGCAACCCTGATGTTGGTGCGCGAAGTTAATAAACCATCAGAGGAATGGAATACATTTTTTATGTTTCTTGTTCACTGCCTCGTTTTATATCCCTCATGTTTGCTACTTTGGTTCTCCCAATCCCTCATACTGCTTCCAGTCAGTTGAGAATGACTTCCTTGAAAAATTACTTTAGGAAGTCATAATGTGACTTTGATTAAGACTGTAGCTGAGGGTGCTTGTGGCTTGGTTTTCTTTCTTCTTTCTGAAAGTCACCCTTTACGAGACCGAAATCATGCAAATGCATTAAGAAACTCTGCAGTTCATAGCATCAGCTTCCTACAATGCTATCAGATTGCTTTTGACTAAGCTTCATAGCTCTAATATTCCTGAAACTTATGGACGAACATATCAAATCATGTCACATTTCTTCCTTGTGAAACCCTAAACAAATTTAAGTGAACCCATCCACTGTATTTGTCATGGCATTTAGAATTTTTTGTGAACCTTACTTTCAGATCTGTATAGCGGCCGCTCTAGTTACACAAGAATTTTATTGGGAACCAATATACGCTATTTATTATGGCATGTAGAATAAGCTTCTGTGGCTCTAATTTGTATATGCAGGGAACCCCAGTTAGTGAACGTGCTGTCCCTGTCGCCATATTTGAGACTGATTCAGGTATCCAAAACGCTGGGAATTGTTGTTTACAATGCCAATTTTTATTCCTGATCTGCATTGACCTTTCTTTTTGTTTTTTAAGAAATTGTGAAATTCTATTTGCGGAAGTGGTGCCGAATATCATCTGATGTTGGTATTCGGTCTATTATTGATTGGTCCTATTATAAGCAGAGGCTTAGTTCTGCCATTCAGAAGATTATTACCATTCCTGCTGCAATGCAGAAGGTGGATATACTCTTTTCTTGGGTTTTTGTTTGGTGGTCCTCTTATCTTTTCTCTAAGTGAGTAATTCACCTTTTCAGGTTTCAAATCCAGTCCCCAGGGTGATCCATCCTGATTGGCTGCACAAAAAGGTTCGTGACAAGGACGATAGATTTCGCCAGAAGAAATTACACGACATGTTTGGGCCTATAGGCAATGGTGGAACGATGCAAAACCATGCATCTGTCGACTCAAATCATGAACTCCATGAAATGATTATTGGAGATATGGAGGATATCATGAACAAGGAACACCATTCCTCAACAGTTGGACCTCGACCCACAGTTCGCAGTTATGCAGCAAATAAGGAAAACCTTTTAGCCAATGCATCTTCCCCATGCAGCAAGACATTAGATCGGCAACAGCAAGAAGATGGTGCACACGGAAAACATCAGCCTCTCTTGTCACCGATGGAGAATCTTATTTCAACCGATAGCATTGACAGAAATGTTGACTATCAAGGATGGCTTGATGCAAAGAAAAGAAAATGGAAAGATACTCGTGAGAGAAAGAAACGACGCAGGTGACTCATTAGTTTCCCTTAGATTAAGGATGGACATTTGGGTGGGATATTTTGCGGAAAATGCTTTTGCTTTGGAAGGCTCCGATGTTTCCATTAGTTTACATTTTGGACACTCTTACCCCCAATTATACTAAAGAAGCAATAGACCATGATTTAGGTACTATTGATGACAATTGTAATGGCTACGATAAGAAGGATAAGGGGATCTTCAGTCCTGGATTATCTTTAGAAGAAACCAACGGTCAATATTACGTATTATCTCAACAAAAACCTGAGAGTTCTCACTTTTGTTCCCTGCGTCCCTGAGCCTATGCAATTAATGATAATGCCTCCCTGAATCCGTGGTATAATTCACTATGATTACCCGTTTCTATATTTGTAGAAATGTTTAAGTGCATCGATGAACCTATTCTCGTACTTTTACTGAATATGTTGTCATACAAGGTTTCATACTTGCGTTTCGTAGTAGTCATCATCCAATCAATTACCATATCGGGTGTTTAGGATTCAAGATCGTATCCAACTATTTACTGTTTCCTTAGATTATTTATATTCATGAGTTCTATATGCAGAAAAGACAAAATTAAAGCATCTTGTTGTTCAGATGCTAGAAAGAGCTCAATATACTTGGATTTTTGAGGCTGCAATATTTAATCTGTGTTTTTTTTTATTTCCTTGTTTCATTCCAAAATCGCTTAACTGTCAAGGTATTTAGTACGTTATTTAATCAATTCTTTCGTAATTGTCGTCAACATGGAGTTTTAGCAATTCCACGATTCCAAAGAATGTGATAGACCATGGTATTGGCCAGTGAAAATGTTCTCGATTGGATTGTTGTCCCAATTTCAGCAGGAATCAAACAAGAATTCATCCTGCATTTGCCTTGTGTACGGCTTCAGTATTCTTTTTATATTTCAGGTTAGGTGCTATGGATGGATCAAGCCAGTTTGTTGCCATGGCTGGAAATCATGAGTCTATGACAAGTAATAAACATAATATAGCCAAGAATGGTGCCGTCTCATTCTTTAGAAGACAAGAATTACTACTTGTCCACAATCATTGGCAGGTACAGCAGTCTGTTCCTCATTCTCAGATCAGTTGGGCTTTCCTTTTTTAAATATTTACTTTGGTTCCATTATATTTTCCTTTTCTGTAATTTTTTGAGGCAGATTATACAATTTGTACCAAGTGCAAAACCAGGTCACTTTTTTGCATGGGTCATTACCGAAGGAATCATGCTTAAAGTTCCTATAACTGTCCCAAGAATCTTCTATCTCAATTCTAAAGCACCTATTACAGAAGAATTTCCGGGAAGGCATGTGAACAAAATTCTTCCTCGTGGCAAACCTAATTTTAATCTCATTGAGGTACCCTGTGCGTCAATCTTACGTGGTTTTTGTGGATTTTATCCAATTACTTTTGTAAGATATGCCATTACATTTTTAATTTTTCTTTATTCTTGGTTCAGGTGGTAATAGAAGAAGAACAATTCAGAGCAGAAAGCAGGAAACTCGCTGCTCTTCTGGCCGATCCAGAAGTTGAAGTATGATTTCTAATTTATCTATCACCCTGAAATGGGCTAAGATATTCTAATTTTAATATCTTTGATTTGTTGAGTTTATTTAGTTGGTCTGTAATTTGGATCAAGGATTTTGTTCTCATTTTTCTTGGACAAACTTGGCGTCATCATTAGCAAGCACTGTTAACTATTTCTCATCCTCCATACAAAAGACAATGAAACTTATTCGTGTTTCAAACAATAATTTGAAACAAGAGGCCTAGGGTCACGATGACTTTATCTGGGTTTCTTTTGCAGAATCTTGAGAAAGTGTTATCACTGCTTAATCGATTGATTTCTTGTCAGGGGATATACGAGGCAAAAGTTCGACTGGACTTCAATGCTGTCATCCAGCTTGGCTGTGTTTGCAGAGTGGATAGGAATGCGAGACACCGTAATGCCCAAGATGGATGGAATTTGAGTGAATTGCATATGAAGACGACCGTAGAATGTTCTTACATGGAGCTAGCTTTCCCATTCTGTTACTTGTATAACAGGTGCATGTGGTTAATGAATTCACTTTTTCTAGGTTCTGTCTGTACCAACTACCTATCTATTTTATAGGAAATTTATATCTAGGCCAAAAAAGACTCAGGGAAGATGTCATTTAAGTAATTATAGATAAAACCTCCGTAGTAGTCGTGAAAGGCATATTTCACATAGCCAGAGAACTTATGTATGTGGCATGTTTTTACTTTTACTCCATCTTCATGTCACGTATGTTTGACAATATACCTAGAACTTCATTTTAACCTTTGATCCTGTGATTTGTCCTCCTGATTTAATATATTTGGTTATAGTTATACCTTGTTTCGTTTATCACTGTGCATCGCATGCAATAGTTTGACAACTTAGCCGTGGCTTCAGGTAACCCATTTTATCTACGTGAGAAAATTTTATGAATCAACTTTTCTATGATTCTATCACATTAATTTGTTTTACTTGGAGGAAAATTTTCACGAAAGTCTTTCTAAGAACTTTATTTTGGTGCCAGTTTGTCTGACGGAAGGGGGATATATGCTGTCTATTTCCCAGCATCTGCGATAATAACGGTACTGGTGGTTAATCCTTTCCTAAACAAAGAATTGTCCTCATCCATTCTCGATAGACAATTTCGGGAGGCTTCACAAGTACTGTCCCTGAATTCTGGCACCCCAAAAAATCAGATTACTTTCAAGGTTTGATGATTGTTATGGTGTGAAATCATGGACTTTACTGTTCTTCTATCATTACTGGATTTTTGGTTTTCCATGCTACGCAGGTGGAGTATGTCAGGACAACTGAAAATGCCGAAAAGCATTTGCAGAGAATATTAATTGATTACAGGTTAAGAAATCCTTCTTTACTCAGATTTCAGTAGAAATAACACTTGGATGTCTCCTTGTGATGGGGATACACATGCAACCATGGAAGTTTTATTCACTTATCCTTTAAAAACACAGCTGATGACCCCTCATTTTACGAAGCTACTTCCTTACTTTATGCCAATTGATTCACACCTGCATTCGTGACTTCGCCATTATTTGTGTCATTGGTATGTGAACAAGTTGGTTTGTCGGAAAAGATGTGTACTGATGCATTTCTAGGGGCTGTTGGATAGATCTCAACATCCTGGGCCTGTGATGTGCGTCATCGAATCCGTTGACTACCGTATTTTGAAGTCAAATATTCATGCTCTGGACGAGTTTCCATGCATCAAGATTCCTTTCAATGCTCGTGACAGCAATTATCAGGTTTTTTTATGGATGCCTAATACTTTGTTCTTATAATATTCGAACAATGCGTATAACTGTATAAATATAAATCAGAATGTTTAATTTATGTTTCCTCCTCTCCACTTAGACTCTCGGATGGCAAATTGCAGCTGGAAAGACCAGCATGCTACGATGTGCTGCATCATCCCAGTGGTTGAATGAAAGAATCCTTCTTTCCAGATATGCACATGTAAATTCATTTTTCATCTTGAATCTCCTTTGACCGAACTGGTGGCAATATTTAAACTGGTGGCAATATTTATGCATCAGGTGCCTGTGGGGAATTTTGAACCTGATTGGCTTCTTTTTACCGCTGATGTCTTCTTTTCAAGGGCCTTGCGTGATAAACAGCAGGTTAGCATTCAAGCAACATAAATCATTTTGTTTAGGTCACCAAACTTCTTGAAGATGACGTTTTCACACGGATGTTCGTTCCGATCCTCTTCTGATCATATAACCATTGTTCTTTCTTCTCAAGATTTGTCTTCCTTAATACCATATGTACAAGTTTGATAAGATTTGTCTTCTCAAGATCCTCTTCTTGAAGCAACATAAGCCTTTTTGCAATCTTGATTACCATATGTACTCTGTTTGTTCTGTTCTTTAGTGTATATTATGCCGTACCTCCCCACTTAAAACATATATGAATAAATGGATTACAGTGTTTAGGCATGACTCGAAATGTCTGGCACGATGTCCAATGAGAGCGTCAAACTCTTCCATTAAAATGTAAACTTATCACCCGGCGTAAACATATTGCATATCAACGTGATACCTTTTGTTTATCTCTTTTTTTTTCTTTGCGGCGAATGATGTTTTATACGAGTTATCTATGTTTTTTGTTGAATTATCTAATCGATAGATTGATATTTCAGAATAATTTGGCGCTATTTCTTGTTATTCTTCGTCAATATTTTTTCTGATTTCATGGCCTCGGATGTATACCACGTTGTCAGCTGTACTTATCAAACTTGTAGGCTTCATTAAGTTGTGTCATCGCCATCTTCTTACATTTTCCCTTTCTTCATGTTTATTAATATTTACTGTTAAAACTCTGTGATATATAGATTCTCTGGATATCAGATGACGGCGTTCCAGATTTGGGAGGAATTGTTGAAGAGGACACATCATTTATTGACGAAGTCGGTATCTAAACATATAATGCTGATCAAGATACTGAAAAAGAATCTTGAGCTTCTACTTTATTTTATGATTTTTGAAAATCAGAGTTAGGGTCATAATAGAGCAACTTGTCTTCCTTTCTTTGTTTATTTGATTTCTTAATTTCTCCGAACACAGGTTGATAATCCTTTCGTCACGTATTCTGGGGCGTACAGAAGAGTGACTGTTGAGCTGAAGGTGCAATGATTTTTATCTATCTGATTATATTCGCCTGTCCCTTTTCACTTTGCTTTACTTCAGTGAGATGTTCAAGGAAACGTTGAAATACTAATATCTCGTGTTTCAGATCCATCATCTGGCCGTAAATGCGCTTTTGAAGAGTAGCCAAATAGATGAAATTGAGGGAGGAGCAATGTCTGGATTTGATCCTGACAATAACAGCAGCTTTGACGAACTTAGTTCGTGCGCTTCTGCATTCAGGGTATTGAAGCAATTGATTCAGAGATGCATCGCAGATGCTGTTGCATCAGGAAATGTGTTTGCTGACGCAGTACTACAGCATCTGTACCGTTGGATTTGCAGGTTCCCACTGTTGTACATTATAAATTTATAGTAGTATCTCTTTTTCCCCCGTCCATTACTTGATTCATTCAATTTTCCAATCATTTGTTTTGCAGTCCGCTGTCCAAGCTTCATGATCCAGCCATTCATCGTGTTCTGCATAAGGTAATCCCTTGAACCCGCTTCAACTCAATGTCCAAAGTCCTCTTAACTGATAAAATCACGAAGCGATTGTCTGGCAAGATCGATAGATGCCTTTAAACGTTTGTCTAGACTGTTATATTGGATGGCCCTAGCTTGGAGGTTCAGAACGAAATGAGAGAAGTAGAAGGTTCGGATGGAGGGAGAGCAGGGAGAAGGAGTAAAAGGATTAAAGAGCTCAAGGGATGGTGACATTTAATATGAATAACAGAAACCGAAAATAATGCCCCCGTCCGCCTAACCACGAGGAGTGGCCGATCTCCCTTGATATTTTATGTCCATTCTAAGAGACTCCCTATGATTTTCTGTTGACAGCTGATGAAGAAGGTCTTTGCATTGCTTCTCTCCGAGCTTCGAAAGCTGGGAGCGACAATTGTCTTTGCAAATTTCTTCAAAATTATTGTAGATACAGGAAAGACAGATCTGCCAGCAGCACGAGCTTATTGCGATTGCTTATTGAAAGCTCTGCAGGCAAGGTATGTCTCACGAGGAATGAATTCATTCATTTGAACGTTCATTCATAATTTTTCTCTCGGTTGTGTTCCTTATGGTTGGATTTCTTACTTCTGTAGAGATCTTTTGGAGTGGATTGAGTTGGAACCTCTTCAATTCTGGCATTCCCTACTGTTTCTAGATCAGGTGTGTTATTCTCTACTGTAGTGATCGAACTGTACCTGATTGCGTGCTCATCTCCGGTTTTCTTTTCACAAGCCCAGATTTTAAACTCGTAGATATTTTCTCTATTGTCATATTCTCCTGATGCCTCAAGAACCACGCGCCGAGATAGATATCTAGTATTTCCTTGAAAAACCATTGCTGTACTTCTCCCAGGGAAATTTCCTATATCTCCATGGGGTAGTATCTCGCTTAATACGTGGACCCGAATAGATCTTCTCCTTGAAAGTAATCAGGGGCTGTTAGTGCTACTTTCCCATCCAGCACACAGCCAATCTTTCAGACTGTTGTCCACTGCATTGATCAACAGTCCGACGTTCTATGGATACGAGTTGTCCAATCTTTCACACCCGCCATTTTCTTTGTCGATTCTGCACCACGAGGGCCATTTTTTTTTCAGTAATTTGTCAAAGCTCCCGGATGGACCTCAGGTATCCATAGCTAGCTTTATGAAGTTCGTCACTCGTTCACCACTAAGGTTTTGATGCACTCTTCCTTTTATGCACACGGCAGTACAACTATGGGGGGATACTGGACAAATCGACGGCTCGGTCTTCTGCAGACAGCGAGAGTGTCGAGAGTGAACCTCGAGTTGACATTGCATCAAGCTGGAATATCGCTGAGCGCTTGCCAAAGGAGACCCAGGTAGGCCCACTGTCATCAACCTTTGTCGCCCGTTGATTTTCAGAATACCTCCGTCATATCGTTGACTGCGCCCCCGGTTCCATGGAAACCCCCCCCCCCCGACACAGGACCATTTCATTTTGGTCGTTTCCGAGTTCCTGTACATTCCGTGGAAGTATTCGCTGGAACTGGCTGCTGCGAGAGCCGGCGTGAGGGACGACGACGACTCGAGCACTCCGATCACGCTGATCTCTGCGGAGGCACTTGAATTACGTGTTGCAGAATATCTCAAAGAGCAGGTTGAAATTCCTCTAGCAGTTCATCTCTCTCTCGTTGCTTGCTTCCATTTGCTTCGTGACTCAGCAGCTTGGTTCAACCTCGTGTGGCAGATCAGCAGGTATTTTACGGAGAAACTCCTCAGGATAGTGAACGACATCCTTCTGCACTTTAAGAGGAGCAGAACTGACGGCGGTAACGCCGGCGGACCGGCTCAGGCTGACGCTCCCAATGGTGATCCCGCGCTGGAGTTCATCAAGCACGTCTGCGCTGTCCTCGCTCTCGACCAGCACGTTGAGCATGATATTCTAGTGGGTTCACGCTCACCCTCGAGCTCTATACCCAAACACGAATCCCATTTCTTCGTTAATCACAGGGTTTGACCCTCCTGATCCCCTGATCGGTTGTTCGCAGAGGATGAGGAAGAACCTCCTCAAGCTGGTCCGAGTGAAGGAGTTCGCCCCAGAAGCCCAGTTCCGCGACCCTTTCCCCTCCTTCACCCTCCCGAACGTCATTTGCAGGTGAGCTCCCCTCTGCAAGTACACAGCCTTCTCGTCGAACTATCTCCATATGATGACGCCCATCTTTCAATCCCCCCTCATTAAGAAACCTCTGCGCTTTTCATGCATGGTTCTGTGCAGCTACTGCAACGACTGCAGGGACCTGGACCTGAGCCGCGACTCGGCCCTGCTGGAGCAGGAATGGCGCTGCGCCGTGCCTCGGTGCGGCCAGCCCTACGACCGCGGGCAGATGGAGAGCGCCCTGCTCCAGATCGTCCGCCAGCGGGAACGGCTCTACCACCTGCAGGACCTGCTCTGCAAGCGGTGCCGCGGCGTGAAGGCCGACCACCTCGCCGAGCAGTGCACCTGCGGCGGCTCCTTCGGGTGCGAGGAGAGCTCCGCCGACTTCCTCCGCCGAATGCAGGTCTTCCTTAAGGTCGCCCTCGGCCAGAAGTTCCTCCTCCTCCGGGACTGCGTCTCGTGGATCCTAGAAGGCCCCTGACAACGACGCCGCCGCCGTGGAGAGGACGAACCAACCCCTCGTGCTTAAAACGAAGCGAGCACGTTTTTATTGCCAGCTGCGAGTGAGTGTACAGGGCAGGAATCATTTATCGCCAGAAGTGTAGTACGTTTTCCCTCGCCATCTCTCCCTCCCCCGTCACCTGGTCGACGATATGCCCCACAGGAAAACCGTTTCAATCCCGTTGCGTCGGAACGTTGTAGATTCATGACCGGGGGGGGGCGGCGAGGGGGGAGCTGGGGGGCTGGGAGGAGGAGCCGCGCTGCGGGGTGCGAGCTGGGGCCCTGGGGGAGAGGTTGAGGATCTCCAGCGCCTGCTTCCTGACTTGCGTGGGGTAGTCGGCGATGCAGCCGATCCTCGGGCCGGCGCCGGTGCTCCATTTCAGGGAGAGCTGGTGGCCCAGCTGGTACGACGTCGCCTCCTTCCTCGAGTTTATCCTCTTCAGTATGACATTCTGAGGCACCGCCGCCCGCGGGCTCTGAATTCCCCCCGACAGGAACCTCCCCGAGAGCGTCCTCTTGTACCCGTCTTCTGGGACTGGCAGCGCCAGCTCCACTCGTAACGCCGACATGCCCTCCGGGATTTGAAGGAGCGGCGGAAGGGCGGGCGGCGCCGCCTCCTCCTCCGGCTCCGCCGCGGGCGCCTCGGCGGGCGTCGCCTCCTCGGCCGGCTTTGGATCCTCGTACTCCTCGTTGGAGCACGAGCAAACCTGGAGTTGGGCGAGATCAATGTGGGCACCCGGAGGGATTCGGATGAGACTCGAAGGTTGGAGAAATGGGTCACCTGTTCCTCGTCAACGGGGACTCCGTTCTCCTTGAGGAAGTCCAGGAAGTTGTTGAGGTTCTCCCGCGACGGTCGGTAGTGCCCGCTGTACGCCCAGATGGCCTGCCCGGCAGGAAAAATCCGAGCTTCCGATCAGATAAGAATTGCGATGAGTTCTTACTGAAGTAGACCGACACGATGAACGAGGGATGCCGACCTTGAGAATTCCCGCCTCTGCAACAAGCCTTCCGGCGGCCAGGGTGGCGCCGCCCGCCAGGAAGCTGGAGTGGTGAAAGCGCCCCTTTTTCTTCTGCAACGCGACAGCTCTCTGTGAGAAAAATCGTCGAAGCTAATAATCCAAGAAGAGCACGGGAGGATCTCCCGTTAAATTTTTCTTCGGGGTTACCCGGCCGGCGTAGAGTCTCTTCGAGGTGCTCATCACGAAGATCCACTTCCCCTTCTGGGGCCCCGCGGTCGTCTCGAGGAGCTCTCCCGTCTGCATGTGGACGAGTTTTCCTCCTCTGGGAACGTACTCGTAGTGTTCTCTCTCTTGCTGCGAGGAATCGAACAGCCAAATTCGTTGAGTGGGTGGGGGATTGATTTCTAATGGTGGGTGCTGCTGCTCTTCACAGCAGGCGCCGCCAGTTCAAACAGAACCCAGAGCCGTGGTTGAACGGTCGACTTACAGGGCCGAGGTACAGGATGCACTGTTCTCGGAGGACCGATCTCGGGCACTCTCTGAGGTCCACGTCTCTGCCGTCGCCGGCGTCCAGCCTGGATTGATAGCAAAAGTGGCTACACATCAGGAATCCGGTGAAGAAAAAGAAGCTGTAGGGAGAGAGAGAGAGAGAGAGAGAGAGAGATTGTCTCGGATCTGTACCCACCAGAAGAAGAAGGGTTGGCCATCGGTGCTCTCGCACCATCGCTCGTAGTAGAAGTGCAGGTTGTGGCCGTAGCGGTGCCTTGGATCGATCTGTCCTCCGGCAACCAGATAGAAACGGGGCGATGAGTCGTTGGCTTCATCAAAAGGAAACCAAATCTCGGGAGAAGCTACGCCCAGAATAGGGGGATGATCCAAGAAGAAGCGGAAGGAGGAGAAGAAGAGAATCTGATTGCGCGGAATCTCACCGCTTCAATCCAGTGCTGGAAGGCGAGCTTCACCGAGTTCTTGTTTCCCAGCGCACCCTTCCCGATCTGTGGGGTAAGATTTGAGCAGACCCGTTAACCAACTCATAGACGAAAGGGAAAACTCGAGTAACACAGGTGAAGATGACGAAGGGGGATGGGAATGAGAGGTTGCGGGTGGAGGTGGGGGAGAGACCTTGGCGGCGTTGCAGCTGACGCGATTCCAGCGAGATTGCACGGTCTCCGGCTGCGGATAGTTGAAGAAGGAGATGGTGCTGTGGTTGAGCCGGACGTACTCGATGGCTTGCCACCTTCCCAATACACGAGGCACAAGATTCAGGCGAAATCAACCGGCTTAATCTCCTCTTTCCCTGAGGAATTGTTCCCTCGGAAAAGTACAGATAGAGAAGGAGAGAGAGAGAGAGGGAGGGAGATGGGGGGAGCTCGCGAGTTCCGGACAAGCATCACCAGAGCTCCTCGGCGAGGACGGCGGTGTCGGCCAGCCTTCGACGGGTGCGGTAGCTCCGGTAGACCTTCTGGAGCTTCACGGCGGCATGCTCCGCCAGGGGCCCGCACTTTCCCTCCCCTAAATCCCCCGACGCCATGACGCAGTTGCTGTAGAGAACGGCAGGCACAGGCGGCATGCCGAAGGGGTGAGCTGCTGTGGAAACAGGAGACACCTCGGCAGTCGCCGGGAACAAAGACAGTGGAAGCCGACGGCGGCTATCACAGAGAGAGAGAGAGAGGAGATTTGATTTGCGGTAGGGAAGTGATGGATGGAGGGGCCTTATTATAGCGAGAGCTTCCTAATTCCAGCAGCGACAAAACCCGGTGAGAGTTTGGAAGTATTCTACGGAGAAATTTGTCTGAGAGATGGAGAGGTGGAGGATAAGCTCCCAAGTTAACAGAGGGGGAAATTCCCAGCCGGCGGCGACGCCCTCCTCTTCCTCTTCCATTTAGAAGAAGGGCGAGCGACGCCATTCGCCCAAGTCAGCGCGTGCCAGTTAGATGTCCCACGGTCATTGGATGAAGAGAGGAGAGGAGACCATTGGACCGCGACCGCCGGTGCCATGCGGCGGGTGGGGGACTCCTAGCCCCCTTCCCACGCAGTCATCCTTCGTGAACGAGTGGAGAGGATCCACCCAGATCAGTCCGTGGTTGACCTGTCACCCACTCCTGTACTGAGTCGTTCTCTCTCTCTCTGTCCCTGTGACTGAGTGCATCTTCTCCATTAATTGTACGGGTACCTTTACCTAGAATAAGATTCGTCTCCACTCCCCCTCTAATGTAATCACTTGAGGACACCAACTCAACCCAACGAGTCAGCGCCCCACCGCCCGCACCAACTGCGGCACGCAGCCTTAACCAGCAACCGGGAACTTTCCTCCACTCCCTACCTGCGGCGGCGGGTCAGCCCGACCTCAGGCCTTCCGGCGACCAGTCAGACGGCCTTGATCACAACCATATGGCCCTCCTCTCTCTCTCTCTCTCTCTCTCTCTCTCTCCCTTGACTCTGAGGCGGGAAGGATCGCATTAAAGGTCGCGTTTTTAATACCAGGCTCTTCGACGGCGACCGGAGGGGAGAAAGATCAACAAAACCGGCGACAGCCTCGAGGTCGGCGGTCCGCCGGCCACCGGAGGCGAGGATAGGGTTCCGGCAAGTAGAGGGCCCACTCGCCGGTGTCTTCTTATGCTGTTTCATCCGCCGCCGGAGAAGGAAACGGAGAGGAAGGAGCCTCTGGACCGCCGGGAAGAAGGGCCCAAGGAAGCCGCCGAGGTGGCGGATTGTACCGGCGGGACACCATCACCGGAATGGTGCAACGGCGACGCCCCTGTCGGTGGGCGTCCGTTTGGTCTGGTCCCGGTCTATCGTGGAAGACGACAAGGAAGTCCAGGCTAGTCTGTGGGCCCTCTTTTGACCCAAGTGGCTGCCCTCGGATTGGGGTCACTGGGTCGGCTCTGGGGGAATTGGGCCTATCCAATAATAAATAGTTAAGTTGGAAAAGGGCCCCAACCAATAAGAAATCAGTTGTTTATGGGCCTTGACCAATAAGAATGAGTAAGTTGGTTATCGGTCTTGGCCCATATAATTAAGTTAGTGTGCTCCGGTAATAGCCCAATAATAATTGGTAAGTGGGCTATGGGCCTGGTCAAATAAGAAATAAGCAAGCGGTTATCGGCCTGGGACAATAGGAAATAAGTGTGGGCTATTATTATTGCCCAATAATAGTATGTAACTGGGCTATGGGGATAGACCAATAAGAAATAATAAAGATGTAAGTGGGCTATGGGCTTTCTGTCGGGGCCGAAGTGGTATCTTTGGTGGGCCTGATGGGCCCAGAGAACTTCTCTCGCATCCAGTCAGCCCATCTCTGGTGTTTCCTCGTCCGACGTGGCTCTCCGGAAGGGGAGCTTAAAAAGGGGGATGAGCTGATCGTGAGCGAACGGATAGTGAGTTTCTGCTCTCTCGGGGTCGGGGTCCGGTGAGCGGCAGTCGACCGGCGGCGGATCGCCGACGAAGATGCGCCGGAGAGGATGTGGAAGGATGTCAGGGACAGAGAGGGGGGCGCGATTCGCCCCGTCACTTTCCGCGGCCGTGTCTGCCGCCGCCGAGTCGCGGCTCTCGACGTCTCCAACCAGAAGGAGATCGTCAGCGCCCACCGCGGCGGCGTCAACTCGCTCCAGGTACTTTGGTTCCAAGTTGCTCGGTTTTTTCACCTGAGAAATATCCTTCAGGGAGGAGGAATTCCTGTTCTAGTTCACCGTCGAACTTGACAGAGACCAGATGATTCGACGATAGCGATCACAAGTTTACGTTAACAGTTTATTTAGCCCATTTACTTCTCTGAATTCCAATAATCGATTCAGTTTTACTATGAATATCTAAAAACTTCACCGCTCATGCTGCCATCGAACGCCGTCAAAGTTATACTAGCCACCTAGAGATACTCCAAAATAAAGAGCAGCCGCAAGACTATTGCTGTGTTGTTCCGGGACTGCAGATTTTTTTTTACAGATAGATTTCGATGATTTTACCGGAAAATCAGGTTGATTTGACAGAAGGTCGATACCTGCTAGCTGGTGCGTCGGATGGATCAGCTGCTGTTTATGATATCCAACGCTCAACAGACTATGAGGGAGGTGGGCGAATTGCAAAACACAGAAGCCTCCTCGTTGTTGACAAACAACATGCCCATGGACACAAATTTTCCATTTCATCAGTTGTATGGTATCCAGTGGACACGGGACTGTTCATTACGGGATCATTTGATCATCGGATTAAAGTGTGGGACACAAACGCTTCTCAAGTATGGTTAAACTTCTGAGTCATGACTCATCCTCTCAATAAGCTTTCGTGCGGATCTACTGCGACATTCTCCTCGTAAAATCTTGTTTGTGTAGGTAGTCATGGATTTCAAGATGCCTGGAAAAGTGTACGGTACGTCTATGTCGTCCGTAGCCACTACACACATGCTGATTGCCGCAGGAACTGAGGATGTTCAAGTTCGCCTATGTGATATCGCATCTGGTGCTTTTACTCACACACTTTCTGGTCATCGTGGTAAGATGCGTCTCATTGTTTGAATACCGTACTGTCGATTTCTTATTGTTACACCTTAACAATTGGAATTCCACAGCTTCACAGCATTGTGTTTCCGTGGTATATAAATTGGACTTGGTTAAATATAAAGACGAATTTGTTGTTGGAAGACTTCAATTCCTATTCATTCACACCTGTCTTAGAATCCATTTTTATTCTCCCCAAGCTAGATGTGATATGCTGTTGTAAGCCACTGTGCGTGTAGAAAGGGCTAGCTGGGTAGTTCCCCACTCATATCATATTCCTGTAGAGCTTGACCATGGCGTTACATAGGTGAGAGCACTCGATGGCGGTGGGGGCATGGAACTGAGTAATTTTCATTTCACTATTCGGTTTCTGGAGACACTTGGGATCAAGAGGATGTTGATGGATACTTTAGAATACCGGATTTTCTCTGATAATTTTTTATAATGTTAGATGCTGTGGAGGAAGGGCAATGATAACAGAGCGTCTGTGGGAGTTAGACAGTAGTTATGAGAGGATATAAATCAGATAGTAAAATCGAATTCCAAACAATGTGTTGAATAGATCATAATGTCCTTGAGTACGCTGTACTCGAAAATTAAGTGGTTGAGCTAGTTGAAGGTCAGCAGAGGTAGATGTGAATGAGGAGCCTACTTGGGTTTTTTTTTTTCAAGAATAGATAGAAATTAGTGCGAACAACTGTTTTCATTAAAAAGAAATAATAAACTTTGTTGACATTCTAAGGTTATTCAGTTTGGGACGAATATTAGTATTAGAGCATCGAAGGGATGCATGATGGTGGAAATTAAAAATTTCGGCGGGTTTTTTTTTTTGGAGTAGAAGTTTGTGAAGGATGATTTGAAATTCGTAATGGAGTAAACTACTTGTACCTTGACTGGACAAGGGGATCTTCAGTGACAAGAAAAATGAGCCCTGACAGATACAAAGGAGACACAGTGGCGAAATAGAATTTGAGAATATTTTAAAATAAGAGAACCTTGTCAAAGTTAGATGTGGTGAGCATCTAAGGGCGGTGAATGGAGCTGTAAAATAAGAAATATCTGAGGGCGGTGAATGGAGCAAAATTAATAGCCTATGGTCACTTTTCTGATATGGTGAGCATAAGAGCAAGCGTGAAGAGGTACTATTAATAACTTTGCTGAAATTTAGAGAGAAACAAGATAAAGTTTCTAGAAAATTTTCTATTACGTTTCTAGATAATTTTCTATTGACGTGAACTGTAGGAACTTTGGAGGAAAATAAGGAATTTGAGAAACATTTTTTCTTCTAAAAACTGTTCAATCAGATAAGCTCTGAGGTTTTCAAACTGGTTTATAAGCTCAAACCTTTTGAACTTTTCCTAAAATGTGACAAAAATGAGCACATAACATCAAATGTGGAGAGAGAAAATAATCAAACCCCGCATGGTTCCCCATTGGGTATGAATATTACATGGAAGATGACCAGCTGATTACCTGTTTTGCTTTCGCTTTCATTTGCATACTTCGAATATTGTTGTGTGGCTGAGCTGTTTCATGTTGCTTTGTCATCTCTCATTTGGATTGGTAGTCGTCATTGCCCTTCTGAGTTCCTTATATATAACAAGCGCCTCTATACATAACTCTGCATCTGATGGCAGATGGGATAATGACTGTGGAATGGTCCTCCTCCAGCGACTGGATTTTGATGACAGGGGGTTGTGATGGTGCAGTACGTTTTTGGGACATTAGACGTGCTGGTTGTTTTCTTGTTCTGGATCAGTCTCGTTCTCAATTTGGAAGCCGGTCACCATTAGCTGAAAGTTCATCGAAGAAAGTATAATCTCTCTCTCTCTCTCTCTCTCTCTCTCTCTCTCTCTCTCTCTCTCGCTCTCTCCTCCTCCCTCTTATGCACTTTTCAAATATTTTTCCTGTCCAAAACTAGCCTAGTTTATATTCATTAGCGTATGGACTATGCCTTCCAGTTGATTTAAAGTGGACGTCATTCACTTTTATAGTTCATTCACCATGATCACTCTCACAAGACGCCTTGCATTCCTTCAGAAATTCTGATGTGAATGGCACTGTTGGGATCATGGTATTCACTTTTAGCATGCCTTGGATGTTTATTTAGTGCCTGACTGATAAATATGTAGCCACTCATGGACTAGAAATCTACCTGTGGTGTCATGAAAAGACTGCAATAGAGGGCCAGAAGATTGAACACATGAATTTTAAGTGCTTGGCAAAGGATATTTTTCCCCTATTTTCAGTCCCGTTCCCTCCCTTAAGAAATTAAAAAAACTGTGCATATAGGTATTGCTTTCCCAGCAGTCGGTTCCCCAGAGAGGAGCCTCCTCAACTATCTCAATTGCACCCGAGAGAAAGGTTCCCCATTACAGCAATACGAGGAAATTGTCAACTTCCCAAAGAGGTAAGCTGATCAAGGGTTTTGATACTCAGAGGCTCCACCCTGGCATGTCATCCAGTCGGAATAGATCAACAGCTCACTACGGTGCTGTAACTGGCCTAAGAGCAACGAAGGACGGGATGTATCTCCTAAGTACTGGTGAGCTTCATCCTCTCTTCAGCTTAGCAGATTATCCTGATACCAACACCGAATACTTGTGCTTCTTCTTATCACCCAGAAATTTCATCGAAACCCATCAGATATCAGCTCGATATGACGTTCAATCTGACTACCTATGGGCAGCATATATCTCAGAATTTCAGTGCGTCTTATGAGATGTTGGGAACTCTCAGGGTCCGATTCAAGGCTGAGGTTGTGGGACATCGAGTCCGGCTGCAACACCTTGGTGAACTTCGAGGCGACCCATCTCCACACAAGGCCTTTGGGGCTGGCGGTGGGCGAGGACTCCTCCCTGGTGTTCGTCCCCTGCATGGCGACCGTCAAGGTGCGCCTTTTTATTGCCCATTAGTGAGGGTGATTATTCGGATAATTGTGCACGACAATGGGCTTACGCGCCTTCTGGGTGAGATCTTTGTCAGGCGTTTGACATGTGGTCGGGCGCCACATCCCGGACATTCCGAGGGCATTTTGAGTCGGTCAACTGTTGCTTCTTCAGCGCCCATAATCAGGTCTGGAAGACCACGCGGCCTCAGCCTTTGCTTGCTCACGGTGAATGAGAACAGCTGAATTTCTATTTGTGTTTGCAGGAGCTGTACAGCGGGAGCAATGACAGGCAAATCCTTGTCTGGTCTCCGCCTAACAAGGCCGCCGTAGAACTGGTACTCCTCGCAATCGCTTCTCATCCACACGCCATCAAGCTCAAGAACCCTAGGACTGAGTTTAGGGGCTGGGATGGGCATTAAGCTCCTAACTCTCTCTCTCTCTCTCTCTCTCTCTCTCTCTACTTTGTGGGTCGTCTTAAATTGGAGGTGAACAAATTGTAGGGCGAGTCCAGACAATCATTATTAGAATTGCTCATTCACCCCTGGTGACATTGACCTGCAGGATCAAGAAGTCAACGGCGGTCAGCGGGGCCCTGATTCCGACCAGGATCGGTGGAGTGACTAGCTCCCGTGGAGCCCTGCGGGTAGTCCTCACCGTGCAAGTCTCACTGATCAGCGATCGGGTGCAAAGCCTTCTTCTAAACCTGTTCAAGCTTAGTCAACCCGGTACGAACTCTTCTCTCCCTCTCTCCGCCATCTCGTTGACTCACACTACCACGTTGACTAGAAAGTAGTAGATCCTCTGGTCCTTGGAACCATGACAGAAGATCGATCATGTCAATGGATCGGTCCCACGAGGGTGAAAGGAACCAGAAAGGGAAATCACTAGTTTCATGGGGCATTTTCAGAAAGAAATTAAGAAAGTATTGTAATTCTCGAAAGGGAAAGAGACGTCACATTCTGAAGAACCCTAGAGCAGAAGATGTTAGACAAAGTGAAAGTATCCCGGAGGCCTGGGACGTACGGAGTTGGGACACCCCACGAGCCAATCAGACTACATGCTTGCGCCAATGGGAGGCTTCCCCTGATAATACCACAGCCTCCGGTCTGAGTTGATCTCATTACAGAAGAGGGAAAGAAGGCTGCAGCTGAAATCATTCTATCGAAACCCTCCTGATGCAGACGATGAGATATATTACAAATTCAGAAAGAAGATCAAGATCAATGTTTACTTGGTGATCCGGGTGTGGGCAGAGTTGGTCGTCCCATGTACCCGCTGCAAGATTCACGTAGATTCCACTTACTGCTGCTGCTGGCCTTCGTAGGCCTGGATTCTCTGCTCGAGCTGCGGCAATGGCAATAGATGAGTGAGGGCAAGCGAGAATACTCCGTCACAAGAACTATTCTATGTCTTTCTACATTATTTCTTACAACTTTGATTCATGTGATCTTCTGGCCAGCTGGTTCTATGTAAAGAGTTGGGCAAAAGAAAATGTAATTGTGGCTTTGCAGTCGTTGACCCAACACGGGGTAACATTTTACTTCAACCACAGAGAGAGAGAGAGAGAGAGAGAGAAAGATACTTCAATCAAGCTCACAGAAAGATGAACACAATCCCTGACAGTGAAGTACGGCCAATGATATTGTCTCACCTGAACCATGGTCTCGAATTTAGTTTTCAGGCGATAATATTCATGTTTGACCAGGTTCAGGGCATGAACGCACCTGAGAAAATACAATCTCAATATTATATGACAAATAAAAGAACATAAAACTCCAAAATTAAACACAGAATTCATCATGAATATTGCACACTGAAAAAGCAATAATGCTAGAAAGTAAATGCTCATAGGGAAGATAATGAAAGATTAAAATCACTCAATAGAGCTGCATTTCATATTTTTCATACAAAAATCTGTACTAGTAGATTGTTGGCATAAGTGTGTCAGGATGATAAGTTTGTTATTTCGACGGGGGATCCTCATCATCAGAACAGACTGGTTCCGTCACCTTGTCTGCAATTCTTGACAGTATGAGAAATGATAATATTCATGTTTGACATCAGGCATGACAGAATTTGATCAAGCTAGAATTACAAGAGAAGCTGTACGAATTCTATATCTCAATTCGAGTTCATTTCAGTTCCCACCTGATGGGTTGTATTCCTGTGGATCTAAGCCTAGGATCTTGGTATCACAGACACGAGATTCAAATCTCTGCAGGAACACACTGCATCTTGAATGAATATTTCTTTTCTTTCCCACCTCAGAAGCCATCACTTGTTTCCAGGCCAGATTTACAAGCTTCTAGCATGGATATATTGGAGCCATTAACCAGAATCAAGCGTTTATGCTCTCTGGATGAAAAATGCAGGAAAATATTGCGAAATCAAACTTTGAACCATCAAGGAGGGGATTACCCAAATATCAATAGTGTGAAGATAACAGATCCAACGACCACTTCAGATACAGGTTATCCATTACTCTCTCATACAACGCCAATACTCCTAAGCTACTTAAGAATATCCATTCGTACCCATGGCTCGGTTGTTATCCTATATGTCATCATCTACATTCCCCAAAGGTGGAAAGCCTTCGCAGTTCAAGCCATTGATTACTTGATGACAGATGTGATGTATCCTTGAAACAAAGGTGCGCACTCTTTATTCCAAGGTGGTTTGACTACTACAACTAACTGCAGTCGCCATTTTATTGTATAGCTCGAGGCAATCAATTAAATAGTGCCCATGACATCAATGTTCATTTTTACGTAATTTCAAAAGATATTTTACAATATGTGCCAAATATAAAGTCACCCTCGATGGAAAAAAGAAGAAGATAATGCTGATATTGAACAGGAACAAGAACAAGAACCCGTAGCCACAAACCATATAAAACCAGTTTCACAAACCATCATACGTAATTCATACCAGAATGCCGTTACTCACCCTTCTTTGCTATTTTCCTCGCAAAATTGGCGAAATCTGATGCAGCCATGTTTTATATGCTGAGCACCCACACTAGAATAGAGAGTCAATTCAAAGAAAAGTATAAGCGTATTTCAAATTTTCAAAATTTTAAGTTTATGGATTTCAATTCAATGCTGAGCGCCCATGAAGAAAATTGATTCTGAAACTGTCAATTATAACGGACCTCCAGACAAACTGCTAATTGCACCAGGAAGAAGATTATGGATTAATCTTCAAAGCTTAAATTTTAAACAAATAAATAAATACAATGTTTCTTTCACGGTTATCTAATAATGGCGATTTTATTAATCATCCCGATTTTTATCTTCAGTTGAGATGCATCAGTACATCAAAGAATATTCTGCCGACCAAAAAAAATTGTTTCAACATGGAGTATAAAGAACCACTTTGAAGGAAATCTCATGATAAAATAGATGTTTATTTTTCTTTATCCGTTAATTGTGAATCTCATCAAAGTCTAAGGATAAAAACTTATAGCACAGTCGCAATATTAAAACTATGAAAATTTATTCCAACATGTAATCCTTAATTGCCGCACTTGTCAATCACAAGATCAATTTGTTTTCTCCTTCTTGCAGAATAATAAATTCTAACGAGGAACAAAACTTTTTAACAGACCTCAGTAGTCACACATAAGATAATATCAACATTAGAAATATATGAAGGATTTTTTTTCTCGTTAATCAGTCGAAATGGGAAAGTAAACATGAATTCATGCGTTGCCTAGGAACCATTTCTTCATCATAAAACTTTTCACATAAACACCTCACCTTTTTTTTGACAGTGAGAGTGGTATATGATAAAACAGATAGAGGATACAAGACTGAAGTCAATCAATTGATGAATCATGAGAATCCTAAAAAAATTTATGATCCCCTTGGACTCATTGCAACCCAACAACAAGCAATTCCCTGCAAAAGTGTTCCAGTCGGATGGCCAAATTTCCCAACGACCTAAACAAAGATTGATGATCAAATGTATCTCAAAGCGAAAGTGTTATCTGGGGGCCTTGCTAGAGAGTAGAATAAACCCCATTTATCACTAAAAGGCCACGAACCATTGCGGCGAGTCATTGACAACCATAGAATAAGGATATAAATGGTCTGGCTAATAGTTTTTGGAACTAAATTCAAATTCAATTTAGCCTACGTTTTAGGACTTGACTGCGACTGAGAGACCGCATCCTGGGCAAAGGCAAAACAGATTTTTCCTTGAAATCTCAATCCTCCGTACTGACGTGCATTACATTCGTCATTGAATCATAATATTTCGTAGATTAAGGTTAATAGCAGGCTCCAACTTCACCTGGTGTACTTTACTCGATAGATTGGGATGGTAAGTCCATATGTTAGCTTGTGTTTGAATGTCAACGGATAGAACCCAAAATACGAAAAGTGGAACAAGATGAAGTGAGATAATCAGCTTCCACATCCTTTCACAGTTCTACCAAAACACTTAAGCATTCTGGCATACTTTGAAGCAAAGAGTGGTAAACAAAGCTGCTGAGGACTCCAGGATATAACGGATCAAGACACAGAAAATAATAAAAAACCTGTTTAAAGTCAAAATAAAGAAGATGGATGTATCAACGCCCTGGGTTTTTCTATACAAAAAAAGAGGCAAGTATCTTTTCTGATGCCAAATCATAAAGCCATAAAAACCCAACTTCCAGAAACCTTCTTTATTTGATCCTAAAAAAGATTCACGAACCAAAGATAGTCTTATTCTCATCACAGCTGAATTACGGTTGAATGTCTGTAGAGAAGAAATGTATCCATTTAGTTTAAGAACACACGTTTTCACAGAGAACCTTGTCTAACATTGAGTCATGGAAAGCTAATCCTTCAAACTTTGTAGATCCACACCATTCCTCTGAAGGCAACCTCCATACAGGACCCAGGAGATGTTGACACACACATCAAGTCAGATCAGTTGTTAATTCAAAGAGTTAAAGAAGACCGTAAGCTCTCAACCGGCATGAATCCTAATTTAATCAACGGAACTCGGAAAAGCACCTCGAACTGCTGCCCTTGAGTTGATGAACATAAGCATCCACCTTGTGGTAATCAACCGCAACCTGATCCCTGCAGTGTAGGAAATACAACAGTAGTCATTCATACGCCGTAAATTTCAGCAGACGTTATGACCATGACAACGCCTGACCTAAGTGAAAATGAAACGGGTTTGGAAATACAAAAGTGTGGTGAGCTCCTTGAGAAGCCTCTCAGCATCCTCACAGAAGAGCGTGATGACCTCCGCAATGAATCCGGGGTTGTTGGCATCCTGAAGCATCTGCAGCTGGGTGAACTGATCGTCCAATAAACCCTGGAACCAGAGCAGAAGACTTTAATGATCCATTAAAAAATGGAAATCCCTTGAAGTTCCGCATGAATTCGGAAATTAAGGGGGACCGAACAAAAGAGGGGCAATAATTGAAAGCACATAGAGGCAGAAAATGCCTCATTCCATCGATTCACGACCGTCTCGTGACGAGCTCTAAGATCCAACACGTTAGGAGCGTATGCGCACTGCTCCGACCCAAGGAAAAAGCTCACAACCCCACGAGAACAGATCTCGCACCCTACTCCCAATAATGGGGACCCGCATAAAAAATAAAAACCCGGGTTCCCCAGAGTCAGCCGGAGACAGAAATTCACCTCCGCAAACATGGAGTTCACCAGGCCGCTGAGTTGATCCTTCAGTGTGGCGGCAGCCATGGGTTAACCAACCCCGGTTATTGAAGAGGATGCGGAAGAGATAACCAGAGGGAGACAGAGAGGAGGAGGAAGCGAGACGAGTAAAGAGCCTGGCCGCCGTGCAGGGAAGAAGTGAAAAGGACAGAAGGAGAGAGCGGAGGGGGACCTTGCGTGCTTCTGGTTCCCATTTATCTAGGATTCCTCTTTTTTTTCTCTCGGCGAATAGCAGTGTGTGCAAACGAGAGACGCGCGGGTATATAGAGAGAGAGACAGACAGAGACAGAGTATAGAGAGAGAGAGAGAGGGAGGAGATAGAGAGAGAGAGAGACAGACAGAAGAGGCATCAACGTCGCATATCACCCAACGACCGTATCGAATCTCCTTTTCCCCTTATAGTGGAGAACGTACTTATCTTCTAGTGTAAAAAAAAAAACTGTCGGTGAGCATCAGGCCCTCCCTTTCTTTTAAATTAGATAAATGTTCCCTCCAACCAATCCCATTGTCACGCGTGGCAGCTTGCGGAAGGTTCTTCCCAGAGGCCATTATTGCCTTTATCGCCACGCCGCGCGCGCCCAGTAGTAAGAGAGAGAGTATATTAAACGGGGGGCCGACACGTGGCAAGGGCTGTAACCTCATTGGTCGGAATACATAAATAGAATCTGAGGCGACTCGTGTCGTCTATATGGATAAATATTGTCAGTATCCAACGGAATGGCCAAGTTCGCGCCCCCTGTTATGGGCCCACAGAAATAAGCCCCACACCCCTATGACCAACGGCCAATTGAAGCCCAGTCCGGCCCAAAAAGGCTCTTTCTGGCCATCATGCCGGTAGAGAGAGAGAGAGAGAGAGAGAGATTTAGCAGCACAGCACAGGAAGAGCAGCGGCAATGAAGAAGCATAGGAACACCGCCAGGCAGCAGCAGTGTTCTTTTCTCATCCGAGGCTTTTGGTAATTTCTCAAGACACGATATTTTATTCGGCGGAGTTTTCCCCTCCCTGAGCGATGGCCATCTCAAGCGGCGGTGGTTTCGGGAGCGGGGGCGGGGGCGGGGGCGGGGGCGGGGGCGGGGGCGGCGGTGGTTTCGGGAGCGGGGGCGGGGGCGGGGGCGGGGGCGGCGGCGGGGGCCGCCTCCGCTTCAGGAGATGCGACAGCGGCGGGTGCCTCCTCCGCGGCGGCGGCGGCGGGAGGTGCCTCCTTGGCCTCTGCCTCTTCCCTCCAGAATTCAGTCTTCTTCCCCGTCTTCGACACGGTCTGCAGGACCGCCTCGGGTTTCGCCGTCCCCAGCACGGTCACCTTCTGGTCCTTCAAGTTGACGTCGTACGACTCCACGCCTGGATATCCACCGAAAGTCAGCGAGGCCTCTGAGTGCTGAGAACAACGACAAAAGAATCCCACCCATTCAGGATGGGGAGGACTCTGAAGCTACTCTCTGACCTTCCATCTTGTCGAGGACTCTCTTCACGGCTCCGACGCACCCTTGGCAGGACATGGTAACCTTCAGAACGACCGTCTACACCCAGGGCGGAGGAAGAACACCATCAATAAGAAGAAGAAGAAGAAGAAGAAGAAGAAACAAAAAAATCTACGGCCACATCCATGTTGTTGCAGCAGAAAACATTTTTAAAACAGGAGATCAAGGCTTTCCACCTTCTTCCCCTCAGCCAAAGATTCCCAGTCAACAACTAGCAATTCGTGGCCCGTCGTTCATAAATAGAAAACCTCTGATCCTCAGACGCGCATCAGAAGGTTGGGTTCCATGAATGAATGAGACTAAACTTGAAGGTCGTGGCCGACGCCAAGCTCTCGAGGAGCTTCAGTGGTGTAACATTTATGTCAGAAAACCTCGAAACAAATCCACTGGTATATGACAGCTCTTCAAGGTACCCAGATCCAGCATAAGACAGCCGGAGAGAGAGAGAGAGAGAGAGAGAGGGAGAGAGAGGGAGAGAGAGGGAGAGAGAGGGAGATACATGGGCATACAGATCTAGCATATGAAACCAGAGAATACAGTAAATCCAAGTATTCTCTATCTAAATATTTTCTTCATTCGTACTAGATCCTTCTTCTAGATAATCACAATGCTCTCTCTATACTTCTTCGTAAAATTAATAAAAATAACAAGGACAGAGAACTGAAGACTGCCAAGAATTTTTTTTAAAAAAATCCAATAGCCTTCTCACGATTCAGCAAAAAGCATCCAATAAAAAGGCAGAACCGTCGTCCAGATGTCAATCCAAGTAACAACATCACACGTGCTGGAGAGATCGACCCTCTCCTTCAGGGTTCCCAACAATCCCCTTACCTCAACATGTAAAGCCCAGATCAAACCCCCCAAGGCCGAGGCAGTAAGTTCATAGATTTGGGGGATATCCAGATTGAGAAAGTCATACGGCCATCGCAGATGGCGGGCAGTTCCCATGGTTTTGATTTCCCGAAAAGACTAGTACCGGCAGAAAAAAGCTGAAGTTTCATGCATATCACTGCTAGTTATGGAAGATGATTGATTGTTCACCAAGAAGTTGCAGAAACAAGCACCCATCAGAACCCTCAGAAATCGCCATGATTCGGCGACTGTAATGCCGATAACAAATGCCAAGGGCAAGAGAGTACTGTGTCTGACGTCTTCACATCGTCCCCTATCATTCACTTAATGGTCTACGGATACCTAAAAACCCCCTGGAGAAGCTTCTACCAATTCTTTCCTATGCTAGGGTACTTAACCTCTACACCACGAAGCAATCAGTGAAACTACGAAGGGGGCAGAGATTATCCTGGACGAGCAATCAGTCATTGGATTCGCAAGGTACCTAACCTAACTGCGGTCCGGAGAAACATGAAAGAATTCAGCAGTAGCTGACGTGCGGAAGCCCTAGCAAAAGAGATGAAAATCAAAATCACGATAGCAGATTCGACGACTCAGACGAAATTTCGATCGACAAGACGAAAGCGTATGGAAGGAAAGAAGAAGGGCTGAAATCATAGACTGGATCCCTTCCATCCTTCGTACCTCCATCTACCATTACCGATAACAAAAACCGACCGCGATTGATCTCGTCCTCCGCAAAACAAATCACTCTACAATCAGACAGCCCGGAAAGATAATCTAAGTAAACACTCCCAGAGGGCTCGACTGGCGCGCTCACCTCAGCCATCGCCCGGGAGAATGAGAGAGAGTTCCACGATGATCGGATGCCAGGTGCCGCCGATGTCTACCGAGTCTACACGGCGCCTCCAAATATAAGGGTCGGAGAAGGGGGCGTATAATAATAAAAAAAAGATAATGCTCAACGGGCCAGCGTGGCATCTTATTTTCAAACCCTTTTATTTTTACCAGCTCCGGTAAAAGTCCAGAATAAATAAATTTTCGCGATTTAAATACACCGAAATTATTTTAACGTGAAATAGTGAGTCATAATAAATACTGTACCTGGCCTATCTTTAGGAAACTTCCTATGTTTTCTCGCAGTAGACTCCTCGTGGACCACTCAACCGACACGCCGAAGAGAAGAAATGCGTTTGGTGAGGAGGCGGGTCCACCGATGGCCCACCAAAGCAACCGTTTGATGTAAGATTCACGGTTGATGGTTGCTTGGCGTTGAAGGGCGTCCTGGGGTGGGGGTTGTTGCTTTCTGGAGAAATAAAGTGGGGGATTCCGTGGTGGATGACTGGGACGGAACGAGGAGGATGCCACGTAAGCAAAATAAACTTCGGGCCCTGGGCCCAAAGTCACGTTTTTCATGGATTCTAAAGGGGCCGGCGCCCAAAACCCGAGGAATCAAGGAACCGGCCGCCGCAGAGACGCACCCACGTGGATTGCACTGAAAAAGCATAGGTTCTGTCCAACGTTTTTCACATAGCGCAATGATTTTTTCTAATTATTGTAAACATGTAGCCTGCATCTAATATGATAGTGAAGGTTCCAACATAAGAGAGATATATAGATAAATAAATAAATATATATATATATATATATATATATATATATATAGAAAGAGAGAGACAGATACTGCCCGCCGCATGGAGAAAACAAACTTCTAGATCGTCGTTGAACCATGGCTCTCCCATTTATGACAAGTTACAACACGGTTTAGAGAGATAAGCAGCATCTCCTTAAAAGAGCTCACCCGCCCTCAGAAAGGTTTGACCCATTGAACCCAACCTCTGAGAGACATTCACTCTTCTCACTATAAGTGATTCAATCCGATTTAAACATCGTGAGGAGCCCTTAAAATATTTCTCTACTAGTCGTGAATGCCACGTCGTTCGTCTTAACACTTAAAAATTTCAGCTGGTGTCACTATTGGATCTAGGATCTAATATTGAGATAGATAGAGAATGATAAAACACAATGAGAATGAATTATAAGTATACTTGAACTCATGAAGACATAAGTACGAAGATAGCCTTTTGGATCAGTATAAGAGAGTCCTCCAATGACTTACTCTAGAGAGATAGGATGCTCTAAAAGTGATTCACGATATATGACCTAAGGACCATGACCTCCTATTTATAAATAAGAGGGGATTAGCCTGTTAGTGTCTTTTTTCAATTTAGTCTATCATAAAATTAAAATAAGATCTAGTCTCTACATATTTATATCCATATTCATATTTATGAGAGAGGTTGTAATCTTAAATACTTAAACTTTAATAAATCACTTTAAATGAGATTAATTTAATGATAACTTCATAATATATAATTCATATGTATAATTATCCACATTGAAATTAATTCTAATAATCTTTTACTTAGACAAAATTTGTACAATAACTTGATATTGTACATTATGACCTTATGAGCTCAAAATTTTACTTTCATCATCAAAGATATCTCTAATAATTCTGTCCATCACTATACTAATATAAAACTAATGAGGTTTTCATTCACATTTTTTGTATGACTAAATCTAATAATAATCACGTATATCGATATAATGAACAACATAGATCAAATATGAATGTGTAATATGAAAATTACATAAAATGTGACTCATATATATACATTTCTAACTTAGTACTCCTTATTCCAAGTGGAGATCAAACAACCACATTCAGAGTGAGAATAATCATAAATTTTATTTATACATAAAATAATCAAAGTATATGTTTATAACTATATGAGCATCAAAATATAAACTCTCATTGAAATTACATATCTTCATGAGGTATTAAACCTATATGAGCAAGATGCTCATAAAAGATCTTTGGTGATAATTCATTAGTAAGTAGATTTGCTACCATAGAGTTTGTCTCAATATATTTTATAAACATTTAACCACTTTGAACTATTTTCTTAACAATTAAGAAATTGATGTCTATATGTTTAGACTTCGTCAAGCTCCTACTATTATTATAAAACATAACCATTGATTTATTATCACAAAATAATTTTAGTGATCTTTTAATTATATCCAATTTTCGTGACCATGTGACTAAATTTTTCAACCCAATTTTATGATTTTATACCTCATAACATACTGTAAACTCTATCTCCATAATAGAAGAAGTTATGAGTATCTACTTAGCACTATTCTATAATATAGTTCCTCTAGTTAACATATAGATATGACTCGTAGTGGTCATTTGTTATTAGTACATCTAACGAAATCAAAGTCTGAATACCCGATGATCTCTAAATGATCTAATTTCTTATATGTTAACATATAGTTCTTTATCTTTTGTAAATACCACATAACTCATTTTCTTGTATTCTAATGATCCACAATAGGGTTGCTTAAATATTTGTTGAGTACTTTAATTATGTACGTAATGTTTGGACGAGTACATACTTGAGTATATATAAGGCTTCCTATGATTGATGTATAAAGAATCTTATGCATCTCTTTAGCCTCATAATCATTCTTAAGATATTGATTGAGACTAAATTTATCTCTTTTAACAACATGGATATTATAAAATTTACATCATTATATACTAAATCTCGCAAGTGCTTTCTCAATATAACTCTTTTGTGACAACCTCAAAATTTCAAGACTGATTTCAATATATCTCAATGTCTAATACAAAAGAGATTTTACTGAGATCCTTCATCTCAAGAAAAATTGACAAAAAGCTTTTGGTGTCACAAAGTAAGCCTATATGATTATTAGTAAGCAATATGTCATCAACATATAAAACTAGATGAGATGATAACTTACACTAAACTTATAATATATACATTTATCACCCATATTCATCTCAAAATCACATGAGATGATAACTTTATTAAATTTATGATATCATTGATGAGAAGCTTGTTTTAACTCATAGATAAACTTTTTTAATTTGCATACTATTTTCTTTGGGTCTCTAGACACAATTTTCTAGTTGCATCATATATATCATTTCATTAATGTCACTATTGAGAAATATAGTTTCTACATCCATTTGATGTAGTTCAAGATCAAAATAAGATAGTAGTGTCATTATTATTCTAAAAGAGTATTTCGATGAAATTAGAAAGAAAGTCTCTATATAATTGATGCCTTCTCTTTAAGTGAATTTCCTAATGATAAGATGAGCTTTATAATTTTCTACATTACCCTTCAAATCCCTTTTGATTTTAAATATTTATTTACAACCAATAGGTTTCGTATCTTCGGGCAATGAGACAAGATCCCATACATCATTGTCCTTCATAAATTTAATCTCTTCATTCATGGCATCAATCTACTTATGAGAAATAAAACTTTACATAACTTAATGAAAATAGTTAATATCATTTTCTATCACTCCAATGTCAACCTCATGTTCTAAAAGAAATACGATATATTTATCTGAAATCGCATTCCTCCTCTCTCTAGTGATTCTTCTTAAAGATATTGGTTTTTGAGTATGTTGAGTTTATTCTTCTGAAATTGGAGATATGATGAGATTATTTTGATCTGAAGTTACTTTTTGATCAATATTACTCAAGATGATGTCATCAAGACTATTGTCAATAGTAACAAAATAAATATTTATAAATTCTTATTCAAAATTAATGTCTCTAATGTTATCTTTTTCCATAAACTCAATATTTTCAAATAAATAAATCTTTTTCATTTCAAAAATAATCATAGTAGTTAGATTATAAAACTTATATCTCCTAAACCTTTTCAGGTATTTAATAAAGTAGCAACTAACTATTTTGGAGTCAAGTTCTTTCATTTAAGTTTGTAAGATTTTATCTCTATCAAATAATCCTAAATGTGTAAATATTTTAAACTAAGCTTATTGTCTATTCAAAGCGCATAAAGAGTTTTAATAGTTATCTTAGTTGGAACTTGATTAAGTAAATAAGTTATAGTCTTTAGTTCTTCTCTCTAGAGGTTATTTGACATAGTAGATTGACTAATTATACTCCTTATCATATATTTAAGTATTTTGTATTGTCGTTTAGTAACACTATTCATGCTAGGAGATCCTAACATAATGTACTATAAGAGGATGTCACACTCTTTTAGAAATTTAGTGAAAGGTCCTAGATGTTATTCACCTAATTTATCATATTTACTGTAGTATTTACTACCACAGTCTGATCTAATGACCTTAATCTTTTTGTTGAGTTAATTTTCAACTTCGATCTTATATTTCTTAAACACATTCAATGATTGAAACTTCTCTTGAATAAGATACAAGTAGCCAAATTAAGAATAGTCATCTATGAATGTAATAAAATATTATTTAATCATTTCAAGAGGTTGTAAAGAATGGTCTACTAATATATATATATATATATATTAATTCTAAGACATTTGAAACTCGATTGACACATATTTTCTTTATGTTTGTCCTTTTCTCCTTGATACATTTGACATAAGTATCAAAATCTTTATAATCAAGTGGGTCAAAATTTTCATTAGATATGATTCGATCAATACTCCTTGAACTGATATGTAAGATTTTATTAGAAAGGATCATTCTCTTAAGTAAATATATGTTATTATGACTTGATAAAGTACTGCTACTAATGTGATTTGAATTATCAAAGATACTCAAGTTTTTATTTATAAATAGACAACTATAATTAAATTTGTCTAAATTAGAAATAGAAATCAAGTTATGTCTAAAAGATGATATGACATAAGTCTAAATCAAATGTAGATAGTAACAAGTCTTTAATGATAACCTAAAAGTCCTTATTACCTTCACCACTACTACATTGTCATCGTCTGAATAAATATATCTTTCATCATCAATTGACTTACAACAATAAATATAATCATGTATAGACACACTTATGTGAATAATAACACTAGAATATATTCGCTATGTGTGCAAGGATATAGAAGTTAAATTAACCTTTGAATAAATTAAAGTGAGAAGGTCACTTTTCTTTGTACGCCAAGTATGATATTTGATACAATCCTTCTTCGTGTGACCACTATACTTGTAGCTTTTTTTATCGTAGGTTTTTTTTTTTAAGTTATAACCAAATGAACACTCTCTTGTTTATCTTGTTTTAACCTTTCTTCTTCTTCCACACAATGTAATATGAGCTCATTTAGGGACTATTTGTTCCCTTGACAATTATAACTCACCTTAAATTGATTGAATAATGCAAGAAGAAAAATCAAAACTTAGTGCACAAGCAAATCTTCTAATAGCTCTAACTTTAATACCTTTCATTTTGATGTAAGATGAGACATCTCGATAATGTACTCTCTTATTTTTTTCTTGTCTTTATATTTCATAGAGATAAAATTTATTAAGATTGTACTTATTTTGATTTTATCGTTCTTGACAAACTTTTTTTCAAGTTCTTCAAGAAAAACTCTTGTTATAATGGCATCTTCAAACAAAATTCTCATCAAAACTTCTAGAATATCACGCTATATGATCATAAGACTCATGCGATTCAATCAGTCCCACTTATCCGTATCTCTCTTATTCTCATGAGAGTTTGTAAGACAATCTTCTCTTAATACAATGTCTTAATCTATACAACCAAAAACTATCATAACGTTCTATTTTCATATTTTGAAGTTAGTGTCATTTAACATAGGAATAAAATTTATTTGAGTAAAATTAGTAGAAGTAGAGGTTGAAATTGTATAAAGAATAATATAAAGCTCACATAAGTAACTTGATTTTCAAATAATTGTATTTCCCATCACAAGATATTGAGTGCAACATTAATACTTTATGTTTAGCTAATAATATTAACTGCAAGTAATATCTTGATGTGATAAATAAATATTGACAATAAGTTTCTACCAAATAATAAACCTATTTTTAGATTGACTTATTATTCATATAAAAATACTAAATAATTATCACCTATTTATTATCATAAATATATATAATTTATAAAATACTAAACTTTTCTTTGAACCAATTAGTATTCACAAAATCACATACACAATATTTCATACATTAGAAAAATTAATATCTATACGAGAGCTTAATTTGGTAGGATTCTACTTCAAGTAATAATTCTAAAATATCAAACATTTACTAAATTTTGAATCATGACAGTTATTTAACATTTAACCATACTCAATGTATACATAAATATTAAAAATTTCAAATAACTTCATTTTTTTTTTGAAATAAAATCATCAATAATATTTCAAGAATAAAATGACATATGAAATAAATAAATTTTTATGGGCATGACATCAGCAGACCCAATGTTGATATCATCATCATGACGTCATCAAATGTAGATCGGCGCATCGACTAATTGGATCGGCTTATGTTGAGCCGGCATGCCATCTAACCCAACCGATGCAGTGCACCGTTTCGGCTGTCCAGCTCGCATTGAGCCAATCATCCGAACCGATGTGGGCTGAGCCGTGTAACTGAACCAGTGTGAGCTGAGCCGCGTACCAGAACTGACGCGAGCCAAGCCGCACACCAGAACTGGCGCGAATGTTGTATGTAACCATTGCATGACGGTTCTTCTCCCATCCGGCATGCACCGAAAATGGTGCAGCTGTTTCACGCAACAGAGCGGCGCACAAACCGTTGCACGAAGGGAGAAACCTTAGGGCTGGGAATGGTCGGCCCAAAAATGGCCTCCCATTTGAAAAAAATGGAGCCACATCGGTTGCCCCCCTCCCCTCCATGTCCCAATCATTCCCGCTAATCTCTGGAAGGCCTAGAAACCATCCTTCGGTAAGAGGAAGAGGAAGAACTGAAGGGATTAGAGCATGCAGAAGCCGCTGCAGCCCTTCGCCTATAGCACATCCTTTCGGAAACCTCCAGCTTCGGCCTGCGCCTCTCCTTCGTCTTCTGGAGCCCTCCGGCGTCTAGACATCCGAAAGTGCCGTCCACCACTCTCTAGCATCCCATCTGACGACGGAAAGGAGAAAGAGGAATGGTTGGGGCCCTCCTGCAGCCCATGATTTCCAAATGAAAATCTTCCTTGGGGAAAAGAGAGGAAGCCACTACTCCTCGTCCTTTACAGGAAAGGAAGAAGAGTCGACAGACCCATCTGCACGGCGCATTAATCCATCCGTGGTAAGGTTGAAACCTTTCGATTTCCACAATTGATGCCTGAATTCATTCTCAAGACAATGCATAAAAAATGATATCATGATGAACGAAAAATAATGAACAAATTTCATGCTCTAAAAATCAAAACATTAGATCTGAAGGATTTAATGTTGAGATAGATGAAGAATGATAAAATATAATGAGAATAGATTATAATTATACTTGAATTCATGAAGGCACAAGTACGAGGATGACCTTTTGAATCAGCATAGGAGAGTCGTCCAATGACTCGTTCTAGAGAGATAAGATGTTCTAAAAGTGACTCATTATGTGTGACCCAAGGATCATGACCCTCTATTTATAGACAAGAGGTGGCTAATCTCTTGGTATCTTTTTTCAATTTAATTTATCATAAAATTAGCATAAAACTTAATCTCTACATATATTTATATTTATGTCTATACGTATGAGAGAAGTCGTAATCTTAAATACCTAAACTTTAATAAATCACTTTAAGTGAGATTAATTCAATGATAGCCAAATAATATATAATTCATATATATCATTGTCTACATTGAGATTAATTCTAAAAGTCACCCCATACATTGACTTGAGTCTCCATTAGAGAGGGGGAAGGTATCACAGGAATATTCCTCATCTGGCAGCTCTCCTCCTCTTCTTCTTCTTCTTCTTCGTCCTCCTACTGTCTTTGCTGTCAAGGGACTGTCGGAACATGACGTGGCTGGTGGCAGTCCCGTGCTCTGCTCTTCCTCACTGCCACCTCAGCCCTCTTCCTCACGGCCACGGCTGACGACGGAGGCTAGAATCCAGACAAAGCCTCCATTACCAAGTGTCGGAACAAGAATGCGAGATTCTGCCACGATATACCCAACGAAAGCCCGGCTTTCTGCCCTCACAACTGCTTCATCAACTGCAAGACCTGCAGTCCGGTCTTGCGTGAGTCTCCTCATCTCCCCGGAAGAGAGAGAGAGAGAGAGAGAGAGGTATATATATTGATGAAATTCTACCTGGTTGCTTCTTGGCGGGTGCAGGATGCAATGTTCCGGGTGCAATTTGCCAAAACCACAGGTTTGTCGGAGCGGACGGTATCACCTTCTACTTCCACGGCAAGAAGGACCGCGACTTCTGCCTCGTTTCCGATGCCCACCTCAACATATACGAGCACTTCATCGGTCGGAGAGGCGCCGACATGACCCGCGACTTCACCTGGGTGGAGTCCATCGGCATTCTCTTTGGCGAGCACCGCCTCTACCTCTGCGCCGAGAAGACGGCAACGTGGGATGACGCCGTTGACCGCCTCAACCATCGCCCTCGACGGCGAGACGGAGGACGCCAAGTGGTCGTCCACCTCATCGCCGACGGTGTTTGTCGTCCGCACCGTCGGCACCAACTCCGTCGACGTGGAGGCGGTGGGCATGTTCAAGGTGGCGGCCAAGGCCGTGCCCATCACCGAGGAGGAGTCCTGGATCCTCCGCTACGGCATCACCGCCGACGACTGCTTCGCCCACCTGGAGCTCGCCTTCCAGTTCTATTCGCTGACGAGCGACGTCCACGGCGTGCTGGGCCAGACCTACCGGGATGACTACAACAGCGGCGTGAAGATATCGTCGGCGATGCCTATCATGGAGAGGCCATGTACGCCGCCCGAAACCTCTTCAGCCCCATCTGCACCAACGTGAGGTTTGCAGGCGGCGTGGCGGGGGCCTCCCGCGCCGCCATGGCCTCTGAAAGGGCCACTCTGAGCTGCGAGAGAGGACTTCGCGGCTGCCACGTCATCGTCTGCAAGAAGTAGAGCCGACAAACCTGTTTCCGGCGACCAAGTTTTGGGATAAGTGGCCCATGTAAATCCTCGCCATCGCCGTTAGGGTTTGCTTCAGAGCGCTTTCTCGAGACCGGCACGTTCTGGGTCCTCGGTCAACGTTCGATTTGATGGTGGGCCCGACTGCTCGACCTTATTTTCAAAATTCAACTATATTTCTTCCCCGCTAGTGTGCACTCCTTTGTGATGACACGCGTTCATGGCCATAATTGGAAGCATCGATCCAAGGGTGGAGAAGAGGTGGCCCATTTTTAAGAGGAAGAGGAAAATGCTGACTAGGGTTCCGTTGCCGTTGGGGGTCGGGGGGGAATCGTAGGAGCTCGCCGGCGGAGATGGCGGGGAAGCCGATCGTGCCGGCGGGCTCGGGGCCTGAGCGGCAGGAGAGCGCCGGCGGGAAGAAGAGGAAGAGGAACCCCACACCGGAATGGGAGTTCCAGCAGTCGCTTGCCGCTTGCTCCAGAGAGGGGGACCTCGACGGCGCCCTCGCGCTCTACGGCGGCACGAAGCTCCGCCTCAATGCCTACCATTTCAACACACTTCTCCATGTATGCTCCAACGCCCTCGGCTCCTCTGAGGAGCGTTCTCCCGCTTTTGTCGCCGCTGCTGTTGAGGAGGCGTTTCGCATCTTCGAGCGCATGGTGGCCAGTGGTATTCCCCCGTCGGAGTCCACTATCACTTCACTGGCTAGGATTGCGGCGGCCGACGGAGTGGAAGGTGGAAACAGGGCGTTCGAATTGGTGAAGGACATGGGGGAGAGGTATGGCGTCTCCGCTAGGCTGAGAACCTACGATCCGGCTCTGTTCGCGTTTTGCAAGGATGCAGAGAATGCCGAGAAGGCGTATTCTGTCGAACAGCACATGGTGTCGATGGGCATTATGCCAGAGGAGGCAGAACTCGCTTCTCTTCTGAAAGTGAGCTCTGAAGCCGGGAGGGACGATAAGGTTTACGAGTATCTGCACAAGTTGAGAAGATTTGCTCGCTCTGTTAGCCCATCCACCGCCGAGACCGTGAAGCGCTGGTTCGAAAGCGACTGCGCCGCGAAAATCGGAAGAGAGGCTTGGGATGCAGACCGGGTTAAAGATGCCGTCTCGATAAACGGAGGAGGTTGGCACGGCGATGGTTGGTTGGGGAAGGGTAGATGGAGAGTGCAGAGGTCCGACATTGGTTTAGGAGGTTGCTGCTCCTTTTGTGGGCAGCGACTGGCTTGCGTGGATCTTGATCGTACGGAGACCGAGAACTTTGCAGAGTCTGTGGCTTCCCTAGCCATGACAAGAGAAGCCAAGTCTACTTTCAGTGATTTCCAGGTGATTCTATTGCCCCCCTGACTAAATCTATATCGCCGTGGCTTCTTCTGGTGCTCGTGCCGTTTATGCACTCTCGTAACCGTATTTCTTTTGAATACCTCATTATCAAAAGACCCATACCTTACATGGGTATGGTTATATCGTCATTGATCGTGTTCATGGCCTCTACTGCTATGATTGTTTCTTCAAACATGATATGTTCGTATGATTGGAATTTTTTTTGGAAGTTGTTCGTATGAAGTAGAATCAGCCCCTCCACTTTGACACGTTGTAAGTCGAATTGATCGATTGTTATAGTAGCTTTTTTATAAAAAACAAAAGTCAATTTTTGAAATTGTTTCATGCAAAAAAAATTGTTTCATGCGACTTCCATATTTCCTCAAGAGGCATGCCAAGACTTTCAGAAATTTCCATTCAAATTATGTTGTTCCGTTGGGCGTTGGACCAGCTACTTCCGTCTGAATGGGGGATTTCATTTTCATTCAGTAAGAGCTTTTATGTGCATTGCCCTTATTGTCATTGCTGTACTGATGCTCAATTGTCATATCCAGGAGTGGTTGAATGGCCATGATGACTATGACGTCGTTGTAGATGGAGCGAACATTGGATATTACCACCAAAACTTTGCAGAGGGTGGATTTTGTTTACCTCAGGTTTATACGTCATCCTGGTTTTTCACTTCTTAAAAATTTAACTCTTGAATATATATTGTTGATTTTTGTGCGACATGGTGATGAAATTTGCAGGTTCAGGTCGTGGTTAACGAGCTGCTGGAGCATTCCCATGCGAAGAAGCCGCTTATAATCCTCCATAACAAGAGAGTTCTGTCTCTCATGGAGAACAGCTGTAACAGGGAGCTGCTTGAAGGATGGAATGCTCAGGGGGTGCTGTATGCAACGCCAAATGGGTCAAACGATGACTGGTATGCTTCTGCAGAGAATAGCTCAGGATGCTTTTTCTTCTTTTTCCCTGTTTCTTCACTTTTAGAGAGTAGAACAAGTTTGTTCTCGGCAATTTGGTTTGGTTTTCGGACCCATTTTTTATATTTACTTTCGTAAAATTCCTGAAAATGTCTTGTCTCAGACATTGCACACAGTCTTCTGCTGCAGTCGTAATATCTGTTGCCCCTGTGCCAGGTACTGGATCTACGCCTCAGTCAGGCTCAAGTGTCTGCTTCTAACGAATGACGAGATGAGGGATCATATATTTGAGCTCCTGGGGCAGAGTTTCTTCACCAGGTGGAAGGAGAGACACCAAGTACGCAACCTAAACGCTTGCAATTGCTTGGGTTCTGTGATTTTATTTTATCATTTCAATGTTCCATCGGGTACAGGCCCTCCGAGGGAGACCCTCTCGGAATCGCCCTAGCCATACTGTTTCGGTGTATATATCCCTGATTCATTCGTGCATGAGCATTCATGGTGATGATGAGATGAAAATATATTGTCTCTGGATGATCAGGAGCCGCCTGTGCTCGGATACTCTTCCTTCCCTGAGGAGTTCCCTCTCATTCTTTGTAGGTCAGATACACGTTTGTCAAGGGCCACCCGAAGCTCGAGTTGCCGCGTCCATACACTCCTGTCATTCAAGTAAGTTTCCTCAGTCCCTATCTCGTACAACATGTTAACGCAGCTACGACATTGCTCCCTCTCTCTCTCTCTCTCGCTAGGAGATGGAGAACGGATCGTGGCACATTCCAGTCCGTGCCGCTGACGATCAGGGCAAGGACCAGAAATTGGAAGGTTGGCTTTGCATAACCAGAGAGGGACTGCCCCTGGACGACGTTCGAGCTGCTCTAGGCGATGATGGACCTTCTGCAGAGAATACGCCCTTGTCTGAGTAAAGAGCATACATCTATTTGTATGATATTATTTATATTATATGTTCGGGTGTGTGTTCTTCGTGCCACATTGGGCCGGCGAGGAACGTTGTTTTGGGCCTCATTGGGCCCTTGGAATTTTGTATGGGCAGCCTATTTCGTGGGTTTAAGGACTGGATCTCTCTTCTTCTTCTTCTTCTTCTTCTTCTTCTTCTTCTTCTTCTTCGTACCCTGGCCTTGAATGCACTGCAACCATCGCCCCGACCTCTTCTTCAGCACGACCAGTGCCGACCCACATGGCAGCACGGCCAGTGCACGCATCAATGTCCTGTTGGAGGGCGGATGCAGCGACCGGCGGCATCTGCTCCAGTGGCGGTCTCTGCAGGAGGCTAGAATCAAAAGAAGCTGAGCCTCCAGCCCAGTCCTCTTGGGCTAATAAGATCTCGATTGGGGGCAGTGCAGTGGTGTCGGAGTCAATGCCAGGTTGGGGTAGTCCAATACAACCCCGATCCTCTCCAAGCGAATAGAAAGCTGATGCTATTGAATCTCGAAGATTACAACCACTGAAATTCACCAAGGCGCTTCAAGACTTTCCGAAGAAAGAAGAAAGGGAGAAAAGAAAGAACAGTCCCTCAATGTGTTGGAACCCTCTAGAAGTATTCAATCGCTTCCACTCTTCTTCCAACGTCAGTGGATTTGTGAGTAGTTGGGTCGTTATACCATTAGTCAGTTATACTGATATTTAAGTGAGTATCTATTTGACTAACACGTTCTCGGTCCACGATTCCTCTTGAATCATCTTCGGATCAGATTTAGTCATAAGTGAATCCGCAGCAGTCACCCTTTACTCAGCCATTATGGTCGTTGGAGTAGAGGTTGAACCAGTGTCTTTGTGAGAGGCGTTGATGACTCCGATTGAGTAACTCTTCCTCTTATGCTTCTCTTTTTGGTAGATCGACCGTTTTGAATGAGAAGCCCATCAATACACGCCCCTACAACCTTGACCTTATCCTCAAGGGAAAAGGGAAAATCATACTGAATTTTCCGTGCAGATTACTAGAAAACATCGGACGCCGTTTAATCTTCCCATCGAACATGAACTTCCAAACCATATGGTTCTATGCAGGCTATGCTATCCAATGTAATTCCTCATCTAATTTTAACGGACTGGTGGCCGCTTTTGAAGCAATATGTATTGCTTGTTTAAGCTGAGATATGTGAAAAACAGGTTGATGATAATTCTAAACGATAAAACACAACGCCAACCTTTTTGACGATCTTATATGGCCCGAAAAAACAAGGAGCCAACTAAATAGGAGGTCTACAGTTCACTGACCGCTTCATGCGCAATTGGGCTTGTAATAGATGATTATTTAATTGATCAAAGAGAACATCACATGCTAAAAGCTAGCAACCCACTTCATCATGCCTTCGAGGATGACTATCAACATGAACCAGCGTGGGAGGATCTCTATCATAAACAATCTTAAAAGGAGTAAAGTCTGTAGATGAATTGTAATCAGTATTATACTAATATTCTACTTAATGTAAAAATTTCGCCCACTGTTTAAGTTGCTCTCCTGAAAATAATTCATCTATGGTTTTAACCCATGATTCATCAATTTCGTTTGACTATCGAATTGTAGGTTATATGAACTGGTGCACTGTAGAAATGTTCCATGCGAATGAAATAATTATGTCCAATAAGTACTTGAGAAAATATATCCTATGTTTAATAAAATTAAGGTTAGAATATCATACAATCTTACATATCTCAAATCAAAATTGGTGCTACTTGTGACACCGTAAATAGGTGTCGAAGATCAGAAAAATGATAGCACTTATTCAAGAGATCCACGAGGGCTAGAATGTAACTAAATTAGAGAAAGCAGTAGGCCTCCAATAAAGTCCATTGAAATGTCTTCTCAAACTTTAGCTAGAAAAGAAATGGGTTGGAAAAGGCTCGCAAGTATGAAAATTCTCTGATTCATTCTGTTGACATGTTGGGCACTTCGCTACATAATTGCGGACAACTTTCATTCTTCATCACTTAAAGTAATGAGAAATTTGTAAAAGTTTGTAGAAAACCAGAATGTCCTCTAGATGTTGAGTTATGAAATTCTTGTAAAATTAATAAAATTAAAATAAACTTTTATGAAAGGACGATCCTCTCTTTATAAGTGAACATGCCTTGCCTTAGGCCATAGTGTAGTCATAATTCAGAAATTCTTGGTTACCCTACTTATAATTTCCACCAATATGTGATTGTTTTGGACCTCAATAATCAAATGATTTTGTTGTCAATATAAGGCATTGCAACCTATTTTCCACGCTCACCTGAAACCAAAATCTCAAAATTAAAACAATGGATTTTAACATTTTATTTATAATATTCATAATTGAGTTTTCTTTGCTCTATAATAAATTTGAGTCTCATTTGATTTGTAAAAATTATGAACTTATGCCCCAATAAATAAAACATCCACTTGAGTGTTGTCATGATGATTGTCATCAACTTGCATTTGTAAATAGAGCGTAATCATTTTTTAGGGCTTAGGACATGACTACAGAAAGTGATGGGAGCACCTGCAATGGAAGTGTTGATATACACCTGCTAGTTGGCTAGTGGAGCACCATGATGACAAAGTCGTGATCCATAACAACTCTATTTGTAGAAATTATGTGGCCCAAACATACATTTTGTGTTTTACTAAATTTGTACTTACTAGGGTTTATGTGTAAGTGATGCAAGTTGAATACTCCAAACACTTGATGAAGATGTTGTTTGTGGGCCATTTCATCTGGATTATAAACCAAAATGTGATAAAAAAAATACCAAGATGAAGTGACAAAGAAACCTACCGAAAATTAGGTCCATAAAATATTGAAAAGTTATTGGCGCATTAGTCCATCCAAGGGCATTACTAAAAAATTGTAATAATTCTCATATGTTTTAAATGTTGTCTTATGGACATCATCTTTTTTGAATCAGAATTGATGATTTCTTGTCTTACGATCTAATTTGGAAAACATGATAGCTCAATGCAATTCATCAAAATATTTTTTTAGCAATAAGTATAGTAAATATGTCAAGAATTATGACTTTATTTAAAGATCTATAGTCAACACAAAATCTCCATGTTTTTTTTTTCCCGTATGAGTATTGTTGAACTCAAAAATAGCCTATTCAAATGCCTAATAATATTGGATTCCAACATTTCCAAAATAATCTTTCAATTTTATTATTTTGAAAATGATGATACCTAGATGGTCTCATGTTAACCACTAAAGAGTTTTTTTGTAGATTGATGCCATGGTCTACCTCATGCTTAGGAGGCAAGCCTTTTGATTTTTGAAACACAAATAGAATTTCTATCGTAAATTTTCCTCTCATGTGGATGGCGTATGATTATCTTCTATTTCTTACGTTAACAAATAATTCAATCATTAAATTCTTATTAAATGGTACCTTAGAGAGGGCTTTTACTTTTACTGACATATCCTTGAGCTCTAGATGAGTATCTACCTTCATTACAGCTCTTTTAGTTCTAATCAGAAATGATAAGGTTGACTTTTCTTTTGTCATGTAAGTACTTCATTCCCATAATGATATATTATGGCTAATGGTGGAATAGTAAAACTTTTTTAGACAAGAATTGACGAAAATTCAATGGTAATAGCAAGACATATACATGTTTTCACAACTCTTTCTCACATGGCTGTCACCACAAAATACTCAAGTGCTGGTTGAAATGGTAGGTGTAATCTATTGATGATATGACTGGAGATTAAGTTATGCATGGTCTGTGTCCACCAAGACTCATACCACCTCCTTCCTTATCAATTTTTCCTCGAAACTTCAAAACATGGGCGGGAAGTTCAGTTGTGATAAGTTTTAAAGAAATCTCCATAGTTGCGATTGATGCCTCTTGGTTATTCTCCGTGACAGTGTGAGTTTCTTGATCTTCATCACTTACCACTAGCATATAAACTTCAGTCCGGCATTTCTGTCATGGATCGTATTTCTCATTGCAAAAATAATAAAGCCCTTGTTCTCTCTAGGTCTGCATTTCACTAGGAGAAAATTTCAAACATCATTTCTCAAGTAGTGTTTTTCATGTATCCATACTAGTAAATTGGTGAGCTCCAATACATTTTCTATAAGAAATATCATCTTGTAAGTCTGTTCTTCGAAACATCTTTGACGAGGATGAGTTTTTGATGCTCGACATCCATAGTTTTTCCTACTTGGAACATGGATTGATCGAAGAAATATTTCAATGCGATAAATCCACCCTTGTAGATCCTCCCCAAAGAATAAATACATTTCAATATTTCTACCTATATACCTTGCTTCATTTGAATTTCTGAATGTTGAGTTGTGATGACTTTGATAATTGAAGCGACACATCATAATTATTGAATCAAGCCTTTGCCGGAGGAAGAATAATTCTTTCATATGATGAGCTCTCTTCCGTTGGCCTAGGTTGTGATGACTTTACCTTGGGCTTGGGCAACCTCTATGAAGCTTGGATTAGCATGCTCAACTACTATTGTGAAGCCAAAATAGCGTCATTGATGTCTCAATTGGAAGTTAACAACGCCATAGTTGTCTAGTGCAACTGCACTTAGGAGTTCCTCTAACTCTCGCTTGAGACACTCCATTATGGAGTTGTCAGACTTGGGAGGCATCATATGGCTTTGATTCTCTCTGATCGAACGTAAAGTTGATGTCATTGAATCTCAAAGATTACAATCACTGAAACTCACCAAGGAGCTTCAAAACTTTTTGAAGAAATAAGAAAGGGAGAAAAGAAAATATAATCTCTCAATTCTCAATGTCCCCCACAGTCCCCTCATTTCTCTTATTTATAGACTTTGTTGGACCCTCTAAAAATATCAAATTGCTTCCACGCTTCTTCCAGCATTAGCGGATTTGTGAGTAGTTAGGTCGTTGTATCGTTATCCAGTTATATTTGAATTAAAATGGGGATCCGTTTGACTATGATGTTCCTGGTCAACGATTCCTCTCAAATCATTGAGAAACTCTTCCTCTTGCACTTCTCTTTTTGGTAGATGAGCCGTTTTGAATGAGAAGTTTTTCCAAATCGGGTGTTGGAGTCCATGGAGTGGAAATGACACTCCGCTCCAGCTCCCAGTGAAGATCGATATCTCAGGAGTTGGCCGAATGGGTGTAGCAAATAACAGACTAATGATGTGTCAGCCAGGACTGATGATCTGTCACCATCCGAAGCAGAGTTGACTATTCATCGAGCCATTAACACTGGTCAAGACTCCGCCCTGCTTGGGTTGTGGTGCTCTAAGTTCGGTCTTTCTGCTGGAGATGAACAAACGTATTTGACATAAAGGGCGCGTTTTTTTCCCAAGTGACATAAAGGTCCGTTAACTCGTGCATTTTCTTTGCGATTTCTAGCAAGTCTATCGTCGCGTGGATTAAGAAGAGGACCGTGATTTAGGTAGGTCAAAACCAGAGGAGGTAAAGCACCGATAACTTGTCCTAAGCTCCGCGGTCAAACTCCAATACATCAACAGTCGTAACAGTGTCAAAGCATGGCAAGCCTCAAGCGAACGCTGCGGCGGAATCTTCGCAGCTGTGTCGTCCCTTTCACGCGAACTTTTCATCAAAAGGACGATCACTGTTTCCCCACATCTCATTGAAAGCTCTTCGTTGACATTTGTTAACTCAATACATCGAGTCACACCTCTCTTTCTCTCTCTAAACTCCTCTGGGGACCGCACACTTAATGTTAACAGAACAGAAGTGGGATCGTAGAAGGATGCCACCTGAGTCCTTAGCGAGAGAGAGAGAGAGAGAGAGAGAACAGGAGCAACTCGATGAGGTCAATGAGCTAATGTTGACGTGGCTATCGGTGGGTAGAAGCCGACGAGTAAGCAGTAAGGTAGTTGGCCCGATCCAATGGCTGCAGTTTGCCCGAGGAGGCGATCTCATTTGACGGAAAGGAGTGCTACGTCACACGCGTGGATTCTCCTAGGATCACCGCGGTGAGGATAATATGGCACTGACCAGTCGGGCCAGAACCAATTGCGTGCCAGCACGGGATCGACTGTTCAACACGCAGCTGGCAAAACGGTCGGTTACTCCACCTTTCATCTGACACGTGGAGAGCTGACGCGGACCGCTTCTATTGGTCTTTTCGCCACGTACGGCTTACTTGTCACCGTCTCCTAAGTCGAATGCCAGTTGGCGGCAGAAGACGAAGCGGATTTCTTATCGGTGCACTGTGGATCTGAATCCCGAACTGTTCGGCTCCGGTATTTATGGCATGTTATTTCCACCCGGCAACTTGTGTTTCACCCCTCCTCTTGTGAAGGGCGAGCTACCCGCCGGAGCGTCGGCGGGGGCAACGAACGACCTCCTGCGGGAGTCAGTCACCCACTCTTCTTCTCCCTCCTCTCTCTGCTAAATCCACCCCCTCTGCGCTTTTCCTCCGCCACCCTTCGTCACCCTCGCTTCGCCCAGCTCGTATAAGTGGACATCTGGGCCTCCCATTCTTGCTGCGGGCGCTGTTGTTTCTTTCTCATATATGCTCCCACGCATATACGATCTATATACCTCAGATAGACAAGGAGAGGGAGGGAGAGAGAGAGAGAGAGAGAGAGAGAGGAAGAAGATAAGACTCCCCAGTTCATCAGGCAACTCTTCTGGTTCTCCTTCGCCATGGACGGGACAAGCGACAGAATGTTGAGATTCCTCAAGGACAAGAGCATCCTGGTCACAGGCTCGACAGGGTTCCTAGCAAAGAGTAAGAAAAATCTCCCAGATCCTCTTTCCTCTGAACTTCGAATGCTCGATTCTATGCTATGCCTCCCCTCTGACTTCTTCTTCTTCTTCTTCTTCTTCTTCTAATCGGCGAAGTCTTCGTGGAGAAGGTGCTGCGGGTGCAACCCAACGTGAAGAAGCTCTTTCTCCTTGTGAGGGCCCCCGACGCCAAGTCGGCCTCCCACCGTCTACACGACGAGGTTCGCCACCTTCTTCTTCGTTTTCGTCTCCTCACTCTTTTTGTTCTCCTTCTCCGCATGGCGTCTGTCTCTCTGTTGGTGGGATCTCCAACTACCGGTAGATGTTGGGAAGATCTTGAAGAGCAAGATCCACTAGAGCGAACTGCTGGTCCATCCAAGCATGCATTCTAATTTAAAAAAGATACCTTAAATATGGTTCACCATATCGATTATATTCGGAAGAATCATGGGTTTAGATGGGAACATATATCTTTTTTTATGTGCCGTTGATTGATGTTCGACTTTTATCAGCTGTAAAACTCATTTTCTATAAAAGTTAAGGTTGATGAAAAAAACACTGCAAATTTCTTAAAGTTTATAGCTAATATCTTAAGGGATTGTACCATTAAAATTCGAATCTAGGTATTGCAATTTATTCATCTCTCTATGACGGTGTAGGTTGGTTTATTGACGCCGCCCTCTTCGTTCTTGCATTAAAATCTGGAAGCTGGCTCAGACTTTACGAAGTCAACCAAGAACATAAAAAAATTCAGTCAGCCCTGTAATTGGACCATCTAGCCCTTTAATATGATGCTCCACTACATGAAATATTTACGAGTGAATAATCCCTTGGACCATTCACGATTATATAGACCCTGAATTAACTTGCGTCCACATGAAATCCACTGTCGCACTCCGCGGCGCCATCTCGGTGGGTCGCCCCGGGAACGTTGCCCTGTCGGTTCCTCAATAAATGACCTGTTTTCCTGGGACGCATCTCCATCGGCGGGACCCCGCGTACTTCGGACACCTATTCGGACTTTGGGGGGCCTCGCGTCAACTGCCATGTACCTTTCATCCTCACCGTCCGTCTAGAGCCATTCGTGGGAACAGTCGAAGGATTAAGCTGTCAAGCACATTTGTTTTCTGATCATGTGTGGTGAGAAGTGACAGCTTCTAGATACTTGTCGGTGGATAAATTTTGTGAAATATTAGATCCTCTCTCCCTCTCTCCCCATGTGAGTATGCTAGAGTCTATTAAATTCGGGTTGACTTCGTCGCTACTGAATGGACTCCTATCTGTGTTTGTGTTGATAGATAATAATTCTACGAAACTTGCTTAAAATGCTCACGATTATGGACTAAGAATGGGCCCCTCATGAATACGATCTTACTGAAGTTTTAACCCCACTGTTTGTGAAGTAACCCCTCTCTCTCTCTCTCTCTCTCTCCCAATCAGTAAACTGCATCCTCTCTCTATCTCTGTGTAAATGTTTATATGTTGACCCCGGCCTCTTCTGCGGATGCGGAGATGAGCAGGTGACGGGGAAGAAGGTGTTCGGGGTCCTCAGACAGCAGTATGAGAAGGGATTCTCAGCCTTCGTCTCGGAGAAAATTTCTCCGGTCGCTGGTGACATCGCCTGCGAGAACCTCGGCATAGAGGACCGCGACCTCAGGGAGCTCCTGTGTAGGGAAGTAGACGTCGTCCTCAACGTGGCCGCGACCACCAATTTCTTTGAAAGGTGAGTGTCTCCGCCCAAGAAGAGGAGAGGAGAAGGCCGGCGGCGTCGCTCCTACATTCCCAGTCTTTTCCGCTAGTAACAGTGCCGAGCCATGCATGCAGATACGACGTCGCGTTGAAGGCCAATGTTCTGGGCGCCAAGCATGCCCTCGACTTTGCCAAGAGGTGCGAGAAACTGCAGCTGTTTCTCCACGTATCCACAGGTATTCGGATAACTACAGGCGGAGGAAACATGCTCCCGTTCCTGTTATTCTTCTCATTCTCAGCCGCACGTCGCCTGTCGCAGCCTACGTCTGCGGGTCGAGGGGAGGGCTGATTCTAGAGGAGCGACTCCGGATGGGGGAATCTCTCAATGGAGCCCCGGGTTTAGACGTCGACGCAGAGGTGAGGCTGGTGGAGGAAACCCTGGAGGAACTGCGCAGCGGAGAGTCGACGGAGAAAACCGAGAAGGTCTCCATGAAGGAGCTGGGCATGAAGAGGCTCGTAGCCCCAATCCCTGACGCTGAGTCTCTGAGCTTCATCGTGGGGCATTTTTTTGGCATAACCAGTCACCGCCGTCCCTTCTTCCCCCTCTCTACAGGGCGAGGTTTTTCGGGTGGCCGAACACGTATGTTTTCACGAAGGCGCTCGGGGAGATGATGATAGGACAGCAGAGAGGGGATACGCCGGTCGTCATCATTCGGCCGACCATAATAACGAGCACCCACAGAGAGCCATTCCCTGGCTGGGTGGAGGGAACCAGGTAATCGCGACGGCCAGAATGGAAGGGTGATCGTGTTCGAGCATGGCTTGTTGCTGAAGAGCAGACGCTAATAGTTCCTGGTTAAAACCTTTTTGGGTCTCCTCAGGACAATCGACAGCCTGGTCATCGGTTACGCCGAGGGAAACCTGGCCTGCTTCTTGGGAGATCTCTCGCTGACGGTGGATGTGGTAAGAATCTTGAACGAGCTTAACCTTCTCCCTTATTTTTTACTTGATCCGTCCGAAAAGAGGGAAACAGAAATATGTTTCCTTCTGTCTCTGTCTCTCACTAGGAGAGACAGAGATAAAGAGAAGAAACAAAGACGCGCACGTTTGTACGTGGAGTCGAGTAATGGCCATATCGGGTGCCTAGGGAGGGACATTGGCATCGTTTCCCTCTGAAAAACCTGTCATGTCATGCTGTTCGCAGATCCCTGGAGACATGGTGGTCAACGCGATGATCATCGCCATGGAGGTTCACGCGAACCAGCGGTCGGAATTCATCTACCACGTCGGCTCCTCCGTCTCTAATCCATTGACCTACGCCAGGTTGAAAGACTACGGCTACCGCTACTTCCTGGAGAACCCCCGAGTGGGGAAAGATGGTAAGATCATCAAGACTCGGGACATCCTCCTGTTCACGACCATAACCAGCTTCCGCCGCTACATGGCTCTTCGCTACTGGTTGCCTCTGGAGGTCTGTTCTCGTCGTTTCCATAGCCATAAACCTAGTCTCCTCGAATCATACGCCTCCTCTTCCCGAGGAGACATCCCCCGGCATGTCTCGTCGCCTCATGCTTTCGTGGATTGCGGTTGTCAGGGTTTGCGACTGGTGAACGCCGCCCTCTGCGGGGTCTTCTCGCAACTGTACGACCGACTCAGCCGCAAGTACAAGTTCGTCATGCACCTCGTCGATCTCTACGAGCCCTACGCCTTCTTCAAGGGATGGTAAGCCGGAGAGCAATCCCAGACAGCAAGTTATTAGAAGGGTCGAACCACCTAACAATCCGAGCTCTCTCTCTCTCTCTCTCTCTCTCTCTCTCTCTCTCTCTCTCGTTCTATTGCTTCAGCTTTGACGACCTGAACCTCGTGAGACTGCGGGCGGCCGCCGGGGACGATCACGGCGGCGGAGGGTTGTTCGATTTCGATCCGAAGTCGATCGATTGGAATCATTACTTCAGTACGGTTCACTTTCCCGGGGTGGTTAAGTACGTGTTGAAGTGAGGCCGAGGCGATCTCCCTGCTCTCTGGAACGGTTGACGCCTCGCCATTTTAGGATGGTCAACCGTAGAAATAAGCTCCCTGCTGCGGCCCGTGATTCGTTTTAGACTTTCTATCTCGCCTTCTCCGAAATATGTTCAACCTGTTACTATGTGGATTGTTTCTAGCAGTAGGCAGACGTAACCCTACTCTCTCTCTCTCTCTCTCTCTACCTAGCTCTATCTCCCTCTCCTCCGCCCTTTTCTTCCTCCCCCTCGCCTCCCTCTCGCCCTTCTGTCTCTGTCGCCTGGTCTGAGTTCGGATAGTATACGACCCGAAAGCCCAAAATATTTTGGGCCTCCCGTTTAGGAATATCGGCCCAAATATATTGCAATCAGAGAGTTGGGCTGATCTAGCCCGATAAATCAGGCCCAACTAAAAACCCAATTATAACAGTTCTAGTTGAGATCGATTTCCTGGGGGTCGGCCCGCCCCCTCCCCCCCTCAGGTCAAGAACGTTATGTGGACAATGCCTGAAGTCAACCCAATGTATGAGAGAGAGAGAGAGAGAGAGGGAGAGAGAGTTCTCATCGACAGCCCGAGAGGGAAGAAGGGATAAGAGGGGGGAAAAATGACCAACTTGGGGCTTTTTGGGGAGAGGATTGGATCTAATTCCATCTGCCGGAGGAGGACATATGTAGAAGAGGCGCTGAGGTCGATCATCCCACTAAATGTCATCTTTTTAGTCGGTTGTCTTTGAGGGTTTGATTTTGGGTCGTCTTCTCTACCTGTCTCTCCGACGCATCCGCAAACTTTCCCCCGTTACAGCGCATCACCCAGAGAAAAGGGGGTCTCCCGAGCTCCTGTTTCCAAGCCCCACCCCTCCCCCCCTCCTCTGCACAGGGGCCCAAAACCTGCTAGTTAGGGAAGAGGGAGTAATTATCCGGTGACCTTTCTCTCGAATCTCTGCTGGCTTTCAAATTTTCCCGATATCTCTTCGATCCCGGGAGACTCATTCACAGCGGAGGTCAGATTTGGTCCGCAGGGGGGCCCTGTGCCCAAGCTGGTTAGGGTTTTTCCCGGGGCGTCGTCTAGGGTTTTGTGGATCCCCGGGAGATATGAGTTTCTTGTTTGCTCGTCTTGCGGTTGGCTTGCGTAGAGCGCGGTGACGCATAATTGTGCCGTGGTGGGTGCGGGTTTCGCAGCGAACAGGGAGTGACCAGAGGAGGAGATGATTGCCGAGAAACCCAGTTGGATCAGGCATGAGGGAATGCAGATCTTCTCCATCGATATTCAGCCCGGGGGGCTGAGATTCGCGACTGGCGGAGGAGATCACAAGGTGAGTTTTCTTCTTCTTCCCGAGCCCATCCAGATTCTAGCCCTATAGTATCCTACAAGAATGCCACGGCCTCTTTGTCTTTCTGTCTGTCAGGTCGGTCGGTCTGTCTGTCTGTCTCCCTCTCCCTCTCCCTCTCTCTCTACGAGTGCTTCCTTTCTACTGTCGATTCGGCTTGATTTTTTTTATGCCTAGGTTCGAAGACATCAATTTATCCCGAAATAATAGCTGTATTTTCCACAAATATCGGTTAGAGATTCAGAGCATCCCGTTTGCCGCAGAAAAAAATGGGTTTCTTTCAAATTATCTCGGAGGTAGACCAATCTCTATATCTGCTAGTCGGCTTATTGCCTCTTCATGGTGTTTGAATTGCACGGCTCTCTCTCTGCTCTCCAGCTCAATCCTTAGCTGATCAAGAGCTGCCCCGTTTGGTGCCACCGGCCAATTTCTCTGATGGGGCCCGATCGGGGAAAGCCTGAAGTAGATTAGCCATTGGAGAGTTGGTGTAGAGCTAGGGGAAAATAGGGATACTCCTGCCTGCCGGTGGCAATGCGAAATGAGGCTCTTTGATGGAGTAATTAACTGGGTTGTTTTTTCCCCTTTTTGCTGTAATGTTCTTGGCTCAGGTTCGAATATGGGACATGAAGTCATTGGCTAAGGAATCAGAGAACGACCAGTCGACTCAGAAGCTTCTTGCCACCCTTCGCGATCACTTTGGTTCGGTGAATTGCGTCAGATGGGCCAAGCACGGCCGGTTCATTGCATCAGGGTCTGATGACCAGGCGATTCTCATACACGAGAGAAAGCCCGGGTCGGGCACCACCGAGTTCGGAAGTGGGGAGCCCCCGGATATAGAGAACTGGAAGGTTGCCATGACTCTGAGGGGTCATACTGCCGATGTGGTAATTTTCTTAGATCATCATTTCCTTTTTTATCACTTTTTTTTGTTTCTCTGCTTTGAAGAGAAATTCTCATCTCCTCACTGATCTTCAACCAATGCCCATCTTAACTGAGGATTGCTTTCCATGCTTGAAGTAGGTAGATCTCAATTGGTCTCCGGATGACTTGACGTTGGCTAGCGGCAGCTTAGATAACACGGTCCATATATGGAACATGACCAATGGGATATGCACAGCTGTCCTGAGGGGCCACTCCAGCCTTGTCAAAGGGGTCACCTGGGACCCCATCGGCTCCTTCATTGCTAGCCAGTCGGATGACAAGACTGTCATCATCTGGCGCACCGCCGACTGGAGTCTTGCTCATAGAGCAGAGGGGCATTGGTCGAAATCTGTACGTCCCCGGGGCCTCACCCATCAATTCGTTTCACTTCCTTCCTCCTTGATCTTACTTCGTTCTGTTTTGCTCTTTTCCCTAGGTGGGATCGACATTCTTTCGGCGGCTCGGATGGTCCCCTTGTGGGCATTTCATAACGACAACTCACGGCTTCCAGAAGCCCCGACACTCTGCACCCGTGTTGGAGAGGGGAGAATGGTCAGCCACCTTTGACTTTCTCGGCCACAATGCTCCCATTGTAGTGGTGAAGTTCAACCACTCCATGTTCCGCAAGAATGTCTCCAGTGGCCAGGAACCGAAGGTGCCGCCCGCTGGGTGGACCAACGGCTCCACGAAGAATGCATCCAAAGAATTGCAGCCGTACAATGTGATTGCGATAGGAAGCCAGGATCGGACAATAACGGTGTGGACGACGGCCAGTGCTCGGCCCCTCTTTGTGGCCAAGCACTTCTTTTCCCAGAGCGTGGTCGATCTCTCCTGGTAAAACACCTGAAAATTGCACTCTCTTGAGCTTCTTTCTCACCGATTACACTATGTGGCATATAAATATTGGAGATCCCCCCATCCCACCCCACAGGAGCCCAGATGGGTACGCCCTTTTTGCATGTTCCTTGGATGGGACGGTGGCGACGTTCCACTTTGAAGCCAAGGAGCTGGGCCACAGGCTGAGCGATTCTGAGTTGGACGACTTGAAGAGGAATCGGTATGGAGATGTGAGAGGGCGGCAGGCAAATTTAGCCGAAAGCCCTGCACAGTTGCTGTTGGAGGCAGTGGCCGCCAAGCAGTCAGTTGTCAAGAGGGCGGCATCTGGTGCTCAACAGCTCCAGCCACCGGCAAAATCTTTGTCTGGTCAAGAGGGCCCAGCCCTTGACCAACCAGCTCCCAAGGCTCCAGAGGCCCCGCTCGATGATGGAAAGAAGGAGGGAGGAGGAGCTGCTGGTGATGAGCTGGGTCGGGCTACTCCCGCTCGCGTGTCTAGCCCTGTTAAACAAAGAGAATATCGGAGGCCGGATGGGAGGAGACGGATAATTCCGGAGGCGGTCGGGATCCCTGCCCATCAGGAGAATATCTCTGGTGCTATGCGAGCCCAGGGGCTCGAATTTTCCTCCTTGGGCACCAGTCAACAGAGAGATGAGAACTTGATGCTCTCTGATAGCAGGGCGAGAGAGTCTGCCATCAAAAGGCCGTTCTGTGGAAGCTCTGAATCGAAGGTGCCCAGCAAGTGCGCACAGTGCGGCTCCAAGGAGCGCTTGGCGACCACTGCTCGGGCCAGCATTCATGAGAGCCTTGTCATTGAGAAGGCTCCTGGGTCAGCTGGTGCTGATGTAGATGCCGTCGTTCCTCACTCCGGGTCGGCGAGCCTACCAAGCTCTCAGGTCTGCAGTTTTCTTTCCGTCCGGGTCTTTGGGAAGAAGGAAGACGACGATGTGAGCTCGGTATGTTTGGAGGCTAAACCCATCGAGAAGGCAGCCCATGATATATCCGGTGTTGGAAGCACATTTTCGACCAAGGAGACAGAGATATGCTGCACAAAGGGAAATCGGGCTCTTTGGTCGGACAGGATCTCCGGAAGGGTCACTGTTTTGGCCGGCAATGCCAATTTTTGGGCGGTCGGATGTGAAGATGGGTGCCTACAGGTATGCCCGCGAGTCTTTTCTTTTGGCCTAATTTAATCATATTACTCTTGACAACCGCGCAGATGGCTTCTGGTTCATGCAACCTCTTGTTTTCATTTATTTTTTAAAATATATATTTTTTCTGTTGTTGTTGTTCTTGTGAAGGTTTACACAAAGTGCGGAAGAAGGGCGATGCCGGCGATGATGATGGGATCTGCGGCTGTGTTTATTGACTGCGATGAGTCCTGGAAGCTGCTTCTTGTCACGAGGAAGGGATTGATGTATGTCTGGGACCTGTTCAACAGGACCTGCATTCTGCAAGACTCCTTGGCCTCCCTCATCACCTCTGTGGAGAATTCTCTCACAAAAGATCCAAGTAAGTGTTCTTCCCATCTTCTTCGTCGTGTATCTGAAAGGAAAACGATTTTGGGAGCTCCGTGGAGCGGGGTGTTGGGCGATGGTGGAGAGTCTCATGTGGATTCTCGTCCCGCCGCCATGAATTAGATAATCTGGTTCCTTCACTTGTCTTGTTGATGCCCGGATGAACCAGGTCGTGTTCTTCTTTTATCAGGAACGATCAAGGTCATATCTGCGAGATTCTCGAGGTCCGGCTCCCCCCTCGTCGTTCTCGCCACTCGCCATGCGTATCTCTTCGACATGGGCATGAAGTGCTGGCTGAGGATAGCCGACGACTGCTTCCCCGCGTCGAATTTCGCGAGTTCCTTGAACCTGGGCTCGGTCCAAGGCGGCGAGCTCGCCAATCTTCAGATCGACGTGGGGAAATTCCTGGCGAGGAAGCCCAGTTGGAGCAGGTTCGTACGGTCTTACAGACGAGGCCTTCCTTCTTCCTCGATCTGGCCTGGTTCTCTGATATGAATGAGGAATAATGGTGGTCTATCCACGGCAATGTGGACAGGGTGACGGACGACGGAATGCAGACCCGAGCGCATCTGGAGGCGCAGCTGGCGTCGGCGCTGGCCCTGAAGTCGCCCAACGAGTATCGGCAGTGCCTTCTCTCTTACATTCGGTTTCTCGCCAGGTTGGTCGGTCTTATTCATCTTCTTCTTGGGCTCACAGTTGCCTCTGGTTCATCCATGGCTCTGGAGATCAGACCAGACTGGCATGGTCTTTGGGAGAGGAACCCATTTTTAATCCTACCCAGTAGGTGGGAATCAGCAGCTGACAGGTTTCATGGATCTCTTCCATTATCTGCCTCACAGGGAGGCGGACGAGTCCCGCCTGCGCGAGGCCTGCGAGAGCTTCATCGGCCCGCCGACGGGGATGGGCGACTCGACCTCCTCGGATACTCAAAGCCTCGCCTGGGATCCCTGCGTTCTCGTGAGTAATCTCTCTCACCGTGCCGACGACGCAAGATTGATCGGTCTGTTGAAGAGTTTTAGCGGTGGTTTCTGCAGGGAATGAAGAAGCATAGCCTTCTCCGGGAGGATATCCTGCCGGCCATGGCGTCCAACAGGAAGGTCCAGCGCCTGCTGAACGAGTTCATGGACATCCTCTCTGAATATGAACCCAACGAAGTTGGCGGAGCCCCCCCCACTGTGGGGTCTGATAAGCTGCCGGAGGTTGAAGGAGCTCCAAGAACCGCCGTTGCGGATTCACTGGAGGAATGAATAGTAAGGATCGTCTGCGTTTCCGGCAGCTAGGGGTGCCCCCTCTCCTCCTGCTTCCCTCTCCCTCTTTTACGGGAAGGAAGAGAGGCAAACGGAAACCCTGGGGAGAGAGAAACGTGAGCTCCTTCCCTGCTTTCGTGGGCTGTCTCATACCGGGCTCCCTTGTACCACTACTCGAGTCGATTGTTGAGCCTGTAAAACTGTGGAATGGGGAGGAAGATCTGGAGATCGTTGCTGTTTTCGTTCTTGTTCTTGTATGCCTTACCCAATTCGTCTGTCCCCTCCCATGGCGGGGATACCTGGTTCTTATCTTTCTGTGCGTGATGAATTTCTGGGGAATTTCGCTTCCCCAGTGGGCCTCGCCTGGGTCAGGCTGGGTCAAGCTCACGAGTCAACGCCGAGTCACACTCTGGTTTCAACTCGGGAGGGGAGAGTGGCCCGATAATGGCTTATTTCGAATGAAATAGTGAGCCTGAGCGCGACAGAGAAGAATTCTAGAAGAAGAAAGCGAAGAGAGGGGGGCCGGGGTTAGGGCAGAAGGCTGCGGAGGGAATTCCCCAGAAATGAGACGACGGCGGCCCAGCCCGCCTGCGAGGGGTGGACGGAGTCCCAGTAGAACTTGGAGCCAGGATCCTTGCAAACTGTGTACTTGGGAGCTCCGTTCTCGTCGGTGCTGCCGCATCCGAAGCCGCCGTTCGCCGCCTCGCAGCAGGGCCTCAGCGCCTCGCTGGAGTTCATCATATCTGCCGGAGACGGGGAAGAAAGAAAGGAGGGGAGTGAGAACGCCGAGGAGGAAAGGATAATTTAGACGTGGACGTTTGAGGAGGGGCGGTGGCTTGCCTCGGATCAGCACCGATTTGAAAGCGCTGAAGAGGTCGATAATGACGAAGGGCTCGGCGGCGCCGCCGGGGTTCTTGTTCAGCTCCGCTACCGCCTCGGCGAGCAGCCCGTTGTGGTACATCACGGCGAGATTCGTCGTCTCGTTGCATTTTCGGTAGGAGAAGGAGCTCGCTATCGATGGGATGCAGCCGATTGGATGCAGGTTCGTCACCGCTACCTTAGCCACGCCAAGCCTGCGGATCTTCCTGAGATCTAAAGCCAGCTGCCGGATCACTTTCGGGATGAAACCCTTCAGACCCTGCGGAGAAGAGCTCCCCGTTTAACGTCCTCGTTCAATACAATGTTGACGGAAAATCCAGGGCTGCTGCTCTCAAACAGGCAGTCAGAGAGAGAGAGAGAGAGAGAGAATTGGCCGCACTTGTGAGCGGAGCATTAATATTTCGTTACGGTTTTCTCAGGTCGTCGGTGCAATAAATGGCTGGAGGTTGGCTGGGTTTTCATCCTCTACCTACACCACTGCCTGCATTGGCGGGCGATTCTGACAACGAGCGAGAGAGAGAGAGAGAGAGAGTGGACTGGAATGAATTGCCATAAAAATCTAGCTCACCTCCGAGCTGCCGCCGTTGTTCTGGAAGTAGAGGTAGTCGTTGCCGGCGATGGAGACGACTGCCGTCGACCGCCCGAGGTCGGGGCCGGGGAAGACGCCCTCCTTCAGCTGGTCGAAGAAGTTGTCGATCTGGAGAGAGAGGTTTCTCTGGAAGTTCCCGGTGTCAAAGACTCCGGTGCCGCCGACGGCGAAGTTCATGCCGTAGGGGAGGAGCTTCTTGCCGAATTTCCTGTACTTGTAAGGAATCGGGGACCTGATTCCCAGAAAAGAAGCTGCCAAGACGAGTAAAACCGAGTAAACCCGAGTCAGCCGCCATTAAAAAACTCAAACAAGGGCACCCACCTAACAAGAACATGGTTCCGACCATATGAAGATATGGAGGGGGGGGAGGGTGAAAGAAAGTAGGGTTTGGTGAAGCTTTTACGAAAGGAGAGATGGGGGGGGGGAGGGGGCGGCATGAAGAGAAATCATTAAGAGCCGTGCAGAAAGGAGGGGAAAGGATGGATAAGTGCGCTGTGGCAGTAGGTGGAGCATCATGGTCATGGAGGGCCCCCCACCCCAACCACGCAAGGCGATGATTCTCTCTCCTCTCCTTGGGTCCCGGCGTGTTACCGCCATGCACTCTTTAAGAGAGACAGAGAGAGAGAGGGTATTTTCAAAAGAGAGGGCATTCCTCCAGACAGAGGAGAAGAGAGTGAGGAAGAGGGAAGGAAGGGCTCACCGATGTAGTCGGTGAGGACCCGGCCGTCGGAGAAGCGGCCGAAGGGCTTCTTGGGGAAGGTAATGCCGTACGGCGGCTTCCAGGAGGGCGAGAATAACTTGGCGATGTTGCCCGTGTCGGCGTAGGAGTCTCCGAACACGAACAGCTTCTGCGGCGGGTGGGCCATCTCCCCCCGGAGCCGCCGGTCGCTGGCGGCGCCGCCTACATCCGCGCCTTCCGGGCATTCATCACAGACGAATTACTTGACGCATACGGCGTCACGAAGATCACAGGGGGGAGGAGGCGGTCGCAGTCGGTCGCAGTCGGCGGGGAGTGAGAGAGAACAGCCATACCTGTTATCAGCAGGGCTATAAAGACGACGCCGGCGAGGAAAAGCTGCTTCTCCATCTCCGTTGAAGCCATGACAGCCAAAAATCGCTCGCCGGAGGTGAGGAGAGAGGAGCGCAGCAGCACCACTCTTCCCTTTGTTCACCTGGAGAGAGAGAAAGAGAGGGAGAGAGTGGTAGAGGTTACGAAGAACACCGGTTCTCTTATAACCAACGACGGAGAGGAGAGGGACTCGAGCCTTATAAGTTTTTTTCTTATTTTTCCTTTCATAAATTAGAAAAATCAGCATAACATTGGACATTTTCTTTAAAAGACCCCTCCGCCTAAATTACCTTGCCGTCGCATCCCCAGAGTGGAACCCGACCGGGACACCCGATCGATCGCACTCGGGGTATTTATACAATAAAGATACCTTACGGGATTTATGAGTTATATTGCCTCGCTGTCAGAAAAAAATCCTGGGAAGGACTGGTTAACGACGCCCGACGGTCAGCTCTGGTGGCCGCTTCGGATCTAGATTTGATTGGCGGCGGCGATTTGCTCCTGTCGCGATCACACGTGGCGCCGGAGATCACGCGGGTTTGCCAAGGCCTATTAACGGAACGAACCCCCGTGGGCCGGAGCATGGTGGGCCTTTCTCGTTTATCATGTCGTCCGGGCCAAGAGGAAGCGGCGCACTTTAGTAGCCCACCCCAAAAACTTCAAATATCGCGCCGCCGCTCTCAGCGGTCGTCCGCGATGTAGATGCCATGAACAGGAGGTCTCTCGTCCTCCGTCGCTTACTCGGTTCCCGTGCAACGCCGCATCATCTGTTCGAGGAAATCCCCCACAGAAGCCCTCTTTCTCCTCCTCCCGCCGCCGAGCTCAATGCGTTGCTGTTTGGGTACTCGCGAGACGGCGAGCTGCGACAAGTCCTCGGACTCTTCGCGCAGATCTTTCGGTCCGGTGGGGCGGCGGACGAGTCGACCTTCTCCTGCACGCTGAAAGCCTGCGGCTGCGCAGGCGATGCGGCCCTCGGGAGGCAGCTCCACGGCTGCAGCGCCAAGCGAGGGCTCGGCGAGCATGTCAGCGTCGGGACCTCTCTGGTGGACATGTACATGAAGCTCGGAGCGGTGGAAGAAGGGAGGAGGGTGTTTGATTCGATGCCCAAGAGGAACGTGGTGTCTTGGAGCTCGTTGCTCACTGGGTACACGCAGAACGGGCAGCAGGGGGTTGTGCTGGAGATTTTCGGCCGGATGATGGAGGAGGGGGTTAAGCCCAATCCCTACACCTTCGCCAGCGTCCTCACGGCCTCATCTGGGCTGCAAGCCGTGGAGACGGGGCTGAAAGCTCACGGACTGGTGATCAGATTCGGGTTTGAAGCTGCTGTCTTTGTCTGCAATTCTCTGGTGAACATGTACTCGAAATGTGGGTTGACTGCGGACGCGAGGAAGGTGTTCGACAATATGGGTGAAATAGACTCCGTGTCGTGGAACGCCATGGTTGCTGGTCTCGTGCAGAACGAGCTCGATCGAGAGGCGCTCGAGTTGTTTCGCCAGATGAGGGCGGAGGGGGCGAGCCTGACTCAGCTGAGCTTCGCCGCCGTGATGAAGGCCTGCGCTGGTGTTGGCGAGTTGGGCTTCGGCCGCCAGCTCCACTGCTGCGCCATGAAGAAGGGTTTTGCGTCGGACGGGAACATCGGGACGGCTCTCACGGTGGTCTACTGCAAGTCCGGCGAGATGGACGAGGGTTTCAGGGTGTTCTCGACGATGGGTCCGAGCAGAAACGTCGTTTCCTGGACGGCGATCATCTGTGGGTACCTGACCAACGGGAGACCGGATCAGGCGGCGGCCATCTTCCTCCAGATGAGAAGAGAGGACGCCATGCCGAACGAATTCACCTTCTCGGCCATGTTGACGGCTTCCCCTCTCGTCTCCCCGCTCCAGATCCATGCCCAGGCCATAAAATCCGGCCACGAGACCTCTCCCTCCGTGGGCACGGCCCTGATGAGCGCCTACACCAACCTGGGCCTCACCGGCGAGGCTCTGTCCGCCTTCAGGGGGATCGAGGACAAGGACATCGTCGCGTGGTCTGCCATGCTCGCGGCCTACGCCCAGGTGGGAGACTCGGAGGCAGCGGTGAGGCTCTTCTGCGAGATGACGAGGCGGCGAGTGAGTCCCAACGAGTTCACCATGTCCAGCGTCATCGACTCCTGCTCCGGCCCTTCGGCCGCCGTCGACCAAGGGAAGCAGTTCCACGGCGTCTCCATCAAACTGGGGCTGGAGGAGGCCATCTGCGTGAGCAGCGCTCTGGTCACCATGTACTCGAAGAAGGGCAGCATAGAGAGCGCCTACGGCGTCTTCAGCCGGCAGCGGGAGAGAGACCTGATCTCCTGGAACTCCATGGTCTGCGGCTACGCCCAGCACGGCTACGGGAGCAAGTCTCTGCAACTCTTCACGGAGATGCAGTCCCTGGGCTTGGAACCGGACGGCGTCACCTTCATCGGCGTGATCACGGCCTGCACCCACGCCGGCCTGGTCGACGATGGGAGGCGATTCTTCGATTCCATGCTCGACCCTCCCCACCCGATCACTCCCACGGAGGAGCACTACGCCTGCATGGTGGACCTCTACAGCCGCGCGGGCAGGTTCGCGGAGGCCATGGAAATGGTGAGGAAGATGCCTTCACCGGCGGGGGCCACCGTGTGGCGGACCCTCCTCGGCGCGTGCCGAGTGCACAAGAACCTCGCGCTGGGGCGGCTAGCGGCGGAGCGGCTCCTCTCCCTCGAGCCGGAGCATTCCGCCGCCTACGTCCTTCTGTCGAACATCTACGCGGCGGCGGGGAGATGGGAGGACCGAGCGGCGGTGCGGCGGCTGATGGAGGCGAAGGGGGTGAAGAAGGAGGCCGCGTGGAGCTGGATCGAGGTGAAGAAGAAGGTCCACTCCTTCCTGGCCGGCGACCGATCGCACCCCTTCTCCGAGCGGCTGTACGAGCGGCTGGAGGAGCTACTGAGCAAGCTGAGAGCGGCGGGGCACCGGCCGGACACGGGTTTCGTGCTGCACGACGTGGAGGAGGAGCAGAAGGAGGGCATGGTGGGGGAGCACAGCGAGAAGCTGGCCCTCGCTTTCGGGCTCATGGCCACCCCGCAGGGAGCCCCTCTGCAGGTCGTCAAGAACCTCCGCGTCTGCGGCGACTGCCACGCTGTGTTCAAGCTCGCGTCGGCCGCGGAAGGGAGGGCCATCGTCCTCCGAGACTCCACCCGGTTCCACCACTTCAGGGACGGGAGCTGCTCCTGCGGGGACTACTGGTGAACGAACCAATTATAATTTTTTGTTCCATTTTCTGATGAAAGATTATTTATTTCGAATCTTGGGTGGGTCTCTTGATCAGAGGGGAATGAGGATGTAATTAACAGGCATATAGAAATCATAATCCAACGACTCTTTTTTTTTTCCCGAGACTCACGCAATTTTGTGAGGGAGGGAGGATCAAGCGATCGGTATCGGTCATGGCTTCATGAGCAAGTCTCCGATGAATGAGAGGGCTTTAGGCACGTTGACTGTCCACGCCACCGAGACTGGGGAGTGCCCAGTCCAAGGGTTGCTCGAATTCCACCTGTCCACGTCAAGAGCTTCAATCTCTGGGAGTTCTTGGCTGGGGGAGGGGCAGGCAGCTATAGGGGTAGCCGGAGACCCTCGCCGGGAAGAAGAAAAAGAAAGGATTTTTACCAACCTCTTTAATCCTTGGTCCAGAAGGGTGTGGCCCATGCAGATGCCTTGGGTCTCCACCCTTACCACCCCTTTCTTGAAGGTGAACAGATCAGGGCGCACCAGGGCGGCAAAACTCACAGGATCATGGAGAAAGATCCCTGCAACCCCAACATCTGGGTCAGCAATCCATACATATCTCTATATCTACATGGATAATATATGCACATATAACATGCATGCATGCGCAGATGTGAGTGAGGCGATGGAAATGACGGGCTTTTATAATACGTGCGAGGAACTACCATGGACCCCATCGGATGCCACATGCCAATCTCTGTAGAATTTGCAGATGTCGGATATGAACTTGGCATGTCTGCCTTTGGAAAGCCTAAGATCGTCCAAGTCCTCATCTGAAACCAGAGAGTGAGCCCATGAGCCGGCGCCCGGAAGAACAAGCTAACATCTCACGAGGAATGAGATGACGCATTGCAGCGAGCGGGGCACCTGTTAAGATGAGTTGGGTCGTGATGTTTATGCCGACGACAGCAATCTCTGCCCCGCAGGTGAAAACCACGTCGGCAGCCTCTGGGTCGCTGTAGATCTGAAAAACATAGTCGGATTCACATGATGCCCATGGCAGGGATCATCTCGCTGTAGCATCACAGAATTCAAAGGTACGAGATTACGTTTGCTTCGGCAGCAGGGTTGACGTTGCCAGCCGAGAAGAATGCTCCTCCGAGGATCACTATTCTCTTCACCTTGCTCGCGAAGTACGAGTCTCTCTTCACTGCCTACCCATGAGAAAGAAGAAGAGCATCAGGGGTGGGGTAAAGCAGCAGCAATGGAGCGACAGAGTGCCATTTGGTTCACATCAGAAAGAACACCGGTGGGCGGTTGCTAACCAAGGCTAAGTTTGTCAGAGGCCCGAGTGCGAGTATGGACACCGCGCCAGGGTTCTCAGAAACCTTGTCGACCAAGAACTCGGGTGCACTCTTCTCAGCTTTCTGTCCCTTGGGTGTGCTCAGAGGTATATCTCCCATTCCATTGGAGCCGTGGACGAAATCAGCAACGCGTGGCTTCCCTCCCTGTGAGAGAGGAACATCCTCATACCATGAGAAAAAGAAATCATGAAGACAATGGCTGAAGACCATTTGGACAAATATCAGTCAACCCTTATTCCAAAGAAACTTGGATAAAATGGGCCTCACACAGAAACAAAGAGGACTAGGAGTCTGAAAAAAAAAATCTGATCTTTGCCGTTCTATAAGTGGTGGGTTTGGTTTAGTCAACGCATCATAAGTCATCAGTTGCTAGTGAAACAAAAGCCACAGCGATCAGCTCAGAAAGAACACTTCACCTTTAGGGGCTCATAGCTGCCCTCTGCCACCGGAGTATCAGGATGCCCTGCCATCTCACACTGTCCTCTTACGAGAATAAGTGGTTATTAATCATGAAAATAGTTTCAAAAAGCTATACTAATGATAAATGGAGGAGGAAAAATGTAGAAGGGAAAAAAATTGATAAGGAGAGGGAGAGAGAGAGAGAGGGGCCAACCAGAAGCAGTGCATTTCGAGTGGCGACATCAGTATGAACATTGCCGAATATGGTTGTCAAACCCAGTATCTCCAGCTCTGGTGACTGGAAAGCCATCAAGATCGCCATGCTGTCATCTTCAGAGTAGAATTAAAGAATAATTATTTTTGATGGAATAAGATGCCAACTCATTAGAAGTCAATCTGATAAATCTCACAAAAAAAACCATTCAAGCAAGGAGTCTTCCCAGTTGCTTTCGAACGATGCAGAATATGTAAGTTCAGATTACATTAATATATATATATAGATAAAATGGGAGAAAGAATCCTATAAATTATAAATTTATAGAAAATTTATCAGAGCATAAATTATAAATTTATCAACTAGAAAATTAATATGCATTAATATGCATACTGGAAAATTCATCTCTCTTATCCCATGAACTAGAAAATTGGAAAAATATAAAATTTTCCAAGAACCATTTCTTTTTTAAAATCTATAAATTATAGTATTGATCGTAACTGGACTGCAGAGTATAATAAAGTTCGGAGATAAAAATTCATAAAGAACATACTGGAAAAATCCCCTTCAGAAAAGAGTAGGGAGGTTGCTCACAGAATCACCCACGTTCAGATATTTGGCTATGGTGAGATATGCAGTAACCACTATCGGCACAGGTGCTGGAAGAACACATCTTTCAATCCTCTAAGTCCATCGATTCTAAACACCCACCCCGGGAACAACCAGAGCAACCGAACGGGGAACAACCGATCAAAACAGTTGTCCAGGATTTTGACGAGGCCGGGGGGGGGAGGAGAGAGAGTGAGAGAGAGGGAGAGAGGAGACAGAGAGAGAGAGGGGGAGACAGAGAGACAAAGACAGAGATGGAGAGAGAGAGGGAGTGGAGACCGAGAGACAGAGACAGAGACAGGGACAGAGATGGAGAGGGAGGAGTGGAGACCGAGAGACAGAGACAGAGTCAGAGATAGAGAGAGAGGAGACCGAGAGACAGATAGACAGAGACGGAGACGGGGAGAGAGAGAGAGAGAGAGAGAGAGAGAGGAGTTATCAACAACCGTGCGGCTTGGAGGATCGTAAAATTGGGAATCTCGGAGCCGTCGAAAAAGATTCGGAAATTTCTTCCAAGAGGGAGCAAAGAAAAGTGGAACAGAACTGAGAAAGAAGCAACTCAGCAAAGAGAGCGCCGATCAAGGGTTATTAACAATTCGCGTCTGCGTAGGGTGGACGGCGGGCGGGTGTTGGACATGGTGGGTACCGATTCCAGGATCAGTGTCGATGATGACCTTCTCCGTCGCGGCCGTCGCCGCCTTGTCGAGCCCTATTGCCGCTCCATTCACCCCCTTCATCGCCCCGGCATGCGGCTTCAGCGGCGAAAAATGACCCACAGATACAAAAGCGATCCCTCTGATCGGAGAACCAGACTAGCGCGAGAGCAAGAGCGAGAACGATTCCTGGGGGCTGAGAGGAGGAAGACTGCGACAGAGAGAGGGTGGAGAGAGGCTCCACTGCCGACGGTTGGTAACTCGGTAGGTGGGTGGGTGGGGACTTCGCTTCTACAGCTCCCCTTCTGCCATCCGCATCCCCTTCCCGACGAGCATGCAGGCGGCGGAGGATCGAACCAACGAAAAACGACGGCCACAAGCCAGCCAGCCAGCCAGCCAGCCATCGTTGTCTTCGTTGTCCATAGGTTATCTTTGACGGTCAGGAAAAAAACGTGGCATCCACTCATCCGTTGCCACGTCAAACCGACGTGTCTTGCCCCCATCCGGGAGAATTCTGAAAGATGTTCTATTAACGGTCTGCTGGCCCCGGAGAAGAACGGGGGTAACGTACTCCGCCAGGAATGGGCCGAGAGGAAACTGGGCTGCTGTTGTGCAGAAAGGGCTTCTGCGGATAGCCGAGCTCGGCTTCCCTCTCGAGGGTGGAAGCCGCTCGAGGAGCAGGGTTTTTGAGAGGAGTGTGGGATGGGAAGGCGCGGGAAGAACCAGTGGCGGCAGCAGAAGGGCGGTCGGCGCCTCGCAGGAGGGGAGGGCGCCGAGGATGATGAGGCCGGCGTCTTGCCTTCCTCCGCGTATGAACCAGAAGATCGAGAGGACCAGGAGGAAGGGGAGATGGCGGAGGATGAAGAGGGCGATGAGTGTGGAGAAGAGAGAGGCGGAGACGTCTCGCCTTCAAAGTTCCATCTGTATCAAAAATCTGTTCAGGTTGGGATGATTCCTTCCTTGTTCTTGAAGGTTTTGTAGGCTAGATCCCGCGCTGCTGCTTGTGGAGCTTATTTTTCTGCTATTAACGTCGCCTAAATGCGGTCGTTGCCGATGTGGGGCTGAAACGGGGCGGAAATTGGCGGGGAGTTGATTGCAGTCTCCTAGAGGTGACGTCAGCTATATGCAGAAGTTCTTCTTGATGTACGTCGGCGGGAGGACGCCCCTCCACCTGCAGGAGGATTTCTGTGGAACTGCTCTCCTCAGGTCTGCTCTGATCCTTATTGCTGAAAATTGATCGACGTGATGGGGTGGTGTTCATGTTCTTCATGTTTTCTTCATCTGGTTCTCGCGCAGAATGCTCACGCGGTACAATATGTGTTCCATTGATGAGTTTTTACGAAACTCTGTTGAAATTTTCATCATGTTGGTTTAAATCGGGCGATCTCTCGGCCTCTTTCTCATCATCTTATTGTTAGGCTTTGAAGGCTTTGAAAAAAATGGAGAAATTAGAATGCCCGCAATATTTTTGGCCTTTTCAAGAAGTTTGAAACCGACGATCATCGTGTTACAAGTGCGATGCACTAACCTCTCAGATAAGCGTTGCCCCAGAGTGCTGAATTAATGTATCTATTATGGAAGAACTGGAACTATTAAAATTTCTTGTCTGGGTGCACCTTGCCATGCTTGTTGTTTCGGCTCCCAGCTAAAGAGCTTATTCATGTCCTAATTCACACGAATCTTGTGATACACAGTGAATATGGTATCTTATCCACATTGTCGATGTGGTCTAGATTTCTATCCCATATGTCTTATAAAAATTGATGATATGATGTATCGATATTTGGGGATGAAATCTTTAACCTTCATTTAAATGAGCTGTCGTTAATTCCTGTCTTTTGCGGTCTAAATTGCCTGTTTATTTTATTTTTTTCTACAGCACAGAATGGCTACGGAGTGACCCCAGACGGACAGCGATAGGGCTAGACCTTGATCTTGAGGCACTTGACTGGTGCCTGGAGAACAATCTGAATAGGATTGGGGGAGATGGATTTTCCAGGATCTCTCTCTTTCATGGCAATGTTCTCCATCCTAACGAGGCCAATCTTGTCCGTCCGAGGCTCTGCGATCTTGTAAGTCAGGTTACTTTGGATAACCAGGGAGGGCAGTTGAGAGCAGTTGACTCGGTTTCCGAATCAGATCCTGCGATCCAGACAGGTGATGTCAATTCCATCGCAGACATATCGGGGGTGAAGATTTCTTCACTGCCTGCCAGGGATATCGCCTGCGCATTCAATTACAGCTGCTGTTGCCTGCATAGGCGTGCTGATCTGGTCATGTATTTTAAGCATGTTCTTGGTGGCTTGTCCAAGCAAGGCGGTATATTCATAATGGACCTGTATGGTGGCACATCGTCGGAGTGCAGGCTCAAGCTTCAGAGGAGATTCCCTGGCTTTACTGTAAGGGCTTTCTTCCCCTTGCAAGGAGCAGTATATTTTCTTTAAACACTATTTTTCTTGCCATGAATGAAGTGAGATTATTAGTTTTTGTTTGTTCACACCAAAAAGAGGGTGCCCCGGCAGATAATTTTTGTTTGGGAAATTTTCTTTACACAGCTATTTGCTTGACATCTCGATGATCCCGCAAGAACAAGGTGGATCCTCAATGAAATACTTGCCGTGGGTGCTCATCTTCGAGAATATTGATTAGCTGATGCATGCAGCTTGTAAACAGATTGAAGAAGGGAATGAGCAGGAGATTTTTTCTGTACATATTTCTTTGTTATTACTAATTGCGGTCTATCAAACTGTTATTTGGCAGTATATATGGGAGCAGCAAGAGTTTGATATTATCAATCGCACAACAAGGATCAGCCTTCACTTTCAACTAGGAAAGAAGAAGACCCTACGCCATGCATTTTCGTACAACTGGCGACTGTAAGATGCTTGCTTTGTCTCATCATCAGTTTACACCACCGTGATGGCCGTTGAGAACATGACTGAGTTCTCTGGAATCACATACCGATCAAACAAAGCTATCAAATTTGCACCTACCCACTGCCCCAATTTGCTTTCCATATCTATCTGCTTGCTCATGAATCTCCCCACATGAACAACTGAACCGTGGGCTGGTTCCATTTGGCAGATGGTCCTTGGCAGAGGTCAAGGACTGCTTGAAGGAGGCCGGCTTCTCTTCCGTGCATTTCTGGATGAGGGAGATGCCCAACACTCAACTGGGCTCCGATTCTGAGGACCTGTTCGATGCCAAGTATGAGGAGGCCTTGTCCTTCCAACAGAGGGATTCATGGAATGCCTACATCGTCGGTGTAGCCCCCTGATGCTGATCCGACTTGGTGAGTCCACATCTTCACCCTGTCACAGCCTGTTCTCTCTGTTTCTGTCTCTGTCTCTCTGTCTCTCTGTCTCTGTCTCTGTCTCTGTCTCTGTCTCTGTCTGCCTGTCTCTCTCTCTCTCTCTCTCTGTGTCTCCGTCTCTCTCTCTCTCTCTCGTTTTTTTTGTTTTTTTGTTTTTTTAGGCCTCTGAACTCGTGTGATGAAATGAAATTCTTGGGAAAAAAATAATGTTTTCATCACCCTACTGTTTCGCTAAATTTGCACTTGGAACTCCGTGGGAACATAATATGTGGGAGTGCCCCCACATAAGAATGGGATCGTGGGTATTAACATAATTAGTGAATTATTTGTGGAAAAATATAAACTTAGGAAAGCTATTTTTTTATGTCGCCATTATTTTATTAAATCGGTAAAAGTGCTGGATTTGTGTAGACTGTGAGCTCAGGGAAGGTATTTTTGGAATAATTACTATCTATATATATCGACGTGGCATCATCACTTGTGAGATTATGCAGCTCTTCTGGCACCGCTGAACGTTCGCCGAGGGCACGTCCCGTTCAGAAGGTGATGTCATCCCTCATTCCGATGGGATTATTGTCCGTAATGCCGCCTCTAAGCGGCAGACGACACGTGGCGGGGATGACGAGCCCGCCCCCCGGGGGATGACCAATGAGCGGGCGGATTCAGTTCGGGTACACGCATTGGCCGAAATAATTGCCGATTATCGGATAGTGACGTCATTAAATGTGCTTGTATATGAAAAAAAAGAAAAGGGGGGGTGGGGGGGGATGTGATTGGAAAAGTTTTTCCTCTTCTTCGTCCTCAGCCGGCGCTTTGAATCCCAACCACAACTCTCCTCCGTCCCCCCCCGTCCGTCGCCTTCCTCTTCTTCTTCCTCCTCCCCCCGGTCCCCCTGACCGGGTGGGGAGACGATCGGACGAGGAGCTGGTGAAAGAGGAGAGGAGAGGAGAGGAGAGGAGAGGAGAGGAGAGGAGAGAGGAGCTCCTCGGATCCGGCGGAGGACTACGCCCAGCTCTGGTACGGCTCTCGCCCGATCTCTTCTTCCTCTGCCGAGTCTGATCCTCTCCGTGTCCTCTCGATCTCGATCTCTTCGGTTTCGTCCAGGGGGGAATTGGTGATTTTGTTCCTGATCCGGTCTCATCTACGGCCGATCCAGGGGGAATTCGCCGTGAAATTTTCGATCCGTGATGGGGGTGGTTCCCCGACGGTGCGTTCTGTTCCTGCTTGCCGTCGGCGGCTTACTTTGAAGCTCTATAATGATGACGACGACGATAATAATAGCGCGCTCGCCCTTGATTTGGTGGGGGGGGGGGAGGGAAAGGAAGGGGTATCGGGATCCCCTAGGTTTTCCGCTGGTTTTGTATTTTCCTGCAGCGACGTGGCGTGGAAGAGAAAGAAAGGGATCTGAACAGGCTTCGTTTCTTGCGCTGCGCAGATCTTCGTCGTTGGTGGGGAGGCGCCGAGGGAGGGGGAAGAGATGGCGGAAGAGCACCGATGCCAGGCTGCACCGGAGGCGCCTCGCCTCTGCGCGAACAACTGCGGATTCTTCGGAAGCCCCGCGACGCTCGGCCTCTGCTCCAAGTGTTTCCGTGATCATTGCCTCAAGGAGGAGCAGGAAGCCTCCGCCAAGATGGCCGTCGAGAAATCCCTCCTCGTCCCTTCACTTGCCGCTTCCTCCTCCTCCCACCCCGTGGAAGCGGCTCGCGACCCCCGATCCAACTTGTCATCACCCGCCTTCCCCCTGCTGCCGCCGCCGCCCGTCAACCAGGAGGAGGACCCCCACACGGCGACCCAATCCTCCCCCGCCGCCGCCGCCGCCGCCGCTCCATTGATGAAGCCGGGGGGGCGGTGCACGTCCTGCAGGAAGAAGGTAGGCCTGACGGGGTTCCGTTGCCGGTGCGGCGAGACCTTCTGCAGCTCCCACCGGTACCCAGAGCAGCACGCCTGCACCTACGACTTCAAGACCTCCGCCAGGGAGGTCATCGCCAGGGCCAACCCCGTCGTCAAGGCCGACAAGCTCGACAGGCTCTAAGAAGCGCGCCGCCGCCGCCATGCTCTGCATCACATATTCCCCCCCCCCCCCTTCTTCCCCCGAAAGAAAACTGGTTCCTTTTCTTCTCCTCTTCTGTTTCAACAAGAACGGTGTGCGCTTGCTAACGGATCTGCGTTGACCGTTGGATGGCCATCAGATGGCATATGACAACCGTCCCTTCTTATATCGGATAACATAGGAGGATAAACTACAATGCGGACGAAAATTCAGGCAGAAACGCGTCAACGGCGTCCTCCCCGCTATACGTCCACAATCAGGAGAGAAGCGGAGCTTCGATGGACCCCTCTGGCCCAGGCTCTTCCGGCGTCAGATAACAAGCATGGCAGAGGGCGATCACCTGCACCCCCCGCCCACCATGACAAACCATGGAGTGAGCTATAGCGAGAGAGAGAGAGAGAAAGGAAGAGAGAGAGAGAGAAAGAGGTAGGGTACCATGGAGACGGATGCGCAGATGAGGCTGAAGCCCTTGCAGTCAAACGGAGCGGCGTCCGATATGAACAGGGCTGAAACAGGGGAAAACACGACGACAATTGTGTTACTAGGAGAGGATATAGGATGGAGATACAGCAGAACCTCAATCAAGTGGGTAGAGAGAGAGAGAGAGAGAGAGAGAGAGAGAGAACTCACAGGTGAGGGGGCTCATCACCAGAGGAGAGAGAAAGCTTGCCACAGACTGAACTCCGGCAACGAACCCTTGCGCCTTCCCCTGGGAGCCACCAGCTTGACAACATCAGATGAAGAAGAAAAAGAAGAAGAAGAAGAAGAAGAGGTGGTGAATGAGAGTGCAGCGGAGGACGAACCTGGTTATCCGAGACGGTCGCCTTTGAGATGATTGCGTATGTCTGTTCCGGACAGAAAAACCAAACCCAAAAGTCAAACGGCGAAAAAAGTCAACGGGCAGACTCATTTATCGATCAAATATACTGAGTAAAGCATAGTGCAAATAAAATATACGACTAAGGCTGCCGAAGGACCCCAAAAACAGCAAAAACTTGTATGGCGGAGCATTCTAAGACACGGTTTCTGGGCTAAACCTTGTCTCAAGGTTACTTACAGCTGGTTTCATGAGGATATACACAACTCCAAACGAGGCACTGAGGTAAGGCACCTGCAAGAGACTTCTGATGTTAGGGTTGCACATAAAAATAATGGGAAAATTACGAATCAAGCCCAGAAAAAAAGGGGTTTTTGTAAGGGTTTCTACTTCACTTGGGCACTAATTAAACTTTCACCTTTCTCTTTCTCCATAAAAAGGCAATCTTTTTTCAAAACCTAAGGAGGACCCTCCTACCTGTTGCTCTAGAGAAAAGAATAAACTAGTACAGAGATAATAGAGGCTTTGACAATTTCTCCCATATGCCAGCCATCGGGTCCATCTTGAAGGCCAAAGAAATTAGAGGAAATTAAGTAAACGCCTAATAAAATCAAATTCGCCTGTGTGTTCCCTAAGAGATCTCAGCTCTTCAAATGGTGCCCCTAAATTTGAATAGTAAACCAAGGAAATATCTGAAATGGTGCAGAGAACATACCCAACGGGCCCATGCAAGACCATAGAGCAAGCCCTGAAAACATGAGATGCGTTAGAGAGAATTTCTGCTGCAATTAGTCCGTGGAGCATCAAGTGTTCTGTATGATCAGACTTACGTAGGCAAGTGATGAAATCAAAGCGGCGAATAGTACCCCTCTGTCTCCGATGAAGGGATTGATAAGAGGAAGCAAGATGATCTAAATTCAAAAGTCCAATAAACATTTTCAGAACAATTATTAAGAAAATGATTGTTGATAATATTTCCATTCTGCAGATGGAATCTGAAGCATACAAAAAAATAGCCACACAGGCACTTCAGTCTGATGACGATGATGATGGAAATAATAATAATAATCGGATGAAGTCCTACCGGATGAATACCCTAGGACATTAGGTGAGTTCCAACCACAATCGGATTATTATTATTATTATTATTATCATTATTATTATTATTATTATCATTATTATCATTATTATCATTATTATTATTATTATTATTATTATTATTATTATTATTATTATTATTATTATCAGTATTTCAACTGGAATCGAGTAGGCATCTATGGGAACAATTTTATCCGCAACTATGCCTAGTTCATTCGATTTCTCTAGAACATAGATTTTTTTTTTTTCATTTTGATCAGTGCAGAAACTGGATTAGATGAACCGGAACATAATTTAAAGATAGAAGAAAGAGGAGCACGAATCACTTTTCTTTAAAAGTATGCAAGATAACTAATCCAAACTCCAGAGGGCGATTAAAGATGAGAAATGAGCGTCTCCGGAAAGAGGAATGTGAAAGGTAAATCACCAGCTATCAAGAGATGATGCAGTAATTGCAAGAAAATTCATGAGCAGAACCTGAGAGAATATGGAGCCAATTCCAACAACCATTAGGATTTCTGAGAATTGATTCTTGTTGAATCCAAAAGCCGACTTGAGATAATACTGCAGGGAAATAAGTTGTGTCAAACAGTTATTCATTTTTACTGAAGAAACGCAAATACGTCAAGTCCCATTAAAGTTCAACATAAAAAACTAAGTAGCCCGCCCACAGGCTGATCTATCACAGCGGACATAAAAAGATTATTCGTATGAATAACAATTTAGTTGAGGGTAACATGGGATTCCTTTGGAGGCTGTTTGCATAAATAAAAAAAAGATCCAGTCGTCTGCTAAGCAAAGAAAGGCTAATGGCAGGTGGAAGAGGTACAGATGGCCTGGGGAATCATGCCCTGTGAAAGGAGAATGATGGGGCTAGGAGAGAACAGCTCTGATTCAAGGTTACCGCTGTCCTGCAAAAGGGACAAGCAGTGAGCTGTCAGGTCGGCTTAGTCTCATGGGTTGCCATCAACAAATGTAAGCAAGAGAAACTTGAAAGTAGTAGCAAGCAGAGCTTTTGGGCAACAAGAACCAAACCCAAGTGGGCGATCAACAGATGCGATTGGCTCACCAGGGTGTCCCTTCTGTATGTTCTCCAGCAGCATGCTGGAGACAGGTTAGATGAACTCTACCAAACCGCAGTGCCAATCGTCTTGGAGAAACTGTGGCATAACTAATGCAATGGATAATATCAGAGTAAAGGGGGAGAACAAAGGAGCATGAATGGTCTGTCCTTTGCCGCCACCCCAGCAAAAGGGAGGAAGCATGGTTGCACCAGAAATACGTCCCATGTTTTAATACTTTATTCCAATTTTTTTTCTGGATATGGAAATCAAAATAATCCATTTTCAATCATTTTGCCCCATCAAAATGATAATGAAAACATAAAAAACATTACAGCTGTAATCACGAGCATTAAACCGCATGCTGCATGTTGCATTGGAGGACATCACATTTATGTTGACAAAGACTCGTGCCATATGTTTCTTAATCTTTTATCATGCCTGAAGAGAAAGGAAGCAGAAAACATACCAGCAGGACACTGCTGATGCCAGACATCCCCAACTCATAGAAAAAGGATATGAAAGAAATCCGCTTTAGTGTCTGACTGTGAAGTAAAACAGAGAATTTTAGCCAAGAAAAATGATCAGGTTAATTCAGACAAATGAAATGTGTTGTTGTTTCTGAAGACGATGCTGCTGAATATAAAGAAGTAGACATTTAAAAATGCATATCTACTCTCCACAGAACGAAGAAAGATGTAATTCAGCAAGAGCTGTTCATCAGTTATATTTTTGTTCATCAGTTCATCAGTCATTTGTTATGCTTTTCGTGTTTGACACCTGATTGTTTTTTTCTTATACCAATTCTCTGTACTCATGACAAGCCAGCAACACTCATTTTGAGATTCTCTAAGCCCACCGAGGTAGGCAAGACTGATGCTGATGATGCCAGATTCAATGGATTATGACATTCTATTGACATCGATCAAGTAAAAATGCAATGTCATGCAAATAAAATACCAAAAATAAGTAACTATACTTTTTATATTTATCGCGAAATAATGAAATCAAAGGAAAGTTATGAGCCCCAGCAATGCCATTGATCCCAGGACTTGAAGCTACCCCATGCTGTAGGACAATATATCAACTTCGAAAAGCATCACAGGGCTTATTTAGGAGGTCATAATTCAATTCTAATAATAATAATCAGCACATATACTATAATATAGATGAATTCAGTTTGTGCCATATCCATCTACAATTCTTCGAATTTATTATGATCTGAGTCGATTTCTTGACATATGATTATTGCAGTACGTTGCCAAAATTCCTTTTTCTTCCAATACATTATAGTGTTAATTTAACAACATCCCCTCTGTGTATAGCAGGAGAGAAAAGACATAATCTTAAATACTGACAGAACCAGAACACTCATCTCAAAAGCATAACAGGGCAAGATGATAAAAGTCACCAGGTAATAGTGCACATGAAAATCATTTCCAGCTTCAGGCAATAGAGTAACTTGGAAACAAACCTAGTGGTCAACACAGTGACAGTATCTCTCATTGAGGTCCAGCGCTGCTGTAAGATCCTCCAAGTCATCTGAAAACATGGTTCACGCTGGCTTGGCCTTGAAGTCATGTCAACTGTTTCGACCAGAAACAGTTTCAAGTAAATTGTGGAACAGACCAATAGAATTATTGACACCTGAATGTTCACCATTCCCAGTGAGATGAAAAAATCAAGAGAGAAAATTTAAATAATAAGTCTATTCAAGGAACATGATCATACCACAAAAATGTACTCCTCTGGAAGGAATCGAGACAGAAAATTTCCCACCACATGGGAAGCAGAGAACAGCCCAGTGATGCATCCAAAAGCTCCGGCCCTCTTACTGCTTTCAATCAGATCTGCCTAATAAATTGAAGACTTGTTACAACAATTCCATGAGAATTCAGCAGGACACGATAGCAACGAGTTCATCAATGTGACATAAACTCGGTCTGAATGGCAACATTTTTCTGGTCCTAGTCCAGTAGATCGAATCCAATGCAGATGCCTTGCCACTACTAAAAGATATCAGTGTAGTAAAATGATGCAGCTGGTTGCAATGAATGAAATCCGGTGTGACTGGACGAAATAATAAAAAAATCGCTTAAGCCTCCATAGTGTGATTGGACTGAAGAGTTGGAAACGGTGGACTGGGACCTCCTAGAGTATGCTGATCTAAAGCAAAATTCATTATCATCATCATGATTCATCCATCAAATCACAGTTAACAGATTTTTGCAATAAGGATTGTAAACGCAGATTAGTCATTACTTTCGTAAATACTGAATTAGCACCTCAGGCAAGATTCTTACCGCATAAGCGATAGCTATACAGAATATACTTCCTTGACTAATGATAAAAGAAATTGTGCGAAGAACGTAGTACACGTAGACAGATGTCCTTGATGCATTCAAGGCAAGTACAGCTGTAAATGAAAAACGATAAACTCTCAGTTAAAAAAAAATAGACAGTATAGTAAAAGTAGAAGGCATGAAGCACAGTGCACCTACTATTTTAGCATTCGTATACTTTGTTGGAACAGAGTGCATTAAACAGGGAATAAGCTTCTGAGATAAATATATTCTTCAGCAATAGACATCAGGCATAACATAATAATACAGTGCATAAAGTCTACACCTCGTGCATACCTGTAAGACCTTTGTAACGTGAATAAAGATAGACAAAACAATACTTGAGGAGCCCAATAAAAGAAGTCACGTAGAAGCTCATCTTGAGAGGATTGAAAAGAAATTGCATTCAAATCTTAAGTACCATAATTGAGAATTAAGTAGGGGAAGGCATCGCCAAGGTCAGAGTTTAAACCAAGAGAGTCCCATAGATATGAAAGCGAGCCAAGAGAGGTTCACTGGGGAGAGAGATCTGATGTCGCAAGACTCATACCAAACGGAAATATGGATGTAGACATAGTGATAAGGAGCAATGGTTTGCGCCCATACTCGTCTGCGAGCTGACCCAATAAAGGGAGCATCACCATCTTGAAAATTCCTACGACCTTCAAGACAAAAGAGAAATCTGTCTCAAAGAAGCACACCATCATCCTCAGGAGAGGCAACAAAACCATAAGCTACAGGTTCAATCAAGAGATTGAAAATAAATAAATAACGTCCAATGGCAAACCATCAACACAGACGCTACCCTCAAGGCCGAAAAGTTTAGCGTCTCACAATCCCCAGTAAACGAAGCGACGCGTTATGCGGAGAGGGGAGAGAGGAGCAGAGAACAGGCAGTCGACGGCTTACTGTTTGCTGGATCCCAGTAAGGTAGATGGCCTCGGGGCAGGAGGTCTCCTCGCCGGGGCAAAGCGCGCCGGTCGTGACGTCCACAAGCACGGACACCGTCATCTCCTCAGCGACCCAGTGGACGCACAGCGCCACCAGCAAGTGCACCAGAGGGTACAACGCCCTGAAATTACCCATATCCATAATACCCCCCTTCATCTTTGCTCAGCCTCACACCTCCCCTTCTTCCCCCGCTCCCCAACTCCTTATCCCCTCCGCCTCCTGAGCTCCGACAACCCTCGGGCGCGACGAGATAGGGAAGAAGAAGGCCTCCCACACGTCATGATGATTGGGGGAAGGAGGAGGACGAAGCTCCGTGCCAAATCCTCAGCGCCTCATGTCTTCGTCTTCATCCGCCCCTCCCTCAGACGGCCATCGTTTTCTTCTTCGGCCACCACCTCCCGCTCAGCGCGCGCAGTCACGTGCCCTGCGAACTCCCACGTGCGCCCTGCGCGTGCCCGGAACACGCCCAGCCAGCTTCTAGATATCGACTCGGCTCGGCTCACGCTTTTCGGGTCAGCGGGAGAGCCTCAGCCGAAGCGAGTCGGCTCTCGGACCCGCGCCGAGTTGACGTGACATGGATGCTGACTGTTCCTGCGTGCCGTTATGCGTGTACGTAGCTCGTGCGAACGTGCCGCCGGACAAGAAGCATTAATCGGTTTCACAAGTTGCCGATTTGTTTTTTCGGGTAAGAGACGTGGCACGTGTGGCACGCCGCCCGATGATGACGTGGACATCCCCAGCTACACGACAATACAACAGGCACGGGATGGGCCACTGGAGGCTCGCTTGCTCGTCCGTCTCCGTTGACCTAAGCAGATTCTTTTCTTTTTTCCTGGAAATTTTGACGAGGGGAGGAGTAGACTACGGTAAGACAACGAAGTAGATTTCTGCCCAAAAGACCCATTTGCCCTCCATAATTTTCCACCATTTAGGGGTAGCACAAAATTTAGTTTCACTTGTGGCCCAACATATAGGGTCTGAAATCCTACTGTCCATTATCGAATTTTACGATATAAAATAATAAATAAATAAATATTTACTTCATAAAAAAATGGTTAATATTAACTAGGGTAGAAGCATTGATGAACCAGTTATGTGGCTTATCTCACGTAAATCTTATTAAATAGATAATGTACATATTTTCCAGCCATTTCTATTTATTGAAAAAAATGCCACCTAAATCACCCTAACTTGGCTCTAAAAAAAAAGAGAAAAAGTTGGATCATTGTTGAACATAATTTCAAGAGCAAATGCTCATGAGAGATTTGAGTTTTAAAGTCAAAGTTTTATTCAATGAATCATGTTTAAAACAAACAAGTGACAGTCAACAGTGCTTATGTCACTCATAATGGCAAACATATTTTCTATTCATAGGGCTGTTTAGTAACTACTTTATTATGTATGAGATCAAACTATTTAGAAGATACATGGTCATTATTCTTCTGCTAACTTTATGAGTTAGAAAAAAATAGTTTATGCTTACATTGTTGTTATCCTTGTGGATTTAAGGATTTTGGAGTTCACACCCTATGTGTTTAAGGTATAATTTCCTTATCTTATGTTGTGCCACAAAGTTGGTAAGTGTAATACTGATAAACATGATATTATTTATGTCATTAGAAGATGCAATATTTATTGATACACACTTTCTGATGTGGACACAAGTGATTTCAACTTTGGAAATAATGAGTTCAACATTTCGTTATTAACGCAACAGTTCAGTGATTGAATGATTTAGAATACCAAGGTTTGTACTTTGTATAAGATATCATAGGGTCTAATCACTTTTCAGATAATAAATTATTAAATATCTTAGGAGCCTCATCTATTCTAATGATGATAATATCCATGCAAGGGTAATTCAATAAATTCACACCAGTCAAATTATACATTCAAATGATGTAGAATGTTGTTAACTGAGGAAGGTTTTGATTCTAAGTGAGTGAAATCCACTCAAATGTAGAAATACATAGGAGTTAAACATAATATATATATATATATATGCTTGAACTTCAATGAAATGATTTTAAATGAAAAGTGATGTCCCATACGCATGCATTCAAGTACTCATTGAAAACCTAACTCAAGTAATGACACAATGCAATACATAGTGTATTGAAGATCAAAGACTTTGATTTAATATGATTTTACAATATCTACTAACATTTATGATGTTTAAATTTCAAATGGAGATGTGATATATATATTTAATCAATACAAATAACTGTTGTACAACTAACATGGTTTAATTGTTTTATAACAAATTCCATAAATTTAAAATTTATAAAACTAAAAAAATATTAATTTTCATATTTTTAGAAGTATTTCAACGTGAATAAATCAATTATAATTTGATAAAATACTTAAAAAATAGTATACAATTTTGATGACTTTAATTGTTGATCAGTGCTTTGTAGGAAAATCAAGAGTGAAATAAATAAAAATATGAATTTTAGCTTTAGTGGGATTCAAATCTTCACGAGTCACTTAGTCACGTGAGAAAAAGTTAATGAATTACCCACATACCCTTGACCTAGTGATGTCATGTTCATGTTTACTTCTTATAATATATGGATATTTTTGGTATTAAAATACTTAACATACTACCAACGAGCGCCAATATGGGTTTAGTACCACATCAATTGTCTTCTGATATTTGAGACATATATATGTTTATGCCTCATTTTGTCTTCAACTTTCCTTTCCCAAAAACATAATGGCCAAGACCCCCTAGGGAAAGGATGTAGCTAGGTGGTCCACCCCCACATACACACGTGTACGACCACTTCTTACCCCATGTTTGACTGACCCCCAGTGATGTGAAAGGGAAATGACACACACATGTTTTTCATGGGTCCTTAGTCACTCGAGCCCTTAGCTCGTGGCTCTCCCAATTATGCTTTCAACCCATGTGCGGGGCCTTCTAGGTCAATTGCTAGGTCTCCTTTCTCTGATTTATTTTATTTTTCTTCATTTTTATCTCAAAAAAATGAATATATATATATATATAAATTTACATAAAATCACATAATTAACAAAAAAATCACATTAGTCAATTAAAAACCTCTTTTTACTATTAACTCAAATAAGTGTATATTTATCATGAGTTAATTCATAAAATTAATATTTAAATTATTATTAACCCATTATAATAAACACTTACTAGCAACTTAGCATACTAGATATCAAAGGTGGCCTAATAAGCACTTATTACAATGAGCCACTTCAACCACCTTCCTTGAGTCAAAGCAAGATTGTTGTATCCTTGAGCACCTAGAGGCAATGTAAACCAACTGTTGTGCAGGCCCTTAAACACTCAACTCTAGAGTTTCTCAACAAGGAATTCATAAGATTAAAGCCTTTGATAAATTAACAGTTGAACATCAAGAACATTAACTTATTATATTTTTATTTGGAGTACATAGATACTTGAGGCTCATTTAGACCTTTAATGTAGAGGAGCTTAATTGTTAGTAATCTTATTTAATTCCTTGGAGTTGTAAATTTGGAAGAGAAAAGTGAATTTATTATACTTGGCCCCCTATAAATGTGAACATGAAAGAGAAAAGTGGATTCTCATGTAGTTTGACCCCTCAAATCAAGACTTAAGAAGAAGATTGCTAGATGAAATTTGGTAAGGCAACTGAAATTTATATAATTCACTACATATTTGCAAGGATTTTTTAAAACCTAATGAATTGATAACATACATGATAATTATATAGTAGAGCAGGTACAGTGATAAATCACTAAAAATATGGTGTGAATGCATACCCTTTTGCCTAGATCCAAATATCAAAATAAAAAAAATAAAAAAAATAAGAAAAATGAAAAAAAAATAAGATATCATCAATTACCCTTCTCTAGATAGCATAATACCTACCATATGTAAACCAACATGTGCAATCAAATATTTTATAGGTGTTCCTCAAGAGGGACAAGTAGTTTATCATTAGCTTGATTATATTGATTTTGATGATTTTACATATTCTAACTTTTGTCATGACTTGTGTGCGCCTTTTGAATGAATTTAAGGAAACATATGACAATTTTATAGTTAAAATGACTCTTTATTTATGACAATTATAAGTTGCATGATAACATAAAATTAAATTCTTATATATGTCAAATGCAAGAATTAACTCCAAGTGTGCCCAACAAAAAGTGATAAATGACTATAAGAAAGGATATCTTGCAAGTGTTGACCTAGAGATTGTCACTTACTACAACCATCAAACTTGAGTATCAACATGTGGTAAATGTTATAGATGTATTTCTCAAAAGGGCTCCTAGAATTTTAATACTTAAAGGAATTACACATTTATTCTGGGCAATTGAGAATGAACCTTTTGCCCCAAGTTGTTTGCTCTTCGGGGTATTTAAAACCCATCTTATGAGGATCTACCAATGATACCACAAAATCTCAACCTCATTATATCCCAACTTCCAGTAAGTTACCCTTAGCTAATTATGCATGTAAGTTTCAATAATAGTATATTACCAAAATAATTTGGATTAAAGTTACAAACTCACACACTCAAGAGAGACTTATTAGAGACAACAGTGTATACTCAAGAGGTCTGAAAGCTGCTCATTTAAAGCATATGACAATAACATAAGATAAACAAATTATAAGGCTATTGTATCAAGACCCAGAGTAAAATCTAATTCAACCCTACTCTGGGACCTCGTTCATGGCATTAGAAGGACTGTAATATTTGGAGTGTTGAATGGTCAGGGGAGAGCTCCTTTGACCACTACTCTATCTGGATCATCCCTCCACAAGGCCAACACCACCTCAGAACGAGTAAAAAACTGGAAACATACTTGGGATGGGTAAATTAAGCCACTCAGCTCTCTGTGAAGAGAGAGAGAGAGAGAGAGAGAGAGAGAGAGAGAGAGAGAGAGGCCCTCTCGCATGATCTACGCATGGGATCTGACCTGCCACGGCCCAATTCTGTGCTTGATGGAGACAGAGAGAACCCAGACGCGTTGACTTTGGCGTCGACAGTTGAGAGAACAATCAAGTTGCCAAGTTGGGATTCCAGCCTTAATAGGCTCGTTGACACGCACCATAGGGTCACATTAATTTCGGATTTAGATAAGATGCCCACATATCAGAGGAGGGGGGGTTGGGAGAC